GGCGTTATTCGTTTTAATGCATACGAAATTGAATTGCTTAAAAAAGAACGCTGGAGCGTCGAAAGGTTACGAATTTGAGAAAATATGGAGCCAGTTCTTCTCAGAGTATAAATACATACTCAAAATTTCTGGTTTTTATTTATTTTTACTTATTCATACACATTCTTGTTATGAAATTATTCAGTTATACCACTACATATATGTACGTAAATATTTTGTTATCCATATATTTATATCACATTGTGTAAATCAGATTTTAGCAATTTTACTGACTGTCGATCAAAGTCTTCCACTAACTGCAATTATGTCGATATGGATGAACGAAATGAATTATAATCGTGTTATTGATTCTAGTATTTTTTTCGCGTTTTCGGCGAATGCAAATAAAGTACGTTTTTAGTGAGCAACAAACCATGATTTACTTACGCACTTTCGCATAAAAACCAGTCTGATTAAAAAACAACCAACATGAACATATCAGACAGGGCATAAAAAACGCGGGCAATGTACTAACGCACAGCAAAAAAAAAATGATGCGTGTTCTTAGGAAAATGCGGAAATCAACAACTACATAGCTTGTAAATATTTGATGGTGATCCAACTCCAATTCTGTGGCTATTTATGTATGCGATATATGTATGTGCGTATAGCAAATCAGAGAACAAGCAAAACTGGAGCACCAAAAGTTTCCTGTATTGCAGATTGTTTATAAATCGTAAAGTCACCTCAAGAATGTTCCTTGACACTCTTCTCGTAAATTGAGATTTATTAAAAATTATCAGCACTGGAGAAAATGTCACATATCGCGTTTACGTTATTTACTGGTTGTAACTGGATGCATTACGAAATACGCAATGCGCATTACGTACACACGAGTGGAATGAAAACATGAACATGTTTAAGAAACTACAACTAAATATTTCTTCATGTACATGACAAATTCAACATTCAAATGCAAAAACTTCAAAATACTCATCGTCGTCTCACACACAATCTGTACAAAATATATCTTAATGTGTACCAAAAATAACATATATCTACTGTTTCGATGATTTAAGAAGCAAATTAATACCATATATGTACATATTATATACGTACATTATGACTGGTAACTCGTACACATAAATCAAGCCAATAGGATTTACCATTTAAAAACGATTTTGGAAAATGATTTATGAAGTTTATTAAGAATAGTTAAGAAAATTACTTACTTCCAGTATCCAAGTTTTTATGCTCGTAGCTCTTCCTCCACTTCTTTAACCTTTTTGCACTCTGTACAATTGTTACCAATACAAGTAAACTCTGTTTCAGTCTCTGTTTTATTTATATTTGTCGTGTTTTTGAAGTGCGAGAAGGAAAATTCCGGAATGTTTCAAAATGTATTTATTCGCGTGAAAGAAAGTCAAATTTAACTCGAGGCAATGATGAACACAACGAGCGTAATTTGTGTAATTCACGGTCACACTTGCAACTCGAACTCAACTTTACTGACTGACTGACTGTCGTAGGAAGTGTGTAAGTAAAAGTCACAGAATATAAAAGTTTCGCTTGACAGAATGCCGGGTTTTTGTTTTCTACTACGCGTTGGTATATATGTACACCAAGTTTGCTTTGATTAAACGATTCAACCAGTAAGAAGGGACCGAGGGAAAATTCAGCCTTTCTCTGTCCAAATCCGTTTGTGGTAGGTTATTGCATGGGCAATACTAATAAATGCTGCTGGACTGTGGAACGGATGGATGGAGGACTTTATTACGGAAACCGGGTATTATAGTGTGACGTGCCGGAAAGTGAAGCAGCGTGAGGGTTGCTCGAGCTAGGGTCACGCTATCACTCTGCCTGTTGTAGCCACTGAATGAAATAAAATCGCCTTCGTCCAAACGTGTGGATTAAAATCCTACGAGCTTTGTTTTACTGCAGTACAATGAAATTCGGCCCAAAATTATAATCATTCGAGCTAACAACTTCTCTTAAGACTGAGGAAAATCTAAGCCTGCTGCTGCCATGCTCCCATTTTACACACTGATCTCGCGAGTAGGAAGGATCAGAAGAATAATACAAAAAGAAGTGCATCCAGGAGAAGAAGAAGAACCATCCAGCCAGCAGCAACAACTTGGAGGCCCAGCTTTATCGAGAGGAGAGAGAGAAAAATGCCATATGCGCTGACTTAGGGAATTCTTTCTACGTGTGTACGTAATAATACAGAGTGTAAAGAAATGGTAAAGAATGGAGCACAAGAAATATGTATGACTGCTACTTCACTTTTCGTCGTCACTGCCCGTATTTTCTAATCAACTCACAATTCTCAAATATAATAATCACGCACGGCGACCACGTTCAATAAATTACTTTCAGCAGTATTTCTATTAGCACAAATGTGCATACCTTCTACCACCCACTGTTAAGAGGACGCAGATGGTATGCAGGCGTAGTACCGGCACAATTGGTCGTAATAGATTAACTTAGTTTCTGCATAAATTTCGGACCAAAATGCCAAATTATAATCCTTTTACCAGACCTAAGATGGGCGTTATAAATTCTCTTTTACGTAGTTATTGTTTCTGTACATCCTTAATATAGAAGTTAATTTATATACTGCGCGGATGCATTTATTGCAATAAGTCATATGCACATGATGAAAGCTATACGGAGCACAACGCTACGTAAGCATTCTGGAATTCCAAAGTTTCGCAAACTATTCTTTGATTTATATACATCAGGATAAGGACATGACGCGAGGTAGTTGTCCAGCATAGATTTAACCCCAAAAGTGAAGAATCACCCCAAATCTTGTTTGCCATCTTGCAATCCAAAATATTTTCATGTTAAGATGTGGAGGTGATCTTTATGATGCGATTTTCTCGTACTGAAAAACAAGTTTTTACACGGAGCGAATTATCCATACAATGCACAGCTTTTCAGCCCGAGCAGTATTAAACCCAGCATTAGTACTTTTGTAACTTCCATGTTTCACTCTCCATTTGAAATTTTTCTTACTTAGCACACACAAGAACCATCCGATCTTTTTCAAGCAAACCTTTTTTTCATGGAAGAGTCCAACCATATGCATAAGGGGCTGAATCATCCATCTACAAGCCCGTCATTATTGTTGCTAAAAAACACCATCGTATGAACTCAGAGAGCGCAATGATACCACAGATGCGTTGTATTGCAACCCATGCAGTTTGTAGATAAGAAGGAGGTAAATCTCTGGCGTGGATGCAGAAACTTTAATCGCATCTTGTACCCGAATAGAGATTTGTGTAATTCTTTTATCGACAGATCACTGTTGTTTTCATGTAATAATAATTAAGGGTATAGCCGTATAGGTACGTACATATACCACGTACGAGCATATGTAGGAAGGTTTACTTTGCTATATAATGGCCATAAAACCTTCATGCGGTTCAAGCTCGACAATTTAATGGTAATCGCATTGGCAATCTTACTTATGCGTATTCGAGTTAGCATATCGTGTAATGTTCAGGACTAAAAGATGGCATGTGGGGGAAACTGTCTCCGTTTTTTGTCAATCCGTGTTTTAAGACGATTTTAATGTTTCTTTTGTTTTCAGAAGAGCGTTTAGTGCTTAGGATAAATATGTACGTTTTATTTGACAAAGAATGAATGCATGGCTCGAAAAAATATTCTTTGTTTTACTTGTCAATTTTTTGTATGTACATATTTATTTTGTCGTCCATTGTTTCGAAATCTTTGAGCTGCCATTTTCATAGGTCGTACAAGTGTGTGCACATCCCTTCAAAATTGTCTCCCCCTGATGTGCAGGAATATGTGTTTTCTGCCCCTGCACATATCGTCATACGCAATTTTCTTTATTAAAGAGGGTGGATGAGTCACCTAACAATTGAATAAAACTCGAGGGCACTGGTTCGAGCATATCTGTAGTGGAGCACCGGAGTGGTCTTGTTCTTATTTTTCTTGTCCCGGTATAGAAAAAACTTTCACCGAGCATGATGGCCATCGGAATTCCTCAAGTGCTCCGCTGAAATTGGATAAAGCACGATCCGACAACAGTGAATGAGTATGTTTTATTCATCAACTCCTCAGTTCCACTAATGTCGAGTGACTCATCCTCATCTCATTTGTGTTGATGGTGGCGAGAACATGGCAGCATGAGAAGCGAGCAATGTCTTCCACGAGAGTTTTCAAGGTAATGAAAACAAATATGTGTGCTGTATAAGCGACTAAGAATAATGGCAAGATAAAAAATGTGATGGTGAAATGGACCTGCGTTGGCTTCATGGGAAGACAAGGTTCTTTAAAAACTACTCGACGCTTTCAACTAAACAAACGCACAATCTCCCAGTGCCAAGAGGGTGAAGTATCGGAGTTGGTTGGAATCTCTCAATTTTTGGATGTTGGTAGGATGGCTCTGGCTGCTCTGTTTTCATCCCATCTTTTCGAATGCCCACTACTTTCCCAACATTGTTCATTTCGATCTCGAAAACGGAAACCTATTTACTTTCACAGTTGGTACTACCAACTTCGCCGCATCGTTGGCGTGCTTGAGCATAATGCAAAGAGAGTTACTTAATCTTTGTCCAATCTTCTCGTCTGTCCATAAACTATGTACACACAAATCCTGATTGATTGTTTGACTTGAATTGTGCATTATATTCGTTCTGTATACTTTCACCAAAGAAGATTATTGGTGGACATGCAATTGGAGTTGTACAATGGCTACATAAATAAAATAAAATAAGTACCCGGCATTTTTTGGATATTTATAACATTGGCTTATTTAAAAAATTCCCAAAATTCCCTGGACATTGACAAACTCTGCATATAATAAGATTATGTTCAAATCAAATGATCTTTCATAAGCATTTCTGGCCTTAAAATTTATACTATAGTCGGCAATTTGTAGATTTGGATGAGACTGAACAGTGAGCGTGTTTTTTTGGCGAGTTGGCGTTAGATTTTGGATGCTTTGGTATTTTGTTGCAGTAAAAAAAATGCAAAAAAAGTGATGCACTTACCCAACAGCGTCGTTCCCACTTTTATCGTCGTCATTAATTGAGACAGCTTTCGTCTCATCATTATTTCCCAGTCCTCCTCCAATTGCTGACCCATTTTGTGATTCTTCCTGGGTTGGGGTTTCGTACACAAGAGTTTCAACCAGTCCAGTCTTTGAACTCCCGAATGAAACCCTACATTATTTCAAATAGTAATGCATACTTAAAAATTGTGCTTGACTATGATCGAATTGCTCCAAATTCTTCAGGCATATTATGGTAAGATACAAAGGGTGCAAATTGTTACCTCTTCAGCCCAACTTGTTTAGAACCGTTTCCCAATTTTGACAGTTTCGCGACTTGGCCGGTATTTGAGGAATCTGCTGGATCGGCACCAAATTGGTTGGTTGGAATGGAGGAAACTGCTTCGCAACTGGAATTTCCAGACGGAAGTAGTGGGAGATCATCAGCATCATTGCTCTCATTGAGGCTGCCTTCTTCCATAATGTAATCATGTTTATGCCATTCCTCCGACTTGGTTGTTGTGCTGGAGGTATGTGAGGTTGTCGTTTTCATAATTCCCGTTTTTGCCTTCTTGACAATCGTGGTAATTACGACTTCTTCCGTAAATACTTTGTTCTCTCCTTCCTCCACATTTTCATTCTCGTTGTCCAGCAATTTCAGCGACTCGCAAACAGAGTCGGTCAGACCATGGGAAATGAGTGCAAGCCCGTCTGGCTTCACGGACTGTTTATTCATATTGGAGTTATGATTAGAATTAAAAGTATCAGCCAAAAAATTGGCATTCCCGTTACTTCCGTCCCGATTTTGATTCATTTTGCCCTGCTGTTGTTGCGTTACAATACCGTTACCGACATTTGACGAATGATTGTTGTGGTTCTTTTTTTGGCCTATTAATAAAGTGGGACTAGAATTGCCAGTAGTGGGTTCTTCTGCAATTATGTGTAATTCTCGACTGTGAACTTCCGACACAATGACAACTGGTTCAACACTCGCATTACTCGGTGATGGGCTGGGACTACTCGAAGAAGAATTAGAACTAGTTTCGATCGTGTTCACTGTGATAATTGATGTCGTGTCCACAGGTCTCAACAATGGCTCAGCAGACTCAAAAGCTAGCATCTTGTGCCGGCCTCCTCCGGCGCTGGCAACATGGACCATCACGTTCCTCAGGGTAGGGAGATGATGAAAAAGGAAATAAAATAAAATAATCCAACACAACCACGAGTTCTTGTGAGGACGTCGTTTTGACCGATTGCAGTGCAAAATTTGTATAAAGCAAGGAAAACTCTGTTGTCTCAATATTCTTGCCAGGCTAGAAGTTACTTTTTTGATTTGATTTGATTTGTTTGACTTGTTTGTCCCCGGTGCACTTTATCACAGAGACAAATTACTATTTTCAGGCCACACGTAGTCGTGACAAGGCATTTTTGGGTGATCAATCCTCTGCCGAGATTGGGGAGAGAAAGTAACACCTTTCAGTTTTTCTGCTTTCTCCAGACTCAAAATGGTTCAGAATATGTACACATACGTATATACATAGGTTCATGTATTAGTATGTTGGCAGAGTGCGGAGGAGGAGAGCGTGACTTCGAATCCTCTCACTCAATTCCAAAATCAATAAGCGGATCAAGTTCTGACCTCGCACCTCAAAACCACTTTACCAACTCGCAAGCCAAATCTGCTGGAGAAGGAGTCAGTTGAAATGGATAATTTGATTAGCGTCTTCTTCAATATGCCCTTGATGTAGGGCGAGAGATTTCAGTGGGTGATAAAACTTTATACTCGAGTTGATTTGAAGAGGTTCTATCTGCGAAAGTGTTTTTCGCAAAGATATCGAATAAAGTGTTCGCAAATCAAGGCAAAAACTTGTTAGTTTCGTCTCCTTCTCTTCACAACAGGATAAATGTTGATAAAATATTTATTTCTCCGTCGATAGCTGCACCTTTGATTTTATTTCCATACTCACTACGGAATTCGAATCGAATATTCAACAACGTTGCACATTTCCTTGCGAAATAGTGTCGATCAACTTCACCTTCAACAAGGCCAAAGATTCATCCCCCTGAAAGTACACGTAAAAAAATCACGATTAGGCCATGATGTTTCGCAATCCAAATTAAATCGTGGTATAAGATTTCCACCACTTCTTCCCCTGCCAACCGTACGGAGAATGCCACACAAGAATATTCTATGCAGTTGTACTATGATAAATTATATGACGATCTGAACAACGATTAGATATTATTTTCTTTCACGTACGCTTATTGTAACGCTGTTGAGGTACACTCTGCCCTGCACTAAACTCACATATTAACCGCAATCGAAAGAACAACCATGATTTTACAGTCCGGGTCACTGGCTTTTGAAAAGGAGAGAGCAATGCCAAAAAGTATTGCGATGTCATGAAAGATTTCCATATTAAAATAGCAAATCTGTGACGGAAATGCGCTTATACTTGTCTGAAAGTCCTCCCACGAAAATATCAACTGGGCATCAAAATATTTTGGCTTCTTTCTCCAATCTCTTGGCATACATATTTCACGAATAAGCTGAGTAATGCATGAACAAGGGTCTTATTTATAAACTTGGAAATAAGATGAACTTGATAATACATATTAAAAGAGAGAATAATACCAGCCAAACAAACGGATCCTTCCTTCTTAGGTTAGCAGCAGCAAAAGTATATACCGAATTAATCGCTGCACACACCATTGAAACTTCTCAACAAAAAGTTATTTCCGTACGTTTGTATATAAATGTTATGATTAACTGTTGTCAGAATAGAAAAAATAAAAAATTACGACAGGGTGTTGTCCAAAATTTGAATAGCTCACGTCAAAAGGAGCGTGATCTTCCATAGAGGAAGCTGCTTATCAGTCTTTTCGCAGAAACTAAATTGAGACAGGAGTTGAGGTGTGTTGTGTGTATACGTAGAAATGCGGATTATAAAAGCTCCTCGATCGGTTTGAAATTTAGTGCATACTGACAATGTACCTAAGCAGCATTGCTTTCTTTCATTACAAAAAGTTAGTCAGATTATTCTTAGATCATTTTTTGTACAAGTCACCCACAGCAAGTCTATTTTTCATGATTTTTAATAGCTATCCTGCCAATGACCACGCAATCTTTGCTCAACAATTAAGTTTACTGTGATCAAAATTTCGTAGATGCACGTCTTATCATATTGTCACAAAGTAATTGAACTCACAAATCTTATTTATTGTTGTTGGATGGAATTTTGTGGATGATACAAAACTCTGCATATTTACCATGTAGAGTGTTGTGACATGGAAGGTGAGACAAAAGGTTGAGATCAATTAGCACTTATGGACACACATACCTGTGACGACTGCTTGGTTCAGAATATTTAAATATTAATACACGACTTCATTAGAGCAACCTTCCTATTATTTCCTATGGCTCTGCTTCGATTTGCGTGCATCGATAGTTAAATGGTGATTAGCAACGTATGAGGTTCAAGGATGAAGATTTGGGTTATGCATTGGACTCACCACCGGATCTAATTAGCAGACGCAGAACAAGCCATCACAGAAATTAATGATGCTCAACTCAGGCTTCGTCATTGTTTGGGCTATGAATGTATGTATGAAATTAGATGCAGCTTATTTGTGAGGAGATAAATAATTGTGTTGTGTTTTGACTCCTCCTTGCATAACAAATAAATGCATGACCAAAAGCTATTTAAAAAGTGGGAGAGTTTCTTGGTCGGATTTTCTGGAGTGGAAAGACGCTAATAAGAGCTTCGATAGAATAAGGAATGTTTACGACACTCTTTAATTTCGCTTTTAGTAGTTAGTTAACTAATGCAAATAGCCAGAGTCAATGTTTACACTGGCTGGCCCACCATCGCACCTTGAAAGTTAGTATACAAAGGGTCATTAGAGTTATGCAGTAGATAACCGGCGATAGATTGTCCCTCGAGGGGTTAACATAACCAAAGTTTTTAATTTAAGTACGTTCCAAAAAATTATGTGCCTAAAAACGTCTGAAAAATTACCACCAAGTTTGGGGAACATGTTGAACAAAAAAACAAATTCGTAAACGCAGGATAAACTTGTAAAATTAGCTTGGTACTGTGTAAAAATAAGTCTAATAGCCCTCTGTACTCATTTTGACAATACAACAACATCGTAAGAAAGAGATAATCCTGTACAAATACGCAAATTCATTCCGTTTTCTCCCAGGCTGACATATGTATGCATTTAAAATTACCTTAACAAGACGCTTTAACTTTATGACTGAAGATTTCTTTGTTTTTCATGCACATATGTACGACGTTTCATTGTTTAGCTTTTGGTGAATCGCTATCCTGTTTTAATGGCGAACCACAGAAGAAAGTTAAATATTTAGTTATCTATACAATTAACAAGAAGTCAATGTCAAGTTCAGCGCTGGTCCGATAATGTCCGTGACGTGTGAAAATCTGTGATCTTCTTCACAAGTTTAAATATCCTGAGATTCACAGAGTTCCATTTTGTATGCATATCACTGTGTCAGCCATGTGGGAAAAATGTACGCACTTCGAACCCGATTTCTAGGATTTGCATACACACATTGAATCAATATGATTTACAATGCGGCAAGTGTACAAAGTTTGCTTGGTTAATAACATCCCTTTGAACTTGAAGATATGTAAACACAGTTGGGAATTTTAATCACATATGAATACATCAAAAAATCACATGTAAATTAAAGTTTAGTCAAGTCACAACATGCAAGTTTATAAATAACCAATATTGTCATTAAATTTGAAATATGTGATTTCCGGTTCATACGCGTCCAAACAATAAACCATTTTTTGACTTTATTTATGAAAACTCGAATATAACGTATTTGTTGCATTCATTTCAAGTCTGATGAAACTCAAAATTAAAAACTGCTCAATAAAAGTGTGGTATGTCGTCATTGATGGCACACATGCTCGTACTGGGCGTATTTAAGTTTAATGCTGGTTTTTCTATCAATTTGTTTTAACACAACGTATGTACGCAACATATCATATTATTTTGATGACGAAGGGGAAATGAAGCAATACTTTATTAATTATTTTTTGTATATACGAATACGACTACAGATTGTGACGAAGCACACTTTACTAGAATTGTAAAATGTAACAAAGGCAGCAAATGGGACAATGAGAACATAAATATAATTCGTCGACTCAAATTTCATGAACACAAAGCAACAGAATCAACAAGTCTCATAAAACTGAAATATTACTGTCGCAAGCAAATAAGTTCATTCCTCGCAAAAGACGATGCTGTGCTGCTGGTTCAAAATCGAATGTTTTATGCGTGCGTAACTTTGTTCCAAAAATATTTCTACATTAAGTTCGTTTATATTTCAGGGAAAGATCAACGTATCAACATCAACATTATTTTACATCGTTTTTTGTCACTTTTCTATTTTCAGTCTCACAAGTCACTTCTCCCACATTATTTAGACGCCAGACAGCACGGGCTAGCTCAAAGTAACATAAGCAAGTGCGATTTATTTTACCCTCGAGATCTTCTGCACTAATAAAAAGTTTGCAGAAATTTCAGACAACTAAGACAAGTAGCGACTGTATAGCTTACCAATCCGTACATACATACATATGTACGTAGTATACGTTTATTATTAAACCCCATCCATTCAACCTAAGCAGTTGATGTTTATTCCCCTTTCCCGTAATCGCGACACCTCATTAATAACTTTTGATTTTGAGTCCAATAGTACATAAATCATGAGCCGCAGCAGTAAGATCTATTTAGCCAACGAAAAGTCAAAGTGCGGATGATGAGCAAAAAGTATCAAAGTGTTGAGTGATGAGAAACACCCACCCAAAATACCTGCACTGCGGCCTTATCCAGTCGTAAAAGAACACTTATCCACATTTGTATACAGCACTTTAAAGATTATGCAGAAGAAAACTTTTGTTTATTCACGCAAAACTTGTAATTCCGCCCCTCATGTTTATTTTTCATGAAATGGGAAAATTCACGCACAATTTAAATTAGCGAGGAAAACTATAACGAAAAGATGAATGGTGAAACGATAATCCAGAAGAGCAGTTATGTAAAATCCAAAGTATTCCAAGAGCGTATGTATATCGTATGCATCACATCTCTGCTAAATAAAACACAGCCTGGCTTCCTTGCGAGTTGCAAAATGACTGGCACACTCCATTCCGATAAAGCCGTGCTAAAGTTTCTTTAATAAACTGAACTAAAATTCTCAGTTTCTTTTTACTCTGTTTGCTCCAACATTATCAGTGGTACAACATATAAACCAAAACTAAACAACAATCCATGCGGTGCATTTATATATATTTGTGAGCAATGTATCCTGTAGCTCGTGTAAATTGCCTTTCCGCAAAAAAAGGACCGAGTGTGCCGATTCTCGCGAGGTTTTTGTTGTGTTTGGCTCACTATTCTCATTCTTGCTAATTTCATTCTGATTCAGTTGCATCTCAGTTGAAAGTAAACCGTTGTGGTGGTCACACGTTGGTATATAGCTGTGTGAAGGCATAAACCATGATCGTTATTATATTTCAATGCAAATGGGTATTGTTTAAGACGAAAAATTTCTTAACGCACATTCCACACCATTCGAAAAACTATTCAAATGTGTGTTTATTTATTAGTACCAGTATGCAATATGACGTATCGTGGGATGATAATTGTTCTGCGATATACATGATTTTTTGGGAATTCTTGTCTCGGAAAATGTAGCTAAATGCTGCTAAATGAATCTACAAAACCCACTCGGAATATGACACATAGGAGTCGTCGGGTCTCATCCCGGGGTCATAGAGCTCATCAATTATAAATAGATAGATGAAATAAATCCATTGTGTCCAATGCGTACTTATTTATAACAGGAGACGACTATGCTAAATGAAGACTTTACATACACAGGTGTAATAAATTTGTCCCTTAATGATCTTGACCTAGGGCCCGTATTATATTCGAAAACAGAGTAATTTACTACATCGACAAATAATTCTATAAACAAATGTACGAACGCGTTTCATGATGGTGGAGTTTCTGATCATGCATCACATTATTTAATCCGGTGTCGAAAATGAATGACTCAAAATTACTAATCATTAATTTTATGGATTGGTAACTTTTAAAGTTGGAAGATTTTTGTTGGTTTATGCCAACTCAAGTTGCATTTCAATAAATATACATACGCTTAATTGGCACGAATTAAAAGGAGTATCTAAAAACAAAATCACCTTATAAACTAACGGTGTCAATGAACCATAACAATGTGTAAATGCGTGCTGCATCTTTATGACGAGTTGACTCGCACAATATGGGACAAAGGAATTAATCCACAACTGTCAACTGTACTTTTGTGACCTACATTCAAGGTCAGAAATAGCTCACCACTTCTGGGTAACTTTTGTACTAGTCAAAAATGTCCAAATTTGAATTGTAAAATTGTTTCTAAATGTTACATTACATGCTGTGAAAAATAGGAAGGCGTTAGTTCAAGTAGCGTAGTATCACCATAATTATCCAAGTCTCTGAAATCAATTTATTCTTATTGACCACAAACCACCACTATCACAATAATTATGTGCCTATAGTGGAGATATGCATACATATGTATGTAACAATCAAAGTAATTGTATTTCAGAAATAATGAATATATGTATGCATATGCAGTTCGTCGATACATGCGTACAGAGCATGGCAAGAAAATATTCATATTAACCGTATTCTTCAGGTTCAAAAATACATTTTGCCCAAATCAAGAGTGTGTTCTTCTGAAATAACAGGACTTATATGGCTCGTACCAGTTCATGGAACTGTTTAAGAAAAAAGTATATAAACCTAGCGATTCTGTGCCACAATTTTATTCCTTCGTGATTTGGAGCTACTTCTTTTTCGGTAGTCGTAAGTAATTTACAAGTTCACAATAATGAACGCCTACATTTTTGCGCTGCTCCTGCTGTGGGGTGAAATCGTGGTTAGTCAAATACCTCTACCGGGATCATGTCCTGATATTCCTCCGTTCAAAAATTTAAACTTAGAAAAGGTAAAAATTAGTACAATTATTTTTTTTAACACAAATTACACGAATGCATAAACTCGTTTTCCAGTACCCAGGAAATTGGTATGAAGTGGAAAAATACTTTTTTGCACTAGAAGCATCTGGAACATGCATCTCCGTAAACTACACGGCAAATCATGATGGAACTCTAAACACTCAAATTCGTTTTACAGAATCTGTGTAAGTATTATCTTTGAAAAAGTATATGCAGCCGGTGTATTTTAATAATGATAATTATTTGTTGCGTGTGCTTTATAGCTCAGGTAATAAAATCGCTTTCCCTGGAAAAACGATATTTTTGGACCCAGATACTGCAGGTTCTGGAAAAACGGGAAACATGCAGTTGACATTGTCCATTATAAATCCGTACTATCTCCAAACTGAAGGTGAAGCATTTATATCTTTATTTGACGTAGTCGAATTTATAATCTGGTACATGATTTGTTTGGTAATAATATTTTTTGCCTTTTGTAGTTCAAAAGACGTATATCTATAAACTCATTGACACGGATTATGTCAATTATGCAATCAAATGGTCGTGTTTACCCTTGATGGGGGTCCATTTTGGTAGGTCTTTAGATATGTATATTTAAGTCTCTGTGGTATTCTAATTACTACCAATTTCTTGCAAGTTCTTATAAATTGCAGTTATATAGTCTAAAATGTATGGTTTAGCACTCATGCGCATGCATTCACTTCAATTAAAAAATTGGTTTTTTGGTAATTCCAGAAAGTGTTTGGATTCTTGCAAGAGACGTGACATATCCTCCAGAAGTTAAAAAACTTGTACGAGATTCTCTAGCCAAGTCTAAAATCGATACAAGTTTCTTACAACCAAGCACTTGCTGAAAACATTAATCACTATCTCAAAATTATTTAACTAAGTTGACTACGCTTAAATATTTATATTTATTCCTACTCGTAACCGATTTAAAAAAAAATTGATATGTATGTTGGATGGAACTTATTATGTATTTTACGTTGGATGAACAAATTGGTATTGAAAACGTGCCATTTCTCTAGAGGATTCACAAATGCTTTCTCTATTCTACTCACCATAAGATAAGATTTTGCATGCGATAAAATTTAGTACGCAATAAACCGTGATTGTTTTACATATGTATATCTGATTTCGTAGTAAGATTCTTTTGTTTCCGTAAGATGTTACATGGATGGAATTTAACATTAAGTAAAGAGTCTCAAGTAAAGAGCTGTCAACCGAAGAGACAAAAATTATATCTAGTATGTAGCTACATATTTGGGATATCCAACCAACACTTTTACGTTTGCACCTTCATGTCATTGCTATTCACTCTCAAGTAAAAAACTGGTCATTCCAATATCTACAGAAATTCTGTTAGGTCAATAGATATCGTTCGTGACAGGAAAATTGTGGAGAAAGCAATGGAAACTAACAACCTGAACAAATGTCCAAACAATAAGTGCATGCAGAAGTCTGGTACGACGCTGAAATACATTATGCTAACCACTTTCCGAACTTTTCATATCTAATAAATAACTATGTATATGGCTTTGACATCTACTAGAAGAACATTCAAAGTCATTTATCTCAACTAACCTCACCTGTCAAAGAAATTTGGGGTTCAGAGGTATCGAGTTGAAATCGAATGACATTATTTGCTATATTTAATAGTATGCATTATATCTACATGTGCATCAACTGGTATGGTCAACATTGAGGCATAATTCTAAGATTTGCAAACTATTATTAAACTATTTGGACTTTGAAGGCAAAACATGTTGCTTGGCCAATCGCGAGATCAATGAAATTGGGCCCAACATACGTAATTCTGTCGAAGCTGTCCATGTTTGCAAATAAACCGAAATGTAAATACTCTGCGTGCTATGTGAAACAGTTACAAAATGAAGTAGGCAGCTCAACTTCCGTCTTTCGTTTCACTTTCCTTGGCTTCGTGCGTTCGTATCAGTGACAAGAACAAAGAACCCGTCGTTCAAAACTTGACTTTTTGCGCTGATAAGCCCGTCGGAAATAGGTCACGACGGGTTTTCCATTACAAAGTCAATTTCACTGGCCAGAATTAAATGGAGGAGCTTATACATATATATTTTAGTACTGTTATTGGTCTTAAGTTTCAATAAAATACGGGATAGAGATACCAATAAATAATCATTTAAACAATACTTGTACAAAACCGCACTTTTCTGTGACACTTTCAGCCTGACCTACTTCGTTGTAATATTTTATGTTAAAAATTTTTTAAGTGCAAAATTAATGCACAAAAATTGCATTGTTATTCACCAAAGGTATTAATCAAGTGAAAACAAATCCTGTCCCGAATATATATTTGGCAAATTACCAGATTGAGATTAGGAGGATGATTGGCTAGAACCACATGCAAACATGTTTGGGGTCACGGTCGTGACTGATATGATTTAAAGACTCAAATTGAGTATCTACTTCTTAATTTGATCAATTTATTAGAACGGATTCAATAAGGAAATCTGTGCATTTTCCTGTCTACACATATGCAAATACGTTGTATAGTATTAAGGTACAGGTAACGGCATAAAGACAATTATGCTTTTTGTATTAAAACGTATTTAATTATACTGGGAAATGTTAAGCGTTCTTACAAATTGTGCATTTCCAACAGACCCGTGCATCCTCTTCATACTGTAGTTCGCGTGTTTTGTCAATTAGAATAACAATGTGAAATTTTCACCTGAAATATTTTTTAACCCTGTTTCAACGGATGTCAAAAAATTATTTGACGTACCACATTGTCCCAAGACGATATTTTCCTGAATACGGTAACCTAAAATTTCTTAGCTATCGATACGGCTACTTTACATAATTATTTTCATCTTGAGAACTTACACATTAAATGCATTCTCGACAAAAAACTCATTAAATGAATTGATTAATAATACTCGCACAAAATCAAACCGAGATAATGGCATATACTTATTAACCGACATTTTTACCTGGGTCGTGTACTAGTATAAATTTTTGTATTGTATACATACTTATGCATTTTTGACTCGTTTGGAGTAAAAACTTGAATTGCTAGTAAGCCATACATATTCTCATATTATATGATAAAGGAAGCCAGTATTAGGTAAACCCACTCTACGACGATTTACTTACATATTTACATAGTATTCCATTTCTTTATAACATTGCATGTTAGCAAGATCAGGTTCTAAAATTCTAAACTTTGATAGGTACAGTAGGATTATATTTCTTATAGTTAATGATCGTGGGCATGCAATTTGAGAAATTACACAACAAATAAAAACTGCATTACTACTCTATACTAGAAAACAACATGAATTATATAAACATTCGCTAATCTCAGTTCAGTATAACCTCATGCCATAACTTTTCTCTCATGAGACACAGAAAGCCCTAGTCACCCAAAAACCGTGTAATAATGAATTTGTGTACCGAACTCTTGGAGCAGATGTTCAAAAGGGAGATGGATTCACGAACGGAATAACGGATTCCTGGAAATATTAACAAAACTCCCCCAAATATTCGTAGAATACAGAAGCACTTGTCGAAAGAGCGAGCAATAACACATCCGACCTACCCGAGAAAGTATAATTGGATCAGACCGAAGGGAAGGGCTCGGTATTCTACATATATCTATACACATTTCATCTCACAATACAATCTGAATGAATGGAATACTTGATTTCATCTCGACACAACTCGCCGACTTTGGACACTCCCGCAAATCCAAATGTCAAAAGTTCAAAGAATTCCAATCCATTCACTGTCAATTGTTGGATAATGAAAGCGTTTGAAATCCAGGATTTTAAGTTTGCCCTTTCTTAATTTCGTAGAATTTGTGGAGAATAAGTATATATCAATTTGGCTTCCGAAATTCCGTTTGTCCAATTGGAAGAAAGTGACAATCATTATTACAATCATTATTATCCGAATATATGTATACATTCGGCAATGCCTACAAATAGCATACATATGTAAGCAGGAACTAAACGTATGGATTTGCAGATTTTCTAGGTTATTTGTAATTACTTTTATAATTACACGGGGTTGCACAATGTGCGCCTACTACATAAACTGCATAGTAATGTTTCCTGAAAATGTCATAGTTCATCTTTCCCTTCGTATTCCTCCCCAAAATTCAAGTATCACATGTGGTAATGAAACAAGAAAAATAGCCCACTTCAGTCATATCTTACCAACAAAAGAGATTTCTCCTCAGAGAGAGGAGAAATGAGCATCTCTATGTATTTATGTATAGAGATGCTCTATCTGTATCCTTGTAATCCCCTCGGAGTGATTTTTGTTTCCTATTTAGCGTCCCATTGACACTAATGTTGACTCGAACCAAGCATACCAAGCAAGTTCAACGTTAGTTTGTGTTGGCTTCGTAATGCAGAATTCAAAGCTTGGTTCTTTTCTTGTAGGAACGGACAGCTCGTAAAATATTTTACACTCAGAAGGAGAAGAAGCGGCCATAAATGCATTTTCATTTTGCTTTTATTACCTACATACATGCTTATAAAGATATTTTGGTGTAGCGAGAAGAGGGGTAATTGAATGTGTGAAAATATTACAAAAAATTAATTTCAGTTTTATTTTGTAGTGTGTAACAATGCCGATGTCACGTTGAATCGGTGACATGTAACTTTCCGCTTTCAATTTAATAAGTTAACCTTTCAGTGAATGTGCTTGTAAATAAAGCACATGAGATCAAGTTCAGGGTTGGTGGGTCGTAAAGTTTTTGTTGCGACGTTCGTAGAAATGCGTTATTTTATGACGAAATCCGTCCACGTTTCATACACAACTGTTTAGCTACTTTTTCGGCGAATGCATACGGCGACGTCGTAAACTCATAAACTTTCTCCCCAGGAGCAGCCACACCAAATTGAAAGCATATATTTATATATATCCCGTTTCTTGTGCGAGCAAACAATGCCGCAATAATTCTCAGCATGGTTGAGTTAATTGAACCAGAAAAATAATAATTGGTGAAACCCTCCCAACGAGTATTGATGCGTAAATTTATAGCATGCAGCTTGTTCATATCCCTTGTGATTTAATGTCAAAAATAGCCCAGCTAAATACAGGAAGTAGTGCCTATAGGTTAGAAATACTTGCATTTCATAAACTCCTCATCGCCCACATGTCCGCATCCCATAAAGCCACTACTTAACCTATGCTCCATTTTATTGTCAAAAGTCACGCGACGATAGCTGAATTTCAATGTCTCTGTGTATTCGTTCGGAAGTATAGTGGACATTCATTCTGAGCAAAATAAGTCATAAGATTTAACTTCTGAACTTGTGTGTAATACGCCGTACCATATCATAATAATACCCTTTGTAATAAGTAATCACCATATAATTATCTATACCCAGTGAAAATTCCACTCATCCGATTGGGTTCCTTCTGCATTCGCCGGTTACAAATGGATTATTTGCTTTCACACACAAAAGATTTGGGATTTCTTGTGTGCCCAGATAGTAGAATGAATACACGTACATTTTCCATGAATGCATACACCTCAAGCAGAAATCCGAGCACACCTCCATTATAATTACATTGCAAATACGCCAGCTTTACATAGCATTTATGGACTTTCACTACACGCAGAGTTTTATATATAGAGCTACATATAAAATAGGACTAGAGAATGAAAATGCAGGTCAAATTTGTGTACTGAACTGCATGCAGCAATAATTAATACCCAATCAACTCATGAAATTTCGCAATGTGGAGCAAACTTTATATCAGATGAGTATGAGTCATGTCGTAGAAATCGATCCTTGCCGTGTTATTGCTTTCGAGACACAACAATAACAAATAATAGGTGAAAGGGAAGCCTTTTTACCTCAAAAACTGCAGTGAAGCGGTGTGGAGGTGGGTCGTTCCTTCAAGAGAAAATGAGGTTGATTTGTGTTGTTGTACTCGAAGTAGAACACGTTCCACAAAAAACTCTATTCTTTCTTTCTCTGCTAATACCTTGTGCTTCTAGGCTCACACGTCCACCATCAGCCAGAGGAAAGTGAGAACTGCCACAAACTTTCTCAACCGAGAAATGTATGCTCACTCTCTCTCTTTCTCAGTTTTACTTATTTCAAATCGATGAGATATCCTCCACCACTACTGATGATGACGAAACGTCACCACGAACTGGAAATAGCCGTGTCCCTCGGACGACCGTGGGTTGGAGTGAAATGGTAAATAATAGGTAGCGGTTGAGAGATAGATCCGGCGAAAGCTCATGTCAATAGAGAAAGCCCACAACTCTGCACCACGGACGGAGGAGCAGAAGAAGACCTTGGGTCCACCACAATGCGAGGAGTACCCACCAACACCACTTATCTATAATGTGCACCCGGAGAATGGATAGTTAGTTAGTAGGAGGAACGAAGGAGAGTTTGTGCTCCTTCTTTCAGCAGAATCCGTCGTAGAATAAAAACGGAGATCTCTCGGACCCTCGACGGAAGAGCACGGGTTTAGTTTTGGGATGCCAGAGTGAGAGATGCTGCGAAGGAAGTTGCTTGGATTTAGGATACAAGGGTTCAAGGGGAAAGTTTCAACATATACGTAGCTCCAGTGCCTCCTCAGTGGTACAACCTTGGTCCTCTTATTATTACCAAGTGCAATGCAATGGTTATGCTTTTACGACCAAGCAGCAGCAGAGCCTTGTGCAAGCAGCGTCAACACAGCAGCTCTCCGGGCATTTCATTCCATTTCTTCTCCGGGTATTCTCCTACGGTGAGGGAATTGGAGGAAATGCGCAGGATGATGATGGGGGATGTAATATAAGCGAGTGAATTTGGACGTACTTTCTACGCGATGAAATTCATGCTTCTTGCATTATATTCTAAAACGACCCTCCTAGTATACACACACATGCATCAATCGGCCTTTCTTCTCTTACATAAGCACACGACTTAGAATGGACACCCGCACTGTACAAGGGTAGCGTTGGATTTGTTATAGTCAGAAATTCAGGCTCAGAATGTGCATATGAGCCATTATAAATGACCCACTCTTGTAGTTTTCTATTGCATATATGTACAAGAAGGAAGGACGATGTATCATCTTGGCTTGGTATCATCATAAAGGAATATAAAAACTGATGTGCACCCGACTTTTGTGGTGACAAGAAATAAATCAAAAGGTTCTTCTGGAATTAGAACGCTACAATGTATGAATTGGAATCATATTGAGGTCATGCCGCTCTAGAGTTGACAGGGTTGATTTATTATTTACGGACAATTGGAGTAGTACAAAAGTAGGCACGATAATATGTGTATAAAAGATACTAATGTTATGCATTTTCTGCAGTTGTTAGACAATCATGCGGAATGGATCCACCGGAATAGACAAAGTGAAAGTTACTTTAAAGACAACGAGCATAATACTTTATAAGGAATGAGGTGGATTAGGTGATTCTTAAACTATGGCTAAACTTGACCACATTTTTATAAGTCAAAGATATTAGAAACAGGCCGAAGAAGCCACCCACCCGAAGGAGAAAGATAATTTAAATTATTAGTACATACAATTCGTCTTTCTATATTTATGTCGTTAGGAGTCAGGCGACTTAGGCTTCTTGTTCATCCTTATCTTTGGCACCATGCTTAAGAATTCTTGTGAATTCTACGTAGTTGAAAGACCCATTCTTTATAGGGGCCTCACGGAACATTTCGTCCACCTAAAAAAGAAACAGGGTTACTTATATTTCAATTTTACAAAACATACATAATTCACCAATTAAATATTTCTGATGTTTTTGGACAACTTATATTGAATAATTAAACAATACAATTAGTATTGATTAGTTACCTCCTCATCCGTAAACCTGTCTCCCATCGTGGTGAGCAATTCTCGCAACTTTTCTTCGTTAACATGCCCCAAATTTTCCTCGTCAAAGCATCCAAATGCGTTTTTTATAACGTCCTCTGGATCTGTACCTTGAAGTCTTTCACCAAACAAGGTCAAGAACATTGTAAAATTGATTGGTCCCGGTGCTTCGTTCATCATTGCCTCGAGATAGTCATCAGTGGGATTCTTTCCTGTTAAATAGAAAAAAGCATGTAAAAAGTGTCCTGTACATTTTCAAAAATAAAACATGAACAATCACATCGTTACTATTAATTTAATACTAACCAAGTGAGGCCAACATGTCATGAAGGTCTTCCTTATCAATGAAACCATCCCTATTCTGGTCTATCATGTTAAATGCTTCTTTAAACTCTTGAATTAAAAAAAGAATATTAAATTGCAGAATTTTCTTACAACGGACGGAAATAACAGAATTTAACAGGATTTGTCTTACCTTGAATTTGAGCTTGGTCAAACATAGCGAAGACATTGGACGTGGCACGCTGGGCACGTTTCTAGGTGTGAAAAAAATTGAATAAGGTATGAATAAGTAAAGTGTACTTGTACTAACAATAATTTCTACAAATTTATATCATTGACATGCGTTTTTATAAAATCATCATATTGGCGAGTTAAGTCTACCTTGGTCACGCCGCGACGACCTGTTTTCCTTGCTGACATTTCTGTAAAATATAATTTTGTAGTCAGTACAATCGTTATTTACAAATGTCAAAAGAATCCTTTACAACATTTAATACTTTCCAAATTCATCTAGAACATGGTCAAAACAAAACTTACTGGCAGATGTTTTTTTGTGTTGCTGGAAGTCAACAGAAAATTTGTAAGGTGTTTTTTCACTCTGGAAATTGTAAACTTTGTGGGTGGGTCGAGTGACTGGACAATTGCTAGAAAAATAACAGATGACAATTACTAACGGATGGGAGTGAGTTGAATGAGTTAACAGGCAGGAAACGGATAAAGAAAGTATTTGTGTGGGGATCGGCTTCGAGCAGGAGCAGCAGGATGATGATCTCACAGATGGCCAACTTTTAGTCGCTGAGGGATTTTCTTATGGTGATACAGTGATAATATCCTCCTTATTCCAAATTACTGAGCTATTTCGTACCTTGTTTTGTACGCTTTCTATATGCAATTTGTGCTCCGAACTTGATGTCAACTTTTTGCAGAACTAGTATATGAGCAGTTAAACATCAAAGAATGTGATATGCTGGCATTGTTGTAAAATTTTTAGTATACTGTTGGAATTCAAAGTTTGGCTTGTGAATAATATGCATATTGTAAAAAATGGGCTGATACATTCCATCCGAGTCTGAATATACTACCAAACATGGTGTGCTTTAGCTATTTATGCAATAATGGCGAGTTGTCTGAATTTGGCTTTCAACTTTCATTTAGCCTTCTACGTACAATGATGACGTACTTACATGTATGTATGAATCTCCATTGTTTATTATATATGCATATCGCAACATATCGGGATATGGACTGAAATTTATTGCAACGGTTTATTTTATCGTTGATGCTGAATTATCGTTTGATTGTAGCAGATATGTTTAACTGAATTAGCAACAAAGTTATAATCATTATTGTTCAATGTGAGACAAAAAATATTTAAGGTAATTAAATGTGCGTGTTTTTATTGCCTTCCGGAGACAGAACTTAAAATGGTTTATATTTTTACCACATTATATGATTGCAATAAGGTAAATACTACTACTTGCCGATGTAAGTAGAAGAACGCAACGAGAACGACTAGAGGTTAGAATAAGGTCACGCATATTATGAACTTTGAGATTACGGAATAATATTCATTCTACAGGTAGCATGACGAATATACAGGATAAAATACACACTTAAATGTCACATGCTCGTGTTCGCTATTAATGTTCAAATGACTATAATGGACGAGTACTCAAAAATTCACTATCGAAGAAAACTATTGAAGCTGTTATGTCATCTCTAAATAAACGAACGCTGTCATCTGGTAGGGTTAACAGTTGGCTTAAACGTTGATGATCAAGCCCATGTTCTGTACCACCAAGTGCGTGTCTAATTAGATGTGTGGCCGAATTGGCATCAATAGGTTTAAGTTTGCTCGCCAAAATTCGAGACGTAAGTGTTCCATGTAAATTTCCGAGCGCTATGGGCCCTTTCTCAGGGAGATTAAAAGGTTTCAGAGCCTCTGAAATTGAAAACAAGTTTAATTTGAGACATTATAAAGACATATTATGAATATGTTTTAACTAGTTAATAAAATGATTTCAGCGAAACCTTTTCCATATGTATGCTCTCCAACAAGGTGAACAGCTTGAGAAGGTGAAAGTAAATCCCAGAGCCCATCGGTTGCCAAAATCATAAATTTATCACTCGCACGAAGCTTGTGGTAGAAAGTATCAGGCTTAGCGGTCAAGTAGGGTGGGGTTAGACTAGAAAGTATAACTGCTTGTTCCCCTAACATTGGTACCAAATAATCCTTGACGTCATTTGCAGTCCACTTGAACCTAGCAAAATAGTTTAAGCAAGTGTTGGTTTAACAATGTTTAGTTCTAAGTTATAATACGACATACATATTTGATTATGTATTTAATGAATGCAGTGTTACTTTTGAGTTACCTAACATCTCCAAAAGCTCTCAATGGAACTAATTGTCCAAATAGTCTATCGTTACGAATAATTGAATCTCTTTCGTTCTCCGGATGCTCGTTGACAAGACGGGTCACTTCTTTGGCATTATCAGCATTATGATCTTCAGTAAGGACATGGGCAACCCATGATTCATTTTCACTATCCCACGAACCTAGCACAATCCTAATAAATATGAAACCATAAATTAATTAGTCATCATCAAAACTATTTAGTTACTACATATCTTTGTGAGTGTAACTTGCCTACAGTCCCCACTACTGCCTACATGCAAATGTTCTTGATCTACATGTGCTATACAGCCAACAGATCCCGAAAGTGCTACTGACAATGTTTTCATATGTAAGCTATCCGGCTTGACTTTTCTAGAAGGATCCAATTTTTCTAATTTTGCTTCCTCTGAAATATTATCGTCCAATGTTACAAAAGATTCACATATTGCATCAGCCATTTTAAATTCTCGTGTCGAATTTGAGTGTAACTTGTGAAGGAATTTGTTGAAACTCTTTGAATAAAGCGTTGATAAATCTTGGACCTAAAATTTAGATTTATATACGATTTGTTTTTTATGTAGTAAGTAATGTTATTACATACCAATTCAAAATTATCGTTGTAAAATTGTAAAAGCGACACATCTTTGGAAGGCAAAGACCCAGGACTAGAAATCTCTTTAAGCATTTCGGCAGGTAACATAGTGGCTATAATTAAAAATGTACATTTTAGAATTGAAGTGAACTGAGACCAGTATTTTCTCACCTGCAATGTAATTCAACAACCGTTTCGCCACGACTTGAGCACAAGATGGGCCACCATGACCATCAAAAACACCAAACAACATTCCTGCATATATCCAATAGCCATGAATATAAAATAGTGTAAAATTTTGATACAATGCTTCATTAGGCTTATGTAGATAAATTGAATTACCAGTCGTATACAGAGCGCGTCCCTCTGCTCTAGCATCTTCGACCGGGTTATTGGACGAAAGTTGATTTGTGTCAAAGGATTTTACGGAATTGTAGTTAACCTCTTCGCTATACTCATTTTCCTGTAGCAAAGCTGTCGCCTAAGCACACCATCATAGACAGAAGAAATATATTATTTTCCAATCATAGAATTATATCCCACAATGCCATTATCTGGTTACCTCAGAGGGGGATATTTTAACATACTGTCTTCTGCTGCCAATTCCAGGAACAAGAAACAACCGAGACAACAGAGGAGCCCAGCTTGTTACAAGCAAGTTACAAGTTGCTTGTACAGGAATCTGGCCATATTTTCGTAAACAAACAGCCATCAATCCACCAACCACGAATAGGACCAGAATTTGCAACTTTCTCCCTTCCACCTTTGCCTATATGGGACAAAGAAAGTAAGAATCAAATTCAAGTTCAAAGTAACAAAGAATAAGATATAAGTTTAACCTAAAGTATGTAAAATTTAAAAAAATTAAAAAACTAATCAAAACGAAAATTAAAGAGAAGTAACTTGCAACTAAGCCAAATGAACCACAGGACTTACAAGTAAAATGGGTGATAACACGTTACGTTAATTATGCCAATAATTGTTATTATTGGATTTCGCCATTTCTTTAATTGATAATTAAATTTTTCCCGAAAACTTGAACATGAAAATGACCAAAGTGGAGTAGTAGGGTGGTGGTTGGCGCCGTGAGTTTGGCAACGGTGAGACACATTGGTCGCCGCTCTCTACTGACTCTAATAACTTGTAATACCTGTTCTGTATGATGTGAGACACGTCCATCTAGATAGTTAGATAACCCTTTATTAAATAAAATGTATAACTGTATTATGTACACTTTATAACTCAAACTGTCGCTAATATTGCAGAACATGATCACAAATATGCCAAACCCTTGAAAATAGTAGAATCGTTCCAAAATTTCACGCCGATAATCCGGATTCAGATTATTTTAAGTCAACTATAAGGTCCAATGCTGCAAAGAAAAGAAAGCTAAGAAAGTAAACAAGACAATTTACTTCATAATCTAAATCTTCAACAAATTTAGGATGCATCATACTGTATATGATTCATACTGTAGTAGCGTTCTACGAAATAACACGGGCTTGATTCACTATTCACCGTCCAAACAGTTTTCTCCTTCCCCGTTGCCTGAGCCGCCTCACCCGCCATCAACTACTCAATTACAAATCTCCACTTTTTCATCAACTTTGACAAATTTCCGTCAATTTTTTAAAATTTTGACAGCTCTCCCAGCCCCATGTCCCACATTTGCAAAGTGCTCAGTAGGGGGTTCCAAGTCCTGCCCAGGGTGACCAATACGTTGTGATTTGTCCGTGGCGGCGACCAAGTTGACCAGGTAAGAAGCTCCTTCGCTCCGTTTTTGTTTGTGATTATTTTGGATGCCTTGTGTGCATTGTTGTCACATTCGCGTCATATGATCTCGAATTGACAAATTATGCATATGATTGAGTGATCTTTAACCTTGGTGTGATCTTTATGTTGCGTTAGGCTTTATTGACACAAATTATGTACTAAATAAATGTTTATATTGTGGTTCTGTGCAGACACACTGCAGCAATTTATTGGATTTGGAATGCCAAAAATGATGATCAACTTTGGAAATAGAGATTAAAGATAAATATGACGGAAATTTGTATAACAATGACACAATTATCACACCTTCGGTTAAGTGAGGGGATGAAGACACTCGTTGAAATAGACTAAATAATTTAGAAAATAAGACAGTCCACATCGCATTTTTTAAACATACCTGTACGAAGAAAGAGAATTGGAAATCTGAAGAAAAATCTATAAGGCTGTACAATTAATTAGGAACTGAACAAGAACAAATTGTATCACATCATCGAATCTTTAAGTCTCAAAGTGGTATTGTACTGAATTTTGGACGGACACGCCACTGATTAGTAAAAATATACAATAAGTGCGTATGTATAGCGATTAATCACAGATCTTGTCCATTCTTGAAAAGAACTCTTGAACCGCCCCCCTTCCATGAACATCTCTACCTGGTCATGATGGATAAGGAGGCCGTACCTGTTGTTAATGAAACTCAAAACAATAATAACCACCATCACAACAACAGTTACTTGGAGGATACCAAGGATGACGATGAAGCGGCGAAATGTTCCTCAAACAATGACATTGTTTCCGACGGAGATACGGAAGTAAACAATATCAACAACAAAGATATTTCTGAAACGGAGCAAACCAATAATGACACCTCACCCTTCCCTCCCTGCAAAATTGCGAGAAGGTCGAAAGACTCCAATCGAAAGTCGGCCTCTTCCCCCAGAATGAAAACTTCCACCCCAAACAGTATGGCCGGAACTCCCGCAGGTTCTTCTTCAGAAAGGGAGCCTAATTCTTCACCAGCATCGATCGATAACCCACCAACAAATGGCTCTATAAATGTAAGTTTTCGGAATGTCACAAGTTTCATCCATTCCTCAAGGCTTATTAAATATTTAAATTTTGTCGCTATTTGGTTCATATGCTTATCACTTAATGTTGCATTTATCTATGTAGAATGACACATTTGGAGATGGAGAAAGAAGCGACAAGACAGAATCTGGCGACAGTCATTCGATTAGCAGCAGCACATTTCAGACGACAAATGGGCCGCATAATCATATGACTCCAACCTTTACCAAAAGAAGCGTAACCCTTCAAATGTTACTCGAAGCTGGAATACTCAAACAAGGTAACAATTCTTAATTTATTTATAATGAAATACCAGAATTGGAATTGCGGCAAACTTTTTAACAAAACTATGTTGATCCTAGGGGAAGGCACAATGAGTTTGGAGTACCATGTAAGTCTCAGTGTTCAAAATATGTTTGTAATATAAACACGACGTTTAATTTGTGGTTACTAATGACAGGGACAAAAATTTATTGGAGATCTTTCGGAAAACGGTCAAATCAGATCCCAAGAAACGTCTCTACAATATTCCTCACCATCTGCATGGGCAATTGCATGCAAGCAGATTATTAATCCTGATAAGATTCTACGCAAATCTGGTTGTGGATGGGCATCTATTAAATATAAAGGTATGCCACAAGGTTATATTTTATCCTTCATGTTCACATGAACTTACTCTAATCTTTTTTTTTAATTCTCTAGGTTTGAAGCTCGACTACTATAAAACTGTCTGGTTCAAACGTCTTCGAGAAGGCGCCATAGACATTAGACACATTTCCAACGGTGCATCGTCTACGTCGGATGATGGGTCCGATGATGAAGATCACTCTGCATTCTGTGTTTTAAAATTTGGCGAACACTTGGACAACAACCCTATCTTGCAATCCGCACAACAACTAGGAGCTAAAGTACAATTTCCTGGATGTTTAACCTGATTAACAAGTTTTTATAAATTTTCACATTATTAATGTTCAATATTCATTCTCATTTAACAGGTAATGATAAGCTGCTCCAGATTTCAAGAAATAGATAGATTGCAACCATTTTATGTAAAAATCACGTCAGAAGTAAGAGTTTAATATGTTTCATTCATGCATTGTGTAAACTTCCCAATAACATTTTTTCTTGTATCTTAAACTATATTTTACAGGCTCTTGCACTGGCAGACTTTCATTGTAACATAACCGGTAAGTCCTTCACGGGCTAATTTGTATTACAATTATTGCAATTTAGCATTTTATCTTGTGATAATCGTTCATTTTTTTCTAATAGGTACAGAATCTCTAGGATATATCTCCGGACGTTGGAATAGCGATGAAAACAGTAAATATCAGATAGTAGACTACTTTTTTTGACTTGTTGATAGATTTTACATTCGTTGGTGTTGCACAGGTTTAAGCATGGAGATAGCTCATCCTTGCAAAGTCCTCATGCCCAACTCATCCTCAATAGACTGCGATATTGAAAGAAACAGGATTGCATTGGAAATTCAACGACTCGGTCATGACGTCGTTGGATGGTAAGTTAAAATTCATTCAGTTTAATCAAATAAATATTCAAATAAATAATAGTATGCCATTAACTTTTTGATTATAGGTATCATAGGTAAGGATATGGTGGCAAGGCCTTTGTTCAATTTAAATAAACACCCAACATGGCCTATGTTGGGTTCTAGTCAAATCGTCATTAGTATTACTACTATTAGTACATAGTTATTGTGTTTCTTTAATTAATTGATACTTGATATTTTATATATTGTACTTTTAGTCACCCTAAGGCTCCTCCTCAACCTTCCAAGGATGATATTTCTCGTCAGTTAGATTATCAAATAGTAATGAAAGGGGCTTCCGAGTCGTCCTACATTCCATGTGTCGGGTTAGTATTCAACTATTTATGAAGCATTTATGAAAAAAATATTCAAACATTGTATTTATATTTATATTTTATTTGTCATGTATCATCTGATTAACAGAGTCATTATTTGTAAGTGTCTGATTTAAATCATCTTAAACCACAATAACTTTCAAATACTTATATTGTTGAACTTCTGTACTGTTGTAGCTCCACTGTGCTACTCAAACCAAGAGGATCTGACAACTTCTCCAGTTCAGTTCTTCTGGGTTATGCCGCCTCCAGAAAACCGTCCATTGGATATAGGAAGACCGATGAATATAGAATATGACACTTACTCTCCTACCAATGTGAACTTGAAACAATTGCTTGAAGAAATGGTACAGTTTATTACTTTTAAAAGTTCACCCGTGATAAATTTGTGTCCATATTTTTGTAAGCTGATTTATTTATCCAACTTTTATTATAGGCATCGCTCATACAGTTTTATAAAGAAAAAAAAGATCTTGTAGATATTAACGATTTAACCAGCGGAAGATATGAAAAGTTACAGGTATGTCTGAATCACATTAATTAAATTGTAAATTATATAATTGTTTTGGAATTTAAATTCACGTGCTTAATTGATTTTGTAGGAGTCTTTCTCTTCTATTATATCCGAAACGAGGATGAATGTCGACTTTTGGGACGAAGTCAAACTGTTATTTAACGCACCAATTTTATCAGTTGCGTGTGCTAGCTCTGCAGGATCCTCAAATGTATCGACATCATCAGTATCATCTACTTCTGCGGCTTTAAATTCAGTATCAACACCAAACTCTGTGGTGTCCAATTCCACACCACCAGTGGCTTCTACGCCAGTTGACGAAACCCCATCGACTGAGCATAATAATCACGACGCTCCACCTTAACGTCTGAAATTCTGCAACTATTAACTCGATAGGCTTTAAATTAAACTGACATCACTTTAGTTACATAATAACTCCGCTCTCGTCTCTGTTGTTGTCACGTTAGAGAAACATAACACAAAGTTGTAGATATGTACACCTTGTTTCAATTGGTCTCATATGAACGATTGCTCGGTCGTCGTTTTTGTAGTAATTTTTCTACGCTCGATCTGAAATGAATGGATGAAAGACTTCCAACAATTGATATTTTCCTGTCGTACAAAGAGTCTCTGTTTAAGATAGACGTCCAATGTTTTGTAAAATATAAATAGGTGTCGTCAAAGTTTTTTTTCTGTTCGTATATACATACGTTATAAACTCAAACGACTTCAAATATAGAATGGCAGTAACTTCAAAATACGCATTGCCGGTTGGGGGATGATTGAAGGAAAAGTTTAAAGTTTTGACGACTTCGTCTCCGTCCCCCCAGCTGGAAATTTTTGTTCTGAAGCTACTGTTATTCTATGTTCGAAATAGTTTGTAATAATAAGTATTTACTAAACAAAATCGCGGCTACATTTATAATAACTGAAATTACGACCCCTCGTATTCGATAAAAACACACTGCTTTTAATATAAAGCTGAACAACTAATTGCCATTGAAAAAATAGTAAGATTTACTCAACAGTATTTATGATAGTATGAAATGATGAACTCTCGGCAGTTACATGGTAGTATGTCTATCAGTAAACATTAATTAATTAATTTTAGGATTGAAACAGAGTGCTATTGGTACTTTTAACCTTGTCAAGGTTCAGCTACCTTGTCAAATGAAAGTTGGCTGGATTTTTTTGTATGTATTTTCACCATGCATTTCATAACTTTTTTAGTTAACCTTTATATAACACAAGCAGCAGGGGATACAACATACAATGTACTTAATTTAACATTACAACTGTAATAATTATGGAGACGGAACTGGTTTTGAAAAGCAGCGATTTTGCATAATATTTAAAATTAGAAATTGTGTTTGTAATATTGTATTTACGCTAACAATTTACACAAAGTACAAGCCAGAAATGTTTTATATACGATATGAAAATGCAGACTATAATTACTCTCTAACTGATCATGCACCATCGGAATTCTAACTTGTTTTTGTTTTGTTTTTGCAATCTCTGCTACTAGTAAATAAGTTATACGATTATACATATATGTATATACAGAAAACATTACCAAATGCATTTAGGGAGTACCTTTTTTGAAGCTTTTCTTGGCATTTAGATAAAATTAGAATAGCATATCCAGTGTCAAAAGCATAATGTATTATTATGTATGTACTCTTTGATACTGACCTATGTTAATTGTACGCAACATAAAATATTAGAAATAATAAATATTGCTAGTATTGTACCAAACTAGTGGAAACCTTTTGTATTGATATTTTTATGTAGACGAATAGACTTATTTTTAGACAGGATGATCTGTGTCTTCTGCAAAGTCCAATTTGATTAAATAAACCCAAAAGTTTAAGGTTAATAATAAATCGCTATTAATTTGGCTGGTTTTATTGTACGAGTTGCATCTAAAAATCCACATTGCATAAAAAAATAGTCCTTTTATTGCATAACTGTATGCAGTGCAAGTGCATAGTATGCACTCCGCTACCCTGAGAAGTCGTTCCAAACATGTTTGGCATCCCGTTGCCCGAGTAACGTCCAACATCAGTCGCATCACTCTTCTCAACTTTTCCGGGTTGTTTTCAGACTATTCAAAATTATTTAGATTCATTTAGGTCAATTAATATTTTTTAAAGTTTAATACTTTTTCGGTACTTGCATTGCATAGAAAACCGTTTACACCACGCCATTGAAATATGACAACGTCATATTCTGAGAATATCCGGGTGAGATACGTATCTCAAGGATGCTCGAAAGCAACATTTTTCAACACTGTAATTTGCATAATTTCTGTGATTCTCCCATATTTACTCTGCTACAGAAGTCAAGGTTAGTAAAAAAAAATGTATATAAAGTCTAGCAGAAACTCTTTGTATCATGGATGGGTTGATTTGAACACGCAGGGTTTTGGATTAAGCTCGAAAGATTTCGAGAACAACCGGAAATTTTGTGGAAGCATGAAATTCTTCTTATTTTGGATGCCAAAGATCAAAATGGAAAATCGGAAAGTCTGATTTGGACCACTTTTCCAGGTAAGTTAAAAAAAGTTACGTAAATCTTAATACTCAACTTTCACCCCGAATTTCCAGGATTAAAGAGCATGTTATTGGGAAATGAGTTGACGCCATTTGTAACTGTGAGAGTGATAATTAATATAAATTATGAAGAATTGTTTTAATTGTATTTCTGTGCTTCAGTCCAGGGAAGCAGATTCAAACTTTGACAATGTCCGAGATTTCTTGGAATTTACAATTACGATACCCATCTCGACCAATATTTCCGTCTATGGCATCGAACTGATACTTCTCTTTGAATACAAGCTTCATGTATGGATGCTAATTTAAATTTATTCTAAATTATATTGCCCCAAAAATATCTAAATTTCATATAAATGTGATTTATTAAACATATTTATTAAACATATAGAGCTATGCAATGATGGAAATGGAATCAATGGTTTTTGTCAGTAAGAAATTTGGCACGGTTGGAAATGCGTACGAGTTTGTAGGTGACATGGGTATGTAAAAATGTCTTTATAAATTGCACACAATAGCCGACAACATTGATTATTACGGGTATTAATTTTAATAAAATTTTGATTTTTGCACGACAAAAGGTCTCGTACAGAAGGAACCCTTATGGAACAGGTACATCGATCATCGATATAATTTCCCTGTGGTGCCAAGAGACAGTTCGAGACTTGAAGATTATATGCTCACCAATATCATGCATGCATATGCACATAGAAATGGTATGCATGTGCATATTTGTACTTAAATTAATACTTTTATCAAATTCAGTGCGTCTCGCATATTTACTTTCTTATACATCAATTTTTTCTAGTAAGCACAGTTCTGAAGAATAATTACGACTTGTGGTTGACGTCTCCTCACATCTCCAGCGAATTTTCCATCAAAGGTAAGCATTGTCATAATTATTGAACTTTCGTAAAATCCTGAGAATAGTAACCGCAGAAAATTGCATGGGTATGTAAATAAATGCGTATGTACATACGTACTTCTACTTTCTAACATACTAAAATAATAGAAAATAAGACCTATGTTCTTCCTGCAAAAATTGAAGAAGGGAAAAACTCGCATTGTCAGATTTAGAATTTCTCTTATATATTCATAATAATTTTCTGCAGTTATTATATAAATATTACCAAGATTTTATGAGAGTATACTAAATTACAATTTTGCAGGGAGGATAAATTATATTCAGGAAACGTACGAGTGTTGGGCTGGATTGTGGGAAACTCTGAAGTGGGCGTGGGTTCAATACTTTGCCGTGTTCATTATCACGTATATGATTCTTAAAAAGTTTCAGGGGACTGTTCACAAGGCTAAAATTTTTGACACTTATTTGGTCGTTCCTTGGGAGAAACGGCTAGGAACACAACCGACGTTTTAATTTATATTGTTTTGGTATCAGATATTTTTTGATTATTACAAATAAATTAGGTTACGCGTGTTTTGTATAGTGATAAGGTGGTGGTATCTGGTTAATTAATACCTTTGTATTTATATTTCTACTTTTGTATATAGTATAAACATGATTAATTCCATTCATAAAGTCTTTTTAAAAATGAACATTAATTCTTCTTGGAGGATAATCAACATCGACTAGAACATAACTGTACTCGTATTTGCCACTTTCATTCTGAAAATTAATAAAAACCAGTCATATGCATTAGTAAGTTCTACGTACCAAAATCTCGTCATACGTACCTTTTTCTTCTCCAAATTTACAGTGGCCTTGCCGAAAGGTCCTTCAATATAAAATTTCATCCTCAGGTATTTAATATTCCCTTGATTAAATTCCACGTGACTAAAAACCCCCAAAAACATTTTTTAATGAAATATTGTAACGCATATTCACATAAAAACACTAACTTACGACACATGACGCCTCCAGCCTCTCCTTGACTCCTCTCCATAACATTTGATCGCTGGTTTAAAAAAAAATCGAGTTAATTGGCATCCAACATCCAACAGTACAGTTATATCATGGACGTGGTATCATGAATTTGTTAATTGCCATATAAAACACATACGTGTGCCTAGGGCGTCTTGCACTTCAGTCGACAATTTGCACAGTTTGAAGGCATGTGTATAAATATTGTTGGGACTGTCACCGGAGAAAAGCTCGCTCAGGACGACGTACAAAAGTCCACCCGTAACCACCAGTCCTGCAACGACGACCAGTCCATATCCTCCAGTTTTTGCATTCTCCTTTACTAAGGAATAAGATGGAAATAAAGAATGTCAAATGTTAGAATAATGAGATAACGCAAACAATAAACCGTTTAAATAACTAAACCATTGCAAATTGGTAAAATAAAACCTTTTTCGCCCAGAGACAGCGTTATTGCGCCGTCCTGCTTGCTTTCTGTTAATGATTTCTCTCTCGACTTTTGTTGAGCTGCGTAATATCTGCAATCTACTCGTTGCAAAATTCTGCTGAAACTATTAATATTATTCGACCCATTAAACGAAAGTGACCTAAAACTGTACAACGTTTGTGTTCTCCAAGCGCTATGAAGAAGAGGAGGTGATCTGAAAACGATTGTGGAAATTGTGTTGTACATTCTTCAAATTTTTGACGAACGAGTGAAACTAAATCACAGAAAGATGCAAAATTCTGTAAAGAAAGTGAGCCGCCGGTAGGAATAGTGAGACGAATTCACAACAAAGTCAATGTGCAAATAACACATGAACGAGTGAAAGTGAGACTGATTGTGAGATGAAGCAGCTGCTCATCATTTTCATAACAAAAGCAACAGTCTTCAACTTCAAACTTTTGTCTCATCATGGCAAGAATAATTATTCAGAATTAATCACAATTATAAAATAAATTATACTAGAGGTGCATTATGCCCATCAGTTTGTTCGGTCGTAGTGTGAATGACTCGAGGTGAGGTGAGATTACATAGTTTATATAGTTTAGAATTAGCGTATTTTGTCATCCCTATTTTCTCCAGTATATAGTCGTCAGTGAATCATCACATTAAATGACTAACCAGTGAAATTAGCTTAATAATCCACCCATCCAAATACTGTCTTACGGCTGCTGGATTTTGAAAGTTTCTAACACTATTAATTCAACGAGTGAGTGAAAGCAGTTGTAATATAGCGGACTGGTACTTTCTCCACCGAACTTTTGTCTTCATTTCGTGAGTTGAAATAGTTGGTAGGATGTGGTGAAAGTAGCGTATATATTTTAATATTCATTACCCATTTCGCTATAAATTATATATTACGCATACATACACGTTGTGCTGGTTGGGCCACGTATTTATAAATTTTCACAGAAGAAAGGCATAATACATGCCTTCCATGGTCAAGTTTGCCTTGCAACAAAGCCAGCAACATTGTGGTTTCATGGGGGAAAGAAATCGATACCTCTGAGACTCGGTTTTTGTTGTTGACATCCGTCCCACTCGGCCTACGCTGACCTTGGTCCTTGGTTGCGTGATCCGAAGCCTTTATTTTTATCGCTCTCTCTCTCTCCTTCCTGTTGCCTCCCTGCCTGGAACAATTCTGCGTCCCTCCCTCCGCCCTCATTTAATATGTGTCGTGCAGAATGAACAAAGTCCAGCAACAGCTGCAGTGATTATTGATACTTGTCGTTCTTTGTGACTTCTTGGGTCACTTCGAAAGCAATTTCCATCCGAGCGAGGTTGGGATATGGACGTGAATATACCCAACAACATGGAGCCTGCTTCAACAATGGAGATGCTACTTTCTCTAATTTCTGGGATTGCCTCTCTTGCTATGATCTTCGGTGGGGTTGTAAGTATTAAATTATTATACTTGGTGAATGAATTAAACAATGGGGCTTTGTATAGTTACTAATAAAAGTCATTGTCTCCGCAGGTGCCATACATTCCGCAGTACGTGAGGAATTATTTTACTGTATTTTCAGATAGAAAGCATGAAAATGATTACCCAATTAATTACTAATTTCAATGATCCTCAGGTACAATGAGATCCGCAGGTCCGGAAATGCGGTGAGGTTCAATTAAAAAAACTAAAATATATTAAGCTGTGCATAGGTCACATAAGTCGAAAGCACAATTAAATTGTTGTATACTTGTATATATGAATTAGTTTAAATTTAACAAATTTAGGAAGGATTTTCTCTTTACGTCTGCCTCGCCCTTCTCAGCGCAAACATTCTCAGAATTCTTTTCTGGTAATTACTTTCATCTTGAATGTTACTGATTACGTATTATGCATATCTTTCTCATTGTCCTTCCTGTCCTATCTCAGGTTCGGGAAGCCATTTGAGTCGCCCCTTCTCATTCAAAGTGTTCTAATGTAAGTGTTTTCTTTGATTAATTTTTATAGAAATTTAAAGCAAATAAATACGAAATTATATTAAGAGTAACCGTTTTGTGGAATACTTTAGGAACATTGCGATGATGTGTATGATCAAACTATGCATTCAGGTGAAATCAATATTTATTGGTTACGCAAAAGATTTGTATACGAATATTTGGACCTAAACGACACCTTAAATAATTTTACTTTCAGGTGAAAGCAAAATCAGACATTATCAAGAAGAAGGATAAAACACTGCGAGGTATATTTTTATTTTTTATAATTACTTTCAAATTAGTCGACTCTTATTTATGTTGCATGCATTGTTAGTTTATTGTTGCATGTTCTAGTTTCCTTGCATGTCTTCTTGATATACACATATGTACTTATGTTGCTTTATACGACTCGTTTAAAATGAAAATTTTTCTCATTACATTTTTCTCATTATGGAACCTGTATTATAAGTATTCGTTGATGCCACATTTGCTATGATTTTCCTGGTTGTCTCGCTTTTCACATGATGTGTTTTCTTTTGCTGATGAAGAACAAATTAAAATGACGAGTTTTTACGTCATAGGATCTGAATCTGAATCTGACGAGAAAGCACTTCTCCCAAGACGTAATTTCTGGGGTAAGGGCAATTTTGGAAGTGTATGATTTTATAGTCATATATTGTGCGGTCAGGTCATATCTCGTGTCCCACTGTAATTATTAATAATAATCCTATCAAAGTATCAAGTACTCCTATCAAACTGTTTCTCGTTCTTTGTTCTCACCTACATCAGGCATGTGCCTATAACTATAATGCGGTACCTACTTGTGTAGGTCATGTCCGTTTATATAAAGAAGGGTAGCATCAAAAATATCTAAGATTGTTTGGTGGATGGTAATGGTATGGTGATGGTGTGTGATGTCATTGTGTAGCGTCCTTATCACTGTGTTACTGTGTTTTTATGTGATCGACATATGTATATAACATTGCTTATTGTTTTTAAATAGACTTTGACAAGGATTATTTTTGGGACTGGACGGACTTCCAATCCTATATCGAGTGCACCCTCTGCTTTAGCATTGCCGGAGGTATGCTGATGTACATGTTTGCCAACAACATTTTGTTTGTGGAGACTGTTGGATTTCTGGCTGTATTTGTGGAAGCATGTCTTGGCGTCCCTCAATTCATGAAGAACTACAAAAATGGATCTACTCGTGGCATGAAGTAAATTCCCCTTAGCTTAATATCGATATTAGTATACGGTTATAATGATTGTTAACCAATTTTTATTTATTTTTAGCTTGACGATGGTAAAAGGAATTACTGTAGTATAAATTATTCATCATAGACTCGTGTGTGAATTTCTAATTATACATGTGCCATTTATTAGGTTCTCATGTGGTTGTGCGGAGATGTATTCAAAACAACCTACTTTGTCCTACGAGCGGCTCCAGTCCAATTTACCATTTGTGGTTGTCTACAGATCGGTGTGTTAAATAAACATAGCTACAGCACAATACATTTTTATAGCTTGACTTACTGAATAATTCTCTTTATTTGATGTAACTTTTTCAGGGGTGGATTTAGCCATTTTGTCGCAAGTGTGGGTGTACAGCAGTGGCTATGGTTCTCCTCCTCCAAGAGTTCATGTTCATTCTTAAGTGAAATATTCTGCATCCAATAACAAATCTCTAAGGCACCCAGATAACAATTCGCTCTGAATTCTCTTATGTTTCGATATTATATTCGCTTTCATATCGATATCGAATTCGCCTCGAATTTCCAACTTTCGAGATAAATTCGAGGAGATATCGAAGGGAAATGTCCGCCGATTCGACAGCGAAAGAGAATCGTAAATCGATTTCGCCGGTAAGTCTCCACGATTTCGTCTTGAATTCGATGAGCATGTAGGAGTTCATAACGATTTCTAAACGAATTCGACGCGACTGCTCCACGAATTTTATGCGACTTCTATGCGAATTCACTGCGAATTAAGTAATAAATCGATACGATTTCTCGTTTATTTCGAAGTTACATAATTCCGTTTATAGTTTATTTTACTTCTTCTAAATATTATGCAATATAAATAACTTTTTATTAAAATAAATATAAGTTGAATAATCAGATGAACCGGGTAGTGAAATTGGCCGCGAAGTCAAGTCACTTCCTATTGAAAATATACTAATGTTATTTTTAAAATCTTTTGCAACAGTTATTAGCGATAGTATAAGTACCTCATACGCTTCCCAACTCTATCTGCGACTTTCTTAAGGGATTTTTGAATTTCCTCGTCAACTGTGCCCTCGTCTGGATAATTTGGAGTCCTAGGGTGAGCTGCTACCGCATCTGAGATTAACATATTTTTTAATGTTTTAGATTGTTGTTTAATTAGATGCTAAAATACCTTTAATGAGTTGTCTTAACCCCTTAACTTTCACTAAAGAGTTCTTTCCCTTTTCTCCGTAAAGACTATACTTAGCTTGCAAATCATCGGTCATCAGCTTCTTGAGAATGCTCTCGACCACGGTAGCCACCTCAGATCCACCAGCAGATTTCAATTTTTCAATCTTGGACTAATTTTGGATACTATGTCTTATATCAAAAGTATCAATTTCACCTTCACTCTCTGAGCTAATTGTTTCAATTGAACTTACTTCACTCGTGTTACTTCCGACTTCAATTTCTTCCAGATCTTCCTCGAACACTTGTTCTGAATAAATGTTTTCCCCTTCGGCCTGGACTAGGTCACTATTTAAATTTTCCTCGAAAATTTCACTTGGTTTTTTTACAAGTCTTCTTTTGTGGCGAGCACTCAACTGAAAAAGTCGTCTCCTTCCCATGAGGAAAGATTTGAATGTGGCAGCTAAAATTACTTTAAAATACAATACCAGCGTGAAAGAGAGAAATCACAGTGAATTCTCTAAGAATTATTTACGAATTCGAGATTCAAGGCGAACAGTTTATAGTCTTCTATTCCTGTAAGAAGAATTCCTATCGAAATCGGGGAGAATTCCTCACTACAATAACAGCGAATTCGTTTAGGAATGCATAGTGAAGTCGTTTCGAATTCGATAGAAGAATTCTCTGAGAATTCGAGTCTAATACCCGATTCCAAGTGGTAACTTTACCACAGAAGGAGGAAGAAGACGTGGTAGAGAGCTATTCCTCCTCTTCTTTTGCTTTTGTATATAATGTCATTCATTACGAATTCTGAAATGAGCGTAATATCGAATTTAAATACGAATAATTACCGAATTCGATGCGAATTCGATACGAGAATAATAACGAAATCTGAGGGAATTCGAGTTCTCAGTTTTTACGCGATATTCTCTGCGAATTCTCTAAGCGAATTCATAGCGACCTGTTATCTGGGCATGCACATAGTGTTGAAATTGTACTAATTCACGCAATTTAATTAGTGATTAATGATAGTGATCCTGCCTGCCATATTGAATCACTCAACTTAAACATATGACATTCCTTTTGGTTCCCTTCCACAACTTGGATAAATATTAAGTAATATTTTAATGATTGACGAGAAAATGACAACGAAACTTAAACATTATCACTTAAATATCTACCTACCTATATACTTTTGCCAAACTTATGGGCTTGTACATTAAATATAATTTATTTTGACTCTACAGCAATGCAATAAAAAATATTAAGTCATTCACCTTCTAAATGTATACACATGTATGCTATCTAGAATTAATGTTACTGATCTAAACTGTATAATCAACATATTACAACTTACTTTACATATTAATAATGAGCTTTACTTGTGTTTTCGGTAAATATCAGTTGTGGTCTGTGATAATAACATTGTATCAAACAGTTACTTAAGTATTAATTACCATGTTTTTTTTTATATGTATAATACATCTGTTAGTCTTATTTTAATTTACTAGTTTATCCAGTCAAGTAATTATTTATGCATGGACTATTTGTTGTTCATTTGACTGATCTCTGCATTGAGCTCACTTAATTGCATGCAGAATTTTACATAGTTACCAAGGATTTTGCACGTACGGCATTTCTGTAATTTATTATATTCCGTGCCTCTTTGACTTTTTAAAGTAAAATAAATGATCAAGTAATTATGCGCAAAATATAGTCAACTTCAAATAATTTAAGTATTAAATTATTTAAAATGACATCTTCTGACATAAATGGCGAGTTTCTAGCTACCTTCTTATCCCAGGTGTTTTTAATTTTTGGTGGTGTGGTAAGTTCCTTAAAATACCAGCATCATGAAAAAATTATTTATTACAATGCATGCAATTCCTTTAGCTACCTTATATCCCCCAATATTTGGACATTGCAAGAGGAGATGCTAGCGGATTTTCAACACTAGTTTGCCTTGTCCTTGTCCTGGCAAATACACTGCGGATAGTTTACTGGTAACGATTTGCAATGATTTGGTTCACATCATTTTTCTCTGGGATGTACATAAAAGAACATAATTTTGTAATTCTAGGTTCGGACATTCTTTTGACGACGCCTTGCTTGTCCAAAGTGTTATAATGTTGCTGACCATGTTTATCATGTTGGACCTGTGTGTCAGAGTGGAACGATTAAGAAGAAGATCTTTATCGCTTCCCATAACGGAAAGAGTTTTCACGGGTATCTACTCTGATTTGACGTTACATAATGCGAAACAAAAATTGACAATTTGCATGAACTACAATGTCATTATGATTTTCTTAAGATTTCAAGTTGGAAGACTTTTGGGCGTGGACAAATCTCGCCTCTTACATTCAAGTGACCATCTTGATTGCCACGATTGCTTCCGCCACAATTTTTATATTTCTCGACAATTCAATCGTCGTAGAAGGTATCGGATATGCTGCACTGCTCACAGAATCATGCCTGGCACTCCCACAGTTTCTCAAAAATCAAAGAAATCGATCCACCCAAGGAATGAAGTACATAGAATTTCATAGATATGTACAATTAAACGATTTTATTCTATTACAATTTTTGCTTCTACTACTTACATAGCGTGCTGATGGTACTCATGTGGGCGCTGGGTATAAGATAATAAATTCATAAAATGACCGGAAAATACTACGAGTAGTCTTATTAAATTCAAAATTTTAAATTTTTAGGTGATGCTTTCAAAGAATTTTTTTATGTGTGGAAAAATCAACCTCTACCGTTTATCCTTTGTGCAAGTATTCAGCTCCTTATGGACTTTCTGATCCTCATCCAAGTCGTGATCTTCCAATGAAGAAAACTTCTGAACGCTAAATATGTATATAAAATCTCTTTTAGGCAAACGAAATTAGTTTAAATATTTGTAAAAATAAAATTCAGGATCTCATAATGTCTGAACTATAATTAATTGATGTGGTGTATATAAGTTATGAATTCCTTATATTTACATAGTATTTCAGCCAACTGAATATTAAATGGAAATATTAAACGTATGCGTGACCAATGCAATAATCTTGAGAGTACTCGGAAGTAATGGTGATTTTCTCAATAACGATGATTCTCTCAATTGAAAATTCTGATTCAGAATTTACTTTCGCATAACCGTGTCCCTACTGTACACGCTCCTTTTTTTATTGCTTATTATGAATAATGTTCATAGTTCATGACTCCCATCATATTTTTTTTTACAAATCTCTAATTTGAAGCCAAAACTTCTAGTCCAAATCTCACTGTAGTCGTATTTAAATACATGCCAAAAACTTGTGCTGTTAGTTAGTGTCTAGTATGTATCACACCGATTGATGCGATGATGACACGTTTTAGCCAATTTCATAGAAGTTTGAAATACTAGGTTTTTCCATCCCACGAACCACTCACTCTAAACTGGTTTGGCATTTTTATTCAACAAAACACTGCCTGTAGCAGGGTCATTATTTCTCGATAATAAAAAACTGCATACACATTTGGGACGACATAATCTCCCTATGGATATTAATTGACGCTACATTATCATTATGTATCACATGCAACAAAAAGAAAACCTTTTTCTAGTTTATAATGGGTATTATGATTTTAATACTTTGCTGAAAAATTCTAGTTTTTTTGCAAAGTATTTAAGTTGGCCAAATTCAATAATATGTATGTATAGCAGATACGATAAAGACCTCTTCAACTTGCTATTAAGATGTTTGTACATATTATATTCACCACTCACTCTTATATGGAAATGTAAAGTGGATTTGTACTGCAGGTAAAAAATGTTAGCAAAAGAAACATGAAAAGTTGCGAAAGTATTTTGCATACGAAAGTGTACATTGCGTTGAGATGCGGAATAATGGACAGGTATTAATTTTTTCAATCATTAAGCTCATCCGTCACCTTCAACTCCAATCCACGCTATGTTTTCTATTACGTTTTCTATTAAAATTTCGCCTGTTCTAATAAATAAAAGTACGGTCGGTGAACAGGTAAACAAAAAGAAAGAACTTGCTTCAATGCAAACTTGCTCTTGTCCTGCCTGTAACTACGTACATCTGCCCTGGTTATGTTTTTTACTAATCCTAAGATGTGTATTCCATCAATCCATCCAAATTCAATGATGCATTATGCACTACTTGTTTCAGTTCTAACAAGTGCTAGAACCAAGTCACGGTCGTTGTGCTTGCTGTTTGTGAGTTTTCTAAAAGTTTCTTTTAGAGCATTTTAGAGCATTTTAGTGTCAATCGAGGGCTGATCTTGCAAACAAGTGTGCAGAATTTCATTGTGTTGCGACATCAAACCACATCAATCGCGTCTGGAAGACAAAAGTCGAGTGATCGAGTTAGAAACTCAAAACGCTGCTGAAGGATTGCCATAAAGGATTTTCATCGACGCACAGCTTGATTTATTAAGCTCAAAGTTCATATCAGTGTAGCATTTTTGCCGTGATTTTAAACCTGGTGTAAATGCACTCTGGTACTGCATTTTGGAGCGAAAAAAGCCATCTAATAAGCTTCTCACCACAGATTACTACAAACATATATATCTTCTACGGTACGGTTGACGATATCTTCTATATGTATTATGTACGTAAGAATTTTTTAAGCAGGCTAAATTTTTACTAGACCCAAAAAACAAAGTATATTTCACTTTTATAAATCAATAAAGGAATCAATAAAGGAATAAAGGATCAGGAAACATAAGTGAAGGTGGAGGCTAAACGAACGTGGGTGTAATTTATTTCAATGTTTTTTTATTTTAGATATGTCAATGACCAATGACATATGTAATGACACATCAAACATCATAGATATTCCTAAATTATAATTCGACGTAAACATTTTGAAACTAATTGTTTCAGAATACTGCTAATTATTCAATTAGCAGATTATAGAGGCATTACTGGTTCAAGATTAGGACGCCGGCAGGTGAGATGAGAACCACTTGCTTGGATATATCTCTGTAAAATGCAAATAGTGTTCTACTTATTTAAACCAGATCCAGTTTATGGTAGTGACGCTCGTAAGTAGAGAAATGACTGTCTGATTGATTAAAAACCTTACTTGTAAGGGCAATTTTCTGGTTTGTCATATGCACATTTATCTACGTATGAAGGAAGCATGAACATTAAATTTTTATTGTCATAAATTCCTAATTACGATTTACAGTTCATGTTAGACGTGATTCATGAAAAAGAACGTGATAACATTTGATTAACCATTTTAGACTTGTAGTACAAGTTGGCGTCATTCATTTGTATTTACCATATGTACACATATTATGTAATCACTAATCTCCATACATAATCAAAAAATACATGGGTTCAAGTATGGTTCAAGTGTAGGTGTTGGTATAGTAAAATCAGCTGGATCATTCATTAAACAGCTTGACATTCACTTTCTTAAAGGTTTCATGAAATTTATCAAGAAACTGTAAAATAAACTTGTATCGCATCAGCACCAAAATGACCGAGAAAGACTTGGACGTTGTTGTAGTTGGTTCCATTATCATGGATTTGATCAGGTAGTTCTTACCTTAAGATCGATATTTGAATAGAAACCAATTGTTGGTTTTGTGCCTATTTAGCTATTCTAGCCGCATTCCAAAGTTGGGAGAGACGATTGAAGGAATGGATTTCATGACAGGGTTTGGGGGAAAGGGGGCAAATCAGTGCGTTGCAGCTGCCAGACTTGGTGCAAAGTGTGCATTTGTTGGAAAGGTACGAAAGCCACCCACTAATTTGAAATGGAGTTAATGGCCATTTACACGAGTTACAGATTGGGGACGACGACAATGGTCAACGCTATTATGCACAACTTCGCAAAGAAGGAATCAATGTGGAAGGCATCCACATAGAAAAAGGCAAGCCAACTGGGGTTGCAACAATTTTGGTACAAGAAACCGATGGTAAATACATGAATTTGATCGTCATTTTCTAAACATTTATAGATCGTACCAATAATTACTAATTTAGGTCAAAACATCATCGTAATAGTACCCGGAGCCAATAAAATGGTAACTCCAGTGTACATTCGAGAACATGGTGAACAATTCATAAAACGTGCAAAAGTAGTAATTGTTCAACTGGAGATTCCGATAGAGTCAACACTTGCTGCGTTAGAATTAAGCAAAAAATATGGCGCACTCACGATTTTTAATACGGCTCCAGGTTTAAGTAACATTCCAAGAGAAATGTTTTCACTGACAGATATTCTTTGTTTGAATGAAACCGAGGTATGTTAACTCAGAATTAAATTGCTCATGAAAATACATATGCGTCCTTACATCCTGCATTTGATTAATACTTTGATTGATTGTTCATCAGACTCAACTAGTTACAGGAATTCCCAACGTAACATCGACAACTGACGCTGAAGTCGGAATAAAAATGTTGCTGGACAGTTTCCCTTGCAAAAGTATAATAGTGACGATGGGCTCTCAAGGATCCGTATTTTGGGACGACGACGGGAAGAAGGTCAGCGTCATCGGGGCTGAAAAAGTGAAAGCTGTCGACACGACTGGTGCGGGGGACTGCTTCGTGGGGACGCTCGCATTCTGCTTGGCCAACCAGGATAGTTTAGAGTCTGCCATAAAACAGGCCACGGCCAATGCGTCCGACAGCGTCTTGAGGAAAGGAACGCAAAGTAGCTTTCCATCAAAGTTATTGTGAAGTTTGCAAAATTATAATATTGTTATTGAAAGTTTGACATTGCTTTTTGGTAATAAATTGAATACGGATGATCAGGCTCTTATTATTAATAATGGGCGTAATGACATCATCATGTAAATTTATTCGATAGTAATCGCATGCAAAAATAATACGAGTAACTCGGTTGTACACCATTGAACAAGATCAGTTTCCCATTAATAAGCACAAAATGTGGTTTACGATATTATTGACGAAAAGCCACACAAATATCTTTATTTGGACAAGTGTTCTTTCAATTTATGCAACTAACTAATCCCATGATACTAATTTGTTGGAATTACAAACTCTAGTTTGTGCATCATAATAATTTCTTGTAACTCAAAGTATACTAATTCCACAATTTAATGTACATATATCCTACACATCCTGAACCAGTCTTATAAAGCTAACATTGAAATCATTTGTCTTTTATATATAATTAATATGACTTCCAAAACTTTCAATCTTGGAGAAAACTCAGAATCGAATTCTGGATCTTGGGCAAAAATCTGCATAATTTTTTGCTGTCTTTTGGTCGTAATAGTGGCGATAACTGTTGCAGTCTACGCGTACAAATCAAGTTTTGGTGGATCCGGGTGTGAGTTGCCACAAATTAAAAAAATGTGCATCTAAATGATACAGAAATCATTTACTGTGCTTTCAATAATTTGCTTTAGATTGTGAAGTTCCAGTTTTGGATGAGAATGGGCTGAGCAATTGGACCAAAGGAGCTGAGACGGTTGCATTTGCATGCTTTCCAGGATTTTTTCTGGAAGGTCACGGAAATATGTTAATGTCAACCTGTTCCAATGGCAGTTGGTCACCGCAACCTCCAGCCTGTGTAACAAAGCTATACTTTAATTAATAATTTCCACGCATTGTGCTCATGTTGATTCAAATATATGAATTATGCATGATTTCAGAACTTTCTGCCCTTACGATTGGATTGCGAAGTGAATTTTCGTCATCTCGTTGGGAACATTTCCATGTGGCAGAGTGCAGTGGATGAGCCAGCCTTCGTTTACGGGCTTGTCGACTATGAAGACGTTGATCGCTCGATGGGGCATCTGATGGACATCGTGCACATGTCAAAAGCAAATTGTATGATTTCGGATGATGTGATCAATGTGAAAGAGTCGTATCCTACTCCCGGTGGGGCCACTCTTAAAATCGAGTTTAACAGCACCCAGCTTAAGGCATACAACAAAGCTGAAATCCATATCAATTTGATTTTCGTTGATGCCAACACTACCGCGGCCCTGATATCTGTTCATCAAGATGAAAAAACTTTTGTCTTGCCAAACTCAACTCCATTTTCGCGACTGCCTAGAGATTTTGTCTCTAAATATGGGTTGGACAGCTACTATTAAGTAAGTTGGAAATCGAGTTAGTTTTAAGTGTCGTGTGGTCATTATAAAAATTTGGACACAAATAAGTATTTTATTGGTAATATTTATTTTCATGTGCACACAAAAAACAAGAATTGTATTGTTTCATAAATAGATAAATAAAATAAGTAATTCAACGGTAAACTAAAATCAGAAAAGATGAACAAAATTATTGGTGCAGCATCTTTTTTCTAGCTCAATAATAACAAATAAAGAAATGAGATTACTTTCAGAAACACATTGCATTTTTTAAGTATAACAAACGCGTATTCAAACAATCACATAATAGTCTAAAACAAGTATGTATATTTAAGAGGTACATGCATCTTATACTTTTGTTCGTGTTGGTTATTCTTGAGCGAGTAAAGAGTAAAAACCGGGGTTGGTAACATTACACAATGAAGGTTGTAAATGACCAGTTAAAGTAACACATAAAATGACAAGAACTAAATTTGTTGTTACCCTACTTTTCCTTCTAATTTACGCAAGTTAAAAAGTTATTAAAAATGTGCAACATATTCGTCACATTACTTCTAAATCAAACAGTTTCCTCAGATCGTTTAAACTCTCGAATATATGTCTTAAAAATCGTTTTGAAGACGTCTTCGGGCAGGAATGTTTCGACGTGACGTGAAAAAATATTTTATGATCTGATGGGAGCATGTACGAGACCCCATAGCCAAAATCTGAGACAGGTCCAAAGCCTCCGCCAGGCGATACCTGTTGAAATTAGCGTTTTTAGTATACACGCTACCAAAGGTAGGGCACCCTAGTGGAAACGAATTTGACCTTGAATAACCCCGGAAAGGTTAGTCGTATCGGGTCAAAATTTTGAACAGACGAGCATGTTATTCTCAGGTAGTTGTGTGCAAAAATTCAATTCTCTACTTTCAAAAATGCCTCCCCCACAGCCCCCAGAAGCTGAGACACTCATTTCAACTTTTTCCAAACTCCGTCTAAAAAATTCGGTCTCCGCAGGAAAAAATTTCTTTGCAACTATCCGAACCCAGAGAAGTCTTTTTGACTTATATCTGGGGATTGAAGTGATTTTTATCTCCAATCTAGGTTCAAGGTCATTTGCATAATCTTAGGTCAACTTTGTCGTCTGGGATGATGCTGCGTCACGATGAAAAATTACTTATTTATTTTTTTACCGTGCTATTTAAGAAAATGTTACTCTAAAAATGGTTTCGATACACGGTCAACATAATGCTTTGCAGATTTCTTCACTTTTTGGGGGACTTTGTGAAGTGGGAGGACACCACGACCCGACATTGCACCCACAACCATAAAATGTTTAAAAAAGTTCTCCTCACTGAAAAGCACCAAATTGCTTGATTTTTTTTTCGGCATTTGTCGTGTACTAAGCTCTTCGAACCCAATTAGTAATTTGTAGAGAAATTAGTGCTTCGTCAATTATCATCAATAACTCACTCCTATTCTTCAATTTAAATAAATTTTTTTGCAAACACGGGCGAGATTTTTTCTGGAACCAGTTGAAATGACTGTCTCAACTTCTGAGGGCTGTGGGGGAGGCATTTTTGAAAGTAGGGAGTTGAATTTTTGCACACAACTACCTGAGAATAACATGCTCGTCTGTTCAAAATTTTGACCCGCTACGACTAACCGTTCCGGGGTTATTCAAGGTCAAATTCGTTTCCACCAGGGTGCCCTACCTTTGGTATTGGTACACAAACAATAATCATTTATCAATGAATGCCTACCTTGTTTTGAAATAATGGTAAGTTTGAATCAGGCACATGGAGAAGCTGTTGTTGCGGTTGTTGGCTGGTAGACAAAGTCCAAGGCCGAGTTAAAACTTTCTCAAGGAATGCAGATTCCTAGTTAATTAAATCAAACTTGTTGGTACATTTTATATTAAACGGTCAAACCTAAAAATGTTTTAAAGCATCTTACATGATTGAGGCCTTTGCAACAGACGTATAAAGCGAAGAGATGACGATCCACACCTTCAAGGATGGAGAGAAAGGGAGAAAAGAATAAATACAATTCTAAATGGATAATGAGTCTGAATAAATGAATTAAGTAATATTCCACACCTTTCCCATTCATAGCGTCTCGGTACAGTTGCTGATGCTTATCAGCTGCTTTATTAAGCAATGAGATCTTTTCTTCCTTTGATATATTATCCTTTATCATTGCCCTTTAAAATGTAAATAATATAACCAAACATGTAAGTAAGCATTTATGTAAGTATTATATAAACAGTGGATTATAGAAAATGAAAAACGTTAAAACATACTCTACAAAATCCACCATCTCTTGTGACAATGAGCGCACTGTTTCTGTACGACCGTTCAGATAGAGTCTAGTCATACTGGCCTCATAGGTTTGTGCAAAACAGTTGGCTTCCTTATAATATGCCAATTGTAATGCTATCTGCACGAAAGCATCAGGACTAATTTTACATCGTTTTATCAATCCCTTGCCCCATTTTGCATGATCTCCTATTTCAAGATCGAGGTCCTCGTTATTCTGAAAATTTAATGCAGAACACATTCATGAAGTCAGTTCAATCAAACAAACAATAACTAAACACATTTACGATACATATAAATCGATATGCAATTAACACTAACCGCTTCAGCAAAGTGAAGTGCCTTGTTAATTTCGTTTTCAAGTTCTGATGTCACACTCCAAAGCAATCTGACAGGCTTAATTGTAGGAGCTTGACGAAATGATTTTGGCATTGGCATACATTGTCCATCTTCTGTGTACCATTTTTCGGTTATTCTAAAGTAGAAAAAAGCGTTATTGTACGTTTTTGAAGCAATAATTTCATACATATCATATATATAGATCATATATACTCTTTAGTTAAAGAAGATTCCCACACATGTCCCATCACAGGAGCATCGGCTGCAGTATGTTCAACGTTGAGTCCGCAGTAACCGTTTTTGAAGAAGACAACGTTAATGGTTTTGTCATACCAAAATGTTTTGCCATCTGCATGTAACAGGAACTTTCCTTTCTCATTTAGTGTTGTTGGACTCTTGTCACTCAGCACTACGAGCAGAATTGCTTTTTCAATAGACAAATTAGACTTCCTATTATTCCCCTTCTTAAAATTGGTCTTCCATATTTTTGCCCAGTCTGATCGAGGCAGGGCTGTTAAAGCAGCAATATTTCTGGCAGCCTCGGACACTTCCCCTATTCACATTGATCAACAAAACATTCTTTGATCATGAAAACAAACATTGATAAGGATAACCAGAGGTCAAGAAAAATGCCACATAAACTAAATTGAACTTTGCTCAGGAATTATTATTTCTCATACCACTCTTCAGTTGACTCTCTGCATCTTTCATTAGCGGGCTTATATATATTAATTTAAAGATACGCATTGCATTCTCATCATCCAAAGTTACAGTATTTTCCATTCATCATCCTCATCTAAAGTGTCATTATTGTAGTTCATATATTTATATAAACTGAAGTTAAGTGACAATGGATAATTTGGAGGGATTGAGTGATGACCAATTATGGAGCACAATTGAAAAGTGTCAAGCCATCTTAAAAAGGCGAGCAAGAGAAAGCGGTGGTGAAAGTTCTGTCTCTGCGTCAACTAGTTCATCTGTCACGTCCAAAGTTAAACGGATGCGAATGGTCGTTAATTCTGGTGAAAGTTCTTATGCAGATAGTGAAAGCAATGCCGATGATGATGATAAGGCAAAACCAAAAGTGGACATTTGCCGAGTCCCTCGTACAGTGTATTGTGCGCAATACCAAGACCGACAATGTAATACTGATTGTCCCCCAGATTGCGATGGAGATCACAAAAAGTGTAAATTGTGTCCGTTTCTATTTACTGGTGACACGATTCAAAACAAGTGAGAAGAGTCCTTTAGCAAATTCATTCCATATTTTTGCATTCTGATTTCTTGTCTAAACAATTGTGTGGTTGTTGTAGACGTTATCCTGATCGTCCTCTCATTATTGACGACACTCTGCCAACTTTTACATGTAGGAGTATCGATGCGGGGGATTATGTCCTTATCGACGAGAATTTATCATGCACGTGGGAGGGAAAAGAGGATAAGGAAAAAACGGGACCGGAAGCTATTTACTTTGGACAAAGTGGTCAAGGAGCAAATACTCTCCGGGATAGGCTGAGAAGATATTTTCTTTTTAAACGTAATGATTCTAATCACCCAGTTGTGGACCATTGTACGGGTGAATGCAAGGGAAAGGTCAAATTTATGTATCTTGCCGAGATTTTGGATGATAAATTAAGGAAAAGTAAATGCTATTAATTAAACCCAATGAGAAATTTGTAACTTTTTAGCCCGAGTCAGGGCTTATGTAACCGTCATGTCCGTCTGCCTGTCTATCGACTCTCTTTAAACTTATCCGATCGGGTTGAAATTTGGCTTGAAAACTATAGTAATACCTTGTGAGCAACTATGGTGAAGTTAGATTTGATGCAAAATAATCGGACTGGTTAACGAAATATGATACAAACCCTGACTCGGGCTATATCAAGTCTGCACTGTAGGTTTTAACTAATTAATTCGCTTTGTGATTATAGAACGAGAGACGGAATACATGTATTTGTTTGGAACATTAGATCCACTAATTGGGTTTAACATACAACCCAGTTCCTCTTCCTCATTCCAAACCACGTCCTGTAGTATTAGGAAATAAAGCACCTCTACAGGTTTATGAACGTGTTACCCGTAAACCAAAGTAATAATTATTATACAATCCTCATTCAATATAATCTCTTAACAATTCACTAATGGACATAATTGTGTATAGAACACCTCTCCAGGACATTCACTGGCAAATACCTGCCGCCGATTGCATAATAAGACAAACCTCTCAACAGGCCACAGCATCAATAATATCGAATTATGTAAAAAATGCATACCCTAATTATTTTAGTGAAACATCCTTAGAAACCTGCTTCGGCAAGTATCTTGGATTTCCATCCGAAAAATCCGGAGCTACCTGGATTTCGAGGACAGGGAAAACGGAAAATCCAAGGGGAGGTCCCCCTATAAACGTTTTTGGCTTAAACCCAGCAACATTTGTTCAGGCTGAGTTGGATGCTGGTGTGAAAAAGATGAAAGAATATGAAGAAAGTAGGACACAATCCTCACACGTGATACCCGAATCAACTCAATCAACCCGTAAAAGAACTCCCGTCAAATCATACATCGATCCTGAACCCTCTGAATCCGATTAAGTTATTAAACTTTCTTTTTATATATAAAAATGTAATCTTTATCTATATACTTGCAAATTGCAACTACCAATTCAATTTTCACTTTGTTCAATGAATGCCTCTTACCACTTTTCAATTCCGAATCCGCCTGGTTCATTATCCATTCAAACTGCGTCTGAATAGCAGATGGGCTGAGGATCTGATTCTTTATATCATAACATTCCACTCGGTAATACATCCCAAGATAATTTACCACAATGTGCTTTGAGTCGGCTGAGTCGCAATGTCGCAGCTTGTCTACTTTTTCTCCAGGAACTCTGAACCATATAAAGAAGAGAAGCGAGTTAATGACTTGTATGCGTATGCGTGTACGAAATAGTAAGCATACTTAAATGTAGTTTCATACTAAATATGTAATATAATTATATTAAGGTATTTACCTTATAGATGAAAACAGACGTTCATATTGAGACATGCAGATTGGAATTGTATTACGAATCAGCAAGGGAGCGAGTTCTTCTCTATCAATCATTCTCTTGAAGACCAATATCTATGCAGATCAATAACATCACATACGACGTATTTAAATTGCTTACAACTTTTCTTATTAAAAATACTCACATTGTAAATGATAGTGGCGGCCCTAGCAGTTTGGTTATTTGTTGGAGTCCAATAGCTTTGATCCATGCCGTAATAATTAGAGTTAATGGCCAACGGACTTCGGCTCATTAGGTACACATATTTTTCCCTGTGAGAAACAACAGCGTGAGGAATAAACTCCACGAGCCAAGACTAAAATGGCTTACTAATGTCATGCATTTGAAACTCACCACCAGTCACTAACGTAATTAGGCATCCACCAGCTTAAAAAATAACAGGTTCAGAGATTGTTAAGGTCAGTGAAAGCCCAATAATTATTTAAAGAATTACAATTTTAGTGCCTACCTTTTTAGTATCAAAATTCGTTGCAGCTTTTTACAGAGAGCACTATTTTCAAAGGCAGCAGCTTCAGCTATTAATTCATTGTGCTCAGTCTGGGTACACAATGGTTTCAGACTGTCCAAGAGCAACACCAGAGTTTGGTGCACGTTGGGGACGGGGAGGCGTGGCAATGACCGTTGGCAACTGTAGAGCGAAGGCGAGTATCCCGAAATCATTTTGACCAACACACCCCACAGCACAGTCTTCCCACTCTGTGACTTTAGATTTTCGTCTAAAATTAAAATGGTATCAATTATCTTGTCAATGATGAAGTGTCATTATTACATATAACTTTAAAGCATTTCTTACATAGCCATCCCCGATATGATAATAGAGCTCGCAACGCATACTGTCTTAGTTTCTGAAATTAAATTCGTACTATTTACGATATGAGTAACTTATGATCATTTTGGGACAGTTTTTTAACTTGAGGTGCTCCTTTCTGCTTTGGTTGGTTTGAAAAGGTCGACTACATTTTAGACAGTCAAATTTAGGATGTTTTGCCAAGTGTTTTTGGTATGTGTCAGAGTTATTTGTATAAAACTTGCATGCTGGGCATGAGAGTTTTGATTGTTTATTATGAGTGGTCTGTAAATGATATGTCAAGTTTTGGTGACTTGCGAAAGTTGAGACACAAAAACGACACTTTAATGTTTCCGGCTGTCGGGCTCTGTGTGCATTCACTTTAGGTGTTTTTTCTCTAAGATGAATCGGTGTTTTCAAAAGTTTTGTAATATCCTCCCTTATGCAATGTATATTGTAAAAATTCCTCGTAGTTATTTTAAGCCCCTTGAACAAATCACTTAGTTTTTCATTCACGACTATATCAAAAATGTCCGTCTCCCATAAACTTTTAACCTTCGATTTTAATGTTTTTAAATCCGTTAAATGTTTGGCATATTTAGCCACCTCGGTGTTTTGACTTCGTGGAGACAAACCTAGGTATTTAGTACTGTCCTTTCTGTATTGTTTTTTCATAACCCTTGACATCAGAAATAAGTAACACTCTGAAGCGTCCGTACAGGAACTATTAGCACTATATTCTTGAAATTCGATTTCAAACAGTCTGAAAAGTCGGAACGTGGTATTTTGTCTCTCTGTGTAAATTAATCGTTCCCCTTCCACTTTTTCATATGTAGTACAATAATCATGTCCTAAGCCCCTAGAGCCCGATACAGAAGACAATTTTAAACTATAGTTAGACGGGTCTGATAGATCGATAAACACTTGAACACGATAACCTTTACAGACATTAAAAAAATATTTATCTTCGTCATATAAACTACCGTCCGAATCAGTGTCACTATTTTGCACAACTATTTTTTTTCGACTTGGGTGCAGGTTTTATTTTAATTACTCTCTTGTCGTCGTTGCTAATGTCAGACAGTGCCCTTTTAAAACTCATCCTGTAATTTTTCGACTCCTCCGTCCTCACATGGTGCTAACTTTCGTGCTGCCTACCACTAACTACCCACGCAACTTCCCCACATTCATGTACCAGCCGGAGTAGAGCAGAATGAGACACGATTGATCTTGGTCTGGAGTAATGTGATGACTCATGCCTAATATTACCTTACCATAACATTCCCGAACTCACCATTAAAACGACAAAGAAAACCAGTCCTACGACCCATGCAGTTATGAAGGCTCGAAACCATCGTGGAGTTCCTAAATAATGAGGAATGTAGTATTAGTATGTAATATATTTAGAGTCAGGTTCAAAATAAATAATACCATCTGGAATTGGGAGAACGTCTGCAAGATTCCATAACAATTTATTGAGCACGACGGTTTTGACCGGTTCTGCCAACAGTAATCCAAAAGTGATCGCAAATACAATGGACAAGTTATTTGTCGATGTGGGCCAAGTCCCGTTATGAATTGAATTTCTATGAGCATAACATCAATTGTAAATGTTGTTTATGTAAATAGTGTATAAATTATTATAATCTAATATCACTCGCTACTCACCGAGTACGGAAAAATCGTCGAACAAGGGACTTGCGAATCGCAGTGTATACATCCTTCCAAGAATCACGTCCTTCTTCCAAATCTATAAAAAATTGCATCGTGATATATTTCATACTAATTGTTGCATAACATAATAGATTACCTGGAAATACTCGTAACTTTCCTACAGCACTCCTCGCTTCAGCCATTGTGGCAAAGTACGATATGCACTTCTCCTCCTTGGCACTAGAAAGATTATCAAATTATTGTCTCATATATAATGATCCTGAATTAACAATAATAGCAAACAACACGTATGCTTAAGTTATCGATACTGCAGAAAAGTGGTTCACTTATGCACAACTAAACTACTAGGCTAAGAATTGGGTATCGGGTCTCAGTCTCACTGAAAAGATTTTTTGATAATGTTTGATACACTTGGAATAATTATTTATCTTACACAAGTCTAAACATTGAACATGAAATAACAACCATGCATTTGGCACAATCAATCAGCACAATGGCTGGGATCTGGGATAGCCAATTATTTCCTTCTTTGGTTTATGTACGGCAATTTGATATAAACTAAAGTCACATAAACTAAAGTGGAAATAATTTTGGTGTGCTAATAAATTATTGATATGTCTTGTTGCCCTGCTTGCTTCAGTCTCGTACGTAATTGTAATTGTGCCCATCAAAATAGCAATTGGGAAGAAATTTAGAAAAGGCAACACGTAAATAAAATACCTATCATCAATTATTTGTGGCGTTCGTAGTCGATGAGAGAATTACTGGGCCGGGCTTGAGCAGAAACTAACTACACTAAATTGACCTCTTCACAAACACGACTGAACGAATATTACGATTTTAACAGGATGTGTCAGTTTTGGCCTCTTGCTTTTCTCTGTCTAACATACAAACAGAGACGATTCAATCCTGTTGTATTTGGATTTTAGGATTATTAGCAAGCAAACTGGGCTAAACGAAAACCAAGAAGCATGAACTGACTGTGCGATGCGGTGATGGGCTATTGATTTCTCATCCATGACTTGATGATGAAGAAGAGCCATAAATGTAAACCCGTTCAGTCCTCGCTTTTCACTTTTATAAACCTGCATCAAACTTTAAATTAATCCACTGTAATCCATCCCCCTCGTGAAATTATTATCTATTTATAACAGAAACACCATTTGATGCTGGATTATCAGACTTGGTCCAGTCCAAAGTTTATGGTAGTGAATAATGGTGGACGAAATTACATATCCCGTAGAAAAAATTCATGGCGTGATCATGCAACTTCATTCCCTATTGTTATCATGCAATTAAAAATGGTTCGCCTTGGCTGGTGATTTGATACTTGATGTTTATTTTAATTTTTGGGGAAAAAATATATTACGAAAATTCCATATTAGTACAAAGAAATTTTAATCAGTATTGTTATTGTATGGCACAACCTTCAACTTTTCCTCCCAGCATATCTGTATACAAATCACTTGCAACGTCCCGTAATTCTCGCACATGCTTTCGAACATTTCGTATTTTAACAAGGCGATCTAGAGTCCACTCGGGGTCAGCAGGGTCATACTGAGAACAGCTATCTGAAACTGCCAGGTTGTGATGATTTTTTTTCGCGTTGTCGTCCGTCTCTTTGCCTAATAAGCTTCCGAAATGTGAATCAAAATCTTCTCCAAGCCCAAGCAAAGTGGCCACGGAGGGTTCCTCTCCAAGGGCTAAACTACGACCAAGCTCGACTAGTTTTTCAACATCGTTGACACTTAAATCTACCTCTGTAACAAGTTGAATAAGGCTGCGAATGTGACTATCTCTCTGTTCTATACTGCATTCACGATTTTGAATTTGACGTTTTAAATCTTGATTTACAGATGATAGTTCCGTCATTTCATCTTCTAAGGTTTTGTTTTTGTTTGTCAGGGAATCCAAGTTTATCTGAGTCACAATTAATTGATCTTGTAAAGATGACAAATCTGTTTCCAAATTTGTGATTTTGATTAAACCATCTGCCCTGTCAGACTCCAACTGGCACAGCTTGTCCCTCAGACTCGAAATAACTTTTGAACTTCTCAGTAATTGTGCTTTCTGCAAGGTCAAAAATTCAGTAACTTTATGGACGTCAGTCAAATCAATCGGCGACAGTTGTCCATCCTTGGAAAATGCAATTTGTGCATCCTCAAGAGGTTTCAGCTCGTCGAGTCTATTGCAAAATGGACGCAAAAATATGACTGCTCAATAAGTATAAGATCGTAATTGACGTGTGGGTATATATATGTCTAATTACTTTAATTCAGCCAGTCGCATCGCATTTTCCAATATCATCTTTTCTTTTTGAAGAACCTCGACATTTTCTTTCATCCTTTGCAGCTGTCCTGTAAGCAATTGGGTTTCATCTCTTAATTTAGCACTCGACAACCTAGCTTCATCTAGTTCCTCTTGGCATGGCAGCTCATTAATGTAATCTTGAATATTTTCCAGTTTTCGGTGTGCTTTGGTCAGTTTGACTTCAAGTAGTTCCTTCCCATGGTTGAGGTCCTTCTTTTCTGTGTCCAGGCGAAACACTTTTTCCAAGAGTCGCACCTCCTGACGATTTTTCTCCATGTTGGCAAGCTCTAAATGTTTTCTAAGCTGCTCATTTTCGTTTTCAGAGGCAGCCAAGAGCCCTTCCAGTTTGTTGACCCTGTCGACGAGTCCATGTGTCGTTTGGGTGTGATGGAGAAGGGAGTTGGAGGGGACAGAGGAGGAATTCTGGGAAGTGAGATTCAAGGAATTTGTCACCACTAAATGTTCCAACTGGCTTATCCGGAATCGCAACTCGTGCACGTCATTGTTACTTGACTTTGGTGTTGAATGGTGCATTTTAGAACGGAACAGCGTCAAATCTATTATGTGTAAACACACCAAGCGAAATTATTGATTGAGTGTCCTTTGCCCCAGTAAAACTTTGTGGGTGTAAAATTTGACATTTGATGAGCCAGCCAGGAGGATATAAATAAATTGTGGCGTGTGGACAAGACTTGACAAGAGCTGCGTGTATTTACACTACAGTGTTGACAGTATGATCCCGCCGATTTTTGGTGAAACTGCCCATTTCTCAACTTCTCACAACCACAACCATATGAAATTCAACATGAAATGAAGAATGAATGAAGTTGAGAAATTATTTTTTAAATCATGCTGAATAGAAGAATATGCTTATGCACATAACTAACAGTATGGTAAATGTGACTAACGGTTGACAAACTAATTGTAAGTGTGACTGTAAATGGACGGCTTACAAGTAATGTAGATACATACAGAAACGTTCTTATTCGCGAGTGGATTTATTCATCCTCAATTGAAATAGAAACAATTTAACGTTTACAAGGTATGATAAAAATTTACTCCGCTGGTGGGGGAGCTCCACGACCGCGACCGAAACCACCTCTCTGAAAAATAAATATTTATCGATTAGATCGAGATCAGAAGATATTTATTATTGCTGCAAGCTTTCGATAAAATAAATTTATAAAATAAATATTATTTCTAATATGTGAGCATTATCGGCAAGCATGCTTGTAATGTCAACCAAAAAATTAAACAATGACAAAATATACAACTTACGAATTCCACGGCTCCACCTCCAGGTCCAACTTCGGCTTTCTTGTCGCCATCACCACCACGTCTGTAGGCGGATCTGTCTTCGCTAGATTTTCCTTCCCCTCTTGGAGCCATGGCGCGGGGTCTCGCGGTTTCAGCACGAGCTGCGCGTTGAAGTGTAGAAGGAACGATCTGTAATTTAAAATTTCACATAAAATATATTCATGGATAACGTGTTTAAATAAAATTCAAAGCCTCTTCACCTCAGCTGGAAGGTGCAAATAGTCCCTCAAATACTCGATACCTTCATTTTGAAGGTACCAGTAATAATGCCTCCATGCAAACTGCTCCTTCACATATCCACGAGATTTCAAAGACTAGAGACACACAAAATCATCAGCCAAAAGAAGTAAACATTGTGAAAACAAACTTAATTCAACATTATGGCATATTGCAACATAGTATCAAATACAGTTACACGATTTGATACTTGTCTTGGATAACCACACCCTTTGCAACATGTTTTCCTTCTTAAATAAATTTTAAAAGTTAAAATGAAATTACCTGCAGAGCTTTGATAACTTGAAGATTGGGAATTGATTCAAGTTCGGGGTGTGTGGGGGCATGGAAATCCTTCTTGGCCACCATAACCCCTTCGTTGAAGAGGTGTTCGTAGATTTTTCTCCTGTTGGCTTTGGGCATCAACATTTTGACACAGTTTTCGGAAAAATTGGATGAAAATTTAGGAAAACCGGAGACCGAGTTCTGTTCAGAGACTGTTCAGACACATGCTCTTCTATAATTTTGAGAGAATGGCCGTGCGGGTCTCGCGAGAGGACGCTGCAATATCATCATCGTCACTCGTAACCTCCTCAGTTCGCCCCATTCCCTCTTTTCTTCCATAATCTCATACTTTCCAAAGTTCTCCCCAAAGTTGCAATTATTGCGAATATCTTTGATACACAACTAACGCACACAAAGGTCCCTAGTTATTGAATACATTAGGATAAGTGTAGATTATCATTTTGGTCGTGACTGTTCCAGGAAATTCATGGATGAATGCAGAGTCTCACTTGCCCACAGTGAAAATTTTATGCGGGAACTGGGTTCAAGCCTTCAAATCGTATCATTTCCAAAACTCTAAAAGCGAGTCGAACAAAAACAGAAAGGATAATTATTGATTTTTCTCCTTGAAATTGAATTTTTATGACAATTAATCTACTTTAATTAAAATATACTACTTAAACCGAATAATTGGCTGTGTCAGAAAGATAAACTATAACGGATAAGCGGTTTGGTTGGTAAGAGTTCCATTTGTTCGTCTCATCATCATGTTATTTTTGAATTGATCATTGTGTAGTTGTTTTGTAAATACATATTGATTTTTGTCTAGACCTAAGACCTACTACTGGAACAGACACTCTTTATTCATTCGCAGCAGAATGGACGGAGGAGCGTCATTGATGGAACCTGTAGATCCAGATGCGTTTGAGTGCATTGAAACCGGAAGAATGGACGAAATCGGGAAATTTAGTCCCGACCAGTTACGTCCATTCGTTCCCGTGTTGACAAGAGCTGGACTATTGCACCAGAGCGAAGCATTTGCGAAATCTTCAGATTTTGTACAACCAATTTTACTAAATTTAATCCAAAACGAAGCTGCCAACAATATCGTGAGTTTGCTTCAACTTGATTATCAAAATCTAGAAATGGACGTCAAAAAGGAACTACAGCTTCGGTAATCAATCCCTGTTCAAACCATATATATATTTCCTTACCATTGACTACTAATGCAAGTTACTGTTTGCTTGTCAATTGTAGACAAAAGTTGGGGAATAGGGAACAAGACAGCATACTCGTGCAAAATTTATCTCAGGGCATTACGTTGGAGTTTGAGAAAGCAGAAGGAACAAGGAAACTTCGCTTGATTCTGTCTGAAATATTATTTATTTTATCTCAGGTTCGTAAATCAATAAAGCATGAAAAATGGTTAACTTATCGTAGTTGGAATTACCTTCAATTGTTTATTATTATGTTCTATAGATGATCGAACCTCGTCAAGAATACTATATTAAAATGTCCGACCTGTTTGATAATTGGGTTTATATGGACGATATTTGCGATGCTCTATCTATCGCGATGGTGGAAATGCCCAACATTTTGTCCATTTGTGATGTAATTTTTATTTGGTGTCTTATGCAAATGAACGAATAACTAATGCCGTGCTAACATTTTTCATTTTCTGAATCAAGATTTGTGAGGCCATGCTGCACGTCAAATATGGCCAATGGATTATAACGAGACTCGTTGCAAACATGCCAGATTCATTCAGCGAAGGTTCATTGAAATCACCAGATTACCTAATAACACTCTACAATTTATATTTTGATTTCAGTTTGCTTCCATTTAATTTCAAACGGAGATAAGTGCGAGGAGGACACAGAAGGTGGACTAATTCGACTCGATGCTATGAAGATGTTGTGCAAGATGAATCCGAAACAAAGTCTGTTAATAAGATCTCGTTGTGTAAGTGAAACCTTTTGAAATACATCTTTTCTCCGTATAATTTATATATATTGCCATTTTTAATAGGTTGAAATGAATAAGATGCCAGCTCTAGCTGTTTTTGTCAGTTTAGGTATTATTATTCATTCTGTTGAATTTGTTTTAACTCATGTCACCGGATGTTTACAATTGGTTTATGTAGAAGCTGGCGACACAGAAAATAACTTGGTACCCTTTCTATCTGGTATACTTTTGGGAAACGACCAACCAATTAGAAATTGGTTTTCTGTGTACGTTCGAAATGGACAAAAGGTATAAATACAATGAATAACAGTCGAAATTACTTACATATTACTTATTAATTGCGTATTAGTTTCTTATGATGCCAATATCTTGTGCTAATTTTTATGCTCAGAGAAAATCGGATGCGCCTAATTCCCTGAGCAATATGCGAGAATCTATTTTCACGTACCTGCGGCAAATTTTAGAAGAATCCAGAAAGGAAGGGAATCTGAATAATGGGGGTGTTGTCAAAGGATCCTCATTGTTAAGACTTTTATGTGCTCTGAAAGGAATCGCTGGCTTCAAGTAAGTTTATTTGTTCATGAAATGCATCGTATGAAACTTTTAGGATTGAATTCCAATTAACTAATATGTTACTTCTAACATTGATTATGACAGATTTCATGAAGATGAAATTTCCCATCTTGTTAGCTTCATTACACTACGTGCTCCCATTACACCTCAAGGCAGCCGATTTATAATTTTAGGACTGTGTACACTATTAGCTTGCCCTTCATTGTTGTCAACTCCAGAACAAGAGAGAGTAATCATTGAATGGATAAGATCTCTTATAAAAATCGAGTATTCCACTGGGTGAGCACTTATTCTTATGTTTATATTTTGTATGCCAAATACTCACTGTCTTTATTAAAACTAGAAACTAACAGAGGTGGGCAATATACATCAAAATGTATATTGAATATACTTTGTCAATATACTCAAATTTTGTCTCAATATACTATACTATATACAATATACTACAAAATTAAAATATGCAATATACAAATATACGTATATAATATACAGGATTTTAGCTTCAATATACTATACATGTATATTGAATATACAATCCCAATATACTTTGCAAAAAATGAGATACAAAGCATAATTCAGTTAAAAAATTTCCGTTGAACATTAACGAATTTTGAGGCGGTGACTGGCAAAAGTCGCCAGCATAAAATTAAATTGAATTTTCACTTATCGTCAGATAGTCATGCATATTATGAAAACTTATGAGTCGGGAAAGTTTCCGGGTTTCTCATATTGTGGGACGCCAAGTTTCGTTATCAGTTGCACAATGTATTACATAATTATGCAATTGCATTGCATAATACAATTGCACTTAATTATAATTAAAAAACGTTATAAAATGAAAAATATTGACAAAAATTGGTCAATATGAAAATGTGAACGTATGTGGGGCTTTGTTATAATGGGTGTTCCAGGCATGTTCCTTCCAGATTTTTTTAACATGCAGAATTCAACAAATCTACTATTTTTTTGATTATCTCAAAATAACTTTTAGTTCAAAAGTCGGACCACTACCACTACCCTAAAATCGCTGATTTATAAATTGTCTCAAAATTAAAAGTTCGCCCTTTCCTATAGCAGAATCATTATACGGGTTTGAGGACCTTTAATCCATCGATTCCAGTGTGGAAATGTGAGCGTTTTGTATTTTATACATAGTTAAAAAAATCAGTGGTTTTTGTGTACTGGTCCGAGTGTTGAGCTTAGAATTATTTGTATTTTCTAAATATCTTGAACTATATAAATATGTTGATAACAATCTAAGGAAGGACCAAGGAAGCCTGATATACTCATTGTTAGAGCACCCGCAAACGGATATAACGATTTTATAACTTATAACGAGTTTTAACATATACCCCAGCACAACTTTAAAATATGCATTCTTGTCATTCACCACGCATTTTACACCTAAATGTATATTGTATATTTACTGGACAGTTTTTTGTCCAATATACAATATACAATATACTTTTTTTCAAGTCTTTGAAGATACAATATACAAAAAGTATATTATATACTGTATATAATATACTTGTATATTCAATATACATGTATATTGCCCACCTCTGGAAACTAAGAATAATATATAATGAATATACATTAAATAATTGATTGAATCACTTCTTAATAGGGCGGATGCTGTTAGCGCTTCCTTTGGCGAAATTCTTCTACTGATGGCTATTCATTTTCACAGCAACCAATTATCAGCAATTTCAGATTTAGTTTGCACTACGCTGGGCATGAAAATTGCTATTAGGGTGAACACTATGGCCAGAATCAAACAAATTTTTATTCAAGATATATTTACTGAGCAGGTGAGTTCAACTTATTCTTTATTCATTCACTCGGGTCCTAATGTATATATATCTAATGTTTCTATACTTTCTTAGGTTGTCACTGCTCACGCGGTGAGAGTTCCTGTGACACCTTCGTTGAGCGGAGATCTGTCAGGTTTTCTCCCCGTTCACTGCATTTATCAATTAATTAAATCCAGGGCATTTACCAAACACAAAGTCCCGATCAAAGATTGGATCTATAGGTTTGTTCTCATTTCTTCTCAAACTAATACATAATAATAAGAGTATTAGGTATAAAATTTATTATATTTTTTTTGTAAATTTCAGACAAATTCTTACAACTTGCTTTCCAATCCATTCAGTTCTTCCTGCTTTACTGGAAGTGTATACACAGTCAATATTACTCCCAACAAGCAGTACGATTGGTGGTGCTAAGGTGGAGTTGACAAATGAACCTTTGAGCGACGATGAAGTTTTGAGCGCTTTCCAAAGCTTTCAAAATAAGCGTTTGGCTCCACAACTTTTGATTCTGTATTACGTTTTGCTGTACGAAGACAATCGACTGAATAATTGTAGAAACTTGGTCCACAGTTGCAGGAGCATTAAATCATATTCTGGGAAACTGTTTTCACAAATTCCCATAAAGTTTCTACTGCAGGAAGCGCAAAAGAATCAAAATCAGTGTGGAGGTACGCATGCCTATCACTATTTATAACCATGAAATTTCTTGAGTAAATGATTAAATTTGTACTTATTCTATTTCAATTTATATTCTGTTCTAGGACTATTCCCATCTTTGCTAAAACTTTTAACAACCCATTTTCCACAATTATGTATCGCCAATGAATGGTTGGAAGACAACTTGGCCCTCGCAGATGACGAACCAGTCTTTTCTGTTACAAAATGCACTGATATTGATATATCTCCTGACAGTTTTGAACAAGGTACTAATCATTGCCTTCAATCTTGGTAATTCAAAGATTCTTAAGTATATATGTATGTTCTTTGAACGTTATTTACCTTGAAGCTTTTCTGCGAGTTGCTGACGACCCAGAAGATTCAATCCGCCTGTTAGAAATTTGTAAGCAGCTAACACCTCATAAGCTGTGGTCATATTCGAAAGATATTGTTAGTCAAGTTAGAAAAGTGGCCCAGCCATCAGTATCAAGAAAAATACAAGGTACGTGAATATTTCAACATATTACTCAACACTTGACTATGGCAAGTGTTCAAACTAGGTATGAAAATAAAAACTAGGTTCAAACCAGGGAATAAATCTTGCTCGCACTATCCCATAGCTTGCTCGCACCGCTTATGGGCCGGTTCGAGCAAGATTTATTCCCAGGTTCAAACTAGTGAAATGTGAATATTTTAGATTTATTCCGAGAGGTCTGGTACAAATTGAACAATGTGTACCCAAGACATTTGTGGGAGATTACGAGCAATGCCTTATTGACGGACGGTTCCCTACACTTAACCGCAGACGAATTAACTGTTGATCCCCTACAAGTACTACGTTGCGATACCAGGGTCTTCCGTTGTGCTCCAATTTTAGACATTCTCCTTCATATCCTGGCGGCTTCATTAGCTGCGTCTAGATACTTTCTTTGGAAGCATCTACAGGTATAGCAGTAAATCTATAAAAAATGTATGCAACTTTAGAAATACGAAACCTATAACTTTTCATGTCATGACGGATGCAGGAAAACCCTTCTATGGTTGCCCCCGGACCTAATCCACAGTCTGACGGCGAACGAGAAGAGCTGAAAGTTGCATTGGTCGCAGTTCAAGAAAGTGCGGCTGTACAAATTCTTTTAGAAGCCTGCTTACCTAATGAAGGGGATAAAGCTGTAAGTTGTACTGAACACACGGAAGAAATCTTAAACTCAGGAGATATGCTAATCCATAATAAATGTAATCCAAATACAGGAGGGAATTTCGTGTGATCTAACATTGAAAGAGATTCAAAGTTTAATATGTTCCTTCCTTCATCAAATGTTTATTGCTGATCCGACATTAGCCAAATTGGTGCATTTTCAGGTACACATCAAATCGTGCATTATCATCAGTTATGTTTTTTTTAATTGTTTGATTATTATTATATTTTAAAGGGATATCCGTTGGAATTGCTGCCAGTTACTGTTAGAGGTATCCCTTCCATGCACATTTGTTTAGATTTTATTCCAGAACTTTTAAGTCAGCCTGAAATGGAGAAACAGGTATTTTGATTGTTGTACAACATTACATCGTATTGTGTGCTTTATATTAAATGAATGTACATTCTTAGGTGTTTGCTGCACAACTGATATCCTACTTATCCATGCAGTACGCGTTGCCCAAATCATTTAGTATTGCTAGAATTGCAGTGACCACTATGAATGGCATGGCATCAGGTAAGCATTAACCTTGTAGTAAGATAATATTATACTGATGTATAAATTTTATGACACCATAGGTTTGATGTCGGAGGAAAGAGCAGAATTTTTTATCCCTGCACTATCTGCACTTGAAAGGCTGTGTGTCACTTTCCCTCCTCTAGTGGACGATATCGTTGCGCTATTAATGCACCTGGGAAAAATATGCACTGCCCAAAACGCCGTAGAAAGAAACCGTATGAGTAGGATAGTTAGAAACAAACAACTTCTTAAAAAGATTAACGAGACCTATTGCCACGTTGTACAGTATTCAATGAAGGACAGACATGTTATGTAGCTAAATAACTGAACTCCTTGATGCGACAAAGAAACAACGCTTAAAGAATGTATTTTAAATGCTGACCGTAAATATATCGTGTTTATTCATCATTAAAATGTATTGTTAAAAGTCCTCGTTCGAGTTTGTTGCATAAGATAACATATGCATGATGCGCATATATTCACATATTTATTGCGAAATTTGTGTGTCAGTTCCATAATCAAGCACAATACCAGAGTAGGAAATTCTGTCAAGAAAATGACAAATTAAGTAAAATAACTTGACTTTCAATTTGGATTGTGCCGACTTATTATAAATGGCGCAACTTACGTCTGGCTTTGGAATTCGGTGTTAATAACCAATAAATTGATGGCATCTAGTGCTAATGTCCTGGGTTGGTTGATGGGGAGGAGGCCTCCTCGTTGGTAGTGTAAAATTAGACTTGTTCTTTCTGAGGGATCGTGCATGATGTTGCTCGGAACTTCTACCCATTTGGATAGCATTTGTCCTCCGGATATATCCGAGCTGAAATGATTACAAATATATGTTTACATCAATTTTGTCACACTGATTTATCTTTTAAACTGCTTACTTGTCTACAAGAGTGAATCGATCAGAACGTGTTCCATCAGCAGCCTTAAATTGGACCCAGAATGTACCAACTGCACGAGCTTGGGATGAACTAATTGGGACTTGAATTTGTACTGATTGGCGACAATATGGTGTCCCATCTTTGCCATCACCAGTATGAATATAGTATTTTCCAGATCCAGTGAAATTTTTGGAATTATAACCCAAAGGAACGCATCGACCTGGGTCACGACACGACGAGTAGCAGTTACCCCTATTTACATTAAAAGACATGAAAAATATATCCTCAAATAACATGATCAATAATAACCAAATAACCTTTGGAAGGTGTCGTAGTCTGCACATTGATAAGCAATGAACGGGCAACTGCTAGATTTTACAATAGATTCCAGATAGAAATCTGCTCCTCGAACGTGGCTGTCAAAGAAATAATTACAAGTTAGATAATATAGATCATGCATATTATTTAATAAGATTTTTGAACATCAGCCAAGTGTGCGAATGCGATTTATTAGCATATCAATAAGCCATGAGATTCAATTAAGTAAACTAACAAACCTGCAAGCCCAAATTCCAATAGCGCCTTCAAAGTTCTACAAAAGAAGAAGAAACGCCTGTTTAAATTTGATTTTTTCAACAACATTCCATAATATCGATAGCCACCCGAGATGCTTGTACATATTAGAGCGTGGCATTGTAAAGTCGATAAACCGAGAGGTGCGTGCAATTACTGTTATAGCAGTTCATTTACATTTAAAAAATCTGCATATAACTTACCAGAGTGATCAAGTCAATGATGCTTCCAACGATGCTTCCCAGCAAATCCGCACATCCTGGCTGATGTTTCCCTCCTACAATAAAATAGCATACAAACTTATTCGCCTTGGAAAAATATGGGGAACATTTTGAACCAGTTTATTTACCATTGGGGAAGATGTCAACGTGACCGATGGGTCCAACTATTCCCATTCCCAAGTTCAATGCACCGTTTCCATTGGTATGAATAACTTCAACGTGCCTAGCATCCCCAGTGTCCAACCTCACAATTGGATCTGTGTCGCTAAAGTATGGGTCAGAGGGATCGATTGCCGTAATTCTTGGAAGTTGGCCAAGAGTACGATCACCCACGTATCTGAGTAATCAATATATAATAATATAAAAAACCTCTAAACATTATTAATACATACATGCATGCAATTTCTATTTATTACCCTGCAACATGCCCACCAAGATTGTGACCAACAATGTCGACATCTTCAAAATTGAGACCTCCTTTGTCTTGTAAAAAGTATAGGAAACGTGCCGTCTGGGCGCCTACAAGTCTATAATATAATAGGTATAATCATTTATATTATATCATAATATAAGATAATATAATTCACTTTTTTGACAACGGTCTTATTAACATAAGGTTTTGCATGCCCACGTTTTTATTTTACATACCTTGCGTTGGCAGTAGCACTGAGGTAGGGCGCTTTTGCTCCGGGGGCCCAGTCGATGCAAATAATGTTGACATCACCCTGTTAAGATTTTTTGTCGTTTCATATTATTCTCGGACGTGGTTCAAAATTATGAGGTGTGAGTAAATAATGAATATCGTCAGAAAGATACGCATACATACATACATATGTAACAGAACGAATAACTATGCATGAATAATAGCCTATTACATAAACACTTCCATGTCCACTTGAACCCTAATCTTCGAACCCTAGTCATCGGACATTCTTATCAAAATTGCACCACATACTGATACAGTTGACATGAATGACACGACATAGGGGACGTTCGTAAACTTCGTAACGCAAAGAGGGGTGGGTGGGGGGTCAGGGCCCAATGATATCGTGCCTATGTGACACATATTAAAGGGGGTGGGTGGGTGTCCAGAAAACCAAAAATTTGCGTTATGAAGTTTACGAACGTCCCCTTAACCAATAAAGTCGCAAATTTGACATGTTTAATTAACACCACGCGAGAGCTACGAGAAGTCATATCGAAAAGAAATACGTATTAAATACGTATTTGGTTATTTGTGCGCATAAGTTCAACTTACGTTTGTTAAGAATTGGTTCTTAGCTTCCCAGACGTAACTAGATTGATGAGAGTCCGTAAAACCATGAATGATAAAAATGGTTTTTCTTAAAGCAGAAAAGTCAGAATTCTCCAAGAGAACGTCCTATTTAAATAATTTAACAGTTTGAAGTATTTATATGCTAATGCGTAATTTTATGACTAACTTTGTCAACCATGAGGTCATGCCCCATGGATTCGGTGTTCCGAGTGAATAAAATAAATCTAGTCTGAACTTCATATGGAGGCTAAGAGGACAAAGGAATTTAAAACGTGAGTAATGATTTTGGGGTACATACGATTATTACTTGTTTGCATACCTTAGGGAGAGCAGACAGGGGTCGAAGAAGAGAAGTCCATGGAGCGTCGGTGCTGAAGCATCCATATTTATCGTAGCAAACCTACAGACCACAATAAAAATGTATTTTTTTATACGCAAAATTGTGTATCTCGATTGCAACTTTTGCTGCAGTACCTCTCGCTTATCCGCATCGTCAGTGAACGCTACGGAGCCTGTATTAATAATTATAAGTTAGTCACAATTAGTAGTTTCGTACCTTGTTACAAGTAGTAAATAATTTATGTGTAATAATGGGCATACTTACACAAAGCCGTCGCAAGGAGAGCAAATAAAATTTGCTTCATTTTATCAGAATTTTTGCAAGTTGTATGTCGAGAGGATACTCGATATTAACTAGGAACCAATTGCAAATATACTTATGGGTTTTATACTAATTTGTACAAATATATAGGGGACAAAGGTGTGTGTATTGTCACAGATGCAATCGGTCACCCAACACATGTTTCAGTATAAAGGTCGATAATGAAAAATAACTTTATTTTGTTATCTTATCAATATATATTGGTAATTGACTGATTGACAATCGTAAAACACTGTTTGGACCACAAGAGTAATAAGGGAATTTTTGAATGTCAACTAATTTAATATATGTTTGCACGTACCACATAAATACGAAATAACAAGAGATACACATCTATCACTGCATGCGCTGTACTTTGATATTCTACTTGTTATACAAGTCATTAACATATAAAAAAAACAATTTGCTTAATATCATCATACCGTAACTTTAACTTATACAATTTTTACGGAGTCTGCAAATTCTTTTGAAAACATTGAAACACCGAATCCTTGGTTCCCTGAAGACTTGATACATTTTAAGTTAGGTAATAAACCTTGTAGTACTTTCACCAAAGTCAAGTTAACCGGAATTTGATTGTTGCTAATGTCTAACATGTGACAATTAACAAACGATGCCAGTGACGCTGCATTTTTTAGCTTATTTCTTGAACAGTCAATGACTCGATGATAACAAAACCGTTCAGGGTAATATATTGATGTTAATTCTAGTCCACTCAAGTCTACAATCTCCTCATCTACTTTTGCTTTATCGAGTAAAATCCATTCGATAACAAACTTGGACCCTGTAATACACATTATAAAATTTATTGCGGATTCAGGCAAATTTAATTATTTATGAAACTTTTTAGATTGCTTACTCAAGTCATTGTAATAATTGGTTCTCTTGGGATCAATTTTCTGTAGTTTGTCCAAGTATTCCGTAATCTGTGGCTTAAATTCGACGAAATTTATCATACGCAATAACGTCATTGCAGTGTATATAGGCCCTACACAAAAGTTTCATATCATTTCATACTTTTTCACTAGGAAATGTATACTGATATTTTGTTGAATACATAACCTAGATAATTTCTTACATTTGATTTCCGGTTCAAGTTCGTGTAATTCTTCAACCCACGCCAGTTCTTCGCGTAACAACTTGTCGAATGCAGGTGTCTTTGGCTAAGATTGAGAACAAGATACGAATTATATCATGTTAATAAAAAAAAATTAATAGATAATTTTAAAATCAAAATCACACCTTGGTATCTTCATCAAAATATGAATCAAATTTTCCATGCAGTTTATCTAATTCTATACCCATTGAATCCGAGCTAAATAATTCTTTGATGTATTTGCCTGATACCGAAACTTGAACATCTGAATCCTTAATGGCATCAGCAGGGGTATTTGCTATCCAAAGCTTTGAACGACCTGAATTTAAAGGACTTTTCCAAATGATTCCAGGTATCTCGATACGGATGTCATCCATGGAAGGCATTGGAACAGGAACATTAAAGCAAGCAATTACATGGACTTTTGAAACCTGAAGAACCCTCAACTGTGGAGCATCTGTTGAATCAAGAGAAAAAAATCACTTAATTGATTCAATGAGTTTTTATTGAATTCGAACAGATTAGTCGTAACTTTTTAAACTCACCCTTTTTCAGCTGAGATTTTAATAACCATAAATGGTACAACCATGAAGATTGGTCCTTTGGGTCAGTAAATGCAGCATTTCTAATTAATTCTAATTCCTCTTCCAAGTAATCTTTGGACAAATGTGGCAATATTTTTGACCGCAAATGCCACGATGAGAAGTTTGAAAAGTTTGAAGATATTTTATCTGTTGAAAATTGTAGCTCTTCTTCAAATGTCACCAACGAGCAGTTATCTAGCAGAAATCTTCGGTAATCCCACCCGTGAACTAAAATATGTAATAAGTATCATTGTATAACTGCAGCACAACTTGAATCACATTTTCATAAAATCGCAGTATATTTAAATATTACAATTCCGGTCATCATATGTTAAAAATTTGGAACAATGATTAAGCTCTTCTTCCACTCTTGCAAATTCAGTCTCCTTCATAAGCCAGCAACGATGATACCATGCTCCGTAAGACTTTGGATTGCTTTTTAAACAAAATGCAGAAAACTCCAACTCCTTTGGAACAACGGTATCCATAAAGTCGGATAAGCTAAAATATAATGCTTCTTGTGAATTGACTGAATTAGGTATTGGGTTAAGTATGTATAATATACAGATTAAATCATACTCTGCTTTCTTCAGTTTCTCCAAAGTATCTTTACGAATGTTCCATAAGGTAGAAATATCAGGGTTTGCAGCCAAAACTTGGCCAGTAATTGAAAGCATTTGAGAATCCAATTCTCCTTTAGACCTCTAAATACAAAGGAATTTAAGAAAACATTTTACACTCATCATACGTACATATAACAGTAAATTTAGCTGATACTCATGCACTTACCTTTTCAATTATCTTTTTCATAGCAAACTGATAAGCAGCCACTTTCGCCTCGCGTTCCTTTTGTTTCTTGGCCTCTTCCTCTGGGGATAGTTCCACCCTTTGTCGGCCGTGCTATGTGGTGCAATCATACCATTATCATTATAATTTATAATTAGTCATGCAAATTATATGTCTTACGTGTCATTTCACAAGTCACTTACCATTTTTGATGAGTTGTTGTCAAAGATTTCTTGAATACGTTGAACGTATAAGTTATTTGTCCGGATCGACTGGAAAATTGCAAACAGTTTCCTATTTTCCGTAAAAAACAAAACAAATAAAAACCAAAGTGCGAATGATGCTGCAAATAATAAAAACAGCTGCCAGTTGTGCCAATCTCAATACGCCTCACACGCACTCGTCAGCTGCGATTCCAGATTTTCGACACAATTCAAGCACAACATATAGTGACATAACTATCATTAAATATTAAGTTAATAATATTAACTAAAATTGTTACCACGTGCGTGGTGTGGTGGGTGCAGACCAATTTTGCAATTGTCATTAACTGTGAGTGATTTTTGTAAGTAATATTTAACTCCTATTTTGAATTTTGAAGTTATCTTATTAGAATTATATCTCATTGTATTTAGCTAATCGTATCGTAAGCTGTCACTATGTTGGCTGAAGATGATGATTGCGACTTCATCAATGTCCCTGCCGAAACCCCTCTTAGCCCTGAAGAAGCTATCATACGCAGGCACCGAAAAGAGAAACGAGATTTACAAGGTAAACTTTTATTGTTATTTATCAACTAATTTACACTGGATAGTGAGTCGTTGATGAAATGAAAAAATAAAATTTAGCTTGATTTGGTTTTAGGGACAATTCAAAGCATGAAGAAAAATGTGAACCAAAAAGATAAAAAGAAGAAAAAGGAATTGGCTGAAGAGATTGTTAAATTGGAAGCTGAACTGGATGCCAGGCATAAAGCTGAGTTGACTGCCTTTCTTCCAGGAAAATTGGACCTCCCAACATCTAAGATTCCAGAAACCGTGGTAGAAGAGACTATTCACGACACGTCGTCTTGTACAAAGAATGAGCAGGACGGAAAAATGTCGCGAGCTAGGAGACGACGTGAAAAGAAAGAGGTTGACGAGAAAGAAAAGAAAAAAAGGATAGATGCCGAATCCTTCGTGCTCTTGGAAAATTCTCAGATGAAGGCAGAGGACGATGCCTTTGTAAAAATTATGAATGATCTCAACTTGAACATTGTTGATGTTGACCCCGACGGAAACTGGTATGTGCATGCTTGCTACTTATTTGTTAGTTGATTTGGTGCTAGCGGATCGTGTATGATAATTATTATATATTTATTCTTTTTGATTTAGCTTATATAATGCGGTGAAGGAACAACTACAGCGATTTGGGGACAGCATGGAAGCGCAAGAACTTAGGAGTTTGACAGCAAAGTATTTAATAGATCATAAAGATGAATTTATCATGTTCATGGAGGAAGAATACACTTCAGACGAGGGTTTTCTTGTTTACTGTGATAAACTGGAAAATACTCCTGCGTGGGGTGGACAGTTGGAGGTATGTGCATAATTTATGCCATGCAAAGTTATTCAAACCCAGTACGGTATTGTGATAATCTTCACCCTTAATATGTACATTATAGGTCCGCATATTGTCCCTAATTTTGGAGCGTCCTATTAAAGTCCTTCAGGCTGAAGGAGTTCCAGTCACTTTCGGGGAAAATTTCTCCAAAAAAGAATTGACCTTGACGTATCATCGGCATCGATACCAATTGGGAGAACATTACAATTCCACAAAACCTGTCGTCAAATAGTATACAATTAATTAATGGTCTGGTCTCTGGTCCTCGTGAATTACTCGGATTGATTAACGGAATTTTTCAGTTATCGTCGTAAGTCATCTTGCTTCTATTATTTGTACAGTGGCAGCAACATTTTATTTCACAGTTCGCGATGTAAGAATTAAAAATAAACTAAATGCAAATTGAGCTAAACATCACCAACTGACTAATATGACGTGCTTTAAACTATTAAAATTTGTTATTTGTATATATGTATGTACATTCGAGAAGAGCATGATACTTGAAGACTATGTACATTGTCTAAAGGAAATGGGTCCACATTATAATTTTACATCTCATATATTACATATAGAACTAAAATCACGTAATTTTTTTGTTATTTTTGTTCTTGAAGCTAACTAATTTATTTAGGTGGGCTGGACTCTCTAGTTTGGTCATCAATTGCTTGCAGGTAGCTAATTCCCGTTTTTGCTAATAAGATCGAAGATCCAAGTGCTAAGCCAACTCTAGCAACTTGTACTGTTGTATCCTTATTGGTCGTGGCTACAAATTTTGAAGCATTTGTCATTTTATATGCATACCCTACATGTAAAAATCCGCAGTTTATTATATTTACCTGCACGAATCATTGCCCAAATTAGTAAAGAGCCCAAATTAAACATTCCAGCGGCGAAAACACTGTTCACAATAAGTGAGAAAGTATATTAACATGCATATTCGAATTGTTCAAAATCTACATTTTATGTATATAAAACTTATTAATTACCTAAATCCAACCTTTTGTTTCCCTAAGCTCTTGAGATGTTTTCTGTCGTAAATGTAAAGACAAGCCCCAGCAAGGCTACCGGTTAAGAGTACGTTTGTAGGGTCTGCAGGAGAAATCCTGCAATGTAATACGCCAAAATTAGTGTCATTTATAGTGGCAAAGATATTATCCTATTCAAAACCTTTGAAAACGACCCACCTCTTGAATAAGCTGGGCTTAACGATGTGGACGCTGAGTAGGCTGTAGGCCAGGGACCCACCGAGGGGCAGATAAAAGTGAAGCAGATTTTGTCTCGTAAGGGGTCTGAAGGTGATAAAGGGATGCCAGTGAGCACATTCTTCGGCCTGCTCATCCAACCCAGAGTCTGAGGAGGAAGACATTATTATTTTCAAATTCGAAAAAATTCCGTGTTCCTATTCCTTGTGCTGAATATTATGTAAGTTTTATGCAGATTTCCAAAAGAGTTGGAAATATACACCAACTGCTACAAGATCAAAAATTAAAAGTTAAATGAAATATTTAGTACGAGAGTCTCGAGAGAGGATTTTACTGCCGGAGAAAGTAGAAAGTATGTAAGTACATGCAACTATGCAACCTTTCATTTCTTATTCGCAGGTGATTTCTCCTCTCCAGATCCAGTCTCACGCTTTATGCTACAGAATACCCTTTCGGAAATACTGCTACTTGTCTCAAATTCTTCGTTCTCACGCAATCTTCATAACGAATAGCATCAGTTCAATTTCAACCTACTCAAGCTATTTTGGTGGATTTTGGTGTATCTCCCAATTCAGGTGTTTACTTTAGCGGGACAATCTCGTAGAATCGGGTTTATTCGGTGAGTTGGAAAATTTGACTTGGAAAACGAAAATGTCACTGCATGTATAAGTATGATATTTTCAGACGATGGCTTCGGCCCCGTTATCAGAGGAGGACAGGTATGTTGGATTGTTGGAGATAGGAAACCCTTCCGAGGTGAAAGATGAATACTGGATCTGGGCAGTTAATCGAACCAACATGAATAATCGAAGACCGGATCGCGAACAAGAAAATACAAAATGTGGAAAATGGCTCATTTTCGACAACATGGACACAATTGACGAGACTTGGGAAAAGGTCAAGAAAGCAGTTACAACAGGTGAACTGGGATTCTTGGCTAAAGTATCCACCATGAAGGATAAGCAAGGTACATATAAATAAAAGAACATTTTCATACAACTCATATCAAGACAATATATCAAGCTATGTATTCATTGTTAAACTGAAAAATAATTGACATAGAACGTGGAAATATTTCACAAGCTGTGATTTGCGTCTACACGTATGACTGGACTGATGAGACAGATGTCTCGAGAGTTCGTGAAGCACTTCGTTCCATTGGTTTTGTCAAAAAATTGCCATACAAATCAGATGAGGATACGCTGGCAGGAAATTATGCAGGCAAAGGAAAGAGAGTGAGCAAATATTATTACTGATGATAAGATTTCATGCAAGTAAGAATTTTCATAAATGTATTTCTCAGTATTTCAAATTAAGTATGTGTATTTCAACTTCAACAATTTGTATAACAATGGAATAAATACCGTACGAAAATGTTCGGATTGAAAATCAACCAGTGGTGTTAATTCAAATACAAACTATTTGCATATCAGTGAGTAGAGCATATATATTACTAAACCGTATTATTACTATACCAATTCACATTATACTGTCAATTGTGTGTTTTAGGATTTGGTAGATGATGGCGCAGTTCCATCGCCAGAGTTTTGCTTGTTTAGAGGATTGTTATCATCAGGACATTGAGGACGCATTGCAGGGAATAATAACACTTCCTAAATTTCAAAAAAGAACTAAATCACGTGAACCAAAATTTTGGTAATCAATAACCTTTGGAGAATGTATCACCTTAATATTATGCGAATCAGTGAGTAGCATGGCCAATCGGTCAATTCCCATGCCCCATCCACCGGTTGGAGGAAGTCCGTATTCCAAAGCAGTACAAAAGTTTTCATCAACCATTTGTGCTTCGTCGTCACCTGCGGCTTTGTCCTATTCACATATTCATATTTTAATTAATTTGAAAGAGCTTAATGAGAAATTTGTGTTTTTCCAAGGCCTTACTCTCGCTTGTTGTTCAAATCTACTGCGTTGGATAACAGGGTCGTTTAATTCGGTATATGCGTTACAGACCTAAGGAAGTGAGATTTATGTATTTCATATACAAGTTAATATAAGGAATCAGTTTCGCAGCTATTGACTGGGAACTGGTTAAGGGTGATGGATTTGATTTGAATTTCAGCCCGCTCGCAATGTTAATCAAATGGGCACGTGTTTTTGGCGGGCAGAAATTCCATCACCCTTAACCAGTTCCCAGTCAATACTTACCTCTCGCTTGTATACAAACAATTCAAATCTTTCCGTTAAACCCTTTTCTGACCGATGGTACTTGGCCAGTGGGCTCATGATTTGTGGATGATCAATTATAAATGTAGGACTGATACACTGTTCTTCAAGAAAGTGTCCCACTAGCCTATCCAACATTCTGGAAGCCGTCTTGGGTGGAGGACATTCAACACCATGCTTTTCACAAAGTTCATTGAGCTGTTTGAGGGATTCCGGTGATCCCAAATTTTCGTACGAACCTATGTCATATTGATTTCACTTACAATTGCCAATCTTCACCTATATAAATTACGTTAAAATGTTACTCACTACTACCTACCTAAAGATGAACCAGTAGCTTTCTCCAAATCAGGAAGCATACGAAATCTTCTAAATGGTGGCGTGAAATCAATTTCAACCTCCTGTCCTTCTTCTGGATGAATTGTAATTTTATAGCCTCCGTAAATTGACTTTATAAGACCTGTATGGTTAAATTTGAAATACAGGCTTAATGGTGAATCGTGTTTAATGTATGTATCAAACAAATTAATTTACCGGAGAGCAAAGACTCTGTTATTTCCATTACATCGTTGTAGTCAGCTAGAGTACAACACACATTCTTTATTGACAGTCAAGTCCAGCCATTCACGTAGATAATGCAATCTTAAATGTACTTATTACATACTTACCGTAAGCCATATAAAATTCGCACATTGTAAACTCTGGATTATGTGTCAAATCAATGCCTTCATTCCTAAAGTTGCGACCAATTTCATAAACCCTATCGAATCCACCAACTACCAACATCTGCAACAAAAAATACAATAATATTAAGAGTCTATATATGGCACGTATCTTTCGTACCATAGAAAAAACGTAGTTAAAAAAACTACCTTAAGGTACAATTCTGGTGCTACTCGCATATACAAATCTATATCTAGTTCATTGTGGTGAGTTATGAAAGGTTTCGCTGTTGCCCCACCGGCAACCATATTCATCATCGGCGTCTCCACTTCCAGAAAGCCCATATTATCAAAAAATTTGCGCACGTATGCTGAAATATTGCAAAACAGTGGTACGTAAGACACCTTATCACTCACTAATAATACAAACCCAATAAAAACTTACAAATAATTTGGGAACGGATAATAAACTTGTTCCTGATCTCCTGGTTAATTATCAGATCTAAGTAGCGCTTACGATATCGAGTCTCTTGATCTTTCACCCCGTAATGCAAATGAGGAAGCATATGAAGGCATGGAGTAAGAATTTTAAAATCTGTAGGAATCAAAGACAATTCTCCCTGGAAAAATTAAAGTAGATCGAAAATTACAACTATAACAAGTACACACAGCAATTTAGGTGCATTTCGATATGAGGACTACTGTTACCTTCTTGGTTTTGGCAGGATGTCCAGTAAAACCAACAATGTCACCTCGCTTAATTTTATCCATGGCTTCTTCAAATTGCTCGGTATTATTGAAATACTTTGCATTCGCCATAATTTGCATTTTAACTCCTTCTCCTCGAACGTCAAAGAATCTCAGCTTTGCTCCAGATTCTCGAATCGCATGAATCCGACCAGCTAGAGAAAGTGTAACGTCCTCCAAAATGTCACCCTCTTTTAAATGGTTGTATTTGTTAATGAACTCGGTGAGAGACGTGGAAACATGAAACTTGTGAGGATATGGATTTATTCCTCCATCTTTTAGTTGTTGCAAGGTTTGAAGTCGCAGTTTATAATACTCCTGCACATGAAAAGAGAAATATGACAACATAAAATTAACATTATTATTAGTAAGTATTGTAACACCATCCTAGAAATGCCTAGAATATTATGCATATTTCATTCGATTCAATTTGGGTGAAAAAATTGTCGCAACATGTGTGTCTGAATTGCATGACAAGAAATTCAGGGCATAAAATGTGGCCGGTTTATTTGCGAGACCTTTAGCACCAAGACGGCATTATGATAACATTTCGGTGACTCTGGCTCGCAGTAAGAATTTGAGTTCATAACATGCTTACATTTGGTGATATTTCCTCTTCATTTTCCTTTGGTTTATTTGCAACGGGTTTCTTATCATTCGCAGCATCCTCGGCTAATTTCTGCTTTTCTTTCTCGGCCTTTTCCCTGGCCTTCTGTTCGCCCTTTTGTCTTCGCTTCAACTCACTGCAATCAGAAACCACATTATATTTAAGTAAATTTAACTCGTCTGGATAGTTGCATACGGTAATGTTTCAACAAAGACAAGCAGATCTCGACTATAGCATTAATATAAATTATGAATAAATTCGACATATAGATGGACTAGGCTCCTTACCTCAGATTTTGAGGTGTGCAAGAAAGGTTTCGAATTCTTGTAAAATTCCAAAAGGATTGATGCACTTTAGAAAAATCTGAGCCTAGTCCAGCCTTGGCAGCACCTCCATAAAGTGCTTTCGCCAAGCTGGCTAACATATTCCGCAGTTCTAATTATTTATGTCATCACAATTTAATTGTCCTGCTTCTACCGTCTTAGATCTTTGTAAAATCGAACCTTGCAACAGCTCATAAAGTGAGATAAGCTAAATTCTCCATTTTCCTTTATTTATTTGTACTGTGTCATGTGTTCTCTGCTTTGTCACTTTGTCGATAAGGAATGACTTACTTTTTAGATTCCTTTACGCCAGCTGTGTCCGCCATAATTCTACGTCAACTTTCACTTGATAAACTAAATATTCAAATTGGTTAGACCAATTACTTCGCCAACTGACCATATGCTCACACTGCCAACTGTTCCAGTCAGTAATGTTTAGTAATTGTCAATTAGCTAACTGATGACGGGCAAGAACACACGAATTCCGGAAGTCGCGTGTGCAATGAGAATGTGTGCCGTGAATTTGAGTGAGGAACGAGTTTACCCTCCAAATCTGCCTGTGGGCCAGATGGGGCTGGATGTGTGAAGCAACAAACGGAAACCTTGCGTCATTTTATTTGCAAAATCGCTTCCTTCGTGTTACTATTGTTTGTGATGACTGTTTCGAATTAATTAATTCACCTAACGTTATTGTTGATACGGCTGACTCAATTTTGAGAAATATGAGGTCAGATGAGACAGAGTTGTTGTAAAGGCACAGCAGGCGGTGGGAAAGATGAGACGGGGAAATTGAGAATGTCTCAAAGTGGTGAAAGTGGCAGTCGTTTACATTTGTAACAGAATTTTTGTTAATGAGTAATATGCAATATCTATATTATGCGTGCCCTACCTATAATTATGTTAAGGTTAAAATAAATGGAGGTATATAAATATAAGATTAATTCAACTGTCAAAAGACAAGAATATGGCATAATCGATACTAGAATATTGACTAAACTCTCATGATCAGCTTTTTACATAGTTCTTGACAAATACATACAATGTATTTAAAATTCAACAATCTGGCATCTCGACCATGAGTATACCGTTTTGATGCTAAAAGCTTCAAATTCTAAGAACTTGTAGCATTTGTAACTAAGGAGTAAATTTTGGCTATCCGAAGTGCATACTACTAATAAAGGTTTGGCATGTGTCTGAAAATTTAGATTTCATAATAAGTCTTCGGTCGCATTAAATTCAGTACGCTAAATAAATTCACATCCCTCAAAATGGATTTGAGATTCAATATTAAAGACTTGGCGAAAATGTTTGACGAGGTGGACCCTGAACGTCAAAAAAATCAAGACGCTAATAGTGACAGTGATTCTGAAGAGCCCAAGTCCAAGTTGGGCAATAAAGGTTTTGATTAAATAGTTTTCTAAACAAATTAATTTAAAATCTAATTTAAAGTTAGATAATGATGCCTTGTGCAGGTCCGGGTGACATTGCAACCTCAAAACTGTCAAAATCTGATGCTAATGCTAGCACATCTGCAAAAGTGATTCCTAAAACCATGAAAAATCTCAAAGAGATTTGGGACTCCAACTCATTGAAAACTGCAGTAAATTGCATCACTGAAGACAACGAAGACTTTGGCATTGACAATATTTCCATACAAAATGATCCTCGCAAGACACCCAATTATGAAACACACTATCGTCAATCTGTTACTACAGAAGATGTCTTTCTTCATGTAATTTATCTCAAAATATAAATACGCAATTTTTTTTGCCTGTCAAATAAATAAAATTGCCTGCAAAATTAAAATTATTTTTATTTAGATGGGACACAAAACACCAGGGACTGCGAGTTGCGAAAACTTGGTGGTAGAAGTTCACCTTCCAGGAGATAATATTCAACAGATTCAATTAAGCTTAAAGAAACAAGCGATTGACTTACGGTCACCGATTCACTTTTTGTATCTCAATCTCCCTCATCGAATTGACCCACGGGTTAGCAGTACTGCTTTTTTATCCATATAACACAAATCTTCAGCCCCCAATTATTTATTTGGCTTGATTTCATAATGTTTTGTGTGCTTGGTCTTTCTGACACACAATTCTACAATTGTGCATTGTAGAATTTCATCCAAATTAGCATTTTTTATTTAGTATCATCATAACTTATCACGTAATATAGAAATGTGTCATGTTTCACACGTCGTCCAAATGTCTGGCTTAAACTCTTTAAAGTGGACTTGATTATTTATGACGTTACTGCAAATAATAATTCTCCATCATCAAGCCAAATGCCAATTACAAATTTTTATTGTAATTTCAAATGAGCGAGGGCATATGTCGTAATCACTAATAATGTATGATTTCATTTGCAGGCTGGAAATGCAAAGTGGGACAATGAGAAAGAGAAACTCGTCATTACTCTCCATCTCGTTCGAGAATTCGACGAATATAATTTTTAGTGCAATCAGTGCTCCTTTATTGTTGTAGCGAAACGTAGCATATTATTCTGTAGGTTGGTTGGTTTAACAGTCAATAAATACACAAATTTTCAAAATAAATATAACAAATCTTTTGCTTATAAATAAAAATAATGGAATAAATTTACTATGACGGGTTATGTAAAACGGGTAAAGTTACATGCGTGAATTTCTTCTTTATGTCAAGCCAAAACTCCAAAGGGGCTGCACAAACGTCACTTGTTGAATCGTATAATGGGCTGGGCTAGCACCAATGTGACCTCCGAATCCCTGCAATTTAAGCTTCGAAAAATCTGATGTGACGTGCTAATTACACACATGAAAATAGAATTTTGTATCTTGATTGGCACGTTGTAGCATCTAATTTGATTATCTAACAAGAGACTAACTAATCACGATACAAAAGACGTTTCAGCTGAATTTAAGAACAAGAACTGTTGACACAGCTCGACAGACATTCATATCTTATCCCGTACCAAAAGGGTGAGTCCCAGAAACCAGATTTGACGAGACCTTGTCATTGAGACTGCAGGTTCAGCGTATTTTAGGAATTTGACTTCAATTGATTGAGCTATGTGCATCGTGTTTTGAACAAGCAGACATGATGGCGATTCTATGTACATATTTATTTACATATAAGCCCTGTCTCACATGAATTGTCAGACCAAAACGTTAAATTCAGGTGATCAACTAATAAGCCATTCATCCTTTGATCCTCATATACATATGGTCACCAAAAACTACACTTGACCAACCGTGACATTATTGACACCAAATGCACCAGTTTTACTTACAGCCAAAAATGGTAAATTAATTATGGGCAATATTGTTCGTGCTAATCAAGCAGCGAGTATCTTCCCACGAAATCTTCTTGCACTCTGAAGAGTGCAGTCTGTGAATTAGCGCTGCATCAATTACATTTTCATGATCATTGATTACAATGAGGACGTCATGTCCCTATATATTTTTATACTATGCTTTAAATGTCGGCTCAGTATGGTCTAATGGGATGGGATGGGACACACAGTGGGTTGGATATTTGGCAGGAAGCCTCGTGATTCATTAAAAAATCATCTTTCTAAGAAGAGGAAAACTTGGTTTCGTAGGTATGTATATGTGAATATTGGATATATGTATTTACATATGTGTATGTAAAAGTGTGCAATATTATAATCGACACCAACCACGACCACTGCAAAACACCGTGTTCCGCATAAATTGTACGCAGAGACATGCAGTCTGCCTTTTTAGGCAGGGACATTATCACTCGCAGAAGCATTCATCATTCAGGACAAGATGACATTTAGCAAGGGTATTAAGACCAATTTGTGGTCAAACATGAGTGTAAATGTCGTCAACAGAACAAATTATATATACACATTCATACAAACACAGTTTTGTGCAACAGAACAGATGCACCACATAATTATGGCAGATTTGCATCGAAGGTCGAAAACTGTTGGAAAATATTTAGACAACCCATTTCGGATTGACTTGGTCTCTGTTAAACTATCGCAAAGCGATGTGAGAAATGATTCGTTGCACAGTGCAGACGATTTTCAGATAAATGCTAAATTGATTAGTTGAAATCAATACGAGGCGAGTAAAGTTTCAATGAACATTTGTACACTCAAGGATTGTTTTTCATTAAATTTTTCATTAAATTCATCATTAATTTTATCAAATATTTAGAACTTATAATAAGTACCATCGGATTCCACCACATCTCATTCGCCACTTTGGGTAAAGGAAATGCCACATCTCCCTTGGGCCTTCGGATAACTGAAAGAATATGGTTCCCTAAAGTAAAATTAGCTAAATGACAAGCTTCTTCGTGCCAAAAACATAAATATGGTTTCACCAAAACTATGCGTATGATGGGACGGTTATTTTTTATCGGGTTGCAATAAATTTGGCCTACTTTTGGTATTGATACATTATCTCATTTCACGAGGGAGTGAATCATATTACAAAAAATGTCTTTATTGGTGTACATTTCAATTTAATGCGTGAATATATGCATAAATTACGCATACGTAAATTCGGACGAATGAACCAAATGGATCACTGAAACCTCAAAATGTCATAAAATCAGCCCAGTTGTGGAGGCAATTGTCCTGACATAAAAATAACAAGTCCACAGTTGTACGCGCATATTTATGCACTATGGTTCCGAACATTCTGTCTGGTTGAAAGTAAAACTTCTCTCTGGAATGCGTTCAGAAATGCATACCAATAATAACAGATAAATTATTGGGACGTTCATATGTGCATACGTGCATATATCTGGGCATCACTTTCCCAACCGAAGCCCATTAATATTGAGCCATCGTCAAATGCAGTTGTTGAGGTGCTCCATTTCACGGATTGGAACTAAAAATAATATTTTCGCTGAACATGAGAATTATAAATACAATACAAGTCAAGCAGGTAATATGTAGTGCATATTTGCATATTTATTATGTGCATATATACTGTCAATCAATTGAGAGTAGGCGTATGTACTTTTTTTAGTATGTAGAACAAGAGCTGCAGTTGGGATGAAGTTTTGTTTATATTTGGAGGAAGTAGATGAATGGAAATATAGTGAACTTGTTTATTTGCTTTTGTCTTGCGAAATTTTTGAAACTTTGCGATGATCTCAATGTGTCCCAACTCAGTATGAAAGTGAAAAGAATTGGTTCAACAAAAAACATACTCGAGACCAATGACCAAACTCGTGCATACCATTCGTTAATACAAAATCTCTAGTGTATTGGCACCATTAATTGTTTAGCCAAAATATCTCCGAGAAACGCCATTTCTACGGGAATTGCACCTTTTGCCACGCAAATGTTAATGTGACCTTTGCTGGTACAATCTGATTAGAGACTTGCTTCATATCTTTTATATCAAAATAAAAACAATGGAATCCTGAACTTCTATACCGCCAGTTTGCCATAATCATGACCATAATCTGGTAGTACCATGCTCATGGATATTCAATTCCCAAGTAAATATATAGCAACCTCATCCGTGCATCGTCATTCACAATATTTGCTTCTTGTACATAATCGAACTTGGAATAGTAAATCACTTCGATCTAACATTTCGATGTTGCTGCAAGAATTGCATTGGTTGCATCTTGATTGGATACTAACCATCTTGATATCCAACGCTCCGATCTATGCAGACTTGATCTGAAACAACTTGTTAACTAGATAGCACACTCTCAGCTTAATATAAAATGTTTATTAAATCAATATCGTCCCTTGTAAACACACGCAAAATATTTACTTTCAAAGTCTATTTCTTCTGCCTTGCAAAAGACTTGACAACATATTACGAGCAAAGTGAGGAAGATCGAGACCACTTTCCTTCATCCATCCAACTAACACGGATCTCATCTCATGCACCATCCAAGCTCACATCGCCTCAAGTTCTTTCGTCGTCGTCGTCGGAAGTGATCCATAAATCTGCAAAGTTCGTGACATTTTAAAACAAGCTTACACAAAACAATTTTAATGTGATTTACGAAAATAAAAAAACAAGATTTTCATAGAAAACTGAAACTGACACGTGTTTCCTTTGAGTTTTTTTAAACAAATTGTAAACAAATTTGCCAAATTGATGCAAAAAACACTTAATTGTTCAACTAATTGAAACTCTCGACAATGAAGGTGTTCAACAGTGGAGGTAGAATCCTTGTCATCGCCAGCATTTGGACATTCCTTATTACACTTTTCTCAACCGAAAGTCATGGCTGGCGACACGATAGACGTAAGTTAATTGACGTTGGCGTTTTTTTCTCGGTGAACCCGCTTATTGAATGCTTTTCTCTCTGCTAGTATTTGTAACCAATTTATTTTATTAGTATGTCTGTGTTTATGAATTCTAAGCAATTATTTGCAAATGATGTCTCGTGTCGACCTTTTTGAGACATTGTCGTACTTATGTATGTACGCATTTCAAATAATTTGGACAATGGCAGACTTATCTCTAATTTTACCAAATAGTTATGCAAAATAATTAGGTTACAGACAAAATAAATTATGGATGCAGCAAGTACTGCGCGTGCTGTATGCACCCAAAACACTTATTATTAGATAAGTAGATGCACTCCAACATTATACCGAGTTGGTTTCCTTTGCTCTTTATCTCAATTTGCATTTTCTAAAAGTGAAAAAATTGAGGTGTAAAAATGGTTTGAATGTATTTACAATAATAACAAGGCTTGGTTTATTCATTTTAATATCGGCAACTAATCTCATGACTTTGGTCGCAATGTAGAAATAATGCAACGTGATGTGAGTCATCCATGTGTATGCATGCATTCACAGTGTCTGCCATATGCAGTGTTATCACGCTATCTTGCTAAAAATGTCAGTTTGTACCCTATGGACCAAAGTGATAATTACTTGCACTAATTTTTATCATAATTAAAGTTTTGACTTTGCAGTTGACCTATTTGATCTTAAGTTGATAACGATGTGAGCAACTGCATAAAACTCGTGGGCAGTGGCTTTTTAACAGTTTTTTCTTCAATTAATGATGCCTCTGTGTATGCGTTATGTTAAACAACACTTGATTCTTTTTATATCTATCTCACCGCTACGCTGTTTACTAAAGCACTGACATGAACCTTACGATTGTCAACTAATTAATCAATTACTTAATTATAATTATGTTTCAAATAAATTAAATTATGCAGTAATACAGATTGTAATAGACGAAATCACTTAAATCATCATCTTTGATTTGAATTTAATCATTAATGTGTACATACATATTTCACTCAATGTAATAAAACTGCAATGTGTCATTTTGCTAATGGAGTCGATAGTGTGGCACAAAGTCGTAAATTCGCCCACTTACGCACATCCGATTCCAATTCCATAAACATTCCTCCAACATTTAACCTCTCCACTCAGCAACGCTGTAATTTATGGATAGTTAAAATCACCCTGGCATGAAGCGTTAAAATTAAACCATTAAAGTATTTAAAAACTGCTACCAACCAACAACTTATGTCTAAAAACAGTTTCGGCTGAATGGCTTCTAAGCAAAATTGTACAAGGCAGACGACGCTTCACTAAAAAACATCGACCTCGGCATAGAATATAATAAAGTGCTTTAAACTTGTATGTATCAAACCACTTGTGAAACGTTAATCAATGTTTTATGGGTTCGATTATCGTTTAAAACAAACATGTTGGGATAGAACTAATTGAAACAATTGGGCTACCTGGATTATTAACACAGAAGACTTCCTGGTTCAGATTGAATATGATTACATATGTTCCAGGAGATTGTGAATAATTAGTACTTTGATTGCCATTCATGCGCACATTAATATGTACAAATTCACATGTGCATATCAATTTACCAAGTACGAATTTAACTGATGTATATTATGCATTAAAATTGCATGCGTCGTCAATTTTTTCGACCGTAATTTGCTAATATTTAAATCAAAACGATACGTTTCGCATAAATGATGAGAGTTAATTAAGCTGGTTCATTAATATTTTCTGGCTTTTTTAGGTCCCCGAGTGTATGGGAACCGTATGCCCAAAAGTATGCTGCTCACAAATTCTCACAAGGTGCAAGAGAAAATCGTCAGTGCTCACAACTTGTTCAGATCCAATGTGAGACCAAAAGCATCAAACATGTTGGAAATGGTAATAAGAAGTATGATTTCGTATTCTTGAAAATATTTAGAATCGGCACTGTTTTTACCATAAATTCACTTATCCATTGTCTGCTTACAAAAATCGACGAATCCCACCATGCACTGTCAATTTGCATACTACTGACCATTAATGCAACTTCCCCGACATAGCCGAATGATTATAAACTTTTCGATTTATTGCCAATGTCCAAATATGAAAAGGGGACCTAATTGTTCAAGACAGGTAGTGACAACCATGAAATTGGATGAGGATTTTATGATCACTATTGTTATTTAGTTTGTCAAACAAGATTGGTTGGATAAGTTGCACAAGAAAATGATGTCTGACTACTTGTCTCTCTGGGCTTGTCTGTCACAAGCAATTATCGTTTATAGTTTGCAACGAACAAATTATTCGACTCCCGATCATGTAGTGATGTGGATACATTGTGATGTAAATATTTAGTTGTCTGTGACATTTTTCACTATTTTTATTACAGACGTGGCACTCTGGGGCAGCAAAAACGGTACGAGTATAAATTATTCCAAAATAATTATTGTATTGCATTTTTAGTTAAATTACTTTTAAAGGCACAAAAATGGGCAGAACAATGTGAACTCTTGACACATGATAATGCTACTGACCGATGGACTGAATTTTATGGGCCTTGTGGTCAAAATATTTTCGTGTCAACGCACAAAGTCCCTTGGTAAGCTGTAGTAAAACATTAAATATGCTTATGCTATTGCCTTCATAGTTAATGTTTTTGTCATAATTTGAAAGTATAATCGAAATTTATAGGTTCTTCGCTATCAAAACGTGGTATCTAGAACACCGTAATTTCACCTATGGCTCCCCCAAAAACGAACTTGGCGTCATAGGCCATTTTACACGTAATTCCGTTTTCATTTGAATTAAAAATTTTTATTGTGTACTTTTCTCAAAAACAAAAGCAAAGTTAGTAAGTTTGACTTTCAGAGCTGGTTTGGGCTACCTCGCATAAAGTAGGATGTGGATTTTCACAATGTAAAACATCAAAAGGAAAAACTTTTTACAACTATATTTGTAATTACTGCCCCGTGTAAGTCAGCAACGCAGCCAATCTAAAAGTCAATGACTATAAATAGTTGTAGATACAGAGTATGCATATGAGAAGACTTTCTCCAACATTTAAAATGCTTTTGTATTTTGCCAGTGGAAACTATATGGAGCTTCTTGGACAACCTTATAAACGCGGAACACCTTGTACCGATTGTCCCGAGAGTTGTAGCAAGGAGACAAAATTATGTACGCTAGGAACATTTATTTATTTTATTGAAATACTGGAAGTTTAGATAATGTGAATTATTATTTTTTGCATGCAATTTAGGTACAAATTCATGTCCATTTGCGGATTTGTGGGTCAATTGTGCGGACTTGGATGCAGGATGGCACGACTGGCTGTGCAAGGATAAAAGCAAGGAAGGAGTCCGCAGAAAAAAACACTGCCGAGCAACTTGTCATTGTAAAAATAAAATTGTAATGCTATTTCCCTCAAATCAAATCTCAACCATGCCAAATAATCGTTAAGATTAGTTAAAAATAATAGTTGCATATTTATGTATATGCACTTTCCAACGTTGCTGGCTCTTGTCTAAAGTTGTTTTTAGTAAAATAATTTTCAGACAATATTAAACTCAGGCCTTGTCAACTTTTCCATAATCAGCAAAAATTGTTATTACTTAATTTGAGGGTGTAACAATAATTGCTTTGCCATATTGATACTTATCGAATAATTAATGTAACCTACTTAAGTATAAATATATGTTTAGAGAGGATATTAAAAGAGAAAAAAACTGCCAAAAACTCAAAACTGAGGCAAAATTATGCAATAAATATATTATACCAAATATTCATGACGTGTGTAAAGGATGGATCAAGATGTTAAGGGAATACTTAACAGTCTTAATAAATAAAGTGCGTAATAAATTGTTTAACAATCGCGCAGGCTTCTTGACGAGAGACCTAATAAATTAGTGTAAATTTCTTGCATTATTATTTCGTATTTTAGGTAATGAAATTAGAAGCAGGACCGCACAAGGCATGGTCACTTGTGCGCTAAACCAAAACCCAAAGTCTGTGACCATGAACCATGAATGATGTGTGGCGTTGATCACCTTAACCCAACAGAAAAATTATGGTTTAGAAATTAACTTTTTAGCAGTGTTATCATATCGCTTCGTGAAACAGTTGCGGCGACTCATAGTGCTATGACTCACTATATTACTTGTACATGTACATATACTATTAAGTCTAGGTTTAAGCATTCGTATACAGAAGTACGCATATTATATCCATGTAATGTACATAGTAGGCAACGGTATACTAGATCTCACAGGGTTATGATTTCATGACCGTTTCAATTTCCGTATGATGATTGCAAAAACCAAAAGTAAACAACAGTTGTAATTGCAACGGTTATTTATAAGTCTTGCTTTATCTCATCATCATCATCATCAGATTTCTGCATTTGAAGATCCCAGAATATGAAATCTTCAGGAATAACATAGCGCAACTACAATTACAGCCCACCAATAAGCACGCAAACTTGCTATCAAGATCAAAAGCATGTCTTTAACTACGTTTTTGATTATTTCCTAACTACACATGTATACATAATACCTCAAATGCGCGTGATGAACAAATGTCAAGTCGGACTCATTAAACTCTTACATTTACTCTTACATATTTAGCTGCTGTACGACTTACTCATTAATTTGTATCGAAGATATCTTTGCGATTTATGACAATTAATTCTTAATGATCGTTATTAAAAGTACGATTAGTCCTCCTCAATCATAATCTGTGTGTTTCACAAGCGGAAAGACAGATTCACACGAGTGCATGGTTCCTGTGTGCCGCGCGGCTTCTTCTGTATTAACTCTTCGTCATGTTATCTTCTCGAAATCTTTGTTGCAAGACGGAGGGAGCGATTGAAATAGCTGGCAATTCGATTGTTGTGTCATCCATAAAGTCAGCGAAACAGAAAAAAGAAGAAGAGTGAAGATGATGATGAGCAAATTTTACCACACCAAACCAGACCACGCCAAAAAGTCTCATCTTAAAGATAATGTTCACCATTGCGGAATAATGAAACATGAAAAATGTAGTCGTGAGAGAAGTTTCATGCGCAGAATGTGACAGTGTGGAGTCGTCGTTGTCCCGTAATTTATTTTCATAAATAAATTGCTTTCGCAATTCTGAGCCACCAATTCTAAACAATAGAGGTCCATAATACATATGCAGTAAATAGTGCTCTATATGTACGTATGAAGGGAAACGGTTGAGATGATGTGGTGGGGCGCAGGCAGTATACGACATGTACTTACATACATAAGTTAACCAGGCAAGCACAACAAAATGTCCCGATGTGTGCAGAAGCGTTGTTGTGTTCCGTGCATGCAATTCCACGCTGGTAACCACAAAGCAGAGCAAAATAATCCCCTGTAAAGGAGGAATCATAAAGAGGAATCATATATAATTGCTGATCCTTCTGTGATTTCCACTGATGAGATGAGCTCAACTCTTTCAGGAGTTCAGGATGTGAATACCTGCTGCCGAATTCAGAGTACATACCTGAGAGTGGAATGGAAGTATTGTTACGTAATAAGTAATACCAGTTCTAAAATAAGTTGAACCTGAGACGTTCACATTTCCTTAAATTTCTTAAAATGAAGTGCCCAAGGCCTCGAAATTCTTTGTGCTGCAAGGGAGTAGTGAAAATATTATTTTTTGTAATTACGTTCTACTAAAAACCACGGAATCGACTTTATTTTTTGTGCTTTGTAATTCTATTACATCACAAACCTCCTCGTCACGAGTCATCTCCGGTGAAGAAATACAAATATACATACGTATCCAATTGATGAGTTTGAGCGAGAACTATAACCTCAAACTCAAATCAAAATCAGTGTCAATTTGCGAGGTGAGAGGTAAAATTGGACATCGCTTTGTGAGTTTGTAAGTTTAGTTTTGAGAAACTTGTGTAAAATTGAATCGTGTTATAACATCATGTTCTTAAGACAGTGTCTGAAAATTTAGAATTGTACAAATAAATCAGAGGTGAAAGTTCATATTTCGAATCCGTCTAAAAATTAAGACAACAAATATGGGAGAATTGATACCGTCCGACGAAATGCACTCTAAGGAGAATGAAGATCCACTGCAGAAACAAAATGTTAAAAAACCATCCGACGAGTTGAAACGGGATGGAATTCAGCAGAGCCTGCGCCAAGGGTATTTTAAGGTAAGTTTTGTCATCTATACTTTATTAAATTAACAAATTAATGTCTACATTGCATGCTACATATACAGCATCGCATAGGGAATTCTTTTTTGCCTTCGAACCATTAGTCCGGCATCTGTATGTGATTTCGAGGTTCACTGCCTGCTCATCCTCTCATTATCATTTCCTGGACAGGGCTCATCCTCAAATTATCATTTCGGGCTAGGGCGACCCCTTTAAATTTGTACATATTATGTTTGTACATATACTAACGTGTAATACAGCTGCATCAGTCATATTGCAGACCCCCTCAAGGGATGAAAATTACAAAAATAAGTGACTTAAACCATCATCAAAAATCAAAATTTTGCTCGGATTTTGAAAATTCTTGCATTTTAGAGGCTACCGATAGTTTCTGCCTCATATTAAATATCTCATGAGTTTGATACCATTACATGTCATTAAGTAGCTCTGAGACCAAGAAACTGCAAGAATTATCAAACTCCCAACAAAATAGAGTATACTTTTGAACAAGATTGGAATTGAACGATTTTTGTTTTAACATATTTAAGGGGATGTGTCAGTGTAATAGAGAGATTAGAATGACAAACGGACGGACAAGGACTGAGGACAGCTCGTGAGCTAGTAATGTCAATCTGACATCAATTTCGACAATGAGACCTGTGTTTTTCAATTTTATTACATGTAAACTACCGATACGAAATACAACCATGTCAAATTTCACTTTCTACGAGAATTTTCAAAAACCAGTGGGCATCACCTACAGGGTTCCATAATTTGGCCATTATGCTGGGCCCTATCGTTTTTAATTTCGTACTCAAATACGACCATTCTAGCGTTCCACCAGAATTTAAAATATTCTGCACCAACGATCCCACCCGATTCACATGACCCACGGCGCTGACGCCACCTGAGGTCTATAACTTGACTGATTTTCCTATTTTCGAACTTGTTCATCTTTTGGCTTAACTAATCAGTGTATTTTCATATCTTCCCCATCTATGTATTTCGAGGAACGAACCGACGACACGACAATAATCCCAGAGTCGGGCTAAATACTTTTTTTTGCAATTGTACCATAGTCGTATGGACATGATGCGAGGAACGAAAATATCCTCATGAAAATAAGGTCAAGCATTATGTCTCTTTTGCATATATTCATCTGCTCACAATACTTCAATTTCGCTCTATAATACAAGTAAACCAAATTTATTCCATAGTTTAAAAAATGTCAATGGCATGTCATTTAATCCTCGTTCCGTCATTGTCGCCAGGAGTCAAACTGGATTGATGTGATGCAGAAGAGTGACCATGCAACCTAAAAATATACGTAGCCCTATAATAAAGACACAGTCTCATCCCCCAACCATCAACAATACGCTTATAAACATACATATCAAGAGCAAAATGTTTGTCTCATCCTGCGCATTTCAATGCCTGCTTCAAAATATTCAGATTGTATCTCTGGGTATTTGTGTATTTTTGTAAAACAGGGTGAGGTTTACTAGCTTGTCCAACGCCAACGATGCGTGACAACCATATACATACTTTTAAACAATGCTTTACGTACGCCAACTCAAAACTTTACCATTAAATATTGCCATGAAATGATCCTCCCCCATTTTATTTGTGTTCCCTGCTTCCACACGGCAGTGGCATCAGTATGGCAAATAACACAGGTTGTGCAAGTGTACATACGTATGTACACAGTGCAGGCAGTACCCTTCGGCCCTCATAAACAGACTCACTATTTGTTGTTAACTTGCTATATCGAGGCACGGCGTTATTACAATAATTTTATTTCCATCATCCGTCGACGCAGTCTTTGTATGTGTGACGAGGAGATTGACGAAGGAAACGCCAAAAAAAACTCACTACTAGACTAAATACCATCACATCAACTAAATAAGTCCCTCTTATCTTAATAATCATGCGATGCAGTGCTTGTTGCTTACTCATTCACTGCCCATCATAACGTAACGAAAGGTTTACAAATCCTGTGTCTAAAGTTTGAGATTTATCGTACCTTGCATCCTGTCTTTAATTTTTTCGACACAAATAAAGCTCATAGCAAGACATTGAAGTGGTGGAATTAAAACTTGGGCTAAATATTGTCTTAAAATCCAAGCAAGGGAAAACAACAAAGAAATACTCGGTCTCAGGCTGCCTTATTGTGTTTTGGTCCACTTCAGTCCGTGCTGTGCAGAGGATTGCTTATGGTCTGTTGCGGCGTTTCATTCCCTTATCAGCAAATCTCATCTTTCTTGTCACAATCAGTTTTCACCACAAAAATACATACATACAAATTTGTGAGTGAGTGAGTGAAGATTCATTTAAAAACACAATAGTTCTCCGTCTTTAAAATCACTTCTCATTTCAAAAATTTGTGAAGGCATTCAGTGACATGCAATGGATATACGTAGTGTATTTAAAATGTGTTAACTGTGAAGGACAGCTAGACGTCACCCATCTTGTGACCCTGATATTCAGTGCAGTGTAATTTCACAATTTATTTGCAAGTGCTTCATGGGTGGATTCATTAAAGTTTTTAATTGTAACACGATTAGTTTTCATACAAAATAACGAGAAAACGCCCGAAAAATTTGCATGATTGAACAAACCTTCCATCATTTGTGACAAAGGAAAGTTTATAATTTTTCTAGTTGTACTTCACAAGTGCTGATTGAAATCAGGACACCAAACAAAATGTAATTTGTGAAAAAATTCATGCAAACGGTTTCCATAAATTATTTCTGGGAAAGATGATTGCATTGGAGGATGTGGATGAAACACGTTTTCGAGTGGCATCCGTACATCCGAAAGTTTTATGGAATTGGATAATGTGATGATGAGACTTGATAAATAGCGCAAATTAGTGTAATTTGGCTCCGCATTTGTTAAAGTTGGCAAGACATAAATTTGAATACTTATGAACAAAGGACACTAATGAGTATGAAAATGGGAGAGAGTGAAGCATATTCTATGCAAAGTTTCAACACCTTCGTAAACACCCAGTCGAGGAAAGGAGGAAATTACTTTAATAATGAGACTGACGGAAAAAAGTACAAACTGCGATTAAAATTTGATGGGGCATGTGTTCTTGAAGTTGTACGGTTAAATGGAGGTCACTTCCAGGTTGGTAAATTTAATTATGCAATTACGTACATATGTAATTCATTATTCTGCATGAAATACTTGCTGTCACCTCTATTTGCCCGTAAATACATATAAATACGATGGTTCATTGCGTAATTACCTATTTAGTAAATGACAATCAACAAGCACATTTCCAACATTATTACTGCATGTACTTATTTATGTTAATATTGTGAACAATCAAAAGACAAATTCATCCCTTTACATTTTATTTTTTAAAAGCTGCGAATGCATAACAATTCTTCTACTCTGTTCGTAACAATGAAAAAAGACAATAAGAACTGCAAGGGTTGTTGCTTACTCATTTCCGGGAAGCAGTTTTTCTTAAGAATTAAAGTGGTGTAATTTTGATTAGTCACTCCCTGGAGATCTTTAGGCCGATTTGACCTTAAGTTGAGGACAGGTTCATTGCATTCTTTTTTTTATATAAATGCATTGTCAGACGACTTTCATTGATTAGTAATTTAAGTTATGGAGTTCATGTTTTTTTATTATTCATGATGCATTTTATGATTAATTCTTTGTTTCAGAATCTCACTCACTTGGATATTTCTGGAAATTCTGCAGAAAAATTGGATTTGAGAAGTCTGAACCGTTTGGAGTGGTTGTGTTGTGCCAACAATAACCTGGAAGTCCTTTTGCTTTCAGGAGCATCGCTAACGTACCTTGACTGCTCGTACAACAGTGAGTGCCAGTAAAAAACAAAGGGCCGTGTAGCCAATGAACCATATACCAGAGGTATTGTTAACCTTACTTTTTGGAAATTTTACAGATTTGCTGTCAATCTCCGTAGGTAAGGTTTTTCAATAAATTATTTGCATACAAAATTTAAATTACCACTGTGCATTGTGTTTTTATTCCATAGATCCTCCGCCTAACAACTTGTCTACGCTTCAAGTTTCATTGTAAGTCTGGCATTTTAAAACTGAGCTTGAATTTGGGTTGAGAGATGAGAGAAAGTACATACATACGTAATTGTATTTATAATGTGCACTGATAAATTGGTGATAAATCATACGCATGATGTGCTAATTTCTCTGATTAAAGTTTCTTTCCACTGAACCACATTATTTTAATGGCTGAGTTGTTTATCTTTAATAATTTAATGCTCGTTGTTTCGCACATTAATGTATTTTCGTGATAATAATCATAAAACTTACTTGTGCATATTTCATTTGTTAAAGCAACAACTTGGAGGAGCTTCCCAATTGGTGTTGGATAGTACCAGAGCTTTTCTCCGTCCAAGCGTCTCACAATCGGCTTCGTCAGGTTGACTGCAAATTTCAAAATTCATTGTCCAACCTTCCCGTACGTGAACTATATTTGCATTGTAAGTTTGTTATTCGACAGTGTAACTTGAGAATCTGTTGAACCGGGAATGTAACAAGACTGTAATTTTTTTTATACGCACATGTCATGGTTGTGCTCAAATAATTAGTCAGTTTATTTGTCAATGTTTATTAGTTAGTAAAGTAGTCAGTTTTAAGTCAAACATAGATTAGTCAAAAACATAAAGAAAATGTCATGTCGTCACTAGGTCATACACCAAATAGCAATAAAAGACAGTCTAGTGAAAATTTAAGTCCAGTGCCTACGAAAAGAGACAACGTTTTAAGTAAAATTAAAAATTCGACAATATCCTTGTGTCAAAGTAGGGGGTCGTATAAAGTTCAGTATTGGTTGAATGTGACTAGCAAAAAAAACTTATCTCTAAGAGTGAGCACAGTAAGTGGAATAAATAATGCGAAAGTTTGTCAAAGTTATACTCCAGTGCAAGGAAAAGAAAATATATATACTTATACATACAAACCAGGACCTGAATTTCAATTGCTATATGAAATAAACTTAAAAGAGACAATCGATAGTGATAACCACTTATCTCAATTTGGTGCGGAAGCATATTCTTATTTAATTTCTAGTCTTTGGGAATATCAACATGGCTGTGATCCTGAAAAACATTTACCATTATATGAGAATAGTAAAAATACTAAAGACTGTCATCATGCTCGACATTGGGAAAACAATACAAAATTTGGACAGATTTTAGATGAACTACTACATATGGATAGTTTTAAAATAGTAATTAGTAAAGAATTACACAAAGTATTTGACAAATTAGAAATAACTTATCACTCTTTTTATCAACTAGAGTGCAATAGACAATCACTCGAACAGTTTGTGAATGATCCGAATAGGTCAGCTTTATACTCACCAAAAATCAATCCAAGATCACTACTTAAAATTGAGTCTTTCTCGTGCCGTGTTTGTGGCTTAAAATACCAAAGAAGCATTGATTTAAATCACCATATAACAAAAGAACACCCGAATGAACCGAAATTGACCTGTGACATGCTTTACCCAGTTTGCATCTCTTGAAGCAAAACAATTACATGACAATAAGCATGCCTTGAAATTTGAATGTGCAACATGTCTTGTCCCATTTTCGTCTACTTATTCCAGAGATGTACATGTCAGACGAAAAAATTGCAAAAAGCCTTAACGATTTTCATCATTCTGTTGACAGGCAATAAAATCGAGTTCGTGTCAAAAGATTTCATTCAGAGAGCAACAAGGTAAGAAGAAAATGTCAAAAAGTTTAGATTTTAGATGTAGAAAATATTTTTGGGTGACAAACGAAATTTATATGCTTATTGTATTGATAATAAAAAATAACGAGGTCCAATTTTGGGTTGAATATTGAGTTAAAGCAAAAAATTATTATTTTTTGTGTCAGTCAGTCGCAGCGTTGAACATTTTTAATTAACAGCTCTGTAAATACTTATATTGCGTGCCGTTTCATGGGATTCACTTTTCCTGTCACGATCATCCCAACTGATTCCATTCATTCCAACGACATGTCGCATTTTTCAACTGAAACAATGAACGGTGTTCCTAATTCGAGTACAATAAAGGAAAGCTTTCAATTTATTATACTCATCCAATTCTTTATATAAAAGACTTGCCTTTCAAGAAAAATATTATTGCTTTGCCATATGCCACTCAAAGTGACAAATTTAATCCAACTCTACTTATGAAATTTCATCACATCTTTAAAAATGGGCAAATGTAAGAAAATGAAAGTTGAAAATTTAATATCATTAATTGTTTGCAGACTGAAAATCCTCAACTTGAGTCGAAATATGATCGAGCACATGCCAAATTTTGGGAAGAAATGTCCAGTTAATGAATTATACATGAGCCGGAATAAACTTCAGGATACGCACGAGAAAGATTGCTTAGAGTTTTTATCCGAATGTGGTCAACTAAAGAGGTTACACTTGGGTTACAATAAAATCGAACACATAAATGACAGGTGCGTATCATGCGTAAACTTTGTAGATGACATTAAATTACCGTGATGTTTATTTCTAATTTCTTGAAAAAAATGCAGATGTATCTCAGTTTGGAGGAACCTGGAGGAATTGATACTCTGTGGAAATCGTATTAGAACCCTTCCAGCCAAAATATCTTCGCTGACAAGTCTGCGAGTACTTCGTGTCCACTCCAACAGTTTGGAAACTGCTCCAAATCTAACCAAAATGCAGTCGTTGAAAATGGTCGATTTGTCGCATAATGTTTTAAGGAAAATCAATCTAGAAACTTTAATTTCGGGCGGAAATTTAACATACCTTGATATTTCATGCAACGAGCGGCTCAGTCTAAATGCAGAAAAACTTAGTACACAAAACCAAAAGTAAGTCGTCAAAATAAAATCTAAATAAATAAAGAGAATTTTAAATGATTAAACTTTTGAAAAAATGCACTTGCAGAAGGCCGATGAATCTCGTTGAAGTGACGCACCCTCGAAAAAGACAAAGTATTAGGCAAAACGAAACCAGAGACTTTCCAGCAAACCCACCTTGGGAGATTGGATTTTCAGAATTACCAGATCGAAATCTTGTCCTGAGTGTTAGCCAGTATCGAGACATTAATATATCCAACGGACAAGAAGCCCTTTTCGGTCTATTCGACGGCGGTGATGGGAACTCGGCTCCAAAATATATTTCAAAATCTATTGCAAAAATATACGCTGAAGAGAAAAATATTGAAGAAACTCATGGATTTTCGCTCAAATATACACTCCTCAATGCCATTAAGTATGTACAGTAAAAAGTCTCTAAAATGATATCATTCAATAACAGTTGTTCTACTTTCACTCTAGATCAATCAAACAGCAAGGATATTCTCGACCTTTGCAAGGAATTTTGTGCTTATTGTCCAGGCATGAAGATCCCTTGTATCCAGGAAAGTTGTCGTTCTATCTGAATTTGGCCATGGTTGGTGGTATTCGATGTCTTTTAGTCGAGTCGGGAAAGAAGCTTACTCGTTTGACGGACATAACGGAAATGGGACTTGAGAATCAACAACAAATAAAAAATTCGGACGGCAGTGAGCCTTCAAGTTATGATAACAACAGTGAGACCAGCTCCACCCAATCAGCAAGGAGCAATTCCAATGAAAACAATTTGAATGAGAATATTCCAGACCCAAAAGTGCTATCAATCCCGTTGTCGACAAATGCTGAATTTCTTATTATTGGGAACCACAGTGTTTGGAATTACGTCAATGAACCCGAGCTTATCGAAGAATTGGAGACACATCGTCACAAGAAAAGTGTTCTAATTGCTAAACGTCTCGCAGACATGGCACAAAGTCACACTTGCAAACAAAGTATTAGTTTGATTGTTGTCAAATTCAAATGGCACGTTTCAACTTCCTCCGTCATTCGAGCCGTTGAGGGACATGGCATTGGGAACCACAAAGCTAATAAGTTCTCACCTTCCTCTGGGGGAGATTTAGGTCCGTTAAGTTATTACAGTGGTTCATCCGAGGTAATTTCAACTTTAATTTATTATTTATTTAGGACAAAAAAAGTTTTGTCTTTCAGTGTAATGTTTTCTATCATTTTTATCCTGCTAGGAGTACTCGGAACCCAACCCTCTGATTTCCGTGATCACCCCGGATAGTGCTATTGACACGGATAGGTCTTCCGGTGCAGGAAGTGTGGGTAGCAATGGAGGGTCCACCAAAAGTGCATCTACAAATGCAAGCGATCATAAAATTACAAGACCAAGGTTTTCACAAGATTCAAAGGAACGCAATCACGAAGTGTCCTCCAGCAAATCTACTCACAGCGATAGAACCCTTAAATCGTCTCTTGACAGGGAAGATGATCAAGCTTCTTTAGCAAACACTTCCGTGTCTCACATGTCAGTAGAACAATTCTGCGTTTGGGAGTACATGCTGGAGCAAAATGCAAAAATGTTATTTAAAAAGGAATTGGACACGTTGTCCAAGGCCAAAGGTGTATTTGCACGAAATCAAAAGTTGCGGAAATCAGTTCATTTTCCTTACCAGCAGCCAGGAAATGCAGTTACTGCACCTGCCCCATCAGATTCAGTACAACAACATGGTCACAAATCCTCACAAAATCTTCATCCTAATTCTAACAATCGAACGCCTGGATTTTACACGCTCAGCAAAGCCAAATCCTTATCACACTTATTCGGAGCTGAGCCAACAAACACTAACAAAATCGTTGTCCAGTCGGAACCCCCATTTCCTCCGCCAAAGCCAACAAAGCCCTCCAGATTTCCAATCTTTGGCAATGGGAACACATCGGCTGGATTTCTTGGTAGCGTTCGCTCTAGTGCGAGGAGAGCGATTTTGGGTGGCCCAAATGCGGCATATTTCAGCAGTTCTCAACGCCAGGCAAATATCCCACCCATCCAAGATTCACAGGAAATTCAAGAAGTTCGAAATTTTGATTCTATCGAACATGAAGGCAGATTGAAACGCTATTGGGAAAATAAAATTACGGAATTGTAACACCACACATACATTAAAATATGTGTATTTGCTTAGTATTAGTATTCCATATACAGTTATATACAGTTAAAGTGCAAAATATCTAGCTTATAGTCATAAATGTTGTAATCAAAATGCATTTGGGACGTTAATTGAATACTAGTTTACCAAACAAGCCAAATAAATGATCACTAAGCATGGAAAATATTCTCATGTGTAATTTCTCCTGGTCGTCAAAAAAAGAAGCAGCGGAACTAGAGTTACTAGAGTCATAAACATTATACATTATTACTAAACATATGAAGGAAACGAAATAATGGAAACAAACATTCATATCAGATTGGGAACACAATATCTGTGGAAAAATTCGAAAATTATGTGACAAGGGCAATTCTTTGAACTTTAGTCTTCAGAGAGATAAGGTGAGCGGCGGCGTCACAATTTTCTCTAATTTGTTATGGTCGCTTGTACTTTCTAATAATGCATGAATACGTACTAAAATTTTAGAGACTTGTTCATCTTCATCTCACCTCATGTGAAATGACGAGCAGCTCAATCATTTTTATATGAATCTTAAATGGTTAAAACTGTCAGAAACTTTCAAATACTGTATCTCTGCAAATCAAACTCAAATTGTACGTCTAGATCGATAATGTGTTTTAATTGTGCATTATTGGTTTATTTATTATTTGCTTAGTAAACTGAAAATGCATGTAGTCGATGTGCATATGTATGTACATATTCACCTGCGTGTTTCGTTTCAGTTAGCCAAAACCTGAATGTCCAATGACATTTAGACATTAAATAAGTATTTTTCTCGCTATAAAATCTGAAACACATCTTCTGACATGCACAGCAATGAAATTTCAAATAATTATCATCTTTTGCCGTGAACATAACTGTCTTGTCTCTTACAAAAATCTTATCCAACGAGATTGACCGGCTGCTGCAATCTGCTGCATCATTTATTTCTTTAAAAAATTCAAATGAAATTTTATGGTGGAGCAGGGCAGAAAATGAGACGGAATTTTTCAATCGAACAAAAGGTTCTTAAGGTTTTCCTGCGTTTTTTTTCTAGTAGATAAATCTCATCACTGTCTGAAACAAATGAATGTGCAGCTTAAAAAGTGAGACAGATTTTCACAATCCGTATTTCCACCACAAAAAATGCATATATACGTATATACATTTAAGCACATATGTACATACACACACGGCACGCTAAACAGCAAATAATTGAATTAGTTGTTAAATTCTAGAGCCACGGAGTTCAAGAGGTGACTCATTTGGATTTAAGTATTGGTCCTAATCCTACATAATCTAAACAAGGCCAACATTTGAGTTTGATTTAGATCAATTACCTATATCCTATGTATCTACGGCATATACTGAATAGTAGTAAATTCACATATGGCATGGCAAGCACACAAGAAAGGGTCCAACAACATATACGCAATTATGATGAGTTTCGAGTTGCACAACAATGGGATGTGTTTAGAATTTTAAAACGCTCTCAATTCCGGTCTGCGTCTGGTTTTAGAGCCTCGAGATGAAAACAACAATAATCGAATTTATGCTTAATGCATCCAATACGTTTGCTTACTTGCAATCCTTAGGCGTACAAAATAGCCTTTCCCAAGTTTCTTGGTAGTTACATATTGCAATAAGGGCGCAGCACTATTAGTTCAGTGGCTTTTCAACAGTTGATAATAATCAGATCCGAACCAATGAATGACGGGGGCACAATGGAATATTTATCGAAATAATCATCATTACTATTATTACATTGACTAAAGTCATAAGGTCGCATTTTTTCTTTTGACTGTTCCAATGCATAAGTGGAGCCTCAAATTTAAATTAAAGTTTTATCTGGTCTTATTCTTTGTCAATTGTTGAGGTTTGTGCGTACCTCCATTATCCCCATGCACCCAAGCATATGTATGAGTAACAAATTAAAATTTATGTATGCGCCTAATAAATTCTTGACTTGAAGTTGACTTATTGAGTACAATTTCTGATTGTTATTTCGATTACGAGGTCAGTTGGCAATGAAGTCATTGGACAGCAGACTTAAACGACATTTAATTTTAATCTTAAATTACAGTCAACTGAATTGAATGTTATTCGAATTAAGCATGACAAAGAATATTTATGTGCACATGTACATATGTGTGCATACTTTTTAAAATATAAATCAAATATTGATTAAGAAATTGCTGTGTTTTCTAATAGTGACATTAATTGGTTCAGCTCTGATTCCATCTCCCACAATAAATAATTTGTTACCTCCAATGGCACTTATGTTTGTATAGAAAGATGCATATCTGCATAATATATGTGGCCATAAACAAACACGACCTTGATTGAATTTTAAAAAATCTGAATTTGTGCTTCATATCCCTTGAATTTTTTGCAAAAATTTCAATTATGTACAACGTCAGAATTGAAATTCAACATCAGAGATTGATGTTCTACTAATTTGCCTACTTTAATTTTTCTCAAAAACAAACTTTGCATTTGTTGCCTGTGCACAGTGTCTGATTCATGTATGACTTGATTATATTGTTCAAATAAATAAAATAATTTTAAATTATGGTAAATGGAAACCACACACTTATGCTGGTGTTAAATTAGTTTGTTAAAACTGATCTATGTGCCAGGAACACGCAAATCCTGTTGGTTGTAGATGAAATAGGTTACGATTTCAGGTTTCAGTCTTGGGATGCTGATACAACACATACAAATTTATAACCCGTTTTGCATGCAGTTTTATAGATATTCATCTCTCTGGTGGGTTCTTAAATACTTTGAAGGAGAGCTTGTCACCGACAGAATGACCGAGTTTGATACCCTTTGAGTAGTAGTTTACCAACTAACTATTTCAACTAACTAACTCAACTTTTTGAAATTTTGAGTTTTTCGAAGACATGTCCAATATTTTCGAAAATGCAGATTTTTTAAAATTGAGCTTGATGCCGGATACAATACAACAAATTAGGAAACAAACAAGAAAAAAACTCGAAAACTATGCAAATCTTTCGGGGAAAATTATGCAATTCTTTCGGTTGGGGGGCGGGGCGGCTTTTGAGGGCGGGGGGCAAATGGGGCCATGAAATAAAACTTTACTTTTCGTACACTCACCTAAATAGTACTGCCACATATCTAAAGGGCATTAAAATCTGTGAGTCTATCGGTGACAAGCTCTCCTCCTGAGTGCAGCCAGTATTGTAATCAAAAGCCTCGAATTCTTTGTGTGGCATTTCTTTCAACATAAGCTAAAAATGTAGGAGAGCACTTTATTTCGATGCAATTCGATTCGTTACTTTTGATACATGAGTACATTCAATTTATTTCCTCGGGAGAAATGAATGGCAAATCGGCGACTCGAATTACACAGTCTCGTCCATCATGAGAGGAACGAAAGGTGTCTGAACTGTCTTCATCACAACTCATTCATTATTCAAATTAAGTTTGGCAATTTTAGGTGTGATCTTGGCAAAAGTACGTATGTGAACCTTGCATTCCAATCTCTTATGTTGCCCACCATGTAAAAACCACAGCTCAACGCTAGCAAAAACGCCAATGTATATTTTATTGGGTTCTTCATTTTTAGCATGCATACACACACATACATATGTTTACATATGAAGGTAATTATAAAATTCCGACTCATATTTCATATTGTCATAAATACAATGTAATAAAAATTAATTTAAAGTTAATTACACCAACCACAACGATTATACTACTGCATATGTGCGTACATATAGTCCCCATAAGCGTGTGGTAATGATGATGATATGAATGACCATCATCTTCATCATCGTCAGAAATATTGCACATTATACGCGTTAGTGCCTGCTACTTGCAAGTAATGGAGCATTGTATGTAAATTGCAGCCGACAATTGACATTCCACTGGTGCAAAATACAAGTGGCGTTGAGATTAACACACATTAATCCAGCTTGGAATGCGATATAATACTGCTTGAGCAGAATTTAAGCTCATTATCGTAATTTATAAGGAGATCCCTCACTCTTCTGTGGAGGAAATAGTTAGATCCATGCTGGGATCTCTGTCTCTCTTCTTGATTCTTTTAAAGTTGAACTCTCCTCGTTTTCGTAGACACATCGCACAACAATAACTACTTACAAGTCTCACGGAACAGAAACATGCTACATATGAATAACATGCATGCATGTAAACGTATAAAGAATCGGAGATATCCGACATTAACATTTGATTTCGATATATCATGATCATCAGATACTGAAATCTGTGGATACTGATGATCAGTGTGGGTTGCAATATTATATTAAATCATTAAAATATAAGGATCTCTTGCATTTCCTATGTACATCGCATTCATACCAATTATGTGTCTTACTTATTTGCCCAATTATTACCTTTTGATCCTGTTCAGTCTTTTAGCACATTTTGCACATACATACATATATTTAGGAGGATAGCAAATCCGTGCGAGGAGGGATGACCACAACGTTGTACATAATAAAATGCACTATAATGTCCCACTTAAAAAGCTCCCGCTTGCTTACTACTTGATTATGCGAAATCCTGAATTTATTACTCGCAACTTTTCTTCTCAGGCAGGGAGGCATTGGTAATAAGAGAGTTTCAAACTTAAATTGCTGGTTAAAACTCATCTTTAACTGCGGGGTGAGCCAAGTAATTTAACACGTGAGGGGGTAGGATCGAGGTGTTCAATCAGTCTTGACCGTTACTCGCATAAGGTCATCGAACTGGGTCATCTCAATCCCAACCATCAACCAACCGCAGTCTTAAACTTACCTCAGCCAAACTTATGTATGTGCATGCTTATTCCCAAACCGATATGCATGTTTATTGCCCTCTGGCATCATTGTAGATCTGTGTGTGCATCCCAAAGTCCCAGTCCCAATCAACAAGTATTATCTGCCGCTGTCCCACAACAACCAGAGTCAATTGCTTGCTTTTTTCAGACTACAATGTCTTTCGTCAATATTTATCCCTGCTGCACTCACAATTCGTAAAATAAGCCCAACCAACTCAGCAACACTAAATGCATTCATCGCATAGCAATATTCAATCGTAATCATTGTGCATTCAGGACCCAAAAATGAGCAATTCATAATATGTACAGGAGTTAATTTGATGATCAAAGCGGGACGCATGTATGCAATAAATTTAGCTTAAACAAATAAACGTGCAAATTGTACAGACAAATATATTATTGGCGTAGTGCGACCAGATTCACCAGTTGGATATTGGGCTTTTAGATACACATATTTAAGAAGAGAGGAGATGCCACTCATGAAACAAGGAATAAAATACTAGGCCAACCAACGACGTCTCACCTCAACTCTTGAGATCATCATTTTTTTGGCGTTGGTTATGTGCCCACTCTTGATTAATAATCCTTAAAACTCAAGTAAGAACATCAAGCAGCAGAATAAATATAATGCTTGGCTGTATTCTCATCTAGGTTCCAGGATGCGAGCGTCTCGTACATACAGATAAATCCTGTTGTTTCTATCCGCAGAGGAACGGGGACCACTTGGGTTTGAGCCATTGTTACCTGAATCTCTTTCGGGAGAGAGGAATCAAGATGTTATATACGAAAACGGTCTCGTTAACTAAAACCAGGGGACTCACCTGCTTGTTGGTCTGCACAATAACTATGCAACATCTTAGCTCTTAAAACCAAACCTAGTTTTGTATGCGTGATAAGGTGGTGGATTATACACATACATTCATATAGCTTTTCGTTGCATGGCACTTAGCTCTTCTTGGCTTGGTTTCGGTTGGCCAAACCAATAACTGACAACTATAACAGGCCTGTGTTGTTGATGATATTGTTATGTGCATGCAAAGAGCTGAAACCTTTGCTATATGTACGACGATACAATATGACATTACCCACCAACCACCATCCTCATCCGAATACAATGGATGGATGCAAGACGAGTTCTTCTAAGAAGAACCTACAAAAGCAAAAAAAAATCTTCCCGTATGTAAGTATCCAATAAGTAAGCCCTCCTTCCATTCTCGCTTCTTTTTAACCTAGGTTCCCTGAGGTAGAATATTTTTTACACGGACCCACGACTGCCTACCTACCTACCTACTTGCCCATAGGAATTGTGGTTTTCTAATATTCATCAACCTCTTGTCCTCCTCTTCTTCGTCGTCGTCGTCGCATGAGATATGCAGCTCGCGAGGCATGGCATACGGTGGCAGGTCCTGCACCGATCGACTCCTCGCAAGCCTTTCACGCGTCGGATACACAAGTTGACCACACTGATTTGAATCGGTTTGCTACGCTTCTTTGCCATACTTTTGCGGCTTTGGGTGTCATCAGCAGTGCGTTACAGGATTGGTGGTCACATTGAGAAATGTGCGTTTCTCAAGCAGCATGAAGTGCAGTGGAAAGTCGAGATGGCAATCTAAGGATAAGTTGGAGCCTTCTAAATCAATAAAGAAAATGAAATTCATACGTTATTAGAATTTCTGATTCTGAAAAAATGAACGCGTATGCATTTCAACCAAAGTGCTGCTGAAAGTGAAGAAGGGGTGAAAATAAAATCCCTCTAAAACTTTTAACGGTTGAAGGCTCCATGTGCTACAATAGGTTCCTGTGAATGAACAAGTGCAAGTTGTTGTGCTCAAGGAAGGGGAACAACAAGTGTAAAGCCAGCGACACTTTTGTCCATTATTGAGACATTTCTTCTGGCTCATTATTGTTAAAAAGGAATGGAATGCACTAGTAATAAATGCCTCAAACAAAGGGACCATAAAGCCACCATTGATTTAAACAATCTAAACGAAATGTACTATGCGAAAAAAGCAGAATGACGATGCACTCGGAGGAAAACCTTTTAGGATCTAGCTTATCAGGTGGAGATAAAGGATGCAACGACAATTAACAAACATTGTGCATTAAAAAAGTAGTGATAACGGATAACAAGTCTGTCTGTCGTGTCGTGTTACTTAAAAAACGGTGCTTTCAATATTTATTGATTCCTCATTTACAGTAAACTTACTTAGAAATAACATAGTTATGTATGGAATCGTGATCTGACACAGAAGTTCATGAAAAATCTCAAAGTAATTCAGATTAATTAGCACACCAAATATCAATTACTCGTCATCATCATGAAATCAATATTTTCAAAAACGGGGAATAAAAAGGACGTTTCAGGTAAATTGGAGCGTCGCACTACTTCCAATCCTCCGAATCAGGCCGTCGTGTCGCCCAGCACTGGACGCGTCAACTCCTTCATCCCCACCCCTGCCACGTACAGCCACAGCAATGGTCACATGAATGGTCATCCTCCAGGAAAACAATTGTCCCAACCTGCCTTAGCCCCCCAACAGCAACAGCAACAAATGTCCCACATCATGTCCCAACAACAACAGCAACACCATAATCACTTCTACTCCAACATTCCTCCTGGAAACCCGAATGCTAATAACAATGCTAATAATGCTAATAATGGGGGCACTGTATCTCGAATGGATCACCACTACACGACTTATCAACAACAACAATCAATTCATCAAAGTCACCAACAACAGATCCACCAACGAACCCTCACCAAATCGTACTCCTCTTCTCAACATCAAAATCACAATCATCAATCTCATTATGGGAATACAACATTGTATGCGAGTAATAATAGTGCCAGCCACGGCACTACCTTTTACGGAAACACGACTAATTTAGCGAACGGTGCAATTATAATGAACGGACATCATGGCATTAGCGGAGGTGAGAGATCCGACGCTATGGGACAAGTTCATAGCAGTAATAATAACAATAATAATAACATGCAATCATCGTCTTACAACCATGAACAAGTTCAACATCATCATCATCAGCAACAACAACAAATGCAAACACAACAGACAATTCAAAAGATGCATGTTCATCCTCAGCAAAGGGGGGTTCACCACCACAAACAACAGCCGCAGCTTAATTTCCAGCAAAACAATCACCTACACAATAACAACAATGTCATCCCCCCACCGTCCAACGCTACGGACGGACTCCCACCCCCACTGGTCGACTCAATGAGGACATTATTTGACATCTTGGACGATTCGAAGCAAGGGAAAATCAGACTGAGTGATATTGAGACAAGATGGGAAAGCGATTCCAACAATGGTGGTCCCAATGGGAAAGCGACTGGTGCTGAGTAAGTAATTAATTATTATTTTCCAATATTAATTAGTAGTAAAGAAACAGCTTTATTTAACAATTTCAACGCGAGATTACCAGCCGTACCCAACCAAGTTGGGTATTTTTATTTCTATTCCCTCACCAAACAAATATCCAAAAATTTCCTCAAACAGAGACTTGGAGAAAGCATCATCGAAATGACTAAACTTTTGATATTGTCTTTTCTCTTTATTTACAGACCTCTCATAAAAATGGGGGTTTTAGAATATCTTAGGAAAGTAACTCCGGGAGATGGTAAGCATGCTACTACTTTGGACTCCATAGAGTCTTATCATTTATGAATTGTCACTTGTCACATTAAAATAAACAATCTCTGATTTTTTTGCAGGGATGCTCACATTTGATCGATTTTGCTCAGGCTTGCGACTCGCTCTTCTCACGAATAATGGTGATCCATTTGATGAACATGTGCCAATAATGCAATCTGAAAAAGTTCAAGCTAATCATCCTCAGTCCCAACACTATTTTCAAGAACAAGTAAGAAATATGACCAATGTGTCCAAGCCAATTCACAACAATCAAGTTGGGCAACCACCCCCTCCACCTCCTGCTCAACTACATCAACAGCAGCAGCAGTTAGTGTTTAGTGGAAATCCAATTAATAATAGCAATAGTAATGCCCCACTTAACAAATCGACTTTATCCGGGGCTGCCCCAGGCCAAAGTAATACAATCTCTAGACTTTCTAAAATACCCAACTTTTCCTCATCGCGACTTCCCATGCCCAGTTCCGGAATAGCACTTTCTCCAACAAATCGCGCAAACACTATTCCAATGGTAAATAACAATAACAATAAAGGTTCCCATGTTCTGACCCATCATCATCATAGTCATCATAATGGTAACAACGGTGGGACATTGATCAGCGGTACAAAACGATTCCCAACTAACAACTCGGAACAGAATACGACGATCGCTTTGGTGCACCCACAGCCCCCACCGAATCCGAAGCCAACGGGAAACGGGACTTCCAGTGGAATGCCCATGCCGACCTCCTCATATTCAACCATTGGGGGTGGAACAATGAAGGGAAATAAAACCACTTCTGGTTTCTTGAATCGCTTTTCATCAAAGAACAGCAGTTTAGATGACCTCCAAGTTCATAATGACGAGTCTAATTCATCTTCCGTTCAAAAAGAGCGTCCACCTTCCGCTCCAATTTTGGATAACGATGACGAACCGCAGACAAGGCTTGCTCACGAGTCTCATCATCATCAACTAACGAAACAAAAAATTAGAGAACGAGCTAAGAGTCAAGAACGTGATCGTGTGGTTAACAACAATGCTAATACTAATAATAGCAACCATATTAGTAGAGCGGAAGAAAAGTCGAATTTTGTCAAATCACGACAAAGGACACTTAGCATGCCACAACTGCAACTTAACAAACTCAAACCTCAGCAAAGTGTCAATTTTGATGAAAGTTCGAGCAGTATGGATCCCTCTCCGGTAGAAAATTATCCTCGACCAAGCACGCTGAAGAATCATTCTTTATCCAAACTTTTAGCCGGAGGTCACCAGTACGGTTCATCTATTCCTTCTCCTCTGTCTGCCACGACTAACACCTTGAAACATCCCACCACCACTTCATCCACCAATAAAGCGGATGATAACAACAGGCAGCATGAAAAGGAGCCGCAAGGCGACAATCTTCCACCACCCCCACCGAAACCTCCAAGAAACACCATGAGTGGACCTGTCACAATTTCCACCACATTAATCAGCGGCCTTAACCAAGATCCACCACTGAGTGGGAGCAGTTTTGGAAGTGGACAAAGCAGCAGTGCCACCACGATAAGTGTCAGTGCAAGCAGCACCAGTGGAAACTTGTCTGCAAAACCAGAAATTAGGAACGTTTTAAATAGTTGGCAGAAAGGATTGTCAGATAAGAAACCGGTCAAACCGTCTCTTAGTTCTACAAGTATTGGAACAAACAGTTCTGTCAATACGGTAAATACGATTGAAACGAGCCAAAGCGTTCCGACTGCAACCATTCTGCTCAATGGAGTGACAAAAATGTCGAATGGTAGCACAACCATGTAAGATCACATACAATACTGACTCCCTCATTGTGCATTACACTATTATTTATGTGTAATTCATTTAATTCGATATTATAGCGACGATGTCAAATTGAGACAACCAACAAAATCTAATCTCAAGCGAAAGGAGACTTCTCGGCGACATGTAAGAGATACATATTAATTTATTGATAGAAGTGAGAGAGAGAAAGCAATCTGGGGTTGAATAATAACAAATATTTTATTTTATTAAAGACCGTCCAGTCAGGCATTGACTTTTCTACCCTGAAACGCTTGAAGCAGCTAGAGCAAGAAAGAGACGTGCTCCAACAAGGCATCCAATTTTTGGAAAAAGCAAGTGAATGGTACATGAAACAATTGGAGACTTCGAACGATAAAATAACGCTGCTCGGAAAAGGGGCACCCACCTCCGTAAGTGCACTAACTAGTCGGTAGTCATATTCATAGACAGCTTAATGAATTGATATTTGAATACAAAAAAATGAACAGGATTACTGGAGTGAGTCTCACGAAGAGAGATTGAACCTCCTAGGTTGCCGTATAACTGAGGTCAACTCGCTGCTGACTTCACTAATGGACGGCAACTCTCAATATGATCCTCTCCACATGAATTTACAAATTCCATCTCATCTCAGCCTGAGGACAATTACAAGGCTCAAGGATCAAAATCGTCAGGTAATATATCGATTGAATTCAGATTTTCATATTCTCGTTAAACTTATTAAACTTAGTAAAAAACGTCTTTTACACTTTCCGGTTCCGATTTCACCTTTCCCGTCGTTCAATTCCAAAACAATAATGTAACCTTTATTTTTGCAGCTAACCCAAGAAGTTAGCGACTACAGTCATCGGGTCACACAACTAGAAAACGAAAAAGCAATGTTGCTGCGACAGTTATTTCACCAGAAGAATAATAACTCGGCGTCAGACGAAACTGTTTACATGTAAAAGATGATCATAAGAAAAAAATACCCAGTGTAAGTATAGTGGATCGGATAGAGTATGGTCTTCTATAAAATGCATAAATCATCAGCCATAATATTGTATTCAATCAGTCATTGACAAATTTTAGCGATATGTAGGGTATTTAATTTTGCGATTTTTGTATATTTAAGTATGGTCACAAATTTTAGAGGTCGGAGAAGGGCTTAATTGTTACCTTATATAATATACATAAATGTTATATGTTAACAAAGACGAAACGCTTAAATTATGCCATCTATACATATAAATTACTATTTGTTACTCCAAAACTTAACCAAATTATAAACTATTATCATAATTTATTAAAGTTTTATCACATAAGATAAAAATCGTCGTATAAAAAATGACTATTTTATTAAATAAATATGTATGACATACCGTTTACAAAATTGCATTGGTTCTTAATATATTGTTTTACGTTGGCAATACTGACATCATATGGTTTACATTTTGACTATTCATTGTTCAATATGCTGTACTATTACTGTCTATTATTATTACAAAGTATGTAGGTAAGTTCGTTTACAAATTATGCACAACTGATTTTTTCGTCGATCTCAGACATCCAGCATTTTCCCGTAAACTAAAAAGATAAAACCATAAATATATAGGTATATATATAAACGGAAAGAAATTATAGTAGATACCAATTCAATCATGTGCGATAGGGGTTGATTAGAATTTGAGCATTAGAGAATATAATGGATGCGTCATGTGCGGAATATGGATAGTATTATATATAATAATTGAATGCAAAATTACAATCCTTTACGATCTGTTTGGTCATGTTGCTCATCGATTGACTGGATAATCACTTGATGATAAGGCCACAATATCCGGAGAAGTGGATTTGGTCCAAGCAACATTTTCATATTTTGGAAGCTGAAAGTCTTTGAACCTGCTGGCGCTCGGCGAATTCCTCTTGAAAAATCCGCAGACGTTTGTCCTCGAAGTGCAAGATACAGGTAGTATGAAAACATGCCTAAATAAAACAAACCAAAACAAAACAACCAAATCAACAAACTGTCTGATCTGATTTAGCCTGCCGGAGAAAATATCGTTCTCGCTAGTTTAATAACCCATCAATGGCTTTAAATTGGATAAGGCAGCTCTAAAGGTGCAGGTTAATTAACTTACCCCATGCCGGCCATTGGCCAACAAGTGTAATTCCGGATAATATATTCAGAGCGCTGGGATCATAAAAAATTGTGAAGTAAGGAACGAAGCATTTGAGCAGGAACATCCACCAGACGACCTCAACAAAGTAAACGTGATATATGAGCGAGAAAGTGCTTGCGAGTGAGGTTCCAAGAGCTACATAAAATAGCATTCCGATGAAATTACAATGATTTTCTTCGCCGATGCAGCCCATCTGAAAGTCAGAATGTATATGCTAAGTTGGCGTTACCAATGTAATAAGAAATTAATATGCTTGGATTATTTATAACTTTAGTATTAAATACAATAGATAACGAAATCAATAGATCAATAGACAAATAATAATTCACTCACGGTTATGATGCAATGATGATCTCTTCGCAAAATGCAAGTATTGCAAGAATGACAGTGCCAAGTTCTCGGAGGAACAAAAATTTCGCAAGCTGCGCAAATGTGCCATATTTGATCGTCCTGAAAAGGTGTTGCCACAAAATGTTGTCCGATGTATTTTGTCCGCTCTTTTAGTTCATGGTCCTTGTCGTAGGCTTGTGCGGTATCTCCAGCATCTCCGTTAATAGTTGCTACGGAAGGTGGAGGAGGTTTCAACACTGGTTGAGCCAGGAATTTGTTCCTTATTGACGAGTCTCGTACTTGAATTAAGATCATATTGGAAAGCACGGCAAAGAAAATCCAGTTGGGAAGGAGAAAGTTTAAGGCAATCTTGATTATAAGATGATGCCCTTCCAAGATCTCTGGGAGAATAATAAACGTCCCATAATAGTAGACGAGGACTGCCAAAAATATAATCAATGAAAATGACGCAGCTTCAGCAGGTCTCGTTCTCCAAACTGTAAGTATTTTTTCATATTCAAATTTTCACCATGAAACAATACACAATAGTGTTGATTGATGTGAAAATCATAATCAATTACCTTTGACAAAGTGTGGAATGGGGTTACGAAACCTGGTAAGGTGAAACATGGTGGGGCTGACGACCAAACTCTGATCACCTTTAAATTATAGCAGCATTTATTTTAGCGACTCCCTGACAAACTTGATCAAACTGCTCGATTCCAAATTCCAATCCAACAGACCTAAAATGAGAAGTAATTCTGCTTAGAAATGTTGAAATACGACGTCAAATCCGTAAATCAATAGAATTCCGATTTTCCGATCAATAAATTTATGAATGTTTAATTACTCTCTTAAGTATTCCTGCTGGGATTTTTAATCCAGTCTGCTTTCACTTCTTGATACCCAATATCAAATATCCACGAATCCCACTCAGATAGACACTGGACTCCTATGTTACAATATCACTTATCTGAAAATTATTGCTAACTTTAGGAAAATGGATCAAATTTTGAATCGGAAGTTTCACCCGGAACACAAAAGATGAGGAGAAAGTGAGCAAACACTATTCGCTCAGCACAACTTTCAGCACTTCGCCGGATGAAGCGGGTGAAAGTCCGTGTGTCAACTTCCCCACAACAACAAAAACAAAAACTCACTGCGTTGCTCTGACAATGGAGTATTCAGCGTGTAATATTTGGAATATTTGCTAAATTTTTGCAACAGGACGACAATTTATTACAAAACGGCTCTCAAGGTAGATAATAAGAAGTTATTTATAGCATGTTTTTAACTGATTCTGCATGAAATGTTTTATTAATTTAGTGTTGGACATTGTTGTTACCGACCGGGGTCCATTACTACTCGTCACATAAATTAGGACCAGGATTTTGCAAGCATCTCACACGCTACTTTAGCTCAAACAGAAATGAAAATTTGAACAATTTTCTGGAGAATCTTACAATGAGCCGTCATCATCATTCTCGCTGGTTTGATAACCCATTTGAAGACGATGAATTTAAACTGGATAAGGCAGCTCTAAAGGTGCAGGGTTTGGAGTATCTGGACTCGGCATTTGCAAAGGGCACGCGCGACGGGGACGGAGGCTTGTATGTGGGTGCGGTGGGGGTGGCATACGCATTTCTCCACGTCGCACACCTACTTTCACCAGAAGAACGGAAAAAGTACCACTCGCTCGCATTGAATGCGTATCAAACCCAGGCGAAGTACTACCTGACAAGCAATCCTCAACGGTATTACGACATTATGCAATACCAATTACTCTATAGCATTATGGTTTATAAGGTTTTTTAAAGCCATTTGTGTTATTAGGAACGACGCCTGCGCTTTTCTTTTGGGGAAAGCAGGATTTTTCGCAGTGGGTGTGGTGCTGGGGAAAGAATCTGGTCATGAAGACATCACTGAAGAGAATATTAAGAATTACATTGAAGCTGGAGAGGTGTGCAAACAGCCCAACTTTGGTAAACATGGAGGGGATGAACTGTTCGTTGGGAGGGCAGGTTATCTATGTGGAGCGTTATGGTTGCAACAGAAATTGGGGTATATGCCGATTCCACAGAAGGTAGAAATCTTTATACATGTGATTGTTTAAAGACGCACATATTTTGATATTTTGTATAATACATTTCATTAGGATCTTCTAGAAATCTTCAATTTGATTATTGAGAGTGGGAGAAACTATTCTAATCAGCATAAAAGCCCATGTCCATTAATGTACTCTTACTACGATACGGAATATTTGGGTATGTATGACACATTTTTTGGCCAAATAATCATTCACGTCTAGTAACTTAAATTAATTATCCATGTTTGTAGGAGCTGCTCATGGATTATGCTCTATTTTACAGATCCTTTTATCATATCCACAATTTCTGAATGAAAACTCTGATGCTGAAACTGTGGTTAAAGCTACATTAGACTTCTACTTGACCCTTCAAGATTCATCGGGGAATTTTCCATGCGCAATGGATGAAATTGGTCCTAGAAAAAAACGGGGGGACGCCGACATGCTTGTTCACTGGTGTCATGGAGCGCCAGGTGTTGTATATTTATTGGCGAAAGCTTACTTGCACTACAAGGACAAAAAATATTTGGATGCGTGCATAAGATGTGGAGACTTGGTTTGGAATCGTGGACTACTTCGAAAAGGACCTGGTAATTAATTGTTCTCCTTACATTTTCTTGCATAAAATATTGCGGCTAAAATTTTACGCGGTTTTCAGGGATATGTCATGGTGTTGCTGGCAGCGGCTATGTTTTTCTGTTAATTTATAATCTACTCGAACAACGAGATCCAAAACATTTGTATCGAGCTGCCAAGTTTGCACAGTTTTTAAAGTCATCACAATTCTTAAAAGAGGCAAGAACTCCGGATTGCGCCTTTAGCCTATATGAAGGAATAGCTGGGACGGCATGCTTCGTGCTGGACTTATTGCAACCTGTAAACGCAGAGTTTCCCTTTTTCAATGTGCATAATAGTTATAATGGATAAAAGTATATACAAGAGGTCATTATTTTGCGAATGAAAACTTGAACTGTAATAAATTTATGTTCCGCGTCTCATAAACTTCAAGTAAATGTGTATGCAAGTAGTAAATGCAAATCATAATAAATATTTTCTACAAAGATGACATTGACTCGAAGAGATTGTAACTCCTTTAAGCATCTCCTGTATGCATTTCAGTGAACTATTGTTGTCTATCCACGTCATACACCCATTATGCACGAACGACTCATGAAACTACCAATCCGTATGTACCAGAAAATGAACGGTACTTTGACTACCTACAGTAAAGCCGGTTTATATGTATCGCACTACTAATACTCACATTACGAGTTATCCAATTTACTCGTTGTTTTATTAAATGTTTTGATTATTTAAACATTTTGCTTCCATCTGTGAATCTTAGTCATATTGCAGTCTTTGCCTCTTCAAAATGGGCTGCAAAATAAATGCTCTCTCAATATCCAAACTTTTATCTAGTCTGACAGAGTATTTGGATTCGAAATATCGTGGACGTTTGTACAACATTACAAATTTCCAGGTGCAAGCTGGATGCAAAGAATTGGACAATTTTTTGAGTTCCATACACAAAGTCCAATTGACTACTAAAGTATTTACCGTTGGCAGTGAATCCTTCAATGGAGCAGAAGTTGACGGCGTAGGAGAAAATACGAAAATAAGAAAGTGTTCAGAGGAGCATCAATTCAACTTGATCTGCAAATCCACAATTTTGGAGGATGATGGGAACCGGGACAATTTGGAAAAGTATTACTGGAGCATCTTGTTCACAAAGGAGAAAATTTGCTACGATTTTCTGGAGAACTTGGCCCAAGAACTGGGAGAAGTGAGCCCATTGTGTCCCAAAATGCACCATTGTTACAGTGAAGGGGAGGAGGAATATTTTTGTCTCATCATGGATGACTTATCCATAGGCTTCACCAACCCGCTGGACCACGGCGAAGGGATTTCGCTTCAAGAATGCAACCTCATTATGAAGAGTCTGGCCCGACTGCATGCCCTCTCGTTAGGTGAGATTATAGAGCTCTCCTTGTAATGCCACCCTTTATTTCGTATTGTTCCCTTCCTTTGACAACCCTGGCATATTTTTAATGAAAGGATTACCACTAATAAATTATTCAATTAGTGTAAATGGGCACTTTGAATTATGAATGCGGTACTCCTAAGGATAAGAACCAAAAATATTAAGTCACAATGGACACGTCTACGGAAATGAATGAGATGTCCATGTCTAAATATATAAAGACGGTACAGTTGCTAACTTTCTGCCATTATTTGGCAAACTATGTAAGCAGACGTAATAATAATGATGCTTATTACTTCATCCAACCGAAACATTTTTGGGGCTTGAATTAGCAATAATATGTATCTACTTTTCTCTTTAAAAATAGCATTACGTATGTACCTTACATAATGTAAGTACAATATGTAAATGAATCAAACACTGTTTGATGAAAATTCTTCGTGGGAAAATATACAATTTAATGAATGACATCACATAATGTTTGAAATTGATGATCCAGTCAGGATTAAAATTATATTATTGCAAACCTTATACATAATTCAAACTTTTTATTAAAATGCTAGACCAAGAAGGTAGGTAGCAGGCGTTTCTTTCTCTGAATTTATGTTCATTACTCATGCCGCATGCAATATCTTTCTTTCCTCCATCTCGTTAAAACTTGAACAATGTGGCAATAACACCGATAAAAGAAATGGGTGTGCATTCCCTTCCGTAATAAAAAGTTTTGTGCCATTTGCCAACTAAAATTTGTTATACTACTTCATTCTTTGTGTAATAAAAACTTTTGAGACGTCAAAATTCTATATTGCTTCATCTAAACCGGAGCATTTTTTACTTTCTCTCTTGTATACATGTAGCTGGTCATGTTACGTATGCACAAAAGATGCAGTAATGATATTTGTAAGTACGTATGAATAGATGATATATAATAGTAATACCCGCACCCTTCCTGTGCCCATAATACGTACGTACCCCATGTAATGAACCATATTACTATTTCATCTGTGCGTAGATTTAATAAATTGCGAGATTGGAAATGAACGTATTTTTTGAGGTTATCATTTTATGTATTAAACACATCGTCCCTTTCTTTACGTAAAAGTCTCAGCCAAATTACTGAATATATTTACATATGTTATGTATATATGATTATACATAAATAAGTGGTACACAGTGAGAAGAGACAGAGGAGAGTATTTATTAGTAGAGAGTTAAAGCTGGAGTGATGTACAGATTCATAACTAATTACATATACATATCTACGTAGGCATACATATACCTAACACTACCCTCTCACGAAAAAATTTTTCTCCTGAAAAATAGTCGGAAAGAGTGTGTAGGTTTGCAAACTAAAAATTTCAGTAGTCACAATTTGAATTAGAAATTTTGAGGGTTGGAGACATAGGTAAAATTCATGGAAAAATGAAATATGAAATGACTCCGGAAAACAAACATGAACAAAGATTTTGCATGAATAACACTGAACAATTTAATACACATATCGAATGACGCAGTAGTTATGCAGGGCTGGAACTTGAGAAGATGGTATGGCTCGCAATCGGTGGTAGAATTGTATCGTCTCAGGCGTGGTGGTGGTTGACTCATATAAAACTTGCAGATTAGGACAAAACGATGAACAAAGAGAAATAAATTGTTGTGGTCTTGGTATGTGGTCCATCGGGACATCGGAGGAATACGCAGACTTGTGAGGGTTTTGTGGGGGTGACCCATAACCGGACAACTCGAAGACGCAGGGTTTTGTGTGGGTGACCCATAACCGTGACTCGTTAAAAAAGGGGAACTATGTACAATGTGGATTTCCATACTTGAACACGCAAATAATATGTAGACGTTGCTCATTACAAACATTAATCTCAAGGCGTTATATTTCATTCTCAGCCTGGGAAAGTGGTGACAACGCAGATCGAGCATAAAAGTTCAGCAGAATTTTGAGACAAGGTGAATCAGATTACATTTTTGCAACAAAATTTGATAAAGAATTGACACTTTTCCAGACGAAATGAATAAAAATGGCTGTTTTTTCATATAATATGCAGAAATTTTGACAAATTTTGAACGAATTTTGATGACAATTTTTCAGAATTTAAACGGAATTTTTTTACAATATTTTTACGATTTTTTAACAATTTTGAAGGACAATTTTGCATATATTTTTTTTGACGTGTTTAAAACAAATAACGGAATTTTAAATTTTGCATATTTGCTCGAATTATGAAATGTAAATTTTGGACTGGAGATTTGGAAATTTTAAGAATGGGGGAAGATTTTCAGAGTGGTTTAGAACCAATTTACAGACCTGATAGCATCCGGGAGGATAATCCAATTTACAGACCAGATGACGAAAATTCACAAAAAAAAGTTTCACAGGAAAATCACACAGTTTACGCAAGGTTTTGAGAAGAGAGATTTGGGAAGTTTCCCTATCGGAAGCAAAATGACAAGCTCTAAGGGGCGGTGGTCAAGCTGCTTAGTCGTCGCAGTCGTAGCAAATTTGGTAGGTGATATGTCTTGCGAAGAATTTTGAAAATTTTAAAATCCATTGTGAGTGGGAGGAGCGAAAGAAAGTACTCGACGGTCCACCAATGTTATGTATATATGATTATACATAAATAGGTGGTACACAGTGAGAGGAGACAGAGGAGAGTATTTATTAGGAGACAGTTAAAGATGGAGTCAACTCTTCTGTGGAACAATTTTTTTCGGTGTGGGAGAAAGTTTATGTATTCCAATTTTCTTCCATGTAAACCCCTCCACACACAAAAAAATATTATATTCACTTCTGCGGAACCCTCTTTTCACCATTAACCATCGGCGGAAGTTTAATTTGAGATTTCCTGAGGACATGACACAAAAAGCGTTTCTCGCAAACTTGAAAATATGAGATTGCCCGAGTTTCCCATGCATTTATTATTGGGAGCTTGTTGGCTAGTACGTACAGTGTCGGACAGATGTCTACGTCCACATAGTCGCGTCAATTTCATTTTCAAATTGTCACTGAACTACTGAACCAATTTTCATCATTGATATATCAAATTCTCACAAATTTAACGTAATTTCATAGCACATTATTAGTTTTCCGCTAAAAAATTTATTTTAGGCCAGAGATGTATTTTAATTCAAAATGAAAACAATTGGATGGACAAAAGTCAACGTCCAGTCAGAGAAAACATACAAAAAAAACTGTAATTTATAAGGAATGTTATAACAATTAATTTTTAATATTTGGTTGGGCCTCCGTTCGCTTTAAGGACGGCTTCAAGGCGCCGAGTCATTGAGTTTACCAAATTCTTGGTCACATCTTCAGAAATGGTTTCCCAAACTTCACGAATTCTGGATTTAAGGCCCGGAATTCCTGAAAAAGATTGTTTTCTTATTTCTCTTTCAATGTGGTCGCACAGATGCTCAATGGGATTCAAGTCTGGAGATTGGGGAGGCCATTCTAGCTTCGGAATTTTTTTTTCTTGAAGTATTCCATGGTGGACGTGGCAGTGTTTCGGATCGTTGTCTTGTTGGAAGGCAAATCGTCGTCCAAGTCCAAGTTTTCGAACAGATTCCTGGATATTACGGTCAAGTATTCCCTGGTACTTGTATTGGTCCATAATTCCGTCAATAAATTCCATTTTTCCTGCCCCACTTGAAGCCATGCATCCCCACACCATTACCGACCCGCCGCCGTGCTTAACTGTGGGGTTGAGATTTTTTGGATTCAAAGCTTCTTTTGGATATCTCCACACTCTACGACGCCCATCTGACCCAAAGACATTGAACTTTGACTCGTCAGTCCATAAAATATGTCCCAGAATGTTTGTGGCTTGGAAATGTGGTCTCTGGCAAACTTCACTCGTTTGGTTGCATTCCTCGGTACAATAAGAGGCTTCCGGACTGCTCTGTGGGATTTCAAATTTCCCTTATTCAGTGTTCTTTGGATGGTCATAGGACTAACCTGTTTGCCGAACATCTCCTTGATCTCGGTAGATAGCTTTGGAGCACTAAGTGAGGGTGTAACGTTGACTTTGTTGAGCACGTGGCGTACTTCTCGGTGAGCCAAAATGGGTTTTCGACCACTTCTGACCTTGTTTTGGACTGAACCATTAGCTTTAAAGTTCTTAATGATTGTCTGGATGGTTGTCCTTGCTAATTTATACTTGGTCCATATTTGTCTCTGCGACAGCCCCCTTTTTGTCCACCCTTCCAGTCCTGAATGACAAGATCTCGAATAGCGATAGGAATTTCCTTGCGTGTCGACGCCATCATATTTTTCTGGAAGAAAATTATTTAAAAATTAATGCGGCATATGTTATTGATAGATTTATTAAGTTACCTGATTTTATAAATTGGAGAGATTTTTGTTGTTGACAATTAAAGTGAAGTGGACGTAGACTTTTGTCCGCTCAAATTTCATCCTCTCTCGCTCTGCACTATGATTCTCAGTTTTCCCAGAATTTTCAGAAATAACTCATATGTTTTATGAAATTACGTTAAATTTGTGAGAATTTGATATATCAATGATGAAAATTGGTTCAGTAGTTCAGTGACAATTTGAAAATGAAATTGACGCGACTATGTGGACGTAGACATCTGTCCGACACTGTATGCATCGGTAGTCAAGTATAAATTTGCTCTTGTAAATTTCAGTTCTGGAAGGCAAACAAGGCTGCACGCTCCCATCCAAGTACGAAATATGTACAACGGAACTCCTATTCTCGGCTGGAGTGGAGCCTGCCCTAAAGCCTCTGACCTATAACTCTTTCTTGGGCTTCCTAAAACTGACAGCAAACTTCCGGCCAGATTTGTTGCCATATTTGAAAAGAATTGACGATGATGAAAATATATGGAATCGTCTTTGCGACTTGGTGAAACCGGGACGGACGTCTTTTTCCTGCCTTTGTCACGGTGATCCTCGCTCGAGCAATATTTTTCTGGAGAAATCTACGTCGCAAAAACCATCATGCAGAGAGAACAATGGGAAAAGTAGCAATCATCATGATTATCATCATCACGACGGGTCCAACTTTAAACCGGAAGAAAAAAACGTAGAGAATGGCATGTCAGTGAACGGTGGAGGAGAAAGTCAAATTCAGAGCCTTCTGCTGCAAGAGCCAGGTTTAAGATTCATTGATTTCCAATTGACTCGGTATGCATCACCTGTCACAGATTTGCAATACGTGCTTCATATGAACACCACACGAGATTTCAGAGAGAAGCACACCATGGAAGTGCTCAGGACTTATTACGCCGAGTTCCAGGATGTCTTGGGTCGTTTTCCTCACGTCATTTTGGAACAATCGGAAGGAGTGCGAGGTTGGACTTTCGAGAAATTGACGGAGGAATATGAAAAATTCTACATGTATGGATTTCTGGCGGCGGTGATTTTATTGCCGATAGTTCTTCTTCGTCCGGTTGACATGGACATTGATAAATCCATGAGCCAAATGACAAAGGCTGAACGAACCCAGTTTTTCAAAGACGGCAGAGCAGATCTCGTTTTCAACGCTGGGTCAAGGAATGACAACATGAGGAAAAGACTCTTTGAGATGTGCGATGAAATGGTTGCCAAAAATGTAATCCCGACGAACGCACCAGCCTAAGCCCTAGTGAACAACCGAAAGACTTTCCCCGTCTCAGTTTTACATTGCACTGCTCACAATACCAGGATGCACATATGTACGAGTATGTATGGACTCTGAATGAAAACATAGATGTACCGTCAGTCAGTTTAGATATTTTATGTTCTTTCTTAAATTAATTTATTCATAAATATCATAGTTTATTAATTTTAATTATTTTGTCCGGTAAATATACCTACATGGGCATTTGCGCACATCCGTACCTGAACTGTAAAAAGCAATCCATAGTTTATCTAAATATGTATTTATGTACTTTATAAGGATACTCGATTTTGTACTTTATTAATTAATCAAGTTTTAACTTTTATGGCTGACACATTTATTTATTTATGGTTATTTTGGGTGAACCTCACTATCTGTGAGATTAATAATATTTAGCTACAGTATACATATGTACATGTGGATATAATTGAGGATCTTGGTGATCCATTTTGCAATATATACTCGCGTCACTGCTAACTTGAGATGCTGACCATGTTGTAATTTTTATAATTTTCCTCCCGGATATATTTCAATTAAATCGTGATGAATGGCATGATGTCATTGTGTCATATAATTTTATCGCAATCCATTCTCGAATGACTTTGGCATTTAAACCCAAAATTCTCTAGGTAGATATTCCTCAACAGAGACGTTCATAGGAAAAGACGTTATGTGTGCGTAGCAAGCGCTGACAGGTGATAAGTTTAAATGGAAGAGACGATTCTTCTGAAGACTTGAGATGGGAAATAAATTGAAGATTACAAAGGATGGAGAGAGAAAACTTCTTTGCACGATTACGTCCAACTCTCCACCCAATATAATATTTTTGCTCCTCATCGTTTCCCTTTCCTAGGCAGCTCGGCTAAAGGAAATTGTTTGGAAATATTGAGGAAATCAATGAATGTCGAACACACGGGAAAACTGATGAAAGAGCTTCATAATGCGTCTTGACATCGAGTTTCTTGCAATAACAATGGAATGGTTGATTCGAATTCTACATCTCATTTCTTACCACAGCATTTCAGTATTTCGCGTAAAACATGTTGTCAATATGGATGAAGAACTCTGAACTCGCGTATTACTCATACATATTTATGCATACATATTATTATTACGTTGTTGGAGAGAGGAATTTGCAGTGTGTCTCGTGCAATATCGTCGGAAATAAGCTGCACGATAAAAGCTTTCAAGAGGAATTACGTTCCATTCAAAATTCCAAGAATACTGAGCTTGTGGTCTGGTTTGCATATATTTATGTATTAAGTTTAGGCAAAGTAATACCATTCCTTGCTACTCCCTCTTTGTTATTCATAATAAGAGGTAAAAGAATATATGTACATGTACGTAAACTATGGTTCTAGGAAAAACATACAAAGCGTAAACTGCTCCCTGCCAAGTAAATGGTTAGAACACGAAATGGAAAGAAACTGATAGAATGGGATGCAGATCGGGAACAGCATTTCGTTCTCTTTCGCGTGGGAAATGGCACTACTGAAGCTGAGCTTGGACATTCTGCCAATTTATGAGTCAGGCGATTACACACTTTCCTGGTTTCCAGTGAAACGGTGCAATATGCCCGAATGCGAGTGGGTTCAGTTGGTCCGGGAACAACCTCACGACGACGGAATCAAGTTCTTTCCTATAAAACTTTCTAGGAAACAAAAGTAGTAATGAGATAATGCTCGTTTAATTTAAACTCTGTAATTGCACAACTGCACTTGGCTCCTATTATACAATGTAGTTAAAAAATACAAGCTTCTCTCGTTTCATTACAGTTCCCATCCACTCGTAATTGCCCTGCTAATGACTTGCTTTCACCTGTCCCAAACAACCTTACAAAGCTAAAGAACTTAGACCCAAAAGTTTACACGTGGTCATGCAGGGCCGAGTTGCGAGTGTGTTAACATTCACAATATATGCTCCTCCAGACCGGATAATACAATCAAAGTGCTTTGGGCTCGACTGGAAATAATGTGTATGTACATACATACATACATACGATACTGGGGCCGCAAGGAAATATTAGAAATTAAAACTAAATTGATGAGATGAAATGCAATGAATCCAATAATAGGGCACTTAGTATACAACGATTGGGCGGCACATCGTTGTATACCATGTTTACATAATTAATGAGCTGCTGTATGTATATGGAGGCAGTAGGCACTAAGTCACAACCATACAAAGAATCGCGAATGCCAAACACACAACTATTTTAGGAAATATTTCACGATAACTACTCCAGGATATGACATGCCTGTTTACGACAGATGCGTTTTATTTTTATTTCTCCACTTTCAAAGAGAACCACATTTCTTTGATAAGTTTACAGATAAGTAGCCAATAAACCAACCCATTAAATACACCAAACATTACACTTTATTCTTCTGGACTGAGTCAGGAGTAAAAATAGATGAAAATGACTGCGCCATACATTCTGAGGAAATTTTACAAGTCATCAAGTGGGTCACGTCGTTTTACTTTATGCTCCCATTCAGACATTTAATAGTAATTATAAAAATTGGATCATCTTCGTGGTCGTCTGGTTTTCCGATGATAAAATAACTAACTAACTACTATAGTATGATATATGTGCATAGCCCTGTACCATCTGAACTGCCTGGACGGGTGTTACCGACCGAGGATGGTGGAAAACTAAGGCGTAATTTATCGCCAAAATGTTCACAATGATGAAACTCATACATGCAATATCATCACATTTTATCATCACTGCTGCTCAGCCACAGCGTGATGTGAACTTGACGAAAGTTTAGGGCAAAGTATCCATTACTTTTGTGGAATAAAAATGATTATAGCAGAATTCAACATGCCATCAAACAGATAGATAAGTATGTATTTATTTGCTTCTGAAAATGGAAATGAGTCAGAGACCTGTGTAACTACGAACTAGAAACTATACGCGTCGGTACATCAAAGTCATTACCACTTATTCATTCATTCGGTTATCACCTAAAAATTGTCTTACGGATGATGATGAAACAAATGTCATGCTGTTGACAGGTTTATTCTCACGGATGTTGTGATTCCTTGCTGTCTCATCCCAAAGCACATCATTAAAAGCTTTGCCATCCTTTTTGACATTTTGCAAGACGACTATAAATAGAAAGTTAAAACTATAGGAATTAAGGGATATATGACTACTTTCAGGTAAGAGGGTAAACCAAAACCCTATTTGGCTCGGTTTATACTTATTACAGGCACTAATTGAATTGAAACCTGTCTGGCTGTGGTGGATTATCCGAATCACACTAATTACCAACATTACTGAGAAAACTTCCCTTGGTGTCACCTTATTACAAAAGTTGGACTTTGGGAAACGACGTAAATTCACAAAAATGACATAGTTTTTGGACTTGTTTTTAGGAACGGATTAGCAATTTCTACAAAATTCACCACTAAAATAACCTAAATTAAATCGTTTACAACCTGTCACAAGTTGTCACACCACAATTAGTTATTTTCTAAATTAGTGCACGTGTAGGTTGTTTTGATGTTAAAATGACAATTTGATTGCTATTTAATTTAACATTAGAAGCTACATGAAAGCACCTGAAAACAACAGAAATAGAATTAAGTTTACCCAAAGGTGCAAGAAATATAAGTTTTTTTCTGCGAAACTCCTTGTAATATAAAATCTAAGAATATCTATTACATCATACTCTTAAGGGTTCATACCCATTTATAGACGTAAATGTACCTTAATGGGCATGTATATGTGCAGTGAGAAATTATTTATTTTCTTCCATCACAAAATTCACAGAGCAATTATATCTGCAATGGAAGATGTAAAATGTAGCGTAAATGTGCAGTAGTAGGCGTGTCACATTTTTTTGTGCCACACAACACAATAGAAATCTCGAGATTGTGTATCATTCTTTACCCGACATTGCATCGTTTGAGGTAAACGATGAAAGCATTCCTTGAGCATCAAGGAATCAATTCACCGAAGAAGCTAATAAACAACAAAAGAAATACCTTTTTGTGGGAACGGTAACGTAATTTCACGAAACATTGACTTCAACTCTGAGAATTTATGGAAAAGTAGGAAAAACACATTTTTTTTGTGTATCTGGTTTTTTAGCTTCATTGTCATTGTTGCTGCGCTGCACCAATTGCAGAACCGACTGTTTACCAACACCGAAAGTCACATCCCAATCATTTCTTTCTATTGGTAGACTTGTCAGCCTCCGGGGTACTCTTTGACCCGAAAGGTCTTTTATCATTCCTCTTCGACCGGAGGTATAGCAGAGAACTCGTAATTGCTGAAATCCTTCATCTGCTTTTTATCTCTCCCTCTTCGTCTTTCATCTCCAAAAGAGTTCTCCAGGCACTCGTATAAAGTATGTACATACATATAGTCCCGCACATTATGCTCCAATATTTCCTATACGCACAGAAAAAAAAATTATTGCGATTTGACATATTGATGGCGTTGAGGAGTATGCACGCTTACAATACAAAATGGAATGTCCAGTATTTTATTGTATCGTATGCCACGCATCTAGATATGTACATACATATGTATAACTTGTAACGATTTTTTCGTCAAAAAATGTTGGTGAAAGTATCTAAAAAAAACTCGTAGATTGTAATTGTGTCAATTGGTGATTCATGCAAACAATTCAACATGAAAGAGAAAATTTCTAACCATCAGCCAAAGACAAGTAACAAAGTTTTGCCATTCGAGAAACAATTCTTTTCCAGCAGCAGGACAGCAGCGTTGACAGTTTGTCTGCTTCTTACCTATTGTTTGGTAGAAGAAGAATTAGTTTGGTTTCATTGTTCATTGAACAATAACAGAGTTCTGCAGGATGCTACATATACCTAACCGAAAGCTACATATATTTATAACTTGATCCTATAACGCCGTAACTTGCTCTTGTACATACGAAACTTTCCAAACTTTGCTTCCGTCATTTTACCTGCTCAAGTTTAAAGTTTACGTAAAAGATTTGGCTTGGCAAGTTGGTTTCTTCTTCCACCTCAATTTCTGTTTCGGCTGGCATGTTTCTCTCTGCTCAAACTTGTCCTGTCATCATCATGACGAAAGTATATATAGATTTGACTTGAGAATTGATTAAGCTCTGAAAACATGGAACAATTGGCTTCATCTTCATTCCTTTTGATTTTCTTAGCAAACGGGAGACATGTATGGACGAGAAACAAGGCAACGCAAAAGCAAAAAGACTTTTCCGTCGGCAGTGGAAAAGTTGAAATCTATGACTTCGCTCCATGAAATAACACGGAAGGGCGAACAATGAAGAAAACTTTGTTTTTGTTCCATTCCATTCTTTGCCTGTCATTCCTTTGCTCTCGGTGAAGAAGATACAACGAGAGGAAAACCAAAACTAACCAAATTTGGAGGACAGAAAGGACAACAGCATTGCACTCTTACATATCATTCGTACATATAAACTCTTTGGTATAAAACCTGTGCTGGACTGGAATCTTCTCTGCTCTAGGAGTTGCTTAGCTTTCATTTGATCAAACTTTGAACAAGCTTGCATCGTTTTCAATAATCTCCTAAAAAAGTTAACGGTACAAATAGGTCAGCCAATCTTGTTGCTCTTTCCTAGAAGGACTTTTTATCGTTCGAGTACAGATTTTTTTCTAACCTGGTCCTGTGTTACTCGAAACTAAGATTTAAACCAGCCGAAGAAGAAGAATATGAACTACTTAGTTAGGATACTAGACTTTTCCTTAGATATACTGCAGATACATGGATAGAAGTGTATTAGAGATGTTCGTTGTCTGCTTTGTTGTAAAGGAAGGCAAAGGTGTCTATTCAGCTGAAATGAGGACTGAGGGAATTCTGTGTGCAATAAAAGCAAAGCCATGAAGCAGAATTCCGAACAGACTGCCTGAGCCAAACAACTTGACACTTGGGGACTTGTGCAAGTCGGGTGATGATTCAATTTAAATCCCTTCGCATTAAAAGGAACAGAGGAACTAGTTTGTTCACCTGGTTTGCTTTTAACTTAATAGACAAATTAATGTATTCAAAGTCCCTGCTAAAAGTTTAAAGTTCTAGTTAAACTCAAGTTTAGTAATTAGATAATTACGCTCGAAAAGTATACCTAAATATACTTATATGCATGTATACCAACAGCGTGTGGTTGTAAAGATTTCATGGTTTTCAACAACACAAGACACAAGGCAGACAGTTATGAATATAAAATGCAAGGATAGAGCACGGGGAGACAGTTATTTATTCATATTCCGTTGACAAGGTATATGAAGATGAGATGGAGTAATCCTGCGCCAGCAAATTTACAAAGTGGATACAATAAAACGGATATTTCTCTGGCGTTGAGCAGGGGAAAATTCTGTGTTGGGCGAAACTCTGGTACAAAAACGATATCGTATTGTTTCCTTCTCGAATATGCATAGTTCTGAACTTCAGAATCCAAAGGAATTGAAGGAGAAAAGTTAGGAAGCAAAAGGTTGGGACATTATAGAACAATCTCAAAAAAGAACCTAGACTTTTGGATTCAAGGGAAACAATTGTAATCGTATCACTGCAGAATACCAGACTCTCAAAGGACATAATGGAAAACAATCCTTGCCATAATTTGGCCCAGACACACGGCCATAATACGCTAGTCTCATTTGTATCGTTATAAGAACTAGCAGCAGGACACAATTGCAGCCAAACTTTTTCCACAAACTCGTAATGTTCCAACCCAACATATTGTATTAGAGGAGTCAACATAAGAACAATTTCTGCAGCAAGGACATTCCATATACTTAAGTGTGACATTCGAACATTTGCGTAACCATTATTGCCCCCACCTTTCGCAAACACATTCATTTTCTGTTTTATTTTATTTTTCTAGAGTATATTGCATACATATCCAGGGAAAGCAGTTATTACGTATATTATTATTGTTTCCCCACCACACCAGAGTCATTCGGTCTTTTATTCTTACTTTCACTCCACCTCGGTTGCGGTTCCTCGTCGACGACCTGAGATATCTGGGTCTGAATTGAACTTTTTCGCTGCTCATTTTCATGTTGGAGCTGGTGCTGGACCAAACCACTCCAGCAGGAACCAGCAAATGAACGAATGACCACAGCGGACCGTGACGTTATTTCAGATTGTTTTCCAGAGCACTTTCCTCTTGGTGGCACCTGCACTTTTTTCTCATTATTCCCTCATTCCTTGTATCAATCCCAATACCCTGTGCATCTACCTACGTATGCACAACCTATCTGACGGCATAGAGCTATATTGATTGGACTCGGCTGGACAACCAGTGGAAACCAAACTTGACATTATTTTTGTTTCGTTTTTTTTTTCTTTCTCTTTGTTCGTATGTATAAATGTACTAGTCAACCTGTACGTCGATATTTTATGTCGTACAAACCGATCAGGGAAATAACTCCTGTTCCGAAGGAGGACCTGCACAAGAGGAAGCGGGTGCGCAAAGATAAGCCATAATCCCAACACCAATACTCACTTACGAGCACTTTTCCGTTTGAGGCTCAAGGAATAAAGAATGGACTGCTTACTTTTTTTCTCATCTAAACTAAACTTTCTTTGTTTCTGTTTCTGGATAGAAAACAAACGTGTCGGGATTATGGATAGAAGATACAGAAGGATTTTCTGTGTATATATATGTACATATTATACTCAACCTCTTGATCTGCTGCCATATCGCTGCTCATAATCTGTGTGTATGTACATAGTTCGGAATTTCCGGCATTTCATTCCCCTCTTCTCATGCAATTGTTACATATGTATTAATAAGACATCAAGAATCTCACGCATATCTGTGAATTCTCTCCACTCCCGACTCCAGGCACAACACTTTTGGACTCCGGTGTGAAATACGTCAGCACATTAATGAGGACATAAAACAATGCGGTGAGAGCTCTGTTCTTCGCAACAACGTAGAATACCAGCATAGTTTTACTGCTATGTGTTTTGAGTTATAATGCATTTGTTTCGTCGGTTAGAAGGAGAAGAAGAGAGAAAGATAGGATGATGCGGACGATGGAAAATAATAAAAGTAAGGTGAGAACTCGTGGAGCATTATCATTTGGTCCTTGTATCGCAGAATTACTGTTTGCTGAAAATTCCATAATTTCTTTGCGCCTCTGGGACCACCACACCGGAGCCAAAAAAGCGAGTAGCGAGTTATATATGTAGCAAGGAAAAGTAAACCTTTTGGCTTAATCCAAAACTGGAGGATGAGGATGAGTGGACGATTTCTGGTCTCTCGACGACTCAACTTGGTTGGAGTAGAAATTTCCAAGCTCTCAAGTCTAGCGTTTGAGATTGAGCAGGTATTATCTCATCTCGTCGTGTGTAAAGAGATGTGGTGTATTAAAAGCCCAATGCAATCATCGTCGTCCGACTCTCACTGGAGAATATCGCTACTTTTTCCGCATTTTCAGGTTCAGGCTGCTGCTGCATTCACTCTTTATGTACTTAGCAGGCTCGCCTCGATCCAACAATTCCCCACACGGCGTTGGTTGAAACCTTGTCTCAATTCTGGACAGGATACGTACCACCACAGCAGGCTTCATCTATCTTCTCTCCTCCTCATGCTTGTTAAACCACAGCAGGGCTACTTGAAACTGAAAATTAAATAATAACCTCCTCGGCTCGTTCCATAATAAATGCTTACGCAAGTTTGGACTCATGTTTGTATCATCTCGATAAGAACAATGATACAATTATTGTATAAATCCTCCTCCAAGTCTCGTGTTGCTGACGATGGGACGCGCTGAGTGACTTATTATGACATCTCCTCTCCTTCCTACCAGTTCTCATGACTGTATTCATATAGTCTGAAATTCAGACTCTGAATACAATGTGTGGTCGCTCATAATAAAAAAGTGAGTGGTTGTTGGACCGTGTGGCGTTCGAGATTGCGACGAGTGAAGAATATCTGGATAAGGAAAGGACAACTTTTATTCCTTGTTCTCAGAGCCCTTGTCCTTCACTCGAGCAATCTCCGTCTTATAGGAAAAGGTGAGCCAGTTTGTGGTGCAGGCAAGTATCATCATCATCATCGCCATAGTTAACGCAACAGTGAATGAGACGGAATCATAAGCAAAAGTGAAGCTGCAGCAGCATGCAAAGAGCTGGCTTGGCTATGGTTCCTCCAATTTCCACGAATTCCCTGGTTGGGCATATAACTCACATTGGACGACGAAGAGCTCAGTTTGCTTTCACCACTCACTCCGCAAGCATCTTCTTCACTCACCACCCACTCCTCAGCCCCATTGTTTAGTCCACAAAGTCTGAAACTTTTGTCCGTCTCACTTGGGGTGCAGTCTCAGCTTATTTTATCCCAATTAGCTGGCCAGCCGTTTAACCATCCGCAGCGAAGAAATCAAACAAAGACGTAATTGTCACTGGTCAATTTCTATTATGTGAAGAATACCATATCCACAAAAGAACATTTGTCTTGATTGAGCAATTCTGCATTTTAACGCCCATTGCGATATCCTTATTCTGTAAGGTAAATCATAACCTGGACAAGAATTTTGTGTACTCATGGGTGTTGTCATCTTTATTTTGGCCAGTCTCCAATCCATCATCAGGATCAAGTAATCAGGAGTAACAGAAACGTCAACAAAAACGCAAGTTTTCACAACCACTGACTCATTCATACGTACACACACACACGCAAAACAATTTCCAACAAATCCTTGGTGGACCAAGAAGAGCACTCGATCCACACTTGCCAAATAGCCATAAGCCAACTAACTAACTCGGTAAAGTACGTGTAACGTATTCCACACAAAACTTGGACAGTTCTCTATATGCAAATTTGAGTGAGAAGAGATTCGAGAGGATACCAGCACACGCCGTTTCGATATACTTTGTTCATTTTACTTTTACTTTTGTGACTCATTCAACACTTGATTACTCGCGAAAATGGATTCGAGAACATTCTTTATTTTGGTAAGTGATTAATTATTGAATTAAAACAATAAACACGTTTTCTCCCCATTATTCTTCTCCTCCTCCGAGTCTGTTGATACACTAGAACCAATTAACTTGTCATTTCAATCTGCGACAATTTCCGATCCCACGCCATCATAATTCACAATATGCACCCTCACCACCACCTTCTTCGTACATATACATATAATAATATTCAGGTCTCATTTGCACCCAGGAGAGCAAGAACAATTCTGGATCCTTCGGTGTGCGGCGTTTCTCTGTCACATTTTAGCTCGTGAAGCTATGTAGGAAACTAGGACTATTCGGCTGCATTATACGCACCGCTATATGTAGATATGCATACAAAGATGGTATTTCGTATATTTTGAGACTGGATGAATCTCATGAATCCTTCTTAATTTTACTGATAAGGGGAAATTTGCGTCTGACCCGGTGGAATTTATATCTGACAGGTTTAGTTAGACACAGGAACAGAACAGAATGAAGAGGATTAGTTTCGCATTGCTCAACGTAGATCAGCCCAAAAGCTGTGAGTTTGTACCAGTGCAATCTCCAGGGCCTTATGATATATACGTCCGACCTACACACGCGAATGGACGGGTTTATTACAATAATGACTCTGGCTAATGCAATAGCCTGCTTGAAATTTGCATGGAAATGATAAAGTTCTATATTGCGAGTAACACAGAATCCCAACGGGATCGTAATTCTCCAGCAATATACTCTTATGGCTTTTATTATGTCTTTTTCTTCCTTTCCTTCCTTCCTTCATTGAGACTTGTCTTCAACTCATCCCGTTCTCAGCCTGTCCTTCTCCCTCTTCATCCGATGATTCAAAGTTACAACAATCCGACCAAAGTACGACATGTGTGGGTGCGTATACGAATTCAAAACACGTTCATTCACTTGAGCAAATCCATTTCTTTCAATATTGGAAACTGTGATGGATCACAATAATAGCTCTCTTTTGCACAATTTGCAATCTAATCTTCCAGCCTCAGGAAAGGGAGGGAGGAGGGCATTCTGGCAATTTGTTTTCCACCAACTTCGCCAATTGCATGCAGATTAGCAACTCAACTGGTTGACTGGAATCCTAAACGCAAGCCTTGGGGAACTACTCGAAATCTGAGATTTCAATTTATTATTGTATTTTGTTCCTATTTTCTGCAAGGACAGCATTCTAATGCATAATGTATACTCTATTTGGGTTAGTTGAGATTATATTTAATTATTAAATCTCATATATTCGAAGCCTATAGCCGGACAGATATTTTTTATAATACGTTTGATTGAATTCTTAGGCTGTGAAGAGTAAAAAAGAGCGAATCTAATTGCCTCCATACGTTACGGTTAAGGTACTGAGACAAAAAAAACCTTTTTAGACTGAATTGATTTCTGGGAACCGTGGGCAGAGTCGTAGTGCACACCAATTTCTTAATATGTACATAGATATGCAGTTGTATGTACATTTTCGTAGGAAGCGAGAGTAGGTTGGTGATTACTGTGTGGTGGTAATCCCATTATTCTCATTGGCAATAATTTTGTAGACCAGCAAACAGGATCAGCAGTTGGTGATGATGATGATGATGATGATGACTAATAATGAATTAACTTTATTACCACTACAATAATCAACGCATTGTCGGGTGGGATAGCGTCATGCAAAAATTACGTAACAGGTCTGCAGAAAGTTTTTTGCGGAATTTATTCGATGTTTCTTGGAAGTAAGGATTATGCTATCAAGTAAAATCCCTATTTATGCCGTACATTTGCACACTGCATTAGTATGTGGTTCAAATCCGTAGCTGACTCAAATGGTAGTAGTACATGCAGAATACTAAACTCTAATAATTCTACGTACAGCATGAAAATGTGAGACTTTACGTTGTAACGATCTTTATAATTTTAGACCGTTAAAATTTAACACTGTCGCTGTGTCGTCTCATTCGCATTATGCATATTTATACATACTTGTTCAAATATTTGCGAATACTTGTATCCTTATTTACTTATTATCGCCAAAGGCTGAAATGATATATCGTTGGACAATGTTTATTAATCGGCCGAGAAATAGGTATATAAATTTATATACGATTTTCGGCACGTATCTGGCCCAACTTTGCATATGTATGCAAACAATCAGATCAAGCAAAATGAAAATTTAATTTTATCAATATCGACCAGCCAACCACGTCGCCTTTGTGCTTCACATCGTAATAGGAATGAACTCTTTCGACTCTATGAAACTAAAAGCTAATAAAAAATCCAAAGTTTACAGAGACCACAAAGTAAAGGATTTAATTCCCATGCAAAAATATGCGCCTGTTAAACATTGAATGAAAGATGGCTTGGTTTTTTGCAAGTCAAGTAGTTGGACCACAAACTTGAACAGAGATTCTCACCCAAAGTTTTGTTCACGGTGGAATAGATGATGAGGAAGGGAAAAAGTCGTCGTCGACGTCGTCGTGTGGGCATTTTGAGCTGAGGAGAACTACAATAGCAATTTCATTCAGCTTTGAACCCTATATATATACACATATATATCTATCTGTGCAGTATATATATATTCCTTATGTATGCACAAGTATGTTACGCCACACAGAGCACAGTTAGTGTAAAAAGTTATGAAAAGAAGTCAAAGATCATATCACAGCCATTGGGTTAGAACATTGAGAAACCAGTGAGAAATCGTAGTATGCAAAGTATATAAAAATTTGAAAGAGATTCGTTCTCTGTATTTCGAGGGGAAGAAAAGAAGAGAAGAAAACTCTCACATTTATTTTTCTGTCCGAGAAACTAGCAAGTTTTTGGGGAGAGGAGAAAGAATGAAGAATCTGTGCGGCTGACAGATGAAGGAAGAAAACCGTCTGAGCAGATGAAGTATCACTTCACAATTTTGACACAAAACTATTCCACTTACTTCCTCTCCCTGTCGGATAAGGAAATTGATACTGGACACAGATTTCAGGGACGGTTGACTTGGTGTGACGTGACGTTCATCCTTCCTACACGCCTTATAGGTATACTTCATATATGTCGTAGATCGTTTTAGTGTTTGATAGAGAAAGTCTCTCTCTCCTCAAGAGGAAATGCAGAACAAGGAAGGAAAGCAGTGAAAGCACCCAACTGTTCTCATCATCATGAAGCCCATAGGAGGAAGAAAGGTCTCCTGCCCCCGTCCAAATAGATGAGAAGATCGCATGCATTTTTATTATTTTCTCTTCTCCGCCTCCGACAAGCAAGGCTCCATATTGCTGCACTGCTGCTGGAAGGAAAGGCTAGAGTTAATTTTAACTGTCAGAAACTTAAGCTGCGACATCGCCATGCTATCATCTGGCCACATTTCAGACAGGAAATTCAATTTCAATCTGCACATATAATAAAGATAGGATGAGCGAGGCTGTGATGTGGGAGCACTGCCATTCGGTGCTATGAAGAGTGCGAGGAGATCGGATGAAGATGAAGTTGATTGAAATAATCTTTTTTGTTCCTTGAATTTCATTAAAGAGATATTCACCCGACCAGCCAACCACCGTGTGCACAATAAGTTTTACAATTTAATGATGCTTCCATTCCACATCTATGCATTACATTACATGACATGAGGAGTCCTCATTGAGGACATGACACACATGAATTGGCAGCTCTCCGTTCTCGTTGTACAGAAATAGTGCGTTGTGTTCGCTTTTGTTCAGTTCTACAAAATTGTAAGGCTGCTATTAGATACTTCTCGTGCTTATAATTATATCTACGAGCGTTTCATAGTTTGATTCAATTCCACAGCGTTAGTCAGTACACAGACGGACGGATCTCTCTCTCATTCAATTGGAGTGTCACTCAACGAGTCATTCAATATCCTCTTTTAAAACTTTGGACACAACTTTGTAACAAAGACCGACTAAAATGGCATCTAATGATAGAAGCTCTGAATGCTGCCCGCAAAATAACTAACTGATGGCTTGGCGTTGATGTTAGGTGATGGCGATGAAAATCACAAGTCATTCCAATAGGAACTCAATACTTTGATAGGCAGAATTCTCTTGAAATAGATGAAACCTGGAGGAAAATGAGATTGGAAAAATATTCTATATTATTATTCATCCTGCCAGTTTCTAGTGTCATGCCACTGTAATAATATAATCCATAATATTATGCTTTGTCCCTGAAGTGACCCCCATTATCTCATGATACGTAAATAGATTTATGCTAGATTTATGACTCTTATGTCATCCTATATATTACAAATAATAATTGGGATAAAATTAATGGAGAAATGAGAATAGCAATTTTTGCCATAAAACTCAACTTTTACAGTTTCACTCAGACCTGAAACTGGTTGAGAGAGTTGGTGCCCTGTGATTAATTCCCGTCTAGTCAGGGCTAACAATATAAAAGTAAATGGTCGCCAGCCAAACATAATGTGAGAGTAATGAAAATAAGTTAAGTGGACGATTTGTGTGATTGCAGGCTTTGGGGACATATATCACCCTGATATTTCTGGAAAGTGCGACGTGTCGCTCGCATGGTTTGAAATATCACCATCATCACTATCAAAGCCACCTTCATAACAGTAATCGTAATCATCATCAGAACCATCCACACTCGCTGGATTACAACAGTGGAGAGACGCCGAACGCGGTGTTGAATCAGGAGAGGAACACGGTTCCGAAACATGGCAAATCGACCCCCACCTCATGGCGCCCATCATCTTCCGACGATGACTACGAGGATGAAGACGACGGCGGTCGACATGCTTATCTGATGTTGCCCTCCTCGAAAAAGTCATCCAGCGAAAGGATCACTGAAGATCAAACCCTCACCCAAGCTTTCGGTAAGTAATACACGCAGGAAGGAATAGACGAAAAAATATTGATGGGTGGGTAACACGAGACTTTTAAATGCTTTCAGAAAAACATATGAAACCTGGAACTCCCAATATTCACGATGTTTATGCATACCAGCTCCCCTCGGACTTGTGGTTCATCGTAAGATACTCCAAGAATGAGGATGGGCAGGTGGAAAAATACATGTAAGTCAAATAATCATCAGCGTCATCATTCTTCTACACAATGCGCGTCCCCATCAATTTCTGACACAATTGAGCTTAATAATATTGCATATGCCGTGTGGCACTATCGAGAGCTCGTTCTCTACCTCTCATTTTTTAACAGAGGCAAAATCCCCCTGTGCAGACACCACCGTGCCAGAACGACTGTACGGTCGATCAGAAGTTATAAATCTTACTATGACCTAAATTCCAGCTTCCAGTCATGACAGGCATTAATGATCAGTTCCTCCTTCGGAGAGACTTGGGAAAATATGAGATTTTCCAAGCACCAAACCACTGCTTTATTATGGGACTGCGTTGCATAATACACACGTATACCTAATACGGGTTACTAAATATTTGTCGTTTTGCAGGAACGTGGTTGACAGCTTTACAAATTATTTGGAAAAGGTAAGCTGACAAATTATAGTATAATAATTTAAAGTGCAATGTTTCTTTCTGGATAATGAATACTTGTTTCATTTAAAAGTTGGAAGACAAGGATGTTCGGACAGTGAGTGTGAACGTGAAGGGGGTCGAGACCGTTTTTAGGTTGACACCCAAGCGAAAACCAGACAACAACTGATACTCGGACGACCCCACCACTACAACTAACCTAACCAAGAAAGATGCTTAATCGAGTGGAAAATCGTCCCTCTGCTGGGAACCATTCGTCAAGGATTATTATCAACAGTACAACACCAAAAACTAATTAGTTGGGCACTTGTTAATTCATTCTTGTATTTATATTAAACATGCAACTATTTAAAAAAATATAAGTATATAGATAACATAACTCGAATGTGCTATTCAATGAATATTACATAATCATAAAACTTCATAATTTTTGTGCAAACTTTCATGTATTGTCATTGAGGAGCATATTAAACTAGATATTTAGTCCATTTCGGAAGGATGAGGACATTATTAACCTGTGCGTGCCCTCGCATCTCATGCAACCGGAAACTCTAAATCGTGTCAATTAAAAGTAGAATTTATATTTCATTCTCATCATACAAATATGACTGCCTCATAATCTGTGTACGCAGTGTAACATATGCATGATATGTACATATTTAGATACCATAAACTTACACAAAACTCGATTTCAAACTTGAACTGTTTTTATTTATATTTCGTTTCTATTAAAATGTTACAATTTCCATGCATTGTTACAATTAATAAATGTATACTAGGTGGTATTTTAAAATATATCATAAGTATGTATACCTAAATTGCATTTAGAAGAGAATAACGGGTTCTGTTACACAAACACATATTAAAGGACTAGCAGCTAGCAAAAATAGGTTTCGACATTGAGTTTACGAAAACAATCACATATTATCAAATTATATCGTAAGCCTGGTACTTCATACATACTTATCATTGCTAATGATAAAGTGACTTTTGACCAAGCTCGTTTCAGTTTCGCCGAAAGACACAACCACCAAGTCTGTTGTCGAGTGAAACGAAAATCTACAGCGTCATTCGAAAACTAAAACAAAACAAGACTACCAACTCCTTCTTATATTCGCAGCACGAAAGATCATTTAACGAAGAAGGCGATATTATATTATACCAAGTAAATATGAATACAATTTAAACATACCAGCAAATGTCTTTTGAAACCCTTTCAACATTTATATTCCGCATCGAATTTGTACATAATCTACAACGAGACTCTTTAAAAACTGGATCAGATTTTTCATATTTAATAAAACCCTTACAAGGTGTCAGGCTTATTGAGACGAAACTATAATGGAATGGTATTAATTCCAGTATAATAAAATCGAGTTGAATGTAGTTACATACAAAAATTTGTATCTTAAAAACCATATGAAAGTAAAGCTTTGTTAGAGCATTATAAACGTCAATGCAAATGGGGAACACTTGGCACAATTGATAAATGCTGAAAAATTGATAAATGGGTATATAAATATGAGGCGACAACGCATGATTGAACAAGGCTGCTCTTCATAATTGCTGTTATAAAAAATGAACGAGCACCTATAATCCTAGGCAAATCCGCTTAATAGTTTATGAAAATCGGACACAGGAAACAAACAATAATAAGGGCATTAACATTAGGTTTGATCAAAAGTATAAGATGACATCACATAAAATCAAAACCAGCAGGAAAAAATTCTCACCACAACATCAGACGAATAATAGTCAATAACAAATAGGTATTATTGTCAAAATTCTAAACGTCTTTCAAAATTTTGCAAATCAATCGCCTAATACTGAACAGTTTGACATTTCTACTACAATAACGGAACTCATATTCAGTGTGACAAAATAACACCCTCATATCACAATATTGTAATAATATTATGTTTGGATGTGTAAGTAAGGTCACTTCTCTCGGATGCTAGCAAAAAATAATGGAATGGATCACGTGGAAGTATCATAGGAAGAGAGTGTAGTAAATATACTTGTTGTCGGAAGAGTTAAACAGTTTTAAGAGTAATAGGGAGGGAGGCGTGTAGTTGTAATAATAACACATAAAACGAACATTACATAGGATAAAAAATACAGAACAATTGAAGTTAGATTTTGCCTAGTTGAGCTATTTGAAGCAAAAACACATAAAACCACAAATTAAATAACGTGTGTTGCTGTTGCATTTAAGTCGTTACAAAATCAAACAACCAGAATTAAGCATGTATTTAAGCGATGGCCTGCTTTTGCAAGATTGGAAGCACGCAATGTATATTATCACTATCTCATTTGCTAAATTATGGTTGAGTATCTCGTATAGTAGCATGTTTCACACCCTTAACATTGATGGATTAATGTAGGGGATATGTCTACTCGACTTTACTAAATTATGTGGTTTACTACGATATTCCATGTTCTAAGGTGGTGTGCTTGCTTCAGTGAATTGCTCGAAAATTTCATCATGCATTGTCGGCTAATAGTCAATCTGACCTATCTTTAATTTTGAAGCACTCAATATTAAAGTGTCGGCACATCTGACGAACCTGCAACAAATTATTTTCGTTTTACAAATATGATCATTTATACGATACTACAACGGTATGTGAATATCAGTCACTTACTATGCATACGCCGTAGTGCAGTTGTGTTAAAGTGGAAAGAATCGCCAAGACATAAACGGCTGCAGTTTCAAAGCCGAGCCCGGGGCGCATTACTACCGATACCTGCATAATAATAAATTGGCATTTGACAATGTAATTAATATTATATCACAATGATTGTCATTTAATATTAATGTCAAAGTGTTTAATCTAACCAAGGCAAGCGCAGTGACAGGAAATAGCGTCCAATTAAAGGCTTCACATCTCGTCGAACTCATCTGAGCCACTATCAATCGACAACAAATGTGAGAAAAGACGGTTCCAACCATGTAAAAGAACATTCTAGGCTGCAGTTCCAAAATGTCAGACGGAGACAGGAACATCCACAGTGAGGTCACAATCATCAGGTAAATTGACGAATACAGAGGTCTCATCATTTCTAAAAGTGGGCGCATCTTCCCTGTCCCTCTCTGATAGCCGCTGAAAAAATTCAACCACCATTTTTAATAAACTAAATTATTGATTATTAGCAGAATTTGTTGATACACATAACCTAAGATATAAACTTACATGTACACATTGTAACAGGCGACTGGCATGGAAAGGCCGATTGATCCAGCATACAGAAGAACTTCAACCACATTCCCAGATGTGTAGTAACCTCCAGGAAGATAGAATTTCCATATCTCATGGCCTCCAAATGTACTGATCAGAAATACGATAAAACATCCCTGTAAAAATCAGAAATTTATATATTAATGAAAAACGAAACATTCCTTAAATGCACGCATGATTCGCACAGCAAAGCTCGTATCACTTACCACCATTGACAAGTCATACCCCCAAGGCAAGTATAGTACACCTGAAAGAAATACACATTTATGTACAAAAAATTTGATTTTCAAAATTTCATATGAAAGTAATTGAGCTTTAGCTACCAGTATTATATTTTTCCCAGTGGGAGAAAATAAAGTTGAAGAATACGTTCCAGTAGCAGAAGAACATGCGTTTTATCGACACACTAAATTTTCCACGACCAAAGACTGAATATAGCCCCGTGGGAATGAACACAGTTGTCCAAGAATCTAATCCGTGGTCAAACAGTTCTCCAAGTGGACCAGATGTCCCTGTTCTGCGAGCTTGTTTCCCATCAATTCCGTCTATATAGAATTATAGGTTTATAAAGTTATTATTAAATGAAATAATTCATAAAGAGCAAAATTCTGTCTACTAAATAAGTACATACCTAAGGTGTGGGCCATGAACAAATTAAAAGCAGAAACAAGCCAAATCCATTTTGGTATTGGCAAATATTCCGCTTCTGTTCCTTCTGGTGCACCACCACCCGCATAAAAATGATAATCATAGAAGCTTAGAATCACAAAATTAGCCACTGTGAACGCGAAACCGGAAAAAGTTAATAAATTTGGCGCAATCCATCTTGGACAGATCTAATCAATACACATTAAAAAATACATGTCATAAATAAAATCCGACTAATAATCAACTCATTCATATTCATAATTAATTACCTTTACAACAGCATTCCAAAATGGATGCATAACATAATTACTAAGAGGGCTGGTGTCCACCGAAGAATACTGAAAGTAAATGATACGCGATATTAGAGATAAAAACACATAATATATGTGCAATGAGCTCCCATTCATAAAAAGCCACGGTGGCAATGATTTCCAATGACCTTTGCCTTGCAGTGATAACTAATTCAATGAATAATACTATAATATGAACTTACTTTATAGTTTTCAAACCCCTCCAGAACTTCTGGAGTTAAATATTGGACTTCGAGACGACAGCAACCCATTTTGTTGATTATATGTATGGTGTTGCGGCTCTGCTCGTCTCTGCCTGGTGAAACTAACTAAAGCGACAACGGGATGATGAGGTCTACTATTTACGAGGTTAGAAGTTCATTTTGGTGGATAAACCTGTAAAGCATATAAAAATTGTAATGAATTAGCAAACGACGTACATTTAATACATATTCATGCATATCTAGGTATACATAGTTGTACATCATATATATGTTTCTTAACTGGTTAAATGCATGCGTGTCAGTATACTCCACACTAAATGATGTATTATGTTTATTAACATATGCTGACTGAGATGCTGAGAACTTCACTTGATTTTTAACCCTAGTTTAATGTTTAACTATATGGCATGCAAACAATATGTTACAACACAATGTAAGGTGATATGATAACAGTGATGATGATAATAATAATAACAAGTCACTGTATTCTGTCTCAACTTGGCTGACGCACCTTGCGTAATGATCCATCCAATTACAGATTACTCATATCCTTGAAACCTGAGTCAGGTTACCTCACTAAAAAAACCGGCCACCGACGGCCGACTGTAATCTCACAATCTAACAACAATCATGTTTTCAAATTCGAAATCCAAAGCTTAAAAATCGAAACAGAGAAAATCAAAAAATTACTTCAATTCATTCCATCAGTCACCACTAAATTAAATTTCTAATGAAACGCAAGTTAAAAATCTTCTACCTTCCATAATCGATCAACAAGTTTTGCAAAATTGGGCAAATAAACAAATATCCGCTCCTGCCCTCAATAACGCACCGCTGCTTTTCTGGGCGCTGTAAATAATTTATCAACTCTCAACCCGACCCTCCTCGTCATTCGGTCAATCAATTAAACAAACGTCTGACTTTTCCTTGCCAAACTACATTTATACCCGAAATCAATTCGTCTCCTCCATTCCATTAAATTGGGAACAGGCAACAATACAAATTTTCTATTTTATGAAATTCTCTTGTACTTACTTTTATTAGTAATTAATCCATCCGTTTTCTAAAAAAACTAACTTGACTTGCACTTTTCTTGCGTGCAGCAGGAATCCAATGGTGTCCGCCTAGTTTTATTTGCCGGTTCAACCACGGTTTTCAAACTGTGAGACGTAGACGAGCGAGACGGCAGAGCAGAAGTGAGAGGGTGGCAAGCGAGCGAGTGAATACGGGTCAAATATATGACCAACTCCTCTCTTATAATAAACAACCGTGTAGCCAGCAGCCAGCTCTATTATTGCGCAACCTGGGCACACCCATCGAGTCATGTGCCACCAAAGTGGGGGTGGTTTTGCCCCCACTACCCCCTCCTCGGCGGTCCTATTGTGCCGTTAAGGGTGAGCGAAATGTGTGGATGTTCCGAATCGTCAGCAGCGCAGGAAGATAGGGATCGCAATATCCATAATATGGACGAGGTGGTGACGGTGGTGGTGTTGGGCTCACCGCCGCCGTGTGGCAGTTTAGTTGGCTTGTAGCTGTGACTAGGAAGGATTACTCACTCGCTCCCTTCTCCGATTTCTAACGTGCTTCCCATCGCCTCCCTCAAGGCAAGGAGGACGAAGGGCTGTGGGTGTGGTCCGCTCTCTAAAAGTCTCAGGTGAGTGAGTCGTGGCCTTGGCTGGGCGAAAATGTCGCCCCGTTGGGCTGGAAAGGTGGAGTAAGTTGTTTGGAGGGATTTTAGAGGTTTTGGAGGGTTTCGATACAAGTAGGTACGGAAGTGAGGCGACTTTTCTGATATCTTTTTTGAGGTTAACTTGAGGTGGTTATTTATTATTGTACTGATTAAGTGGTGGTTATATAAATTAATCGATAGATCAGTAGCTAATTTTTAGTTTGTCAAATTTTCTAACTTTTTCGTCTGCTAGGATATTTTTTGTGTATCAGCAATGTTTTTTAAACTGTGTCAGATTGAAATTAGTGGTAAGAAAAAGTTGCAAACTTTCCGTGCGACAAACGTCTCCCAAAATGATGACATAAGGTCTTCAAAAAGTAAATATAAAATGGCAAATAAGAGTTAAAGATGTAAAGGCCACTGTTACGTTAGCTAAGCTAAAATTAAGTTGATGTAAATTATTAAAAGAATTCCAAACTACAAATATGAATTTATGTTTGTTTTGTAACAGACGTCCAGCATTGATTTTGACATCCAAAATTATCAATCATACTCACTGATGGCTACAACCGAAGTCTTTACAATTTTTCCGTAATCGTGCCGGTCTCCTACACACAAATACCTTCAAAATTCAACTGATATTTATTGCAATTGCGGTGATGGTAAGCGCGAAAAAAAACAAGTTGTTGCGCTGATATTATTATTATTTTCATTTCATTGCTGTATACACAGACTCGACGACGGACTTTTGTAACACAAGAAGATGTCATCCTCAACCTGGGAACCTCCATATGCAAGCAATAGCAATCCCAGCAGCAATAATCCAACCAGTGCGGCTGGGATTTCACCAATCGTCGCACATAGCAATGGACCCGGTGGTGGTGGTGGTGGGATAACTCAAAGTGTAACTGAAATCCCACGTGCCAGTGCCATTCATCAACCAGCTCCGACATATTCTTCTTCGACGGCGAGCTCTCCATACCTTCACCATCCTCCTCCCTACTCGCACGCATTGCCACCCGGTCCTGTGTTAGGTCCTTATTCATCAATTCCTAGTGGCCCCCCTCCTCTAATTCATCCTTATCCTCCACTCACGACTGCCAGTGGAGGTCCTAACCCTGTGCATTATAACCATCATGGAGGACACCCTCCTAACGTTCCACCCCCATCACATCATTATCCAGCTCCCCCACCGCCATATGCTGCTCCAATCCATGGACACCCAGCAATTTCGCCGACGCATACAACAACATCAACCTTGGCACCTCCTGGCGGTGCCCCTCCTCTTCATGTAGGGCAACAGCAAGGGGTGGGGCCACCCCCACCGTCTCATCATGTCCCGTACAATCTTAAAGTAGGAGGAGGAGGCCAGCCCGTTCAAAAGGCAGGATTGCCTCATCAACAACAACAACACCCTGGCCTTGGCGTTGGACCGGTTCCACAAACGCCGATTGGTCCTCCAATTGGTGGAAACCCATTTGGACCATCAGGACCAGAGTTGGATCTTCATCCTGAACTTGTTGCCATTGGATGGAGAAAATTTTGGTCGAAGCGAGAAAGTAGGTGGTATTTTTGGAATTGTAATTCTGGAGAATCCTTATGGGAATTGCCTTCACTTCCTGGAAGACACCCTCCTCCTGGCCAACAACAAGGGGTACGTATAAATAGTTTTTTCTTACCCAACCTTAATTTGTTCAGCTATGCAATATGCATATAAATAAATTGATATTTATTTTCTCTCTTTCTCTGATTTAGTACGATGTAATTACTGATCCTCTGGGGATATCGTGCAACGGCCCAGCTCACCTGGCTGGTGTCAAGCGTCGGTCCTCATCCGGAGAACATCTATCGGGGCCAGGTCCAATTAAAAAATTTATTTTGTCGTAAGTATCTAAATTTAACTATATCTCCAAATATGTGCATATGAATAAGTGTATTATATGCATTGTATTTCCGATTTAGGGGGCCTTGGGATTTGGAAATTTCTTCAAATGCATATTCATCAGAATCTGTCATACCCAGTAAGTACATTTTTAAGTCTCATTTTCTCTTTTACAGTCCGCAATAGCGAAATCACCAGCAAAAATGGTATTTTAATGAATATTTTGTTTTTGTAACCATCCAGCATACCTCCCACCTCATCCTGAAATTGAGTTGATGCGCTATCAACTTGTTGTAAAGCTAAGACAATGTTATCAACAATCTTGTCAATCAAGAGAAGGGATCGATGCACCTAAAGAATCGATGAACAGGTATTGTACATGTACTGTATTGTACAAGTTGCAGCGGTTAGCAGTTAGTTGTAATCTATATCTGGTTACCTTATGTTCTAGATGGTTTGTCGAAAGAAAAATGCACGATCGGCGAGGAGTTGATCCAATATTTCCATCGTGTGACGAAGCTGATGGCGTAGTCTCACAAGTTATGTTTAAAGAAATCATGAACGACATTCCCATTAAAATTTTAAAACCGCGATTTACTGGTGATGCACGGAAGCAACTCTCAAAATTTGCGGATGCCTGTAAGAAGATTATTGAGACTAGGTAAATTATTTTAGAATACGTTGCATCTTTTATTGACAATAAGAAATTGGAGTAATTTGATGTGATGAGAACGATGACGAGTATGACCACAATATAGTTTTTCTTTATATGAGTGTGCCTTAAAGGTTTTCTTTATGAGTGCACTACTTGTGAGAAGCTGTGGATTTTTGATTTTATTGAGGCATTTGTCTGATCAAACTCCTTCACAACAGTTGCACCAAGTAATCTTTATTTGTTAAGATCTAATTACTAATCATGGACTTGTTCTCTTCGTTTAGGAACGCCACAGCGGAAGCAAGGAAACTGGTGAAATGGAAAGTTGAAGAAACCTTTTCCTGGTTAAGAAGCACATCCGGAGGTACATATGCCCAAATATGTTTGCCTACATTTTTTTAAAACATAACTAACTGGCTATTTTCTTCTTCGTATACATTCATCAGATAAATATATTATATTACAACAACTCATGCATACTCATTAATCGTTTATATTTTCAGCCCCATTTGAGGCATTTCAGGAAAGACTAGTTCATTTAAAAGTCACCTGTCAACCTCATGTACACATTGCAGGTAAGGATTATTATTTTCTTCGCCTTGTAATTTGAGACAAAAATGTTCCGAGACTTGAAATTGTTGTTCAGGAAATTCCAATTTTTTGAATGTGATGAGGGATACTGATAAATGTGTACGAATCGACACTATTGATTTTGAAAAATTTACATTGCAGCTAAATCATCAGTGGAAGGCATCTGCAAGAAAATGAGTCTCCTTTCAAAGCAATATGCAGGAAATGTCAGAGGGGCTCATCTAAAACTCTTTGTTGATCCGGACAGTGTTAAGCAAGATACTAAATCTGTAAGCTTTAAATCTAATATTTATATCAATGAATCAGTCCATCTATTTCTTCTAGTGAAGCTAATTTATTATTTAATCTTTTACGCTCTTAAGGAAATTGGAAGATTTCGTTGTCATCCGGCAGTTTGTGGAGCTTACTCGTTTACTGACGCTGGAAAACTTCCAACAATTGAATTTATGCAGCAGGACAGAGAACACGTACTTCTTAAATTCAAAAACGACGTAGTCAGACTTACGACGCAATATCTACAAAAATTGGTACGACAGTCTTAATGTCATATTTACTGTCATATTATATACGGTGTAGTGCATAACACAGTTTTGTACAAGTATTCTTGGTTTATAGGAACAACTGTACAGATATAATTGCGTGGATGACAGAAAATTTGAATTTTTCCTTGCACGGTGCTACTGCTTAATGAAGCGTTATAACGGGTAAGATTCAATAAGTACTGGTCCAGATTTATTATTTTCTATATATAAATCTTCCTAAACACTTTCCCACGATTTTCTCGAATTTGGTATTTCAAAACCATCTGCAATTTTTCTGATCTTCTATCTAAATCTTTTACATTCATCCATCATACTTTCTCACTGGTAAATAATTTGCCTGTTCTACTGGGCTGTTAACAATAGGATGAGCCACTTGCTTTTACCAAATTCGTAAAAAGCCTACACATATAAAATATATAAAGCATAAAATTAGTTTCTATAAAATGAATGTAATGTTCTTTTTAATTATCTGGTTGGTCGGTTGACGTTCAATCTATATGGGGTTTAACTATTCTAATGTACGATAAATTGTTTGTTATATCTAGATTTTGCGAAGATTTTGTTTCCCCTCATTCCAGCCAAGGTTTGTACTAATATAATCTTATCCCCATAATATATATTTAAAATATTTTATTATTTTATTTAGGTTCTCTACCAATCACAGTATTTGAATCGATTCAGAGAAATTTTGGAGTCTCATTCGAATGTTTTGCGTCGCCGTTAAATTCATATTTCCGGCAGTTTTGTTCAGCATTTCCCGATACTGATGGTTATTTTGGATCTCGAGGAACATTTTTAGACTTCAAGCCGGTAGGTGTATATTATAATTATTGCAAACTCTTAAAAAACACAACATGAGGTGGTTTAAAGTGCAAAACCTGTAATAATTTGAGATTTGCGCAATTTCAGGTAGGTGGCTCATTTCAGCTAAATCCACCAATTTCTGAAGATCTCATTGATTCAGCCATAACGCACGTTGAAGATCTCTTGGGTAAAATTTAATGATTATTTATCTTTTGCTACCAAATATTATCGTTGTGTTATGCAACCAAAAACAATTATTATGATGAGAACGATGACGAGTATGACCACAAAAACGTTTTTCTGCCAATGAGTACTCTGTAAAGGTTTTCTTTACGGGTTGTACTAATGTGAGAAACAGTGGTACATGATTTTATTGAGGCATTTGTCTGATTATGTTTTGTAAACAAATATTAATTTGTTTTATAAGTTTAAGCATTACTGGTGTGGTATGCGACATTTTCGTTTTGTAATGTCTTAAATATTTCATTTCAGGTGGGACCAAAGAGGCCATGTCGTTTATTATCTGTGTTCCCGATTTCGTTGACGAAAAACAAGGCGAGGAATCTGAAAATGAGTGTAATTGGCTGAAGCGGTTGGAAAATTCCAGGTGGAAACGAAAGAAGATTACAATTTCTGCATTCGAACATGAATTTCGGCACGGGGGTCAACAACTAGTATCGAAGTATGTATTACATTTAGGTTTTGTTTGACACAAGTTATTAAATTCCGAATACATGAATTGTGTTCCATTTATCAACAGGAATGAAGTGTCAATCAGATCGCCATATACAACTGTTGTATTTTGGCTACAAAATGATGCAGGGTTTGACGAGTGGCAGCCTACAGATCAGAAAGTCGATGCCCTAATTGATGCTTATCGCCCTGGCCGAGAGCGAGAGAGGGATCGCCAAGATTTGCTGGCACCCGAAAGGAAGAATCCACAACCTGCTGATAAGGCAATAGCTGCTGCAGCAATAGCCTCAAGTTCAATGACTCCAGCGTGATTCTTGAGTAATGCAGCATAGACACAAAACCAGTTGATTCTTTCGTTCCTCCTTATTGTGGTAGATGATGAGTATTCAGTTGAAAATTTCCAGTACAAATTATATTTACAAAAACGTAATTCTTAAATGTGACGCATAAATTGAGAGTTATTATTATGACACAGTAATAATAATCATAATAATTTTGGAGTGACCGTACACGGACGTACAAGCTACCAAGCTACGTGTGCTTGTCAAATTGAATTGTATTCTTATTGTGGTAGGTAGGTAAGTAGGAAGCAAGAAATACCTATTTATCCCCGAGTGTTTTTATGGTGACGGTGATGACTACTTGTATATTGACCCTGTATGTACTAGCCTTATAGTAATTGTTGTAATATAAATTTAAGCTATATTTTGTGTGCACATTATCCATGTGATTGAATTACCAAGTACTTATATTAAATATAGTGAGCCTTAGATTACTATAATCAACAACCTCACTTGTTTAAATTTACTATTCTGCACGACCAGCAACAAAATGGCATAATTATGTACTAGTAACGTAAGTAGTATTGTTGACGTGTGATTAAAATTGCTTTAAACGAGGACTGAATTTGTTTGTTACATATATGGGATTTTATTTTACACAATCAGCAATAGTAAACAATATACATTAGGTATTCATTGTACACTATGATGGCTTTCTAGCAACATATGAATTATTATCTTCAACAACAGACTGATTGGGCGGTGGTGACCTTAGCGTTTGAGGAGTAGACATGAGTTGGAGTTTGGGCTTACTAGATAGGTTGCAAGTCACTTGTGCCATCAGTTGTTCTCGCAACGATCGGTTGCATGCCTTCAAGCGAGACACTTCCTTCTCATGGGCTTGTCGAAGTTTTTTATTTTCTGAAACTAGAAGCAATTATCCTTTTATTTAGATTTTATTTATACACAAGAAGCATTGTTGTCCACCTTTTTGGTTAATATTAAGCTGACGGGATACGCATATTACGAGGACTTACCAAGGTGTGAAATTTTGTTGTGACACTCCATTATGTATTTGACCGGATCAGTTATATGGAGCGTTTCTGCGTTTGGATTGTACTGAGCCAAGGGCACTTGTTTGCACGACAGCAATGGTTTCGATACATTGTTAGATTGGAACAACACTTTAACATCGTCCTCTCCCCCATCTGTCCCTTTCTGTTCATTTTTTGATTGACCAGGATGATGGGAATTGGTTTGCGAGTTTATCCCAGTGTTCTGCTCAGTACATGAAGATGATGATGAAGATGACGCCCCTTCTTGATTAAAATTAACATCGCCACCATAATTACCATCACCCCCGTCACACATATCTTGTTCTTCTTCTCCATTATCTAAAAATTGTCTATCCCCGCGTGCATCGAAGTGGAAACTGTTTCGAATTACCGGCATAATAATATCCGATTCCTGCATTTCAAAGTCATCCCCATTTTCATAATCGTTTTCCTCTTCGTCCTCTTCATCGTCAATCTGTTAATTTATCCAGTATCCGTTAGAATATTTAAGTTTTGATGGCATTACATGTGATAAGTTTATAATACCAATTCGTCTTCATTTTCCAACTGCAGAGACAACGTAGGGAAAAAGCTTGTTGAAGTGGGTCGACCTTCCAGGAAGTGAATGCTGCATATCTGTACATGCATACACACGTGTGCGTTTATTTATATCGTAAACAACGGTAGAAATTAATGGCTTACACAAGTCGCGTCGTTGATGTCCAGTTCTGGTAGTCCAATACGAAATTGCCACATTTTCCGTAGTTTGTCACTGTTTGGGAATGGATACAGAACAAAAGGCGGAGGGCAGCCGCATTTAGCCCGAAATTTGTGATTGTGACTGGCACATGGCGTCCTTTTCCATACGTTCAGCTCCATCCCAGTATTTTTGCAGCCCAGAACGACACAATATTTCATACGCTCCGATGAAGTTGATACCGTTTGAGGATGAGTAGTAGCAGCGCTGCTACTGCGCCCTGGTCCTCCTCCTCCCATACCTCCATTCGTAAGCTTGCGCGACGGTGCTGACGAAGCCATGACCCAAATAGTTTTCCTCTGCGTGATAACAATTATTATTTCAAATTACCAAGCTTAGAAAATCTTGTCAACGTAATGCCCACGGTTTTCTCAGTTGTCGAAATGATAAGTACAGCTTACCTTTTCATACGATGTATGAAATCCCCAGTCCCTTATTTTTTGCCAGAGAGCAACCTCGAGACTTGCTTCCTCGTCGGATGGTGAATGTTGACGGATTGAGCATGTGGGTGGGAGGAGATTTGCGCAGCGGTTTAGCCGTCAGGGCTCCTTCGCGCATGTCATCTTGATGATGATGACTGATCGGGCTGCACGCTCATGAAAAATGAAATAAATGCTAACAAGTTAGTGAGCTTATCCTTAGCTGCTCTAAATCGACTGATGTTTTTTTTTATCCGAACGCCAATCTTCTCATTATTTCATCTATGTGCATCAATTTATTGGTAAAATTAAAAACTTTGGCAGGTGAAAACTGTAATGCAGGAGAAAACTTGCTTTCACACAATGCTATACTTATCTACGCTTATTCTTGTGGGATATCGAATTCATGCAATGTTACCTTGTTTGAAGAAGTAATTTCAGAATAAGACACGGTGTAGTGAGGAAATTGAGACTTGTGCTGGAGACGAAATCGGGAAGTTGAGAAACTTGAGACGGATAATTTTGCGAAATAATGCGAAACAGGGTGAAAATCAGTGGTGAGCATGTGCAGTAGCAGTGCAGCTTTTGACAGCAGAACAGAGGAAAGTTGTGCAAGTTGTGCTCCGCTCTCTCATCAACTCAGAGGATGAGATGTTAAAAATTGTTTGTTTTGTTTTTAAATAGTTTTCAAAAGTCAATGAAGAATTATAATTTATTAAGTATCTCTGTTTGACATTTCAACATTCTTTCAGCAGAATACTTTCGTGTTCGGTTGCACTCGTCCAGGTCGAAATTTTTGGTTTTACTTGGAGCTGGACTTGCACTTTTTGCTGCGTTTGTTTATCTTCATCGAGTAAGTTAAGCAATCATTGTAATGTATTATTCGTCATTATCTGCTACATTTATTCTTGATTTTTTCATAGTTCGTAAAATTTAGGATGGCGAATCCAGTCATAATTCCGGCTACGGCGGCTCATACCGCAACGGTATTTATTAAAAATCTACTATCTACTTGTTGACATACGATTGAATTTAAAATGTAATGCGTCCTTCATGTTTAGATCATTTTTCTTCATGGCCTGGGCGACACTGGGTAAGTTTGCACAAATTTACGCAATTAAAACTAAAACCAGAAATAATGACAATGCTTTAACTCGATCACACAGACATGGATGGGCGACGACACTAGCAGCCTTAAAACCTCCATTTGCCAAGCTGATATGTCCCACAGCGTACGTTTACTTTGATGATAACCAATCAATGAGTGTTAGTCAAGTTGAAATGTGCTTTGCAGAGGAAAGATACATGTGACCTTGAACGGGGGGATGAGAATGCCATCTTGGTTTGATCTCAAGTCGTTGGACCCCAGTGGCGTCGAAGATGAAGAAGGTATTAATAAGGCGGCTGATGCCATTCGAAAAATCATTCAGGAAGAGGTACTTGCATATAACGAATTTGTTTAAAATAATTTTCTGAAATAGATTTGTAATGCACACATGTCTACATATTATGTTCATGTATTATGACTTTTAGATCAAAGCTGGAATTGTTCCGGATCGAATCGTAATTGGAGGTTTCTCCATGGGGGGAGCTCTTGCACTGTAAGTTAAAGAGCGTTAGTTTATGTTGGATGATACAGATGTCTGCAATGTGTATGGAATATTGTTTCTAGTTATGTTGGATTGAGTACACCTCCAACTCTTGGGGGTATTGTTGGTTTATCCTGCTGGTTACCGATGCACAAAACTTTTCCCTACGGAGGGGCAGGTGCCTTACAACGACCTCCTCTGCTCCAATGTCATGGTGAAGCAGACCCACTTGTTCATTATTCGTTCGGAATGCTTACTTCAACCCTTTTGAAGACACAACTTCCAAAGTATACATTCAAATCATATCCAAATTTGGGTCACTCTTCTTCCGAAGCAGAGTTGGAAGATGTCAAAGCATTCTTGAAAGACGCACTGCCACAGCTATCCTCTTAGTTGCAATATATGAAAGTCACCATATTAATTCTATCACATTTGTATGTACTACGTATAATATTCTACAAAATTACAAGTCCATGAGATTTGACTTTCCGACGTGAGATAAGCTGTTCAAAAATTAAATCAATATAGGAAATAAATATTAAAAGTCACTGTCTTGAAGATTAATTTGCAGTTGTTCAATAAACATTAGCCGAACCAGAGTTAACCGATGCATAGAATGTCGAGTATATGGCTTTTATTCGAAAGTTTATAAATCATGGCATGGTAAAAGTATCTATATCAAAATGCGTCGTTTCTAAAACAGTCTTAACTTTCATAACAATAATTATGTACAACATGATAATTCATACATATGTATGTACATACTACATTGAAATTTACGATAACGGTCGAGGAACAATATTTACGAATCTTCATCTTGTTCGACGGAACTGAAATGCAGGACGTAATCATTTATGATTTTGTCTTGTTCCTTAATTTTACGCTGTAAAGCTCTGATTTGGGCACCAAACTTATTCTTCAAAAGTTCATTTTCTGTTTCTGGAAGATATAAAAACATTACAATTAATAATGTAATGACCAATAATTAGCTTCGACGTTGACGTAATTGTTTTTTTTCTATACCAAGTTCTTGTACTCTTTTTTTGAGCAATGCTGTCGAGTCACCCTTTGAGTTTGACTCAACGACTTCAATTTCTAAATCAGAATTCCAAGACATTGGGAACTTTGTATTTGGCATCGACTTGCAAAGTTGTTGATATAATTTGCTAGATGACGGTGTGGAGTTACTACGTCCATGACCAAAACTACTAACGCCACCAGCCACAGGAAATTTTTCTGCCGAATTCTTAGTTGACGCGGTTGTAACCGTTCCCTTAAACGACAATTGAGGCTTCTTCGAGAAAAGTCCATCCGTTGTTGGTGGAGCCATGGCCAACTTCTTTTTCGGTGGTGGTTCCATTGCATGATTTTGATACTCTGCAGGTTGTTTAAAAGATCTTGCCGGGGTCAGTTTGGGAAGTGGTTTTGAGACCATGCGTTGCCTGGGAGGATGTTGATATGTCACATATTGTAGGTCTTCTTCCTCGTTTATCATGTCTTCATCGTCTTCATATTGAGCTTGCACTTGTGCAGGAATAAAGTCAGCTTCGTCCCCCTGGTCGCCTTGGTCATCATAACCATACTCGTCTTGAGCACCTTGATCCTCGTCGTCGTAATAGTAATCATTATTACCGTTATTAATATCTACATTTTCTCCTCCATTTTCAACTGTCCCAGAAGCGTCGTTACTATCTGTCAAAACAATTCAAATTACCAGAATGAGGCTTACTTACAATTAGACCAAAAAAAGTAGCTTTCATACAAATTTCCGAACAACTCACCATCCAATATAAAACTAGGATCATCAAGATCAACAGAAAAAGTGGGGAAAATGGAGGGGATCGCGTTCTTAACGAGCTTCCTGCGTTTCTGGTTTGGATCCTGTACAAAGTCGCTAGGATTAAAGTGATGTGAACAAACAAGTGAGCCTCTAAACGGAATCCAAGCCTCATCATCGCGTGATTTTTGAAGTAACGATGTCCAAATCTCCCCTATTTAATTTTGTCCTTATTAATTATTTTTCTTTTTAAACAAACTTTATATGTTCTTACATCGCTGTTGATTTTTATCCCCTGTTGGAAAGCTGTTGAGGAATAAAATTGATAGTTTTTAGCATTGCATTAATAAATACATTGATGTCATTAAATCAGTGTCTTCTCAACTTACCAATGATAAGTTGTATGAGAGTTTAAATCTCTCCATTCCTCGCATCCCATTACGCTACAGCTCTTCAATTTCTTTGCTGTTAAAATATTTTCACATATTATTATTACTTTATTACCTTCCTTTCCGGAATAAGTAATTACTTGACGACTTTAGCAGTACCATTCTTACCAACATCATCAGGCAATTCCGCTCGCTTTCCTCGCCTTTCTTTCTTGGTCCCACTGGGCAGAGAACCCCATTGATAATCCATTTTCTTAAGATTTCTGTACCACTCCTGCGAAATATGCAATTCAGTTTTACATAGGTTGTAAAACATGGATTTTTAAATTGTATGCATCTTAACAGAAGCTATTTCCACATATCCAAAATTGACGTGATAAAATCGTTATATTTATCTCTTTGCCCTTATATTTTGTTCACAAAGTTCTAACAAGTTGCACGCAAGGAAATACAGGAATGATCGCGTAGCAATTTAGACCACCTCCATGCAAATGACCTTGACACTAAACCACGCAGCACAAATTCAATTCACCATGCACCATACGAAGTAAATTAACCGGCCCACTTTACAACAATCTACTGCATAAAACAATCTACTTACCTAGTTTGAAATACTTGTCAAGATTAACTGTTTTTCTTCCAAGGGAAATTAATTCCAGGTTTAAATTTTCCAGGAATATTGAACCTTCGTTCGACTGACCCAGAAAAAAATATTTCCGTCAGCGAAAGATGCACGATGCTGGCGAGCTGCTGGAGAAGATATTTGAAATGTGTGGTTTCGTCGTGAGGAAATGTTGAGCAATGGAACGCTAGGATTTGAAGGAGGAGCTATTGGCAGAAGCAACCGTCCGTCCGTCCGTGCGTTTTTGGATATATTCTGAGAAGGACTCTAGCCAACGCTACTGGCTCTGGTGGTGGTGCAACCGCATTGGAATATTGTACTCATCATCACATAACCTGAGCACATAATATTCCTTTATCGTCATCTCGTAAGGTTGCTGCTGCTGGTGCGAGCGAGTAGGCAGAAGAGAGAGAACGGTGGTCGACGTAAAACTTTACGAACGAACGCCCCAAAAACTCTTCGTGGTGTGGAACGTACGTACAAATGCGTATCACACAGCAGCCATCCACCAATTCAATGTACAATGATTCAATGGCAATGAGAGGTTGGATTTTGGAGAAGGCTGTGCGACTTTATTTGTGAGACATCGTATCATCGCTCCGTTCTCTCTATCGTCGCATCGTTCCATGCTTACGTTGTGACACGACGATCGGTGCGTCCAAAGATGCTGCAAAACTTCGAGCGTTTCATGTGATGAACAATGTCTCAATTGCACTATTTGAAGGAAGATCTAGTTGATTTTAGGGGGGGCTTCTATTTAGCATTGCATTTTCACAAGGTTATCATTTGGGATGATGTTTTTAGAAGAAATGATAATCAATGATTACTGATTTGGAAGAAGATCATTGGTGATTAATTAGATGATATGGAAAACGTAGTGGTTTAAGCATCCTTCTTTTGTACAAACAGTATCTCTTTGTCAACTTCTCCCTTCAACTTGTAAAAGCGTTCAGCATAAGTAAAACGCTCCTCCATTCCGTCCGAGAGTCCAACCAAGGTACCATCACTTTGCATACCACCCCAAGCGTATGTATGTACATATATCAGCATCAGATGAGCAAAAGTAGTTCCACTTATTTAAACTTGTCCTGTCAGTTCAGAGGATACGACTGGTTAATAAAAGTTGTTGTTATTATAAAGTGGCAAAGTTAACCGCATATCAAGTACATACATAAAGTAATGGATGGATGTTGGACGTTCTTGTATTTAGAGCTGGAAATTGTAATGGTGGGAGCATGGATTTGGGAGTGAAATTGAAGGATATCACCCAAGAACTAATAATATTAACGTCAACGGTGGTGTGGAGAAGGTTTCTATGCATTACAATATTTCTGTGTTACATATATCTTCCAATCAAAATATTTTTGGACGAGTAAGCGATTTTAGGGCGAGTTGATATGATGATGAAGAAGAAGCAAAGACACAAACATTCAGTGCTGCATATTGCTTAGTCTTTGCATGGAATATCATATAAATTCGATAGAGACAATGATAAGACCCAAATTAAGTAGTTATTGTAATTTGGGGACGTCTGGAGACTAATTGACTGAGTCATCATGAATCGTGATATTCATGGAATATTTTGGAAGCTTGATTTCAGAACTCTGAACTCTTTTAGCAGATTGAGCACAAGTATTCTAGGCAAACAGTTGGTCCTCTGACACTTTTGAGGGCACTTTTTCTCAATTTTTTTATGCACATACAAAATTAAAATTATAGCCTCCTTGAAAACTAAACTTACAACAACACCGTGTATTTCAACACAACCAATCCGGCGTCTCCCCAGACCACCTTTAACCTTTGAATCACATAAAATTATCCCAATAAAAATATACATTTTCATCATATCTCCAGAAGCTCTGGCCCAGGACCCAAACTCTAGTTTATCTGTAATATCTACACTGTAGGCAAAGCTTGCTTTTACGATTTGCTCCAAATCTAAACCTATCGCCAAAACAACTTTGCTCCAAGATTAAGGAATTGACACCAAGTTATAAAACTTCTTATATGATAATTTTGCATGAAATATGACACTCTGCTATCAAATGTGATAAAACTACGGTAAACATGAGCATTAACTTAACGAGACAACCTGTTTATGAAATTTTAATGAAATTGAAAAAGCATAATTATGATACCACAATCAAATAAAGTCGTGTGAAGGAGAACTGAACATATCATTATTATCCTTCTCTTGCATGCATATGTACAACACACATTTACAGAGTAGGATCAATTTCAATCCTGGAGACGCATTACAAGACACTTGCCATTAGTGCTAAGAAGTTTTAAACAGGAGGCGAATTGTAAATTTTTGTCGTCCAAAATAATATTTTCGCATATAATTCATTATTTAATTTTATTTATTTAATTACCGGTGTACACCGGTTGGAGAAAAATCATGCAGTTTGAAGAAATCTCACCGATTACTTGTGTTGAATTAACAAGTCGCATGTACAATGTGAGCAATGTGGTGGTGCGGTTTGAGGCAAAAGCGAACTTTCTCTCTCTGCTGATCATCACCGGCTTAAAACGAGGACAATTTTCCCCCTGGTATTAATTACCCGTGGACACTACCTTTGTTTTCGGACTTTCACAGTGTTGCCTTCCTTACCAAGGAGTCACAAAGCAGGTAAGCGCCTCGCTCAAGTCCCCTTATTAACCGTGCCTTATTTATCTTGCATATAAAAATTCGGGAAGGTGAAAGGGAAAGTAAATTTTGAAGGTTATGCTTATGCTAATGATGCATGACCATAATGAAACATACACAGAAAGATGGGTTGTATAGTAGCATGGAAATATAATAATCATCATGATGCAACATAATCCGTTAAGGATTCTTATAAATAAAATCTTAATACGCAAAGAACCATTTAACAATGATGAACAATAATGTACCTTTAATTTGACACATATGATATCTTTCTGACATTGGGTATATATTTAGTAATTTAGAAAATAATTTGCCACATTTATATTTAGCATATAAATTAACAATGTCTATAGAACTTGAAAAAAGTGGTTGACTGTGTAACGTAAACGTACTGATTATAATGTGTGTGGACTTTTTTCATATGATTATCTGGAGCAGTCGTCTTTGACAGGTATAAATTTACACATAGTGTAAGTGAGACAAAAATACAAGCTAATAACTCTTCAAATTATTACATGGATGAATAAACTGGAAAACTTGAAAAGGACTAAATATTCTAATTTTAATACATGTATATTACTACAAGAAATTGCTACTATTTATTTAGTTGGGTCTACCGTACTACGTTTTGGTCAGGGCAGGAATCTGTGAAAATACTTTTTGTCTTTCTTTAAATAAACTCTCGAATAACAATAAATCTAATCTCAGTCTTCATTGGACAGTTAATGACAGTCTCACATTTTCGTTTCATCAGTCTATTAAATGAACTCTTCAGTCAGTCTTACTACTGGTGATACTTGTTTAATTATATATAATATTCTGATATATGTATATATATATATTTATGCATAGGTAGGTAATTGTTGAGGTGGTTTGTTGCATTTTTGTGGTACGCATATGTATGAGCTTTTTTACGCCGTGGTGGGAGTGGGTGGGGTGGACACGCGACGTTTCTTGATGGGCACAACCATGTCTAGTGCTCCATTTTCATCCAGGTCGTCTTCTGTAAAATCACAGATCTGATTAGGCTTCGGATTCTTCCTTTTGTTGACCGAATGAGTGGAGGTGCTGGCAATTACACTCCGTTGTTGGTAAAGGTGTTGGTGTTGCAAAGGGAAATTCTCGTTATCCTCATCGTCAAATTGAGCATCGTCTCCATTTTCGCCGTGATCATTATTATTCATCTGAATCGAACGAGTAGGAGCCTCCCTTATCCATTTTTGTACAACGCGGATATTTAGTCCGAATTTTCTGGCCACACCTCTGGCATCACCAGCCAATTCCGGGTCATAGTTAAAGGCCTCGAGAACAGAATTCTTGGACCGGTCGGATGACTCAAAATTGTTGTTGTTGTTATTATTATTATTCGTGGCGTAATTCAATTCATGTCCTGGGGGTGAACCTGAGCTGCTCGTGTGTGGGGACGATCGACGCATGGAGAGAACATTGTCCACGAAATGTTCCAAAGATGCAGTGGAGGACAATGGGGGAGGACTGGTGTACCCATTAGTTAAATTTGTCTCTTGCTGTTTTCGGACGAGTCCTAACTCTGACAAGAACCCGTAATCTTTATTCATTGCTTTACTGCGGATTGTCGACGAAGTGGTGATCAAGGTTGGACTTCTTTGAATTACTGTGTTATTGGCCTTGGTTGTGGACAGGTCCATCCCATATGACTCCATATTGTCCATTGGAGACGGCTTTGACGTCACTACTTCCAACATTGAAGTGGGATCCAAATAGTCATCATCATTATTATTAGGTGGAGTAGGAAATGATTTCACTGGGCGACCATTTGTCATTTTTCTTCGATTTTGAGAAGGTCTTTTTGTTTTGTCGTATGAAGAGTTTGGCAGGCGTTGAGAAGTGGGACCATTACGCTGAGAGGCGAGAACTGCTGCAACCGTTTTAGACTTTGAATTACTAACTGGAGCTTTTGGAGAAGCAAAATTGTGGTGCTGAGATGCCGACAAGTCGTGATGATGGTTGTGGTTATTTCCATTACCATTAAGAGTAATATTATTATTGCCTCGTTGTTGTTTTCGATTTGTATCGAGTCCACTTCCGTGTTTCGTAGTATTAGTAGTATTCCCCCCTTGTAAGTTGTAGGCTCCTACGGCAGCAGCAGCAAATGGATTATTGAGCCATGAAGCGTATTTGCCATTATTTGAGTGGTCCGATAAGTCTTGAAATTGGGATAGATTTGCGTAACCAGATTGCAAAAGTTGGAAATATTCATTTTGATTCTTTATCATCTGGAGTGTTTGTTGGGTGATGTAGTCATTCCCCCCAGGGGATGGAGAGGAAGAGTTTTTACGATGCTTTCGAAGTGGTGGCGACAACTTAGTGAAGGATACTTCGTTTTTTAACATGGCCCTCCGAAGTAAGCTAAAATCTTCTGATGGATACAGGTGGCAAAGTTCATCCACCAGTTCCATCATTCTCTGCGCGGATAAGCTTCCGTTCATATTATTGTTGCCGTTATTATGATTGTGGCTGGCAGAGTGTCGCCCTCCATTCACTTGTCCAATGCCATTTGAGCTTGGGCTTTGCATGGGTGGTGGAGAAACATGTCTCGAGTTACAAGCTTCGAGTGCTAATGGGAGCGATGATAACAGGGGGCTGGCGAGTCCCATGAACAAATTGGAATTGCTGTTTGAGAACAATGGGTGGTGAATATTTCCGAGCCCTTTTCCATTAATGCTCATTAATGGCGACGAGGAGGGCAGGCTGGCTGAAGGGGAGGAGGACACTGCGGACGCTTGTAGTGGGATCAGTGGGCCTTTACCAGCAACAATTGGCATTTTAGCTCTCGGGCGACTTGAACGCGATTTAGCTTTGGAGTTGGTGGCTGTACACTTTCCAGCGAGGATGCTCCCACGACTTGGCAAAGATACTGATGGTGATGATGATGAAGGAGGATTCGGGGTCAAATCTTTATCACTCTTCTTTACTTTTTGCTCTTGTTCATCAGAGGATGGCTGCTGCTGGTCCTGTGAAATACAAATAGATAATAATAATAGTAATGCCTTACATACTGGTTTAGTTGGTTTAAACGTTTGGTAAATATATACCACGAATGAGTTTAAAGGGGGAAATAATATGTACGGGCGTCTGAAAAAGTAAATATGTATGGACCGATAATCAGCATTTTTTCTCTTGCTTACCAAAATTGTGAGAAGCAAGACAATATAATAATTTCATTAAAGCAAATAATAGCAGTTACTCTGCATGTGCATGCACAAGATAGTCTATTTACATACGTAGGGAAACAAAGGGTATATTATGCACTATTGTTAATTCCTCGTTTCAGGAAGACGACATGAGTCATCGTCTTGTTCGTATGCAAACAGCATGATAGAATTACTGATTTGAATGATTGGGCACCACCCAAAACCTAAATGCCTTCTGGAAACATAATCCATAATACGGCAGGATATGCAGATCATAGTAAATAAAATATTGAGCAGAACTTCCGAAAAAACTGTGCCATGCAATCTCAATTTGGCCAAGCTGCATTTTTATCTAATCTAAAATTTGTCTCGTTAAAATGAGACACTTCTGTCAACTGTACTGCAAGTAAAATTTCTGTAAAATTTATTACAGGATTTATTGGATATTTATATATTGATTGATTGGATATTCAGATATTAATCGAACAAGTGTATTTTAAACAACACGATCCCTTTATATTTAGTTTTATTCTTATTACCACATATATTGAGGACAACCTGCCTCAGCAGAATTTTTAGGGTAGAAAACGACCCTTACTTATCGAACAAGAAGGTCCTACCTCTACGTACCTACCTGGGTACGTAGTTCTTATATTGGTTGCATTGTTGCACAAACGAGCTCTCCCGTCCCGACCCTCATCATCCCTAATGCAGTACCACCAGCTAGATATGCACTACACACAATGTCTACCTGAACTGAACTCAGTCTTCCCCTTTTTTCTCAATTCAATGTCTTGACGTAATTATTTCCCTTCTAGGAAATCAAAAGTTTATTGATTCTGAAAAAATAAAGTGAAATTTACCCGAAATTCGTTATTTTAGAACCATGTTGGGAGTGCGGTAGGATGGTCGTAGCGTCTCGAATATGTCAAGGACAAGGAACAACAAGTAGTACTGTTAGCTGCACAATGTCTTGGGGCTTTGGCTAAAAGCGAACTGACAAGATGAGAGAGGAGGAGAATATCACAAGACCAAGAAGTAGATGAAGGAGAAGAAGGGAATAAGAAATGTTGTAAAAAAAACTTGGGACTTGCAGGGTTTCATTTTTTAGCTTGGATGCTGATGCTATAATAATGCTACCCTACACACCTCGGGAAGGAAGGAGAGAGTCCTTGAAAATAGCTTGGTCGAGTCTGTTTATAATTCCTCTCTTTGTGCCCTTCTTCGTCTTGCATTAGTTCCATCACATAGTTGGTTTAGATTTAGACTTCCATGATCAGTGCGTGTTTTTGCATAAGGGGAGTTTATAAAACAAGTTTTGATAGTGTATGGTGGTGCTGGTGTGGTATTTGTTGCATTTTCTTCGCTCTTACAGATCCGATATAGATATTTTAACTTTAAGGGTTTCAAGCAAGACCCTTCCTCAAAATAAATCAGTGTGGTGGTGTCTGCTAGTCATCCGTGCTTATTGCTTAGATTTAGATATATGTAGGTTCATACGTAGTTCGTACCAAGAAATTGCTGCTGTCCCAAGAAAGAAAGATCATGCATTCATTGCACGTCATTCTATTAAACTCTCGCCTCCAGTTTTTTAACCAGTCAACCCTGCAACCAACCAAACTGACGATGATAAAGCCAACTTGTCCATAATGTGGAGGAACACGGAAAGGATCAAGGAAAAAAATGTTTAGAATCTCCTCCGGCCAGAGCACTTTATAAACTTTAAACTTATTTAGGATGTTATAAACCTTATGAACAAGGAATATGTAGGAGTCACTATACATACATGGATGCGTTTCTAAAAGTGGTCAGGTAGGGTCCTTAACCATATATACATGTAAGCACACATACATATGCCCGCTCTTCACGGATGCACTTTCGTATACTTATATCGAAACGATGTTGCAGTACCCATAATAAATAAGCATAAAAGTCCTACAAGCGGGCAAAGGCAATTTACTTTTTAAGAGAAAAGTGTTTAAAGCCAACTTCTGGAGAAACACCTCGACAATAAAATAAACCATCCCTGCCCTATCCTATCAGACAACCCTCATGTGAATGTTATGCTAGCTCGTTGACTTGTGTTTTTTAGATTACGTTTTTTATCCCCCTGCACAACCAAACTTCTCTAACCTACCTTAAACTTTACGACTTTCCATGGCAAGAGATAGACTTTCTGGTGTGTGGTTTGGTTGCCTTGCACGTATGCACTAAAAAATAAGTTGGTTGGAGCTTTTGTATTTTAATGATTATACTTTTTAGCCACAATGTAAAGTAAATGAATGACAGGAAGGGGATCTACATATGTATGTAACTATCTATCTCGTTACTTTGTTGAGCCTTTCACATACATAGGGTTCAAAAGGCATGCTATGCTTTCCAACTTGCACTTCCCTTCTTGGCTTGATTGAATTGAAGGCTTAACGAGGGTTCAGATTGAATTGAACTTCAATTCAATCTGAACGGGGTTAAGTTTGTGGTTGTGATGCTAATAAATGTTTTAATGTTTTAATTATTTAATAAAATATTGTGACATACTAAAATCCCTTCTATTAATTAATTAAACTAGTATTTTAAAAAATGTGCTAAAGGAACTTGCTTCCTGCCTAATTTTACTAATTCAATGCCGAAAGTGAGTAAATATTTTTACCTTGTTGTTATCGGAGGATGCCTGTCCTGTCAATTGTTGCAACCACTTTTGCACTTGTCGGCGATGAATGTTAAACTTGCGCGCAGTTGCCCTCTGATTCCCAATGCACGCCGGATCGTTAGTGAAGGAGTCCAACACGCTTTGTTTGAATTCAGGTGTGAAAATGCGTCGGGTTGTTGAATTTGCACCCCCTCCACATCCAGTTCCACCAGTACTGCTGCTGCTCTCGTTACTCTTGAGGGATCCAGCAGGTGATGGGGTAGAAAGTGAATTCGGATGATTTATCGAGTAATTGTTGTTATTATTGGTGTTTCCTACTTGGCCGTCCTCTTTCTCCAAAAATTCTTCGTCTTCTTCGTCACTTAATTCCTCTTCGCCCTCCTCTGTCACACAAATAACATTTTACGACTGCACCACAGTACAATTTTTAATGTTATCCATAAAAATGTATGGAATATTATATTTAGCAACGACGTCTCGAATTAGACTACATATGGAAAAATTGACTTTGAGTTACTTACTCTGCACTGTGCCCTCTGAGACTGAGGAGCCAGTGTTCGTGGCCTCCCTGTATTCGCCTGGACTCAAAACTGCGGCCGTGGTCGACATTGGTTCTTGCAGTACTCGTCGCCTCCGTTCTGGGTCCTCGGCCATCATCATCATGGCCATCGCGATCTGTTCCAGCTCCGTCTAATTTAGGGAAAAGTGTGATGGGGTCAACTGATTACATAGCCCAATTACCAATGCAAAATAAATCTAGCCGTACCTGAGCCATGGCAGCGTGCTGCTGGAAGTATCAAATTTGTACTCAATTTCCGATCCCCATTTGTAACCTTTAAGGCAAACCGTCGGACGGTCAACTATGCGTTAGATTTTCAGCGTATAGATTTTTTAGTGAGGCGTTTATATCAACATTCAACAAAGAGATAAATACTTTCTATGAAAAATGTTGCCAAATCTTCTTACAGATAAAATGAATTCAAGTCTGTGCGAAAAGTTAAGAGAATAAAAAAACTATTAATTTGCACGAGCTAAAATACTTGAAATTGAATCGGTTGGAGCTTTGCTTCGTTTTCTCGTGTTAATTTTTTGCCACCTCGTCGTCGTCGTGTCAGTCTGAATTGCAAAGCAGCAGAGAGCTCGTCTCCGTTGTTCAGTTTCTCGTACTCAATTATTAGCAATCGCTGATTGTGGTGAGACGAAGAGGTAGCGCAACGTCCCTTGCTAAATTTTCACTCAACTCTCTTCAGCAAATGACGGAACTAGTAGCAAACCAACACTGATTTCGTTTTAAGAAAGTTCACTTTTTGCATGGTGAGTCGCCCTTATTTCTATTTTCACTTTGGCATTCTAGATATGTCTCCAAAGCATTTAATCAGTCTTGAAGTGTATAGATTTTTAAAAATTATTGCTGCGACGTTCAGTACATGTCGCGGAGTAGTGGTCCAGTTTAAGTGGTAGTGAGGATGGAAGAAGATAACAAGGAAGTGGCGATCTATTTAACTATTTATTTGGTTTATGGTGATCTCCATTTGCCACTCCATTGCATATAGTAGTTTTATATCGTGAGTAGAAAAAGGATGTAGGGAGTTCAGCTTGCAGAAGAAGAACGTAAGGGTAGGTTAGTTGTATAATATGGTGAAGTTGATGTAAAACAAGGGATTTGTAGAGGGTTGGCGAGGGAGAGTAATAATATAAGAAGAACTATATGGCACCATTTTCCCTTTTCTCTTCATACATATATGTTCCTAGGGAACTTTGAATTTTGTGCAGGAGGGTCTTGTTGGCTTGTTGCAGAGTAAAATCATGGAAATCATGGCAGTAGTCGGAGAAGGAATAGGACGGATTGTCAAGGGTAGAAGTGGAGGGTTGATCCCAAGAACGCCGAGCACACGATGCGAAAGACCCTTTGTGGTACCATAAACTTGGCCAAATATGTGCGTACCAAGTACCAACTATCCACTCATTTCATATGCATGCGTCCATATAAAAGTAACCAATGCAAATATTGCATTGGCTACTACTCTAGTACACAAGCCACTAAAAAAGGCCGAGACAAAAATGCAGTGGTGCTCAAAGTATGCGATGAAACTTTTATGTATGGACGAAACCTCAAGACTTTATTCTATATCTAGCAATTTTAACTCTGTGGGACAACATTCTTGGAAATTTGTTTGAATGTTGGAAATGAGTCATGCAGTAATTTCCACTCTGTAAGTACGAAGCGTTTGTACATAAATCCTTTATAAAAATGGGATCTTTATTTTACGTAAATTCTTGCAGTTACATACGTATTGCAAATACATATGTATGTAGTTTGCAAAATTTAGCTTCTTTCGACCAATTTCTATCACCACTTAAATGACCCCCACACCTGTCAGCCACTGGACCAATCATGCTAATCTTCAAACGCATCTAATCGTAAGGCATTCTCATTCAGTGAAAGTAGTTACTAAGAAACTACCCGCACAACAAACCATGGTCACATTTTCACCACATGCATTGCTCAGTCCTTCTCCGTTTACTCATTCGGCCTTGTTGTTAGAAGAATGCAGAGAATTGAGACTGACCAGAGTGAAGTATTTTTTTGCTAATAAAATGCATTTATTTACGCATTTTTACGAAAGGCTGAATTGTCGACTTCACATAAATTCCGAGTGCTGAGTTGTGATGGGGACATCAAAAGTAAGTCCAGAAGATGCTATTAGTGGTTCATCGTCTGAAAATGACAGTGAAGGGATCGGCCTGTTTCGTTTTCTTCATTTAAAACGTCGTAAGATGGACAAAGATATCTCTGCATGGATCCTAGACTCTGAAAGGCACTTTATTGAACAGCGCTACACTGACTTGTCTCACAGCATACATCTGGTACTTCCAAGATGCCCTTATTAGTTAGTAAAGCTATTTGTAAATAGTAGTAAAGGATATTGTTAAAATTGTCCCTATAAATACATACATAATGAACCCAATGATGACTGAGACTGACTCACTTCTTCACTGATTAGGAAACTTCACATCAAGATAATGATGATACTGGACTGGTGCTGGTGAAAAATTCCACGGCCAAAAAAATTGTTGACGTGGCTGCTCTTCCTGCTAATAAGGAATTAAACTTTCTCCTCAGAGGGACGAAAATCCATAATAAAAGTTCAGTCACCCTCCTGCGTCCAGTCACGCACCCACCAACGGAACAAAGTCAGGCCTTTGTAAAACGTGTTCCTTCCTTAACGGACTTGCATGTACAAAAACCTGGTATCAATGCTGTCAAGCCATCTCGACGCGTAGGATGTTCTGTTTCTTGAAAACAAATGTAATTAACTCGCAAGTATTTGCATAATTCTGCTTGGAGTAAAAAATCACGGCCTAAAATCGGTCGAGAAGCTCAAACAGTGGTTCTGAACTTCTGAAGGTACTATGGTCGAGGCATTATAATTAAAGCCATTTTTACATGCATTGCTTATATAAAAATGGCTCTAATTTTAATGCCTCGACCATAGAAGGTCACATAAATAGATCATATGGATAGCCACATTTAGATTTAGATAGTGAGATACGTATGACCATGACATATATATTTAAAACTAGTCCGAATGATATAGAGAAACTTGAGAAATGCATATTCATGTATGAATTTATAAGCTTAAAGTCTGGATGCTCAGACTAATTAAATTGTATTATGTAAAAATCAAAATCTCCATATACCTTTTGCTCTTCTAAATACGTATGTTATTCATTGATGAATCTTGTTTACTTTTAGGTACCATAACTGATTCATTCATAATTCCATAACAAGGAGGAACGAGGACCGTAATTAAAGTCATCCACAACAGTGACATAAAATAAGAAAAGGGTGATATTTCATCAAATCAAGAGAATCTCGTCTTGTGGTGCGTCCAAAAAGTTCCACAAGCTCTTCAACCAGACCTTCTTGCTTGGATCTGTCGGTGAACATGAGTGGTAGTGTTTCAAGAGTGCTATCAATTTTAAGTACAACGGTGAACTTCAAATCAATGTATAAGACTAAGCTTCCATTGACTATAGTTCGCCAAGTTCATCAAAAAGTGTTGAAACGGTATAATAAAAAGTCAAATTTACTTTCTCACAAAATGCCTGTCATCACAGCCGTGGCCGTGGCTGCCCATCGTCAAAATCATCACCTCTCTACGGTGTCTCCAAACGATGCGACCCATGCACAATTAGTGTATCGAAGATTCAGATTGCTGAGTTGTGGATCTGCAATTGATATTCCTGGAACAATGCCATTAATGAGAACCTCCAGTTTTGGTGGGCGTAGTTCGATTTCGGGACCTATGTATCCAATTCAAGATTTCATGCGTCGAAATTATGCCAAAGGGAAGGACAAACCAAAAACGAAAAAGGCCGTTGTGACCATAAATGAAGATGAAATTCGAGAAATTATTGATGTTGACTCGCTAAAGAAACAACTGGAAAAGTTGATGGATCAAATGAGAGAAGACTTCAGCAAACAGCTCAGTGTTCGTGGGGCTGCTGGTAAGTTTAACTATAATCCAAAGTAGAGAACGCGTTGTGATCAATTTGGAACCATTGTTTAATTTTAATAATAATGTGTAATAATAGTAAGACTAATAACGATTTAATATTTTCAGGGGCTTTGGAAACATTGGTCGTCGAATTTGAAGGAGAATCTTACCCACTGCAAGAATTAGCCCAAGTCGGTCGGAAGAACCCTCAGTTGGCCGTACTAAATTTGGCGTCACTTCCCGACGCAATCCAACCCGTCATAAAAGCCATTCGAGATTCAGGAATGAATTTAAATCCACAACAGGAAGGGACGACTATTTATGTCGCACTTCCAAAGTAATTTGGTTTAGTTTTGCATTAATTACGAGTTTTGAATGATTTTAGTATACAAAATTACACTGACGATTTCTCACTTCATTTCTTTAGAGTTACACGGGAACACCGAGAAAATCTCGCTAAAAACGCCAAAACCATTTTCAACAAATACAAGACTAATTTTCAAGCTGTGCAAAACAAGTTCATTAAACAAGTAAAGTCTCAAAAAGAGGCATCTGAGGACTTATCCTTCCGTGTCCAACAGCAGGTGCCTACATAATTACTACTTTTGATTATATACAAAAGTGCTTTAATATTTTATGGTATTTGTCATTTGTAGGTCATGAAATTAGCAGAATCTTATATCGCGGACGCAGAAAAACTCCTTCACTCGAAGCAAAACGAACTTTTGGAAATTAATAAGTGATTCAATTTTTCTATCCTTTCTGACTGATGATATAAATATGCCTACAAATTAGTCATTTGTTGTTTAAGTTTAATTAGCTCTATAGGTGTTCAATAATATAATTATCAATCTTATCCAGTAAATATGATTGCATATTTCAAAATTTGTGGTTTCATGTTTATTTTCGCAATTTTTTAAAATGACAAGTAACTCACGATATATACGCCTTGATTATTTAAAATATAAATATACCGTAACTGACAAAACAATTGGTGAAATATATAAATATATAGTACTAGGAACACATATATAACAGTTATAACAATATAACATTATATTTTATACGGATTTTCAATGAATTAGTTAATTATTGGCATAATAATAATTAATAGTGATTGGATGACTTTTATACTAACTTTAAATCAGACATTAATCAACTTCACCCATGAAATCCTCAACATCATCGAGTTCAGAATCTGAGGAGTCAGATTTTTCTTCATCAGGAAGCACAATTGGATGAATATTTTCGTCGTTTGAGTTTGTCACATGTTCGTCGTCGGAAATGTCGAGATCTTGAATATCTTCTTTCAACCAGCGCAACTTGAGGTGTCGATGCAACGGTCGGGGCCATGGCCACTGAGAACGTTTTGTTAATGTGATTTTCAAATATTGTCCAGTACAGAAAACGACGGGAACTTGCTCAATTGTTCCAAAGCAGTCAATATCAAATCCATAATCCGGTGGGTCCAGAGTACGAAAACTGATTCTTTTCTTGTTTATGTCAATAGAATACTTCAGGATGTCTGCCTGGTTAACCTTTAAGATGAATTCTTTCATGGTCTGTCTCCAGACCACGGTGGGATGTTTAAGCGTACTAAATCCCCCAACGGGAGTAGATTCATGACTTTCGACGGCAGGCATCTCTTGAGAAGCTGACTTTGCACCTCCTTCAGCATCTAATAATAATTAGAAGTAGAAAGAAAACTCAGTCTTATACATACTCCGAACCGAACCCTCGTACGCATGGTACGATATACACCTGGGGTGAAAGTACTGTGGAAATACCCCCTGAGAAACCCCTAGATACATAAATTTCGATGAAAAAATATTATAATGGTATCCGCACCTGGATGAGATGAGGAGACCACCGATTTGTCGTTCGTTGTTGGCTGCAACTCAATCTCATCTGCTTCATTTAGTTCAGATGAAGGCACCTGGATTCCACCCGGTAGTTGTATTCCTAACGAGTTTAGTACAGAATTCCTATCATACCCAACAACATCGAAGGAGTTGTCGGAATCAGAGTCCGTCATACTGTCGGGCAACTCTTCGTCAGAGCCTAATTCCACCTGTTGTCGATCATAAAGCTCATTCAAGGTTGTTAATATGTTCTTCTTGGCCAGTTTCAAATCTTCGTCGTCTTTAACAAAACGGACGCTTGCTGCGTTCTTGAGCACCAACAGTTCACCAAGCTCATCCCCTGACGATGTGATCATAAATGCACTATAGCACCGACACGGAAAATGTTCATGTCTTCTTGTCGACCAAGCCTTTAATACACATTAAAATTGTATTTGAAAATAGGTTGAGATTGGAAACAAATATTCTAAAATTAAATTACAACTAGATAAATTCTTACCACAACGTCAAACATTACACCGTCATTATTCTCATCAATAGTTAAGCTCGTAAGACAATCAATAACTTCACTATCCCAATCATTATTGCCATTTGTGGGTGTGATGTGTGCCAATTCAAAAATTATAGCCTGAAATGGAAGTTTTGTTACTAAACTTTGAAGGATCGGGAATAGCTCTGCAGTCGGTGAAGATTTTTTGGTATCTCCAATATCAACTAGGAACACGTCATAGACAATATTTTCCTCATTTTCACGAACATGGGTGATTAGTCCCCGATACCAGCTACAAGACACAAAAATAAGGAATTATTTACACGTGATACAAGTTCTTCGCTAATCAAAAGATTTTCGTCTTTTGTAACATAATCATAAAATTGGATAATACGCCACCTTTGATCTATTTGATCTTTCACAGCCACGACCATTCCCTCTTGATAGTATGAACTAAACTCTTTAGCGTAATCGGGACATCGATCACTAATCATTTCAGAAATATGATCATTCAACTCCTTGTTGACGGCATTCAACTGACTATCAAATTTTCCATTAGTGCCAATAATGCAAGAGGGGTCTATGGTAAATGATGTCCAAATTTCCACAGTTTGAGGCTTTTCTACGCTGCTAGTTGCAACAAAGGCCCATTGATATTCGTCGCCGATGTTGTGAAATTTTGACATAAAAAGCGAATCTATAAAAAATAATGCAAGATTGTTTTAATATTCAAATGAGAAAGTCGAATTTAGGTGATAGCATAATAATAATCACAAGTTGTAACAAACTTTTTGCAAGATTTGCGTGTACATCATCCAATTCGGGACAACTATAACCAGTCTTTCGGCACAAATTAAGTATATTCTTCAAATGGTCGTCATTGTTTTCAGCCCACTTCTTTTTAATCAAATCCAACCGAATGCTACATCGAGTCTTTATAGTGGAGCCTACAGCATCACGTCCAACATCGATCAAAGGATTCACCCATACTGTTTCGCCTACAGCGAATACAATCTATTTGAGTTTAAACACATATGTATTAGTTAAAGGCTATAAGAAAAACCTACTCCAAGCACTTTGCGGGGCCTTTTAAGACGGCATTATTACATAAAAGCCAGACTCTAATGAACGATTGGCATATAATTTTTAGCCCGGACTAGGGCTTATGTAATCGACCTGTCCGTCTGTCTGTCTTTCCATAACTCTCGAAGGAGTAGGCTGAATTTTACCAAATTTGATACAGACATGCATCTGGGCATCGACCGAGTTCGAAGATGGGTTAGTGTTTCTCACGGGTCGGGTTCTTGCAAATCCGAAACCCGAACCCGAACCCGATGCCACTGATCCGAAACTTGAGGGCAACCCGAACCCGAAGAACCCGAAACCCGTTTGCAACGATCCGAACCCGAACTGGCGGATCAAATCCGAAACCCGAACCCGAAAAACCCGAATATATTTTAACTTTAAGGGGTGACTGGCTTTTTAGCTAAAAATTCTTTGGAAGGTTTCAAACAAACAATACTTCTGTAAATATGACCGAGGAATTATAATTAAGCACATTTCTGCATAAGTACATAACTCTTAATTCCTTGACCATAATAATGCAATCTCAAAAAATCGACCATGAATAATGGCTTTCCGTGACATTCAGAAATTTTTAAATCAGTTGAAAACTGAAAATGATTTTCAGTTTCAAGTTTCCAATATTAAAGTAAGCTCAAGCTAAATATTTTGCAAATTTTTGATAAAAAATATATTTTATTTTAATATTCAAACCATAACACTAATTGAAGACACTTGTGAAAAGAAGTTACGACAATTAAAAATTTGAATTATTTAATGAATTACTGCAGCATAACCGTCGTAGCAAGTTTGGTTAACACTTTATTTTCTTTTTTAATGTTTTCGTGTTCGTTGTGGCAAAAAGTTCTTGTTGGTTCGGGTTTCGGGTTCTTAGTCGGAACCCGAACCCGACCCGAACCCGAAATTTTGGGATCACATTTCTCGGACCCGAACCCGAACCCGAAAGTTTCGGGTTCAAAAATTTCGTATCCGAAGCAGGACCCAAACCCGATCCGAACCCGAAACCCGAAGTAAGAACCCGAACCCGTGAGAAACACTCGATCAAAAAACATTTAGACCAATGAGTGGTACCCTGGACACGACTATCACCTCGAAAGTATCCCTTGTTAGCTAACTTTTAATTTCAAATTCTTTGATGAGAAGCCACTAATTGTAAGTATTACCGTGCCGGATTTCATGTTTTTAACGCAATTTCTAAAAATAGATATGGATAACCGCATCAGATATAAATTTTACCAATTTCATTTCATATTGTTCCATTAAGACCCATTTGCAACCTCTCTCCCAATTTCACTTCGATATGACGATTTTGAAAAATCAGTATGGGTCACCCCATAGGGTCCATCAAGATTAAAATTTTTCCAACCTAAATTCATTTTTGTCTGTTACACTAGCAACCTTTGTTCCAAATTTCAACTACCTACTACAAATTTTAGAAATCCGTCGGGTCACCCTATCGGGTCTCCCAGGTTTAAAATTTCTGAAACTCCACTCCAATTTAAACGCTTTGAGGTCAGTCGCAATCTTCATACTAAAATTACTTAAAATTATTACTATAGATATTTCTCAAGCTACAAATATTTTACTTACACTTAAATAATTTAACCTGCTCTAAAGGTTCTTGGTAGTTAAGGGCAACGCATTTGGATGGAAATGACCCCCACCGGCCAATTACTTGACCGATCATGCCCACCTCCGAACTCATCCTTACTTTTGACCCGAAGATGAAGTGTGCAAAATTTCAAGTCGATAGCTTTTGTTTAAAGAGAGTTATCGTGCGCACAGACGGACGCACAGACGGACGGACAGACAGACATCTTGGTAAATCTATAAGGCCATCTTAAAAGGCCTAAAAACGGTATATGTAATGTTATCGAAAATATGTAATAATTGATAACACTGCGTCTTCATTACCTTGCCAAGAAGAATTTTGCCTAGAGTCAATTCCTGTGCTTTCTCGTTTACTCGTGACTCGTACCCATTTGCTCCGTCGATGGGCTGCAAATTCCCCAAGATTAATTCTATTGCCAATTGGGGATGGGCTGACAAAGTCTCAGGAAGTTTAAACAATTTATCTGCAACTGGTTGTAAAAAGTTCCCGGAATCAATACAAAAAACTCTCAATTGTTGTGGGCGCTTTGAGTCTGTTCTTGTAATAATTTGTAAAATTCTCGATCGGAATATTTCGTCCGAACTTTCAACTGCACATAACGTTCCAATTTCAAATGAAGTGGGAGGTATCCTGAAATTGGGACAAAATATTACACTAGTGACTGAGAATGCATTAATTATTGATAGTTGGACAAACCTATTATCCTTGTCTTTAAAGTGATGCATTAGCTCCTCAGAGATAGATCTAAAATTCTGTATCCATGAAAAACGTAATTTCCTCTTGTTGTCCACAAATTCATAACAACGCAAAACTCGTGCAGTATAAACGGATGGATTGACGCACTCTGAAATTTGTACTTCAATCTGAAATCATAAAATTTGTACAATAAATAATATTTCAAGATAATGTCATCTGATACCAAATCAAGGGATATTAAAGGCCATTGAAGAAACAGATACTGACGGACATTTGTATATGTACAAAAAGTGTTACGCTCATAATACCTCTCCATTTCTAGGAACAACCGATTTCTTCTCCAGCTCAGTTAGTAAAAACGAATGACGCGTTTTACAATTAGATGGAACTGTTTCAACACAACGGCCAAACACCTTAATTCCTGTGCAGATAGGCTGCCCACTCATTATGTTTTCCCCCATCTAAATGTCCATATTAAAGTTTATAGTCCAGACCATAATCTTACTCTTTCGTCATTATTACATATTATAATACTTACTTGGTCAGCAATAACAACTAGCGATTGTGGTATGTCGCATCGTAAATTAGCAGCGAATGTTTTCAACTTGTATAAATTTTCTTCGTTGCCAGTTAAAAGAAAATGAGCAGCAAGTTCCTAAATCAATAATAACAATCATTAATCGTTTTTTAAAGACATATAAAAAGCGATATAGCACAACGCAATAATGACTAATACCTTTCTATGAAACTTGACAGTACGATCAACCTTTTCATTCGCGATATCCCTGAAATTCATCCACATACAAGAGAATCTGTCAACTGCACCACCAGGTTTGGCGGATGGTATGTCAAAATGTATCAGGCAGGTGACGTCGTATATACGAAGACCTTTAAGCATTTCATCATTTAGCACCATGAGTCTTCGATCCACTGGGAAGTCTTCCCATTCAATTCTGAGTTCTGCAATTAAAAATTGTTATGATTTAGTTTTTCATTTAGCAAAGTTTACAACACCGCCTGTTTATTATTATTTTAGGTATTTACGATGGAATACGGCTTGTGTCATCGTTCCTGTTTCTGCTAAACATGCATAGATTTCATTTCTTTTCAGCTCCTTGTGAACATTGATGGCAATTTCAGGTGTACTGCAGACGACGAAAATAGATTTATGTTTGTACAAGTCCAAGCTTTTCAAAATATCTAAAAATTCAGTAGACAAAAAGTGTTTTAAATAAAAAATCATGATACGTATACGCTTCGGTTATAGCAACAGTACATAAATCGCACTGATTTGTACATATTTAATTAATTTAAAATATGGTGTTATAGTACGTACTCAGCAGGAGATCCATTCTTTCATCATCGGAACAATGATGCATAAACCATTGCATGCCAGAATACTTAATTGCTTGATTCGGCGAATTGATGAAAACTATTGGCACACTGGACGCAGTACTATTTTGAGCAATTGGTTTCAAGTTCATATACAAAGCTTCAACTTCAGGGCACCAATCTTTCCCACAGAACACTCGCTGTATAAGGTATGGACTGTGCTTGGACGCAATATTATGCATAATATATTGAATATGCTCAAACTCTTTGTTATTGGCACGCAGCAAAATGTCAACATCTTTGTAAACGATGAACCGCAAACTGAAAACCATTTTAAACAAATGCAGTATAGATAGATTGTTATATAATATAAGTATATACAGAATTTGAGTTCATATGAAAAACTTGTTTCTTGTTAAAAAGAAATACGGATATCTTTAATACTCACTTCTCGAATCCAAAATATGCTGGAGAGTTGTGCAGCAAATTTGACAGGAAATGCGCACTGGTAATGACGATGTCCAAACATTTATGAACAGTCTTGCGATCTCCGCCATTGCAAATTACGGCATGAGAGAGTTCTCTCCGGTTGCACGCTAAGAGAATTCTATATAAATGTCCGTCAATCTTTATTGCTGATGTCCTATCAGTGCAAACGATTAGCACAACTGGTTGATGTTCCTGAGTAAACAAACCAAAAATATAATTTCTACACTCGCGTAGAACAAATATTTTCGTTGAATTATGACTTAACAAGAGTTGAGTTGACTCACGTGACTTTGATGTGAAAACGATTTCTTGGCATGTCTGTTAGAACTCAGTTTATGCGAACTAGAAAAACTTTGATCGTCGAATTCAGACAAAAGTTTGCCAAGCAATGGGAAAATATATGACAAAGATTTCCCACTGTTAAGTCCACCAGTAATGAAGCAATCTGCACCACAATTAAATTTTAAAGTATTTTGAATTACGAAGTTTTCATATATCTAAACGAAAACAAATAGACATACCATCCCCTCGTAGGAAATGTGGCGCAACACTTTTTTGTAATGCATTAAAGTCAGCCAATCCTAAGGTTTGGATGCCCTATAGCAAAATAAAAGGAAAAGTTAATCATATGTATTAGTTTATTCGCATATGTTGGGTTGGTCTTACCTTTACGAGTGTTTTGTAATGTGTGAAGTGAGCCATGAGGGCTAGCGGTGACATTAGAAGAGGGCCACGAATAAGAACTCGTCCTGGGAGGTCCAATGGTGAGGTGCCATTGTGCTTTATTATGTTTCCAGGCTTATTTATTAGTTTAATCGGGACAAATACAGGCCTCTTTGCCTCCTGGATTGATTTAGAGCTGCAAGGGCTATCCTCGTAATTTGCAACCTCATTTTTCGGCAAATCCTCTAGATCAAAATCATCCGCGTCAAGACATTTGGGATTTGAATTTGGAACTCTTTTTTGAGGAGATGCAATATCCAAGCAAATTTTGTTCGATGATGAGTCTGCGTTAGCATAATTATAATTTTATTAAAATGCACTTACTTGTTAGGTAATTTAATTCCAAGAATGCAAAGTATTAGCTATACCTGATTCATCACTGCTGCTGCTGCTGTCGTCTGAGCTAGTGTCTTTACTTGTCCTCCCTCTGCCTCCTAAGCCCTTCCCATGGTATATCGAACTGAAATTTTGGGCTATAGCAGCTCGTGGACGTCTCTTCAATGAACTTGTGTGATTTGACCCTGTATAGGGATGGCAAAATTAAATAAGTTTGGCTTTACTTAATCTACGCATGTTAAATAAGTGCATGGGATTCGTAGCATATAAACACGAATCTTACCATTCTTACCAGGGTTATCTTTATCTTCACTACCAACCGTGGTAGCCTTACCGCTGTCACTTCCGCTCATGTTTCTCAGTGGAGACCTTCTGTCACCACGTCAAAGTTCAAAATTTACTGAATCGTGAACCGCAGTAATTAAAAATTGAGTTGTAAGTGAAATCTTAGAAATTATGCTTGCAGTTTGTGGCTTGCATTCCTGGATAAATAAAACAAAGTGAATTCTCCGGTGCCTGCTGGAGTTCTGCCGAGTTATTTATTTTCTTCTCAGAGTTCGAACCATTGTCCTCAAATTCGCGCCACCGCCAGTGAACACACAACATGTGCTCACAACCACATTTCCATTTCACATCTTCTCCAGATCATTTTGCAGTGAGATTTACAATTTACATTAAAATTTAAGAACAAAATTCCTTAATTTGAATAGAATAGAAAGTTTATCACATTTACTTGACTTTGACTCGCATTGTCCGAACAAGGAAGAATTTCATCATGGGTAAAAAGAAGCCAGTAAGTATTCAAGTTTATAATGCATTGTCGGCATTTGCATTAATTTGGAATTTGTTTAATAATATGCATGCTAATTATTTGTAATATTAGTCCAAGGCACAAAAGAGAATTCGTGCTGTAAAGCAGCGTGATCCCACGGCCGTGATAAACGAGGACGACTGGGTTCACCATGAACCTGACGATGTGAAACGGGCGCCGCATTCTTTCATCATTTATCGTGGAAAAGTTGGTCGCTACATTAAAGAATTGATGAGAGATTTAAGGCATGTGATGGAGCCTTTTACTGCGTCTAATTTGAAGGTATTTTAATGCGTCCAATTATCAAGATCCAATTCGTTACATGCAATCTCTGATGAATGATTTTTCATCTTCCTTGTAATTTTAGATGAAGAAGGGGAATGTGCTCAAGGATTATGTGTCAATTGCTAGCTATTTTCACGTCACACATTTATGTATGCTCAGCAGAACTCAAATCAGCCCATATCTCAAGATTTGTAAACTTCCGAGAGGACCAACCCTCACATTTAGGATATTGAAATATACGTTGGCTAGGGATGTGTTATCGTCCTTGAGAAAGCAGGTAATAAAATAGTGGACCATTTATAATCGACACTATTACATAATATCAACATTTATGTACGTGTATGATTGATAGGTCACGTTTGATGCTCAGTTCCAACACCATCCTCTCTTAATAATGAATAACTTCTCCAGTGAATTAAATGAACATCAACTAATTTCGACAACCTTTCAAAATATGTTTCCGCCCATTAACATAAACAAGGTTAGAGTAACGGAGATTCGGAGGGTGCTTCTTTTAAACTATATTGAAGAAGAAGATTCCATTGAAGTTCGACACTATACAGTCACAGTAAGTAGTGTTGAATGAAGCTGTTTATGGTAGAAATTATGCTAATGTAGTAAGTTGGCGAGTATAAAAATTCGAATTTGCATTTCAGTACAAAGCTACGGGAGTTTCAAAGAGAATCAAGAAAGTATTGTTGAGTAAGCACGGAAAAATTCCAAACCTTGGAAATTGCGGAGATATTTCAGAATTTCTTAACAGGTACACATATTCGCAGAGGTTTTAAATATTCAGGTTGAATTTTATGCACGAATTTATTTTTATTATTATTGTGGCACGTTTAGAGATGGCGATATTTCTGAAAGTGAAGGGGAAGATAATACAGAAACGGTGGGTGTTCCTCAAAAAATGACCAAAGTCTCGAAAGGTTTGGAAGAAGTCGGAATAAAGCTAGTAGAACTTGGACCAAGACTTCGAATGCAGGTTAGTAGTTGACAATGAAGTTGTTTTTAAGATAATTAATTTTATTTTCGTGGTTTATTTTATATTGCAGTTAATAAAAGTCGAAGATGGTCTTTGTGAAGGGGAAGTTTTGTATCACAAACTCATTGAGAAGACTCCAGAAGAAAAACTTTTGATAAGAAAACAGAGAAACATTAAAAAGTATGACCAGCAAAAACTAATTCCAATTACTAGATTGGTATTTTTATTAATATTTGTATTTGTTCTAATTATAATTATTAGGAGACAGAAAAATGTACGAAAACGGGAACAAGAAATGAATATTGAGAAAAAGCTTAAGGACAAGGAAGCACACAAGAGGCGTTGTTTGGAAGGTGCAGGGGTTGTTCAAGATCATAAAGAAAACGAAAACATGCAGGATGAAACAGACGCCGACTGGTACCGGAAGGAAGTCGGAGAGGATCCTGAAGAAGGCATGTTTTCTGAAACTCAGCAACAGCAATCACAAGGTGACAGACGCCCCGGGAAAAGGAGGTCGGAAGGACATCGAGGAGACGGCCTAGGCAACTTAGAAATGCGTCCCAGGATCAATAAGTTTACAAAAGTAAAGGAAAAGGCAAAGCAAATGAAATTGGACAGACAAAGGAATGCATTAAGAGGAAGAAGTCGCGATGGAATGGGCCGCTCTTCCAGAGGTGGTGGACGTGGTCGTGGTAAAGGTGATGGAACTTATTCTAAGCCAGGAAGAGGGAAAGGAATGGGTAGTAAACCAAATATGAGAGTCAGCGGAAAACGAGGCGGATCATCTCGCGGAGGAAGCGGTATGGGTGGTGGGCGAGGTGGATCTCGAGGAGGTAGCAGTGGAGGCAGGGGTGGTTCTCGAGGAGGAAGAGACGCAGGTGGATTCCGTGGGGGCAGGGGAGGATCACGAGGGGGTAGGGGAATGGGTAGAGGTGGTGGATCGAGAGGCAGAAGTTAAAAGTAAATAATATCAGTACATTGACTGTTACATAAATAGATGCATATGTAAATATATACATTCAAATTATGGCTATATGTAATACAATTATGTCGCTGCGCTGTACTTTTAGTTTATACGACGTTTTATTAAATGTTATTTTCTATGACATGTTAAATACTGAAATGATTTTGACATCGGTTAAGTATACGCAGGGTTTGGCGCATATGAAATGGTCCTACAATTGTTATTTCATACATTCCATGAGGTCAGTCAATGCATTTGTGACATTTGGCAGTGAATATTTATCACACATCTGTCGTGTATACGTATGCAAAATTGAAGTCGTGTTGATTAATTTACATAATCCTTTGCATTGGCTTTCATAACTTTGTGTATCCATTCCACGTAGTTTGGGACTTTGGCTAGAAACATGAAAAATTGCATGAATACCAAGAAAATATTGACATTTGCGAATGGGTATGTCTAACCATAAATCCCAAATTTGCCCTTTCGACCACACCCATCTCCAAAGCTAGTTACACCAAATACTGTCCATCTATATATCAATCATAAGAAAATACCAATATTATTTAGCTTCTAATTAGACCAAATTCAGTTTTGACTTTTTGGCTACCTGTTATCCATTGAGCACAAAATCGGGCCACCTATGATATCAGCAAAGGACACTGATAATGACATGCCCCATCTACATGTATCTACTTTACGTAAATAATGACCCTACATTACCTGAATCTCCAGCACCTGTTTAATGAAAATATGAAGATCAAATGCATTAAACTCAATACAATCGAGGTTAGATAATCCCAATAAATGTTTTTTTTATTACATGAATCCACTGTTCCTCCACGATATCCCGCACAAAACATATTGCCCGTAATGTCATTTTTTCCATAAGTGTAGCGGCATTCTGCATTGCTCACTAAAGGAACCTAATAACAACGTCATATTGTTAGTAAAATGCGTCTTTCCTTGGTAAACTGCGATAATATTTCCAATAACTTTTTTCGTTCTTACTCTGCCCTCGTGGAGAACTGTGGTCCCAAAAACATGGGTATGGCGTTCCTTTCCCCACCCAAGAATTGTGCAAAGAGTGCCTGCTTTTGGAAGAACTTGGTTTTCGTGGGGCAGACAAGCCAGCCCAGCTTCCGTGGATATTGGTTCCGGTAACAACAATAAGGCGATGTCATTGTCCACCGTCTCATGATCAAAATCCGGATGAATGAATGCGGCTTCTATCTAAATTTGCAAAGAATGTCTTTACATATGTCGAATAATCGCATTAGCATAAAACTTGAGTTAGGCTTAATAACCTGGTAGCGTTTTTCAGTACCGTCGTCCTGATGTAAATGGTGCTCGCCGACTGTCACCAACAACTTTTTGCGAATGCAATGCGCTGAAGTTTGTATTTATTCTTATTTGCAACAAATTACAAAGCGATATGAATTTTTCATTTGATTACCGGCTGTCAAAATCCATCTGGGTCCAATTAGTGTTCCACCACAAAACGCTTCCTAATCATTATTAAACTCAAACTTATTTACACATAAATATACAAAATGGCATAATGCCCTTCAAAAGTAGTATTATTGGTTCTTGCATTCAATTTATTGAGAACCGCAACAACCCAAGGCCACCTGTCGTAAATAAAAACCGAAATCGTAATAATTAGTTAACTATAGTGGATTTAATGTAATACATAATATGTGCGTATAAACAGTCCCCGAGGAATTCTGCTGCTCAGATTTTAATTTGTCTGCCCACCTGCCACGTTGAGCTTCCTGACCACCGAGAATTCGCGTTGCGATCCCATTTCTACTTCTATCTGTACTCCAAGCAACGCCACAAGTTGGTGAGGCCCCCAAGTGGTCATAGTCGTCCACTGGAAAGGGTCCTTCTGACTCTAAGGCGTTTGACCCCGACAAGAAACGGCTGGGCGTTGTGGGGATTGGAGGAGGTGGGATCCAACTCGTCTCATTTTTTCTGGATCTTCTTTGTGAACCTCGGTGATTGCTGTTCTTATTGAATGGGATTTCTGGTGGTGCAGGTTTCCTTGTTCTTCGGCTTTGGGTTATCGAATTTTCATTTATCATTATTTTGCTGGGTGATGATACTAATTCATTTACAGATTTCTCAAAATCAGATAACGATAAATCCTGTGTGAATTGAAGTCCTTCTGAAAAATATCCAAAAAGTACATTCGTTCATTGGATTGCATATTACATGGTTTAGAGAAATAAACCATTAAAATGCATGTAACGAAGGGGTGAATCCAGTGTGTCAAACATACGTAAAAAATCGACGTGTTCAAAATGATTTCAACATTGTGACCTTTGACCATGTCCACACGGTCACTGGACCACTGCGAGTCAAAATCACATATTCAGTAGCACAGCTCTTTGAACATGTTATCGATTTGGGTCCTCAGATGATATCGTTCTAATTTTAGATAATCAGGACCTGTGACCTGGCGCCATAACCTTGTGATCTACATCACCAATTTTCTAATCAGGTCTGCCCCTTGACGTAAATAAATTAGGTTTCAAGTTTCACATCGTTTGGCTCACCAGTTATCGGACCAACAGACCGACGGACATGAGGATCTTATCAAGGGGTGAATAAAATATACAAACTGCATGTCTCGCTCGATGAGGAACGGGTTTTAGGTTATGTAATTAGGTTCCGAGTATTTTTAAAAGGGTAATGTGTCTGTTGATACATAGTTGGCTGACAGCATGACTAGAGGCAGAAGGAGTGACAGGAAATGCAGTACAGATGCACATTTCAAATGCATATGCATATGTACGTAAAGTACTTCTTATGCACCAGTGTTAGGGACCTGAGATGAGCCGATGATATGTATAAACAACTGAAAATGTGCCAGACTCACTTTCATTTGAATGGATTTCATAGTCGGCCTGATCCAAGTAGTCCGTGTCCACATCGTCTGAGGCGAACAGGAAATCACGCTTGTTATTTTCGAAAATATATTCACAGTATGTCCCTCGGTGGTAGCAAAACGCTTCCTCGTGTATTACCGTGTTGCCGCAAATTAGAGGAAATTTGCATGCCCTGAAATTCAGTGACAAATACATTTTCAAAACCTTACATAAAACCATGCAATTTAGCATAACTCTAAAATTGCAGTGCAAATAGCACCTGTGACGCTTCGTCGTACAGTGACGAGTGCATGACGCCCATCTCGTCCATCGACTGTACAAAAAAGAGTCCATGTCTTGCAAGAAAGTCGGCGGATTAAAAGATCGTATTGCTTTACATTTTACTCCGTTGCAAATCTGAAAATTTAGTCACTTTTTACACTCAATTTACTGCATATCTACAAATGCACAATGTATTACCTTGTATCTCCTAAGCTTTTTGGGGACTTCATTTTTGATACTGCTACACACAATGACCGGAAGTACGGTCAAAAGTAGCAATGCAAACTGGTAACGCGTTATTGAAGAAAGTTGCATTGTTATTGCTCACGTCTCAATTTTCCCACGTTATGAAATGCTACTCGTTATGACTGTAAATACTTCTGTTTCATGTGATCTCACTATTCCAGTTAGTAAACTAAACTTATCACCTCTTGTAATTGATTGTAAGTTATGCGTAAAGTTTTATACACCTAACCCGAGGATGGGTGGACACAGATCGAGTGTTGAGCGATGTTGTTGAGATGGAAGCCAACGGCAGAGTAAAAATTGAGACGGAAAAGAAGAGTGAAAGAAATGCATAATATTATGTGTTCATATTTATCTTGTTCTTAAAAAGAGTTGCTCGTTTCGGATGTTCAACTTCCTACAGTTTTCATACAAGGAGAGTGCTACACATGTCCTGATGAAAACTGTGTTCAATTCTAAACAAGAGTATTTTCTTCATTGCTATGAAAAAATTGGTGGTAGATACGTGCATACTTGTGAGTATGGCTAATTAACAAAATTACAACCACACAAATTTCCAACCTATGTATGCATTTACAAACTATTGACACTACACTTCCACCATTTACCAGCTTTCATTGACCCGTGTCCATCGGTATTCATCTAATGAACTCTCCATCTGCGAAAAACTATGCCCATATCGGTCTGGAATAACAATGAAATTAAAAGCCCACACACGCCTAAATTCCAACTTGGAAATCGGATGTATGTACATTGCGTTTTTAAGATCTGCTTCGACAATTCTGATGATGATGAGTTTGCAAAGTGTTCATCAACCTTAAACCAGGCATTTTCAGTGCTACGATCTCTCTGGTGAAAGAACCCTAAAAATAAATAAAAGTACGCAATGTCGCACCTTAAGCTTATGTGTGAGCAAGCATGTTAAAAAGTTCTTTTTGAGTCATCTTTTTCACAAGAACTGTATTTGCTGATGAGCAAGCAACCTTCAGTGATGGGTATATTTTAAAGTAGAAAAAACATGCATGCAAAGGAAATTTGCTTCAGTGGCACGATTTGACAGCAAAAGCCTAGAGTTCAGTTTCGATCTAGCCCGAGTCAGGGACAGAGTCTGCTTTTATCCAATGACTCAACTATCAGTACAATCTAATATTTGAAATCCTCAAAAATATTTCCATAATCTAGTGCAAAATTCAGCTTTTTTGACCAGTTTCAAAAACCAGTATGGTCACCCTGTTCCTCGCAAAAATATTCATAAATTTGACTTCGTATTCTTTAGTCTCATGTGGCATAAGCAACAAAATCTTAAAACTGACTTCATAAGTATCTGCTAATCTAACCTACCCTTGCAAATTTCACTCTCCTTCTAAACAATAATTTGGGCATGACATCGTATTTTCACCTTAATACACATGTACATATGACCAATGTCATTCTCAATATTTTGCACCAACGACCCTACCCTACCTTTAGATTGTTAAACCGATTTTGCTCATCTCCAAATTTATCTCCCATCTTCTTCATTATCTTCATTCCCATCTTCATTTTCACCGTGTGTAGCAAATTTCAAGTCGGTAGAATTAGTGTAATGGTAGTTGTCGTAAGGCAGACAGACCGACATTATAGTTTCATAAGCCCTGACTCTGAGTTTTTTCATGAAACATAAAAATTATCGCTGCATGTTAAATCGACAGCCTGTCTCACCCGATATGATACTGACGGCCAAGGATCAAAGAATAATAACTAGAATTATTCAATATTTATTTGGCGTTTAAGCATCGAGTTGGCCTAACGAAGCTGCATAAGTACAAATCTGTAAGTTGGTGCATGTAGTCTATACTTCTGAGTTAATTCTGCTTCCGTATTATCTTTGTAGTGGGTTAGTTAACCTCAAACTCACTCCTTTACGCTACATATATACGTACATACACAGATATAGATATGTACATATGCATTTTTTATATCGTCTTGCAAGTTAGTCTGGGGAATCCTGAGTGAATGGTCTTCATATTATGCTACATGATGACAAGGTATATACATGCATACGTATTATGTATGTATATAAATATGTACATGTGCTTACCCTCATCAATCAATGACTTTTCAAACAAACAGGGATTCAATATTTCTTTGAGCATTTTACAAAAAATTAGTTTATTCATCCGCCGTTCATTTTCATTGATTCATTGATTTCGATCTGCTTAATTATTTAGGTTAATGTGATGTATGTATAATAAATTATTATTTACATAACTAACTGAAGCCATCGCAATGTTTCTGTGTTTGGTACATGGCACATGTCTTCCCAAAATTCCATCCCTTCAGTCGTTGGGCTAGCATAAGGCATGGAACCAATGCTGATCTTTCCCAAAATGACCTTAGATCCTACATATGCATATGCAGACAATTAATTATGGTCATAAAAATTCAATGGCAATACTAAACAAGCAAAAAAAAATCACCCAGTCGTCCTCTTGCAATCACTTCTAGACGAAATGCTATTTGACTGAGCAAATCTTTTGGGATGGTCACGACGAAAACGTCGTCATACACTGGAACAGACCCCCAGCGAACGAGGCGTGTTTTTCGTGACTTTATGCATCGTCCTTGCTCTGTATCATCACAAGTTTTTATAATACACATAAATATGTTCAACATATTGAAAAAGTAGATCAATCAATATTTTGGTTGTATGCAGTTTATGCACACGAAAGATATTTTACATAATCGAGAATTACCTTGCAATGTAACTTTCACATGTGTCGAAGCTATAAAATCAATAATGATATACATAAAAATGTAGATTGATTAAAATTAATACAATTAATTTTCATTTTTTTTTACGTCATTGTCCTAATGAGGTCAAAAATCTTACTATATTCGCTCGCACTGGTTGCGTGAAGACCTGTCGCTTCAACGATTTTTAGCGTCAATAGACCCGGAGGAGGTTGTTCTTGCCACATCAAAGAAACTCTGAGTCGTATTCCATCACCAACCAAAGTTTCGGTAGAACCGCTTTCAAGGAATCTCCAAATGTGTGTACTTTGCAGATCTGAAGAATTGTCGCCCATCTCAAACCCTGGAAGTTCTTTCAATGCCAGGTTAAGAAAGCCAATCAACTTCTTTGGCGTTTCTTGTATGACTGCTTTGAATCTTAGCACCCTTGTGCTAAGAGTGGACTTCCTGATGTGAAAACTAAACTCTTGATTGTACACAGGAGACACTTCTTCGAATTCTGAGGTCTTTTGCTTCCCCCCACGACCTGGGTACAGCTTAACGGAAATGCAATGTCGCACATTCTCCGGAATATTTCTTCCTCCGAGAAGTCGCACGTAAAGTATTTGAGTGGCTGCCTCGTAGTAAAGGCTAAAGCCAATCTTGGGATTTTCAGCATCTCCTTGAATCAGTTGTGGATAAAATTCCTTGGGAATGGAGCACTGTGAAATTGACAAGCTTTTTGAACATGACGGAAGCTCGGAGCGAATTTCTCTATCCGTAGAAATTGGCTGAGCTGGCAGTGAGATCTGGGAAAACGTAAGCATGCCATTAATGGGAATTCACGTTAGGTACATATTTGTATTAATAAACGTGAAAAACAACCCTGCTTACGGTTGGAATGACAAATTCGATATTTTTGTTTGGAGTGATAATATTTTTGGAAATCCCTGTCTTGCTCTTTCCATTAGATCCGTTCATTTTTGGTTTTTCTGTACCCCCATTGTTTTCTGATTTCCATCCCGAAAAGAACGATTCCACTTTACCTTCAGAAGGTGTGGTACTCGAATGACCGGAATCAAGAAGGTCGTCAGCGGCCTTATTCCCCTTATCGCTTTTTCTTCGTTTGCAATAGTAGGCGTAACACCAAATGCAGGATCCCAGCAGCATCAAAGCTATGACGCTTGTGGTGCTCGCAGCAATGGTCAAATCCGTATAATTCGTCTTCAATAAGGATTGACGAATCTCACTCAGAAAATTATGAGTTGAACCATAATTTTCTGAATTCATTGTCAATTAGTACGAGCTCTGTAATGTGACGTGTGGTTGGTGAACATGTGCCCAACCACCAAAATGTAATGGAGTTTCACCAATTTATTGCTTTTGTAAAATGTTCAATCTAATAAATGTTTTGATACGGTTGCAAAAAAAATGCATTTTGTTCTTTATTATAAACTGGAAACTTTTAATTACGAAAATTAACTAGGGAACTTTACACTTGATGAAACAGACTGCCTACATATGTATATACATAATTCGTATATTATCCGACTATTCAAGCTACATACATATGGCACAGATTTTAATCCATGGCAGGCCAAACAACTGGTCATATAACTTATCAGCATCACCGTCATCATCTATCCAGGCAGATACGCATCATTAATTCTCTGTAATCAGAGATAAAGACAACATTACCTTCGAAATTCTGTGACAATGCTATTGACTGCAAATAAGAAACACTTGTGCAGATGAGCCAAATGTTTCATCAATCGGTAATCCTGCAAATGTGTGGATTCGCTCGTGACAGCAGAAAGCCAAAGTATTCAGATCTGTCCATAGTGAACGAGAACTTCACTTTCTGGATAATTCCCAACATAATAATCTACCCCATCCGTACAAATATTCGCATACATTGGTTGGTGAAGGAAAGAAGAATAGAAATGAAATTATTTGGCCATACAAGGATAAGTAAATATTTGTGAAATGTTTGAGTTAATGTCCTACACTTGGTGATTTCCTGTAAGTTTATATTTTGGCATATATATGTAAATTTTACCGTCAATCCAGTACGTATAAATAATGTACAAATCTAATCATACAGTAGTATTGAAAACCTATACAGTTGTCTTTTACTAACTTGAGTCTATCATGAACACACGAATTTCTATTCTATTGTCGGTCGTCTTCTTCGTCAATGATTCCCAAAGTCATGGCTAATTCTTTCACGGAATTGATAACTTGCTCCTGTACCAAATTGAACGACATTGCGAGCAATGCAATTCCAAACAGCAAATATAATGAGCAAAGGGCAATACTGGCCTGAAATTAAGGGAAACATTAATAGTTCGTTAATTATTATTTCTTTTTGTGTATAAATCTTATTACTTCTGATTCCTGGGTGGGTACAAAATCTCCAAACCTTCAAAATTAAAGTTTGTATGGATTTGAAATACAATTTACGACCCAATCGTCTACATTGTGTTCGACTTACCCAATAGTTGTCAATGTAATGAAACAAAAATACGCAGAGTCCAAAAAATTCCATTCTTCCCATTTCGAGAATAGGAAAGCGCCTCCAATGATGTAACCAATGACCAATGCTGAACACAACCAAATCGGGACGGGACGCTTTCCTGGATCCTCATCCTCGTAGTCACTCTCGTCGTAGTCATCATAATCTTCATCCCAAAATTCGGGCTCTTCAGGAGGTTTCATCTTCAAAGAATCAAGTTTTTTTAATGTTAGCACTTTTGCAATAACTATTTGCACTACTTATGCAAAACAGTTTACCAATTCAGGAGGCACAGAACGATTTCTTGAAATTCTATGCGACGAGGATGGTGGCGTCTGATCTGTTTGAGCAGGAACCACTGGGACCAAATCCTCTGCATATTTGTTGTACAAAACTGGCAAATTTGGCCCAAACTCAGGCTCTGCTGACTTTGTTGATCGTTTCTAAGAGAAAGCAGTTCGAATTTAACAAATAATTTAAACTATGATTATGTATACAACAAACAAGATCGCACATGATGGTGCGTGTGACTGTGTCCATGACCATGTTGATGAATTGATTTGGGCTGTGTTGTTCTAGGCGGCATTGTAGACGAATAAGCCTTTTGTGATGCGTAAATGCTAAATATGAAGAACAAAAGCTTCTAATGACACCGTTATAATATATGCCAAAATATGTGATATTCTGTGGCTCATTACACTCCTGGTTCAGATAGGGTTGAAACGACAGAGTCTGACATTGCAGAATCTGCTGACCGCTGAGATATTCTTGCTGATCTTCTGATTGACCGTTGTTTCATACGAACACTTCTGATGATACGACATATGGAAATAGTATTTAATGTTAATTACGGTTAAGTGCTGCAAACTTTATTTTACCCTCTTGGTGGGGGCCCTCGAACACTTCTACCTCTTCGAAGCTGACTGCGAGGCCTTCTCGCAGGTCGACGTGTACAAATGTAACAGCAAACCTTAATATCAAATTGCAATGATGGTAGTTAAGCTTATGTCAGAATATATTTTCTAAAAACCTGAGTAACCCAACCTTCCAGTAAATCACTCTGAACGAACTGGCCATAAAGTCCCCAATGTGACTCCTGAGTGAAATGAAATGAAATGTACTTCAAAAGTATGTAATGTTTAAAAACTTACGGTATCGTGACGTCTCATTCATCCAACGAAAAACTCCATATTTTTTGACAAAAATTAATTACTGGAGAGAAAAGTAAAGTTGATTTTTCAAAGAACAGGTGAAGCAAATAAACTACGATTTTCGCGCTGGGAAAATGAGACAGTGGGAAACAAAGATACGACTGCAGTCTGCTTGCTTGCATGTATTCATGTGACGTATTTATGCACGCATGAGAAATCAGTCTCTCTCAAACTGTTAAAAAACTTTAGTTTCTTTTATAATACAATTATAAAATTCAAATTTTTTTCCTGACGTCCATCTCTCAACCTTTTACAATGTCTGAAGACACAATTCTCGAACTTTTTTATGATGATAACGGAGAAATCGACATCGCCGAAATTGAAGGTAAAAAATTTATATTTTGTGTACTATGGACTGCAGTCATTTCAGTGTGTTTTACTTATTTTGCAGATTGTACGGGTTACAACAAAATTTACACGACACCATTAGTCGACCACACGTGGGAGACAATGTCAGCAGTGGTCGGACGAACGTTTCACAAAAATCTGACGAGAGTGGCGCAACAACGATCTCGGGAAGGAAGATGTAAAGCCAGGTATTTTTTTTAAATATGCGGTGGTGTCTGCAGACTTGCTTCATGGTTAATAAAAACAAATAACTTTACAGCCGGTCATCCAGATACGGAATCTCCTACGCTCCCACATTAAGCTGCAGCTTAGGACTCGTTACTCAAGAACGGCTTAGTGGCCGGAAAGAGAAGGAAGAAGATGAAGAAGAAGACGAGGAGGGGGAGGAGGTGCAAGGAGAAAAGAAGATCATTTTTATGCTGAAATCCTTCGTTAGAATTTTTACAAACTCGCCGTGCGCCATGGAACCCTCTCATTGTTTGACGAAGTTGGAGCATCTCGAAGATGTTCTCAGGGACCACCTGCTGCAGCAGACCTCCAAATTTTCACCTTCAACTGTTGAATTTATGTTGTCCTGGGGGGATGCACCCATGCTGGGGCACTGGAACTTGTTCGCGAAAGAGATGCAGCTGTACCTCCCAGATCCGAAACAATTTATCTCTGTCCCGGTTTCAACAATTAACGCCATCCATAAATCTCTACGTTGGCAGGGTCGAGATGCTAGTTTGGTGCTGGAGGAACTGTGGGATCCTTCAATTGCGGCTTCAGCCTTGAAATCTAGAGGTAAGTTTAAATAATTCGACCTATTGTTAAACTGCAGTTTAATTTATTCTTTACCGTTTTAGCCAAACTGATTCCACAGCCCCCAGAAAAAGAAAACCCTTATTGGGATGGAGTTCCGGCCATACAAGTAGAATCTGAGACCCTTTTACTGGATTATGACGACAACGGGGATATTCAGGCTCGTAAATTAGATGATGATGAAGGTAATTTGTTAATTTCCTCGGGTTGGACTGCAGTCACATGGCACGAATTTATTTGTTTTTATTGTTGCTTGCAGACATTGCAGGATATCACGAGATATTCCTCTCTCCTTTAGTGGACAGTGACTGGGACGCAGTTGCAATCGCAATTGGCAGAAAGTCTGGTCCGAAGCATGCAGTGTACAACGCGGGGGCGGTCAACCTGCTGCATCAATGAAAAAGGGTGCAAGCCGAGGTTTGTTATTTTGTTTAATTTTGTCTGCAGACTTTACTATTGTTGACATTTGTTTATATATTTTTTCTACAGCCAGGTATTCAAATACGGGATTTCGTATGCCCCAACGATCAGCTGCAGCTTACACATGGTGACTGCTGAGGAAAGCATTATCCTCCTTCTCAAACCCTGGACGCGCATTTTTACAAATGCAATTGATGCTCTGGAACCTTCGAACTGTCTGGAAAAACTGCACCATCTTGAACAAATATTGAAAGACCACCTGCTGCAGCAAAGTTCCAAATTTCCATCATCTACGGTTGAATACATGCAGTCCTGGGGAGATGGCCCAATGAGTGAACATTGGAATCTGTTTGCACGCGAGCTGCACCTCAATCTTCCCGATCCAGATCAATTCCATTCCATCCCCGTGTCGACGGTCGATAAACTTATCGAGCGTTTGAAACGTTACGAAACTGCAGCTGATTTGGTGACCTCTCTCATGGATGCAAAAGACAGAGCTGCAGCTCTTATTAAAAGAGGCAAGTAAAAATCTTTATAGCATTACACTTCTAACTTCTCTAATCGTTAAATGTTCACAATTTCAGCCCAAGTACGACCGCAGCCCTCCCATGTAGACAATCCGTTCTGGAACAAAGTAAAGTCCCCAATTTCCCCTGAAATGATTGAAGCTACTGAAGCAGTTAGAAACAAAGTTATGGGGTTCAATCAAGCTGCAGCGTCGTTCGGCTTTCACAAGGGATCCTTTCACAGGACACTCAAGGAGCAGGGAATTGTTTCTAAATATAAACAGGGAAGACAACAACTTCCAGACTCACCTGCTATGGCTGCAGCCATCGAATCTGTAAGAAAGGGCGAGAAAAAAGCCTACACGGCTTCACAAGTTTATGGAGTTCCTTACACCACCCTTCGACGAAGACTCGCTGATGCAGGAGTCGTCCGGAAACCAGAATGAGGCAACTACTACTCGAGGTTCAATAACACGATGGAAGTTACCAAACTTATCGTCATCCCAGGCTGGAAGATTTCCGGGCTTGCGACCATCTCCACTGTCGTCACAATAAATAGTTTTGTAAATTATTTATTTACAGTAAATTTGATCTATAATGTTTTATTTAGTAGTTTATTTATATTTACTCACTTATTTTTTTAAATTTGTGAGATGCAGCAATTCTGGTTAATTACGGAATAGAAGTATTCAAAGAATTTTAAACAAATAGTGGAAATAATAATCCAACCAATGCAACTGTCATTGGGTATACATACATACATACATACATACATTCGTACATACCAAAAAAAGTACCATAAAACCAACAAACAAAGTACCATAACCATACAAAGTACATACCAACAAATGACCATCAACGGGATGCCAACAATAGCGTAAAAAATTGTTACGATCTTCCCCCATATCGTTTTCGGAGATATCTATTTCGAATAAATGATACACAAACACATTATTTTTCATAACTCAAACTCTGAATAAAAATTCAAAATTACTTACATGCCCGTAACCTGAAACATAATCAGAAAGTACATAGTTAATCATTTCGTAGTAGTTTCAAATAAATGCAAACACTTCTTACCAATTGTTGTAATTCTAATATAAAAATACAATTTACGATCAGAAAATGTCAATTACAATTAGAATCGGTAAAGAGGTATAACTTTAATTTACGTTATTATGGAATAAAATAGCGACCCTGTAAATGTCCAATTTAACTGCTCCTCATTTTCATTTCCATCCCAGCCGTCTTTCTTTATGGCATTTATTAAGTCCCGTTCAAACTCCTGAAATAAAATTGTTGTCGTGTATTTACATGCAAACTTTTCTTACAAAATTTCTCTCACCTGCAGAACCTTTGTTGTATTTGCAGCCCAACGCTCTGGATGGATGAGATTCGTTGCTTGTGTCATGTTCCATAAATAATGGGAAACGTTCAGCCGAACTCCTGTCATCTTTCTTTTCTCCTGTTCAAGAAAATCATGCACGACCGGAAGTCATTATTATTTTCTTCAAGTTACGGGGAGAAAATACATATTCAATGGACATTTCATGAAAAGTTTCATTTACCTGAATTTCATTTCTGGCTTCCAAAGCTTCAAATGTACAAATTTAATGTATAATCACATGATACTGATCAAATCAGGTATGAAGTTCATACCTGATTGTTCTTTAAATTTAAACGTACCTTCAAAAGTGAAGGCCCCAATGACACAGTATCCTACAACGAGGGACAACAACCCCACGTGCGACAAAATAAACGCTGTCACATGTTTGCAACCTAATAAAATCATATTTCATTAAAATATATTTGAATATAATACATTATTATCTTAAACTATTTTGAATAACCTTCTATACAAACTTGACATTTGGTCTTCTCTTCGGGCTCATCTTCATCTTCTTCAACTTCCATACTTGCAGAAAAATCGGGAACTGTAGAATTTTCTGAAATACAGTGATGATGACCACAAATAACACCGGTTTACATTTTGTCTATGTATTTTCGGATCATGTTAAATAGCACATGTATGTATGTATTTACACTTTATTGACAAAATTATTTCCAACTGCACTATCGCACGAGGATCATTAGCGAAATTAGTGCACAGACGAGTGTCAATGAAACCAACATGTTTGGATTGCACCACTTTCACATGAGATATCTTGGCTCGATATGCAAGATTGTCTTTCACGGGACCAGTGCCACTTTAACTGAGGATGATGATGAGGCTCTATGTAATGTTATAAATAAAGTCTGTTGTTTTTCCGCATGTATTTACCACTTTAAGTGATGAGTCGCATGACGATGCTACCGTGAGCTTTTTTAGACATGCAACATACAGAGGTTGAGCAAAAAATTAAACGTCTTTCTAATGTTTTGAAGTAAGTAAATAATATATTTTATAAACAGCAATTGAACTTTTGTTGCAATTTATTCTCATAATTACTGAATGTTTATTTAGCTGTGTATCTAGTGATATTTACGTAAATTTTATCTTGAGAAAACTGTACTAAAAATAGTCGTTTGTGCAAATGAAGTGTAAAGTAAAAATAGAATTGTCACATTGCATACATAAAAACACTGCATTTATGTAAGTTATCGCCACCACAAGACAATAAGCTTTTATGCACCCAATGCAAGTTGCATTGGTTTGGTTATGTGTACGTATTTATGTAAAATTCTTTAAATACTTCTATTCCGTAATTCAACAATATCTCGGACGTGTGTCTCAAAAATAAAAAAATAAGTAAATAAATAAACTATTATAAATTTAATTTACTGTCAATCAATAAAAAGTTCTGCACAATAGACTCCTAAAACAAATGCGTATATAAGATCGCTAAATCAAAACTACTATTTATTGCGACGATAGTGGAGATGGTCGCAAGCCCGGAAACCTTCCAGCCTGAGACGGCGACAAGTTTGGTAACTTCCATCGTGTAATTGAACCTCGAGTTGTAGATGCCTCATTCTGGTTTCCGGAAGACTCCCAAACCACACTTTCGTTTTCTTGGTTAAGATGACCCGTTGTCGCAACACTGCTAAACATTCAAATGTACAAATAGATGAAAAATGCATAATTCCAAAATTACGTTAAAAACAATGCAAAGATTTCCTACCTCGTAGTCAGCGGAATATTTGATGTGGTTTCATGCATAAAATCAGTGGATATTTTATTTTGGTGTCCCGACATTTGTTGAGGTTTCACTGTAGTCATCAAATATTTTGTGAGAATGCTAAACCTGTCTGACATTTCCTGATTTGATCCCTGGCTAAAAAGACTTTGGACAAATTGAGACAACGGTTTGGCTTCTACGGAGGCCGGTGCTCTGGGTGTGGGGACAGTTTGGGCAGTTGTTGATGTCGGCGAGTTTGTCGAAATTTCTTCTTCTGATGAGGAGGACGAATCCCAGGTTTCCATACTCATCTCTGGCAGCACGTCAATTGTTTCTGTAGCATTTAAATGGAATCCCACGTCAATTCCATTGTTACTTATTGCAGATTCAGTAATTTCGTCCACTGAAATTGTCGTAGGCACGGTAGTTGTCGCAGTATTTGTTGTAGTACTTATTTTTGTACACTTGAGATTTTCCGGATGGAACTCACTCCCAGTTGGGCATCGGTAAGTGTAGAGGATCCAGTTGCGTCCAATAGGAATGCATATTTTATAGTAAGATGGGTTTTTATAATCCGGAAGTACTTCGTGTGCATTCCTGCAAGAGATCTTATTCTCGCCCTCTCTCTGAGTCAGGTCTGAAGGATTCGGTGGTATAGAATTAAAATTAAACCGATTCGAAGTGGGTCTAAAACGACGATTTGGTTTGAATGTTGTTGTGGACACTGTTCGAATCAGTGATGGCAATGTTGGTCTGTGTCTGGAACCAAAATTTGGCCGATGAATTGAACCTGGACGAGGGGAGGAACTCCGACGACGACCTGCTGCTCCAGTGCATAGTATGCTTGCAAGAAGCATGCAACAAATGACCTATGAATTTATTCAAACACTTGGAATTTTCTAAAATTATTCTTACACACATTTATAAAAAAATTGTTCGTTTACCTTAAAGTTCAGTTGTCTCATTTTCCCCGTGTGCAGTTTTACCTTGGCAAATTTGCCGTCCCTCTAATAATACACAATACGACTTACCGTGGACAAAGTCGGCGAAACAATGAAATTGAAAGGGGCATACTGTTATTGTTCGGAATTTGATATCTCAATTCGCTAAGTAGTCTCAAGAGAAAGACGCTAATTCTTAACGGGGATTCATGCTCTTTTGAGTGCAATTGTTTGTGAAAATATTTACATACACAGGTCACAGACTAGGTGGAATTCGATTTATGTATGCTAACCTGGTTCACTTTGAAGATGGAAATTAATCTGAGAAACTTAGAATTTCAAGTAGGTACAACTCCGATCGAATGGCATTGATAAATATAAGCTTAAATACAAATGCATCCACAAATGTTCAAATGTGTATGACTTTAAAAATTCCCCAGATGTGTATATTAAGGCATTTATTGATTTATGAGAATACAAGTAACTTATCCTACATTTTATAATTAAATTTGCAACATTAATTGTAGTTAGCATCTTTTGCTTACTTTGTTGCTGATACATACAAAGATAATAATGTGTGTATCAATGTGCTAAACAGTTATCAAGGATATGTGTACCTTATGACTCGTTGTATGAAACATTGTATGAATCGTACTATCAGTGTATGTATGTGGATAAACATGACATTAAAGATTTTGAGTTAGTTCATAACTTCGGGCAGAAAGTGCGTCCGCTTTAAAACGTCAGGTTTCTTATTCGACGTCTTCTGTCCAATGGTAACTACTCCTTTTGATGTCCCTGAAACCAACATGTCACATTTTTAAACAATTTGAAAGGGTAAGCTCAAGCTCATTCTTTATTCCTTCCTTTTGATGTAAAATTACCGTAAAAGTCCATCGGACCAATAAATTTGGGACGGATCATGCTTTCCTCAGCAATTTTGGCTTTCCTCCTATTTCTCGCAGTAGTAAAAACTTCAATGGCCAAAGAAATGAATCTATGAAAATTAAGGAATTCCAAATATTAAATTTATGTATCGTCTGCAAAATACTCTAAGTTTGCCATTTTTTAACCGTTTGTTTGTTTCAATAACATAGATCACATTAGATCAGTAAACAAAATTTTCTTACGCAATTCCCAGTCCAATAATGGTGGCAATAAATACCCCACCGAGAGACTCCAATGAGATTCCATCGTTTTCACCATCTCCTAAACTTTTGAGAGAAAGAAAAGAGTGAGCGAGTCATAGAGAAGGAGCGAGCCCTCAGTTCAATCTCGGGCTGCTTCATGATCATTAGTCGTTTTTTGTGTAGATATTTTTAAACGTAAACACTATCATATAATTATTATTACTTCATTAAGATTTCTTAATACGTGTGTGACACAGTTTCTAATTTAATCGTGTATCTTATTATTATGCAGGTAAGCCATGAGTGATCACTCTAACGACGATGATGATGATTTCGTCAACCCTCGCTCTTCCACAAAAGCAAAGACTCCAGAAACGCCATCCACTTCCTCCAAACGGAAATTAACCACTCCCACCAGTAGTAAGGCAAAAGCGCCAAAGCAGAAGAAGGTTGATGACGACGACGACGAGGATGATGGAAAGGAGGAAGAATTACCAAGTTTCAAGTAATTTTTCATTTAATGAAAATCATACGTAAATATTTCAACATTCTTTTTAATAATTTCAACAGATATCTCAAACTGGACTCGGATGATGAGGACGATGAGGAAGAGCTTGTTTCGAAAAATGAGTGGCGAATGGTGGAGGGAGCAACGAGATATTTGAGAGGTCAACCTACCAGTCTCCCCGAACGAGGTTACGTGAATAGGAAAATTGATCTGCGTGAAGATAAGAACGACATTGTGTGGTGGGCAATTAGTAAGGCTATGAAAACCTATAAGAAGATGTCGAATAAGTCTGAAGGCAAGAAAAATTACTTAGAATTTCATATTATTTTGAAGTGTACTATTTATGACATGGTTTGTTCTTGTTTTTAGATGAAGGAGATAACAAACTGCGAGAGTTCTTCTGCAAATTGGCAAGAGAGGTTGATCAGGATCAGGAAATGGGGTCACAGCAGTCGACCACTTCCAATCTCACTCCTCTTACCCCCCCAATTATTACAGGGAAATATCCCCCTCTTACTGCTGCAGAGAGATTGGTCGCAGAGACCAAGATAAGACAAGCGGGGTCAGACGGATTGGAGATTCCTGGGACAACGTCTAGAGTAGCGTTTTCACCACCATATCAAAACCGGAAATACGGGTTATTCGTTCGTATCGCTACAACTACAAAGTGTTTGTTTATTTAGTAAGTACATTCCTTATGTATATGATAAATTATGTGGTATGCTCTAATGTCCAACGTGACATGTCTCCAGATTGCGTGCGAACAATATCCACCATTATGGACCCGAACCCAAAGTGCTACTTTCACAAAGGAGAACAAATTGGTTTCGTTTTGGCCCAGTTTACGGATGGGGCCAATAAGAAGAATGACGTCATCCTCCATGTCATTTCCTCTTTCAAGTATATTCATGGGGATAATGAGGGGAGATCACAAAACGCAACACGGTCAATCATCCTTCAGAATCTGACGAAATCCGAATTGCCGTGGAAATCATACTCTAAAGAACGTGAAGCAGCCAAAAAACCAGCCGCAGAACTAGTTGAAATACAGGATCGTCGCCTATACTTTGATGATGAAGACGAAATGATGAAAGTTTACGCAGCACGCCAGGTACAAGCAATAATAATGCTGTGAAATATGTAACCCTCATTGTTATAATGAATTGTCCAATCACTTTTAGACTACGACACTCTTTCAACTACTTTTATGGCCGGATACTACAATCAAAATAATATGTCTCAACCTAGACATTAATCTTCCTAATGGTGCGTATAAGGAGTTGGTGGAGGAGATGGATCTTTGTGGTCTGGAATTGAAGATTCACGATAAATTGTCACCATCAGCAGCAGCAGCAATTGATTTAGAAGCAGGTGAACAGATTCCATATCTCTTACATGCAAAACATCGTGAAAATATTGGGGCATTGTTGACGAGAGGAAGAAAGGAGAATAAAGAGAAGGTTGCTGCATTATACTTTGTCTCCAATCCCCACATAATTTATGCTGGTCAAGCACTGAATAGTAACGTGCATACAAAGAATTTGTATGGAGACCCTGTACTTGTTTACAAAACTAACAAGCCCTCCACCCACCCGGAGCACAAGTTGGTCCCAGTAGGACTTGTTCGTGAAGAGGAGCGATACAAATGGGAATGTCATCTCCACATTTGTGCCTTAATAGCATCTCTTCTAAAACTTAAGAATTGTATAACTCCAGACGATTTTTCTGCCCAGTCTCACCCTCTTTGCATAAATAAGAAGATCAATTCAAGTTATGTAGATAAAAAGTCATGGGGAATTGTTCATGGAATTATGATGGAAAAGTTTTTAGTTGATGTGTACCTAGGACCCAGGACGTCCGACTAGTAGTAATGTTTATGATAAATTGTAATTTTTAAAACAGTTTCATATGAATTGGTTTTCGGGTCTTTGAAGATGAGATATTGAAGTGTAAATAAATGAATTTAATTGTTTTTACCGTAATAAATGGAATGTAAACTGAACCTTTCATTTCCTTACCCAGGGCATGTTGAGGTCCAATAGCGAGCTGACAGAGTTTCAAAGAATCGCTCAGTTTGCAGTTGTAGAATTGCCATTGAGATATCGTCCTGCAAAGGATTTCCTTGTGCGACGGCCTAATAAGTAATTATAAATAAGCAACCACAAATTTATATATGTATAAATACGAAAAGTTGTATCAGTAACTTCATACAATACTACCAACATTGTCAGAAATTGAGTCAGCTAGCCCTACACATATCTGATAAAAATACTCTTTGAAAGGGGACCCTTTCTAACCTACCAAGGCATATGGCGCTTCAGCAAATGGTTCGCCAATCAAGGTCAAGTTGCAGTTTCGAAATACTTCGTATTTTGTTTGGGCTGCGTCATGAATGAATGCGAAGTAATCATCGCTTAGAACCTAAAAAAACAATTTCATAAAAAGTAACACATATCCCATAACGTCAATATTTATATGTACACCGTAATACCCTTGAAAACCCTTCGGACATGTTCAAAACGGGTGTGGCACTCTGGATAACTGAATGAATATGAATATACATTTCCCGTATTGGATATTCCCAGACAACGTACTCCCTCGCTAGATCAAACGCAAGTTTAATTACACAGATTTAATTTACGATGACTATAGACTTGAAGTCGAAATTTGTGTACTTACCCGATGATGGCGCTGTTAAGGTCAAATTTCTCCACATTCTGTACATGGATAAGATATATTCAAAAAAATTACTGAACATCATATCCCATATTTGTGGTTTCCTTACTGATACAAAATTTCTTCAGCATTTGCCATATTTTTAAAGAATGTCATTGCAGTTGAGACATTGACTACCGAGTATTTGACACTCGACTGGGCTGCCAAGTGCTCCAAATTTCTAATTGGGCTTTGCATTCTGTCATGTAAAGAAAGTTAGTTTAGAGTTTATGTGATGGGACCGGTTTAGTAAGAATGATTTATTTACCTCTCCACTGTTAAGAATGCGGCCAAATTTGCTGTAAACGTTGCTAGCATTAAGACCACAAAAATCCAATAGGCAGCGACAAGTGTCCGTCCCGAAAAAGCTGTCGTTATTGAAGTGACAAGTTATGCAAGGTATATATGATACAACGCACATAAGAGCACATTTTCTTCAGAAAATTTCTTATGAAACTCCTCCGAAGTATGTATTTACATGCCATTCATCTCTGGATTTCGGTCATGTATTCCTAATTCTGGTGTTTTATTACCTTTCGGGGGTTCACCACCTCCTTGTGGAGTAAAAGAAGTCAGAGCAAACCAGAATGATTCCTTGAGAGTGAATTTCCTGTTGAAATATTTGAAATTTAAGTGATCCAGGATGTATGTTAGGACATTTACCTGAAGGTTTTATATTTTTGCGGATTATTTTGGGCGGAGTAGGGGGAGAACTTGTCCAAAAACCAAAGCATGAATCCAGTCGCGATCGTTGCCCCCAAAATGCTCAGCCAAACCTTAACTCATTAGGGTAATAATTAGTATTTTCCCAATATTGTCAGCTTACTTACTTATAAAATCAGACAAGAGCTAAGAATTACATGTGTCCCTTGTCTGGTTTTATAATTGGTCGACGATATATATTTTTTGAAGGAAGGTTAAATCGCTTATGTATTGGTAAGCATATTCAACAAACCTCAGTACGCAGGACAGTCATGAACTTAAATAACGAATTTTTGACCACAGGCCGTTTCATAGCTGCAAGGGTACAATAATGCTCAAAATGTGTGTTTAGTATAAGAGTAGACTATTGAGTAATAGGTTTAATACAAATATTAAATTTGAACTGTACTTATAATTAGTCCAGATTGTTCATAGTACGGCGATACAAAGTCAATAAACTGAAATGGAACAAAAGTTTATCAAGTTGGTCTTTTCCTATATGTTTATATAAAGGCAATCACCTCCTCTCTTTCTGAAGTCATTATATATGCGGCAACTGCTATGTCAATTTTCTGAAATTTTTTCATACAGTAAAATTTAGCTAAAGAAAATCGTGAACATCAAGAGTGATTATAAATTCTTGCCCCATGGACGAGGTCGCCGGTCAGTCCGTTCCATCGACCATTCGGTGGCATCCTCTTTCCAAATCCTTCGCTTACAACGAGATCGTACTCGAAATTCATTTTGTTCGCTATCCCGTTTGCTAAATCTATGCAATACCCGACCTGCAAGCAAATACGTCTTATATCAAAAACAAATTTTGAATATTTTTTTGTAGAATTTAATCTCTCAGTTCATGGATAAAATTAACAAAAGCCATTGCCAACATGATTTTACCCATTCTCCTGTCTTTTCATCCTTCATTGTCCATGGGGGAAACTGCACATCGAGACAGGACAAAAAATAAGATAAGTTGTATAATGCATACACCATAATTTAATTGTAATAATACGCACATTAACAATTCCAATTCTGAAGTATCTTTTCCTGTCTCTGAATACAAACCCGGGGGTTTGTTGGAGTCCCGTTTCAAACTTATATTCTCCAACGGCACGGACCGATCCATTTACATAATCTTCAACTTTTAGAGGAAATTCAAAAGAAATTTTTCCTTGCTTTGCGGTCACCATTTTGTTACTCGATTTCTAAATATGGGCACCATTAAAAGTTAGTACTGCAATGACTCAAAATGTGTACGCTTTTCGTACTCATCTATTACCGCATTAATTGCATCCATCAGAACTGCATTGAATCCCCGATCTCCAACTCTGGGATCATTTGGAGGGGTGCAGCTGACCCGAAAAGATTTTTTCCCATCAGGGTCCACTTGGTTTAACGCCTCAGCGAGGACAAATGCCAACTTTCTGATGTATATTTCACTGGGATTTCCATCGCAGGATGAAGCACTACACCTCTGCGAATCTGTCGTTGGGTTTGCCAACGTGCAACATGTTTCGGATGAAAAGTAAGCTCGAAAATATGGGAATGAGATATTCAGCTTGGGAGGTGACGAGGACATGAATTGATTGTACATAAAAATCCATTCCGTTCGATTTCGCACAACGTGGTGATTAGCTTGGATGAAATCCTTAAATTGCTGCTCAGTCCCATAAATGATTACGCCTGTAGGAACTCGGAACTCAAATTTTTCTAAAATCAACTCCTTTTGTCGAGGATAGGTCAGGAATGAGTAGCGAATGAGAGTACTTCCGAGTACTACATTCACTCCGCGATTCACATCTACACATTTATGTAACGTATTTAACATGTTATTTTAAAATGAAAAGATGGTTAAGCAAGTGGTATCATCTTATTTGTCCAATTATTGATATTACCCAAGTCGGAATGAAAAATCATGAACCCATTGCTTCCGTTTGCCAAATGTAATAAAGAATCGACTCCACGTAACAAGGCGTCGAATGGGACATCGACACGAAAATAAGGAATCTGCTTTGTCGCAAAGAATTTTTGAGGTTGTGTTTCTGGATCCATAATTTTTCTTGTGAAATCCAAAATTACTGTAACATTTGTAGCAGCTTGGCAAACTAAATAAGTACGTTTCCCCGTATCAAATTTAAGCTTAAAATATGTCAATTATACAAATATGCATTAATAAAATGGTTAAATTTAACCTTGTTCCCAGTCAGACTCGTTTCTGTACAAAACTTGCACAAGATTTGGGCTTTTCTCGTTTCTGTCGTCATAATCGGCTAACCCAGATTCGAAGCTTCGAACCCAGGTTTCGGCATTGTCGTCGTGAAGTAATACTACATTATAAAATGACGTGTATTTATATAGTTCTACACTAAAAAGTTGGATTATATATTAAAATATTGGAGATATTAGCTTACATATACGCGTTGAGCTCAATTGTAAGCATCCAAAAATCAAAATTATTGCTCTTAAAACTTTCAAAATCCGTTTTCCCATTTTATTTCTCTTTAGTATGTAAGATCTTGCAAAAATGACACGAAGATGGATTCTCCGCTGAAAACTATTGAAACTTGCATGTCGACTTGCCGATTCGGTGTAAAGACCATACGCTATTTAGCAATGGTGTGAATACGTACGTATATAAAGCGTTCCGAACCGTTCCACCTACAATTATATGTATTACTAGAGTGCGATACTGAATAAAACTCCCGATTTTTACACCATTTGTGCCGAAATAACATGATTATTCTCATACGTTTTGGAATATTTGTCAGTGTGAAGTATCATTAATTATGCATGGGGAAAGAGGCAGATGTCTGAGGAGTCCTTACTACATGTCCATCCACTAATGACGAGGGGGCTTTTCCAGCTCACACATTGTGCTGACCACGTAGCAGAAGCCACGCCGAATTTCTCCACACTTTCTTCGCCTTCGTCGGACAATTTGTCAAAATCAAATATTTATTATCCATTTGAAATATTACCTCTGGAGGAACCCATTGTGAGTTTAATAAGAAAGGAAGGTACACACACCTACGAAATGTATGGATTATATGCATAAATGTACATATCCGTCATGTTCTCCATGCCAAGTACTTATCTCGCACACACACACATTTATTATTATTATGTGAATGAATTGTGCTGAACTGAAATGTCAACCATCTACATTTGACACGATGCGGCGTGTCAATAATTTTAATGTGCAATCCTATTAAAAGTTATCTTTATTCATCATCATGTTATGTATGAAGGAATTTTAAATTGTTTTAATTGAGGTTAACGATGGACAGACGACAACAAAAGCGTCCTTTTTCAGGAACAATTTTGCACTCAAAGCAAAACATTGACGAAACGCATTTAATTTTTAAAGGACAAAGGAATTTATGAACTCTGCAATACGAGCATACATATTCTCATGGTTCTCATTATTATTTTAATAATAACAAAGCACTAGTTTTTTGACTCCAGGTGATAAAACTATGTGTTTGTACAATGGTACATGTACTTTGTTGAAGCCATTGTTAGGTGAAGTCAATTAATCCTCTTCTTCGCGTATAATTCCCAGGCGAGTGGCCACTAATTTCACGCTGCTAATTACTTCTTCTTGTACCAAATTGAAACTCATGGCAAGGAGAGATATTCCAAAGAGTAGATACAACGAACAAAGGGCGATGCTGACCTGAGATTGAGACAAAAATTTCAGACAATGAAGTCTCCATTAATGATAGAGACAAATTGCGTGCGAGTAGCAGTAACTGTGATAAAGTTGCTTATTTCAGTAAAAAATAGTGTCTACTACCTCGGACGAATCATTTTTCACTCGTTGTGCAGGCACAAAGTCTCCGAACCTATCCATTTCATTCGTATCATGTTATTTTTGCATAATATTTTCCAGTATTTTCCATTGTTAGTGAAGTAAGTGATTTTTTTTATTAAATTGACACATTTGCATTAAAACGCGAATAATATATGCATGTAAACATACATGTTTACGTTCATATGTATGTGCATACCCTATTGTTGTAAGAGTGACAAAGCAAAAATATGCCGAATCCAAAAATTTCCAGCCTTCCCAATTGCTGAACAGGAAAGCTCCAACTAGTAACAAGTCCAGTAAATCTCGATTGATTGATTATTCAGTCATGTCATCTCAATTAAAACGATAAATATTATGTCATTTACGTACATATAATATAACTGAGAACGAGTAAAACACAAAGCCACTGAAAAAAAGAAGAAAGAGAGGACATATATATAATTCTTTGACTATATAACAATAATGCGAATTATTCAGCGCTTATACAAATTATGTGAGGATGATGAGATAGAAAAAAAGTAAGAATGACAACAACGACACAATTTATACATGAAACGTCTAAATATCAGACATATTTATTTGCAAAGAATGGGGTTAAAGTAATTCATTGATGTTTAGTAAAAAAAAATTGTAGAATATAAACAAAACAAAGTGAACAAATTAACATTCTACCACAGAAATTGAGGTTTTCCATTGATTATTGGGATTCCATCCCCCTCTCTCTGTACAACAATAGTGCATCCTGTTTTAAATTGAAAAAGTCTAGTGAACACATTGTAGTCAAATACTATGTTATAGTTGGTAAGTTGTTCAGTCATGGGTCTCATTGGGTGTCCTTTGAAGTCTTGCTGAAGAATTGTCCCCATTAATGTGGCCAATATTCCCATAAATTCAGCATGGCGAGTGCGGATCTCAGTCTCGACGGGGTCATCCAAAATATGCTGATAGAGCATGACGATGGTCTCAAGATGTTGGGCAAGTGGCTTGTGGGGAAGGGCGTTACCTACGCTTGCTCCTGATGTATGGACAGTTGTCTTCGAAGTCATAAGGCCGTCTTTTACTGCACCGTTCCCATTATCTCCTTGGTAGGTGTGGTCCTGTTTCTTGATGACACGGATTGAGAACATTTTATTTGGAGTCAGTTGGTTGGTAGCTGGGGTCACAATAAATTTGAACTTGTTTCGGTCAAGAATTTTCCGAACTTCCTTCCAGTGGGCATTTTTGAAGATGGTCAAGCCCCTCCTTAGTTGAATTTTGGGATGGGTCGAATTAGAAAATGCGTTGTTGTGGAGGAAAGTCATTATGCAAATTGCAATCTAATCAAAACAAACATAATTAGTCATTTGTTATAATAAGGATTGGGAAATGATACGAGGCAAATTGAGACAGTTATTTACGCAAAAAGTGTTGAATTTCTTCGGGGACAGAGTTGTGTCAAAACGCCAGCTCATATCAATCACAAAACGGCAGTTTGGATGTGAAGCGATGTACTTGACAATTGTTGGAAAATGTTTGCCATCTATATGTTCACTTCGGAGGTATACATTTATATTTTCTTCATCAAATGCGTTCATCCGAAGATCTGGATGGTGGATGAAAATGTTTGGTTGGATATTTGTGGCGTCTCTTAGTAGCAAAAATTCACGGAGTTTAGACGAGTCCTTACGACAGTATCCTATCATTCTGTCCTGTAAAATATTGACAGATTATTATAAAAATGAAATGTTTAAGTAGAAATATGTTCAGTAATTACCAGTGAATTAACCCAACAATTTTCTCGTGTGCATTTTTTCTTGGACCCATTCCAACTCAAGACCATCCTTTTCTGCACCTTATACATCAAGGCTTTGACGACGTCACCTTGCCATTTGATCGCAATTCTTCTGTTGTCCTTGTCACGAATAGGTGTGGTTCGATGAGGGCTTACCCCCAAAGTACATGTGCCTTGCACCGGAAGTGACTTCATAAGCTCCAAAAACGCATCACTCCCACCCATATTCGCATCTGTCTCGCCCGGATTATCCCCCCATCTTAAATGAGCTTTAATAGCATCAAATACGCACTTTATTTGACCATTTGGTTGCTCCCATAAGTCAGCTTGTGGTGGTGGGGGTGGTGGAAGAACGATTGGCGGTGGTGGCTGAGGAGTATTGACTAAAATAATTCATAAAATAAGTCATTACATATTTGCTCTGCTTAATTAATTTACTCATTCATCATCTTGCATATAATTAACCAAAACTGAATAAAATCATAAAAACTCGTCTTTTCTCACCCATTGGTTGCACTCTAATAAGTGGTCCATCTCCATGTCGCATATAGAGGTCAAAATTGACGGGCGCTCCAACCATATGTGGTAATGGGGTGGTGGGGACATATTCCGTCACGGAATCCCCATACGTCAACATTAGACGTGGTTGTGGGGGGGATGATGAGGAGAGTGGGTGCCGATCAAAAATATATTCCTCCTCCTCTTCAGAAAAAACAGGAGGGGAGGGTAGTAACGAGTTGTGGGGTCGGTGTCAGAGGCAGAATCCGCGTCGTCATCAGGTGGGGAGGGTGGTTCCGAGTTGTGGTGGTCGGTGTCAGGGGACAATTCCGAGTCGTTATCAAGAGGGGAAAGTTGTTCCAAGTTGTGGGGGTCGGTGTCGGGGTCGAAATCCGTGTCGTCATCAGGTGAGGAGGGTGGTTCCCAGTTGTGGTGGTCGGAGTCAGGGGCAAAATCCGTGTCGTCATCCTCCTCCGTATAACACACCTTCTTTCGTTCCCTCAAACTTCTACTACCTACAAAAAATAAACAGATTCACACGAATTAATAATACGCTGAGGTGATAGAGAATGGATGGATGGATGGATGGGTGAAAAACTTACGCCCTGTATCCGTGTTGTGGTGGGCAGTGCCAGGGGACAATTCTGAATCGTCATCACTAGAATCTGTGGAGTCCGTGAGTAGGTGGTCGGTGTCAAGAGGGCGAGTCCGAGTTGTTTTCCGAGAAATTGGTTTTGTGGGAAGCATACTTGCGCCCTTAAAAGGACTTGAAACAAGTAGGTAGAGGGTGGAAGATGGTGAAAACGTTAGGAGGTGCGCAATAGTGTGGAGGAGAGAGGAAGAAAAGATGTTAAACTCGCTGACAGGGCAGACGAGTTATGTGAGCACTTTTCCATTTCTCTCCCTCGATGATAAGGGACGCCAAGCTTTTCTTATCAATTGATAAGAAAGCAGCGTGGAGAATGTAGCGTCGTTTTATTTTTGGATGCATTTTGTTTAAAACAAATGACGGTTAAATTAAAGAGTAGTTTGAAGAATATATATTTTTACAGTCGAGAAATTTATGCCAATCTTTTTCCTCATATGTGTGACCAAACTGTAAATTAACTTGAATTATATAATTGTCAAATTTTGCAGTACTAACTATCGGCACAGGTTTTTTGCGAACATCTGCATTGTCTTCGTCGTCGCTCCCATAAATGTACTCGTCGGCTTCATCTTCCCAATAGTCACTATAAGCCTGCAAAAATATATGTATTTAGTTATCGATCAAACATCAGCATTACGTAACGAATCACTTGTTATGCACCGTGTAAAGTCTTCTCATTCATGTGCGATACACATTTCGTGGCGTAATATCTCATCAAAGATCTCATTCTGGAGTCAAGACACTCGCTCAAAAAAAGAATATGCAAAAAAACCAATTATGCTCGCCGAGTACAATCTCAAGGACATTTTTTAGTATGACACATTGTTGATTTAGCCCAATTCGCATGCGGTTAAGCTCATCCAACTTGAATTTGTAAGCGTCAAGTAGACATTTTGATGAAACAATTCAAGTATTTTTTCTTGATTTCATTGAGATTTGAAAACTCAAGTGTGAGTTTGCATGAGTTTGGACAAGTTTTAATTCATTACATGTCCCAAGATCGTCAAAGTAATTTGATACGGATAAACACACCGCAGACCAGCATACATAAAACATTCTTAGAATCAGAAAATCTATCTCGAGAGGTTTGAAGGCAAGAGAAGTATTTAACTGAGAATGGACAGATCAGAGTCGAAGAAAGATTGATGATGACATTTTGCGTTGGGTTGGTCGCTGCCTGCTAGCTGTTAAATGTACATAAGGATGTGCACATTATACACTCATACGTATGAATGTGTATGCATATGTGTCATACGAATGTTGCTGCTTCAGGAATTCCATTATTTAATGTTTTCGCACTCATTTTCATTGAACTCGTAAAACTCGCAATGATACTTGTGCAAATGTCCAGTACCTCCGTGCACATCGACAACAATCATCATCATAACATTACAGCACCCACTAAATACAAAGTGTTGTATGCCTAGTCCCAAAGGAACAGGTTTGAGACTTGCCTGCGTAGTCTGAAACACAGTGTTAAAAGAACAGTAAGTTTATCAGTCGTATTATTATCGCATTAAAGGTGGGAAACATAACCACCACAGGTTGTTCTTTTTCCAACAAGAACTTGATCTTCGCCTTCATTTATTTATTTATATAATACAGCAGAGCATCGCAAGTTACTTAGTAAAGCATCACCTCAAGACCAGCAGCTTTGCAGAATTTGGGCCCTGACGTAAGGAAAACTGCTTTTCTTTGTTGAGCTTGCTGTGCTGCCGTCGTGGTATGCAAATTACAAGTTGGTAATGAATGTCTACAATTTATTGATTCATAGAAGGGTGAAACTACTACGTCAGGGTACCCAGAATCTGATGATTATTGCTCATCCATCCCAGAATCTAAACAAATTGTCTCAATTGGCTCCTTCAAACCAAAGTCAGCAAAGTCAGTGTGATGGTCACTCCATTTCTCTTTGTGGAAGTGCTCGGAGCTCGTGTTTACCACTAATAATAACTCCCGTTGTGTTGTACCAGTCGCAGAAAAATCATCAAATTTAGACAACAGTTTTAGGTTTTAACTTGTATCGACTTAACCCCAATCCCACTTATCAGTCATTCATTATTACGCATTCGTCCCAGAAGGAAAGTAGGAGCATGGACACGGGTAATGTTAGTTCCAGCGTAAAACCCGAAAATGGGTCAACTCCAGTAGAAAGTGGGAAATGCGAGGTCGAACTGCAGCTAGAAGCAAAGGCAGAGTCGTCAAACGTGACGATGGAGGAAACACCGAATAAGTCGGTGGCAGTGGTGCAATCGATTTCAGATGGCACAATGGAACCCTCAACAAAAACACATTGGCTGAAAAGGTACCTTCAGAAAAAAGTTGAAGGGCTGACCAGAAGGCAGATTTACATTTGCTTCATTTTTGCATTCGTGGAATTCTTTGCAGGTAACATTATTAAAACCGGATGGATTTTAATAATTTTCATAATTAATAATTAATAATTTTCATAATTATTCACACATTTCCTCACAAAACATGCAAATTTTGTGAGCAAACTAAAGTTTCTAAAGTCTTAAAGAGGAAGCAGTAAAGCTGGTAGGGAAAATGAGACGGATTTAATATGTACAATTTTTCTGATTTATTTTAGCAACCGTGATTTCCATTCAAGCTCCTTTTTTCCCTGACGTGGTAAGAAGCATGTTACAAACTTTCTCTCTCTCTTTCTGTCTCTCTATGTTTGCCTCACATATTGGTCAATTTCAGGCCGCATCAAAAGGTGCCACGCCAATAGAATATGGCTTCGTCTTTGGGGTAAAAAATTTGGAATGACAAACAATTCGTTTTTAATGTGTAGATGTATGCAATTTAAGTTAACTGTGTATACTTTTTGCAGATTTTTGAGTTGACTGTATTTATAATGTCCCCGATATTTGGAGCTAAGGTAAATCAATTATTTTTATGCAAAGCCTCAATCCTCTTGATTAATGTGGTTTACAAAATTTCACAGATGAATGCATTTGGCCCGAAAAGACTCTTTAACTGGGGGATATTTACGACGGGAGCATGCTGTGTAATTTTCGGGTAAACTTATTGACATTCTCATCATCATCCATGTTTACAGTTCAATTAATAAGTACAAAATTTCTTAATTGTAATTTTATAAATTTAGGTTGTTGGATCTATTGCAAGGAAGAGTATCGTTCATTGTTGCATGTTTTGTCGTACGTACGATAGAAGCCGTTGGAGATGCTGCGTTTGTTGTAGGTTAGGTTTGCTACGATTTTTAAGCTAATCATTTTCAGCATAATAATAATAATAATAATATTATTATTATTTGTAGCATCTTTTACAATCATCGCACTTGAGTTTCCTGACTCTGTTGCAACGACTTTTGTAAGAAACAGCAGTTCACACAGTGATTAGATAACATTGATGACTTTAGTAATTTTAATCCTGAAGGGCACGATGGAGACGTTTTATGGCTTGGGAATGATTGGTAATTATTATTATTATTTCAATAAAGTATTATTTTCGCGTGAAGAATAACGCGTACAGGAAATTAATAAGGTAAGATACGATTCATTGAGGTAAAAGAACCGTACAATCAATAACTAGTAAAAAGAAACAACAACCTACTTAACAAATTTCCAAACAATCTTCCCATCATCATCTTTTCCCATAGTAGGGATCTCCACTTCAATCACTTCGCCATATAGATAACCAAATATATCCCTAAATACAGATTTTGAATACGCATCATCAAAGTGGGAAAATTTTTGACATAAAAAATCAATGTCGCGACCATTTATCTTCAATCCGAGTATCTCGGCAAGTAGTGACGCCATGTGACCCATAGTTTCCACACGCTCAGCTTTCTCCTTCATTTCATCGTGAATTTCCTTCTCCTCTTTTGACAACTTCGTGTACTTCAGTTTATCTTTTATGAGATTAGCTTGAGGGTGGCCAAATTGATAAATCCTCTTTATCTGGGTTTTGTCAAAATCAGACAACGCCGTCTTCTTGCCTTTGGTGTGTGTACTGGATCCTTGTCCCTTTGCTTTCCGACGCATCTCATACTTTAATCCCGAATATATTTCACCTGTGTTATTATCCCGTGCGAGGTAAGAGCTTGGCAGATTTTCATAGGAGACTGTTGGATGAAGAGAATTGGGTAGAAGGATGGTGGACTTCTTTTCACCCGTGAATTTGAAAATGAACCCGTTTATCTCAAAAACTTGTTTCAACTTTAAAAAAAAGTTCTTTTGAAATCCGTCCCTGTTTCGAAAATAAATATCCTGGTTGAGGAAGATGACCCTGTCTTTCACATCACAAGTCGAATTGTAGAGCATTGTCATAATACTCATCGCTACCTAAATGAATGATGGAACATGATTAGATTATGACAATATTTAATAATTTCAATTTCAATTTGTGCTGCTATAATTTCATGTATACCATGTTGTGATGGTTTCCCTCCCCTGCTAAGAAATCCTCTGTCGAGTACTCAAACTTGGAGAATGACCGAAGAACAGCGACGTGGAGGTCAGTTTTAGAATCTTTGTGAGAGTTCATGTAGTTGTAGAGGCATGTGGAGACACTCTCGGCAGTTTTTGATTTTGAGTAGGTTTGCAAATCACTGTTGTTGTATCCACCAATTTTTGGATTCATGGGAGTGACGATTGCGATGGTGGTGACATCAGCTTTGATATCCCATACAAAATAAGCATTTACAGGGCAGTGAGACTTGCAAAAATTCCATATGCGCGAGTTCTCATCTAGCCAACAGAAATCAAGTTGACATTTGTAGACGTCTTTCCCCTTCAAATGTTTTGTAAAGGGGGTGGGATTATGAAACCCGACCCTGGATCGTTGCTTGTCCCATATCACTGTAAGAGTGACATCGTCGAAAGTCGTGGTGATGGGGTTCTTCTCGAGGGACTCCATCGCCACTTTGAAACGCGGGTCCTTCACCAAGTCCTCATCCTTTCCTTCAAATGAGATCCGTTCTTTAACTGCCTCTCTTATAGCTTTCATACGGGATGTAGGAACTACAGCAGTGGTAGCCTTAGCAGTTGACCCTTTCATATCTGCAATCATAACAATTTTATTTGTTATTTTAATAACAAATTCCAAGTTGTAAAATGTACCCTTCTCATATTTGGCGTCCCTCTCGTCAACTTTCTTGACAAAAATTGTCAAGAGTTGACCGGTCGTGGTCTGAGAAAGTCCACCCTCGTCAATCATCTTTTTCAATTTCTGGGTTGACATGTCTTCGTATTCATCCTCGTCAGAGTCGGACGGCAATGGGGTCTCCTCTGAAACATTTGGTGTTGGGTGGTTCCTCTGCAATAACAATTATTAGATGGAAAAATGAAAGTTGAGCGGTGCATAACACAAATTAAATGAAACCTTACCTTCATTGTTGTAGTGGGTGTGGTTCTGTAATCTTAAAAATATTTAAGAAAATATAGAGAAAGAGCCTTGTTTGACGAGAGGAAAACTGCTGTTGAGAGCGAGAGAAAAACAAGGTTGGTTGACCTCCTCTCCGTGCGTATCAGAAAGAGAAATTGAAAGAAATTTCAACACATAAAGTAATTCAATGTGTTGTGTTCAATTGAAAGAAATTATTGCTGACACTATAAAAACTAATTAATTTCGTTTAATCCAAGTTGGACCTACCCTTGGTGGTGCCCTTTATGAGGTAAAAACTTGCAATGGATGATTCACATGTCGCTTCTCCTTTACTTCACGTATTTAATATCTTAATTATTTTTCCCACTCTTAATAATATTATCCATTATCACTTTTATCACCAGTTTGGGGGCTACTCATTGCCATTCGCCTTAATGGGAGGCCTTTTGTTCGTTTGTGCATGGGCTACCTATTTTTTCCTTCCGGAAATTGGAGAATCTCCATCCATTGAGAAAGGCGATCAAAAGTTATTGACCACATCCGGATTGGAAACTTTCCAAATGCTTCGGTTCCCTGTAATCTTCATGATTGCCTACAGTATTGTTGCAACTGCTGCTGGAGTTGGATTCCTGCATTCTACGTTAGAACCTCACTTGGATGTTGCTCAGGTACAGATAATGTGCAAAATCATAAATTTAATTATGCATTTTCATTCGTTATTCTCAAAAAAGTTTGACTTTATGTTTAAATTTCCAATTATTATTTTTGTAATTATAGGCCAACCTTAACAAATTCCTTGTTGGTGCGGTCTTTATCTTGAACGGGGGTGTGTATGCTATCGGGTAAGTACATGCGTGTGTACATATATATGTTCAGAGCTTAAGAGGTGGAATATACAAACAAGGCTTATATTAACTTGCTACATATTCTGAAATTAGGGCACCAACGTGGGGAAGGATTTGCGACCAGTCCGAGCAACCAAAGTATTTTACAGTGATTGGTTCCATTTTTACAATCTGTGGATTTATTTTAGTAGGACCATTGCCTTTCTTGCCTTGGGAAACGTATGTCACCCAATAAAACGCTAATTTTTGAACAAGGTCAAAAGCAAAAAAATTGGATGACAATAAGTTTGTCTATACAAATGCAGGAATTTATGGAACATTTGTATTGGATTGGTTCTGTTTGGGCTCGGTTTGGGGGCCACCCTTGTGTCTGCATTTATTCAAGCGTTGCAAGATGCTGTGTAAGAATACTTCTTAAATATTAATACTCTTATGACCACTGTTTAATTGAATCTGTCACAAAATTACGATAATTGACGGTTGACCTAATTGTGCATAATGAATGTCATACAGGGCACTCGGTTATCCTGATGATGTCTCCACGTATGGCTTGGTCTCTGGGTTGTGGACCTCGATGACAGCTTTGGGATTTTTTATTGGGGCCAGTAGCGGTGGAATCTTGTCGTACTCAGTTGGATTCAGATGGGGAACAATGTTTGTCCTTGGAGGACAGTTAATTTTGGTATGATTAAGAAACTGAATAAGACATAAATTACTTTTTCAACTGTTAATGTCAGTAATCCATCAATCTATGTATACTCGACCAGCTTACTTACAACTGACATCTGAAGGATTATTCTTATTTTTACAAATACTTTAATCTGATTCCTTATTAAGTTATTTAATTTCCTGATTTTTTTTCAATCTGCAGGTTGTAATGTTGATGGTGTACTTTTACACTCGAAAAGGAAAGAGTGGTGATAACGACAATTCTGGAAAAACTGAAATTGCAATGAACTCTTCCGAAATCATCGAATCGAATGGAACTGAGACAAATAATTCTAAAATAACCACTGCCACAACCAATCCAACTTTTCAAAATGACGAATGACACTAATCGAGAGCCGCAAAATACATGCAATATTATTATGATTATGTATTATTATGTAGAATTGTAGACTATAAAATGCACATTTATATAAATAAAATGTGTAACATATTTGTGATCTCCTCTATATTTGTAATAGTGGTTGAATAATAGGCTAGGAATTTGTACGAATAATAAAACATTTTTTTACTCACAAATCGTTCAGGACTCCTCAATTGCCTTACTCGAACATGTTGTGGTGCTCTCACAATCTGAGCTTCATCCGTAATAACATCTTCGGCGTATCTGTTGCATAAAATGGACAGATTGCGCTTGGACCCAAAAGCCGGTTCTGCCGATCTTGTAGACCTTTTCTGATACACAAACAAGGGGATAATTGCATGCATGGAAAAATTGACCTATACCCTAATCATCATTAAATGGTCAAATTTGCAAACACATTTAGGTTGGCATATAAGTAGTTTCAGTTTCGCTATCCCTTCATCACTCTCGCAATAAATAACATACCTGGATATTTTTGTAGCTGTCTGGGCGGAGGTGCAGTGGGGGAGAATCTTTCATTCTTCGCATTGGCAATGCAGCTCGCAAATGATCGTCCGAATGGACTCTTCTGCAAGAAATATATCGCAAATATGTATATTTATGAGTAGTATCGTAGTGCATGTATTAGTAAATATTATCATAAGTTGAGAGCAGCATGTTGAACCACCACATTCATCCCATTTCCCGGTGTCTCATGGTTATACGATAACGCAGTAGGTCATATCATTGGAGTTTGACATTGTCACAGCCGTGTGGACTGCATTGTGACCCACAAAAGCGTGGAGCTGCCATGACTTTGTCTTCCATTCTATCAAAATGAGTACAAGTGTGATCGCATCGCACTCACCGAATGCCAGGGTCAGGGAGCGTAAAGATGGCCGAGTCTGCCGAGTATGCAGAGTCTTCTGAACGCTGAGAAGTCCTCGCTGACCTTAGTGCTGCTGAGGCTGACCTTTTCATCCCGCGTGTGCTACAAACCATTACAAAACTCAATCTGAGATGGCCCAAGATCCGTGACATGATTTTCATGACATTGCAACGCTTCTTCAATGCCAACCATGCTCATGTTCACACGGCTGATGTATTATTTTCAGATCTCTGCTATACCAAGACGTAGTACAACATATTTAGGTAGATAATTATATGCACAATTATAGTGCTCACCCTTCAGTCCACTACCACATCGTTTAGTATTCACAAGTTATCGTATACGTATATGTACATAAGTCGCATTATTATATAATATTGTGCTGGTCTCTTCCTTATTCACGGAAGCTGAACAAGTTTAAGCATTTAATGAGCACATCGTTCTTCCCCTGCTAATGCAAAGGCTATACTTATGCCTTATTATCATTGCATGTGCACATGGTATGGTTAATGGCAATCTGAGGCATTTATAAACAAATAAAAGAATAGTGAGTTCACTTAAATAAAATAAACAAGGGTTTATGTGAGCCATTCACAGTTCGCCATTTCAGTTTGCCAAAAGCTGTCGGCCGACTGTGTTGCACGTTTTTTGTGTTATATCACTGCATACTAATGCAGTTTGCCGAATATTTTTGTGGAGAAATTTGCTCTGCACACATTTTTTTGTGTATATATGTGATGAGAAATAAGAAATAACGTATGTACCTCCCACCCCCTGGTCTGGAAGGATTATTGGATCGCAGACTTCTTCCACGTCGAAATGTACTGCCTTGATAGCGTCTCATTGTCCGGGGTGATTTCCGGCGAGTGCACATGTAGCAGCAAACCTTTCATCGGCATTAAAATTTCAGTATCAACTGCGTAAATATATAATACTACAGAATCAGGTGAAGGTTATTTGGTACCTTCCAGTAAATCACTCTGAAAGAACTGGCCATGAAGTCCCCGATGTGCGACAGGCATAGGAGCATCAACGGGATCCCAATGATAGCATAAAATATTGTCACGACCTTCCCAAACACCGTCTTGGGCGTCAGATGACTTTGGATCGTAGGATTCAACGACGACAATGAATGTAAAAAGTATACAGTACAAATGAACAAGTCAAACAATGTCTCGAATTTGCATATATTTAATTATCTACTTACCCGTAACCTGAAAAGGAGAGGAAAAGTACTTGGTTAGTGCTTCAAACATTGTTTAATGACCCAATAATTCCTATGTAACTTAACAATTACAATCACAAATATCTACGTGAAATAATATAATTTATTGGATGAGAAGCATTTTTCAAATCAGTTAATTAAAAGTGTCCATGAATCCATCCAGGCATTGTCAAATATTTGCCCCAAATTCTATTCTACACACAATCAACAGGTAGTGTAGGTCATAACTCTTTAATGCAAAAACATAAAATATGAGCTTAATCGAGCAATTAAACACATTCATAATACATGAATAACGCAAAATACTCGTCGCGGATTGCTCAATGTTACACATAAAAGTTCTTCCTTGAATATTGCAACCATTTCCAAAATTGATTCTGTGCACCTCCACACAAATTTCAAATTGTTCTAGTATTTAAACACCTAGCTGTCCCTGTCGTTCATTACTCTTTAGGAATAAAAAGTTATGCAATTTTTGTGGTCATTCGCTCGTGTAACATGTCCGCGTAGGCGTTTGATCTCTTCTCATCGCAAACCATAGCTAATTACAATTGCTGAATGTATACAAAGCATAATTTCATACACCTACATGCGTCATCCTAATTTTTATTTTTACATATATAGACCAAAGGTCATGAGTAATATTTTTTAACTGAACCCTTAAAATTAAATCATGCTGAAGATGTTGAGGTGTGATACAATGTACGTGACCATTTTATTGGATATCAATATTGCTGTGGATTGGCTATGGGTAAATAATACCATAATTTTCAATGTCTCTTTTCACACACATCACAATTACGCCTTGCATTCATTTACATAGAATCCCGTACGTGATATGCTCATACATACGCCACACAATTAAGTACGTAGAAAATGCTGCATATTGCACAACAATGCCCAAACTGGTCAAGTACCTTACCTTGTATTTCATTGTTATGCGTGGAAATAAATAGATTGGTATTAGAGAGACTAAAAAGGCGAAATTGAATGTGAGATAATTTACGCGTTTTCACAACAAACAAAACATTGTCAGAGTCCACGTTTGAGACAAAAGTGATTACAATCATCGCCAAGCACCTCAGTTCAATTTTTGTATTCCGTTCGGATTCAGGTTTATCTACCAGTAATTTGTCTTGTCCGTATAAAATGGCTTAACGGTTCAGTAAATTCTACCCTCCAGAGTTGACTTATTTCTTATTTCTAAATTATTAAATATTCGTCGTGAAATAGTGAAAAATAAATATGAAAGCTTTAAGGAAAGTTTGTCGTGGTGGAGTTTTATTAAGTTGTTGTCTTATTCAGTCAGTATTAATCAGGGTGGATGCGTTGCCTCAATGGGTGTGGAACAAAGAGGTGGTTGACAGCAACAGGGTCGGTGGAACTAGTCAAACGTTCTTTTCTGAACAGTCTTCTAAATTTCCAATCTCTTCTGAACCCGGTAAGTATGTTTTTTTTACTTCATTTTCAAATGTGAGAAAATGAAAAAAATATTTTGTACAGATCCTCCAAAATCCAACATAAGGATTGTGGATGGAACTCCACGCCTAATTCCAAGTGTTATAAGTGCAGTATCTAATTCTCTTCAAGGTGGAGGCGGAGGGGGTGGAAACGGTATGGATTTACGCCCAATAGATATGCAAACATGTGTACATAATTTGTATATGTCATCAACTGTACGTTGATCAACGTCTCATTTCGATATATGCAGGAATTGGTGGCTTGTTTGGAGCAGTCCTTCAATCTATTCCTCAGTTGGCAACACAAGCAATTGGTGGAATTTTAAGTAATCGACCAACAATAACCCTTCCTGGCAAAGCCCCTGACTATGATTCTGGATCTGGTGGGAATTCGGGGGGATCAGGGTCAGATTCGTCAAATTCGCAAGGAACTGGGTCATGTAAATGCATTGATGCTGGATCATGTTTCTTGCCAAGCAAAGCCGGGGTAAACTAATTCAATTTTGCATTTCTATGTATATACCTACATGTTTGTCGTTATAAGAAGAATTCAGAATTATGATGCTTCTTGTAAGTTTACACCTCGTGAGAACTTTTTTGCTCATCCTACTTTCTATTTTTTCCTTATAAAATCGCAAACTACGTCTTTTGCACTTTTATCAGTAATGTGATAGCTACATAAGTAGATATATTTATAGCGCTGCACCTCTGAATAGCCACACATATAACTAACCACAATTCGTCTGCTGTGTAAAATTATGCCTGTCACCAGGTCGCCACCAATAATCACTAGTTGAAAACCCAATAACTTCCGTATTCGCATTTTCAACGATGACTAAACGTGACAAGCTATTTATTCATTTCAGTTTAGGCCTGCCATGAACATAAATCACTAAAAAGTGTATGAAAATCTCATTTCAACAGGGAAGCTGCGGAGGTGGACGAGTGCAATGCTGTTCTGGAACACGAACAGTGTTCCCTGATGAAAGTAGCTCATTCTTATCCGGTACAAAAACCACGAGAAATGAACGAACTGTCACCCAACGTGAAATTCGTCGTGGACTTTTACAACAAATATTGAAAGGTTCAGGATCTTTAGTGGATGACACATTGGATCTGATTCTTACTCCCTATTTGTCAAAAGATGATCAGCAAAGAATTGCCACCCGGGTTGTCGCCGACGAGTAAAAAATGGTGCATTTTAAAGCTTATTTAATATTATAAATACTATTTAAAAGAAACAGACTTGTTCAAGAAAAGTAATAATGTGTCCTACACTTTTGTGAGTCTTTTTCTTGTTATTCTGTTGTCGTGTACTGATGAATTCTTATGGGCACAAAAACTCGATAGAAAAACGTTTACCAACAGAAGCGATACATTTATCATGTTGACATTTATCTATTCTAATTAATGTCCAAACTTCCACGGTTGATGGTCAATTAAACTTGAGACTTTTCACAAAAACAATCATTTCTTTCACTTTCACGTATTAAAACTTCTCAGTAACTTAGAATGTGAGAAATGTGGTTCATTTTGTGATGATGAGATATGTAGTATCAGATATGTACTTTAGAGATGCAATTAAAACTAATTATTTCTAAGATTATTTATATATACGGAAGCATTTTCTACAAACACTACTTTAAATGAAATATAAAATGTAGCCTTACCGATTGTTGTAACTATAATTGTAACATGAATATTACAATAAATTAGAAGTCACTATAAACTGCAAACACTTGTTTATTTTGACTCACCAACGACGATAGAATAAAATAAAGCTCCAGAAAAAGTCCATTGTTGCGTTGATAAATTTTCAGATCCATCCCAACCTCCTATAAAACTTGTGTTGATTACACTTTATTTTTAACCGTGGGTTTGTCTAACCTTTCTTCATTGCTAAAAAATATTGGAGAAACTTGTAATTCTATTCCTATTATAAAAGTAAATGAATTTTAACCAACCTCGCAACAAATCTGTCTCAAATTCCTGCAAATTTCGTTACCAAAATTACTATGAACCCTTGCCGTATTTATAATCCACAACAATAACGGCGTGGTAAAAATGTACCTGCAATCTGTAAGTTGTATTCTGTAGCCAAATTTCTTCTCGAATTAAATGCGTATTTTTGGTCATTGTCCACAAATATTGCGTCACTGCTTGTCTAACTTGGGTCATGTTACGTTTAACCTGATTTTAGGCAGGATTGCATATAAACTTCTTGCAGGCGCATACTTCACAATAGGTGAAAGATAAAAAGTTAAATACTGACCTGCAGTTCGTGTGAAGATTCTAAAGCTTCAAAAGTTAAATTTCAAAAAAATCAAATTTTGAAAAATAGCAAATTTTGGTATAGTACTAGACGGCCTGAGTGAAAGTGTACCTTCAAAAGTGAAAGCACCCATGATACAGTACCCGACGACGAGGGATATGAGACCAATGTGAGATAACAGGAAAGTGAGAACTTTTCGAAACTTTTCAAGGCACTTGGAACACTTGCTCCTGTCCTCTTGATCCTCCAATTCCAACTCCATTTTTACAATGGTCACTTCACTCTCCACACGTTATAGACTTTATCAAGGAATTAAGACTGTCTCAAATTTCCCCACCAGAACTTTTTAACACAAGCCCATTAGCTTGCTTAATATCAAAATTGAGAGATTTAAACATTTTACACACCCCTTTTTCCGACTGGCTTCATCCCTTCCTTCTTGTGAATGTTTAAAAATAAGATTTTGTGAAAGCTCTGGTCTGTTTTTGAAGCATGGTTGGATGATAATGTGAAAGATTGGATTCAAGGATTAGAGTGAAACCTGAGCTTTTCAGTTTCAGCTTTTCAGTTTCACAAGATTCATCCGGAAAATGAATAAGCGAGACGTTCTCAACCAAATTAGACTGAAAACATAACACACCACACGCTGACGGTATGCATCATATTGTGGGAGTAAATTTAGCTTGTTGAATGAATTGCAATTCACCGTCGTCGTCGTCGTCTCACCATCACGGCATCACGTCTTTACAGACTGCGGAAAACTTTTACTACAGAGTTCTCTGTCGAATCCTAAAGTTTATTTTGCTCGGATGGGAGTCTTATGTCATAAAAGTCAGGCATAATAATATATAATGGTTTCATCGGCTGCAGCTTGATGTCTACATAATGGCAGATAACCTCATATTCCTTATATTGGGGCCCATTTCAGAGCAATAATACGGCAAACCAGCAATGGTGCATTTTTTATCTGTTGGCTTTCATGGTGCCATATGGGATACCTCATCTATCATCATATCTACTATAGCATCATCTATTCATGAAAACAAAATTTTTCAAACCCGGTTATCGGTGCATCTCTAACAACATCACTCATTAATACTTTGCATGCATTTTTGTGCGATGTTGAATGCTTTTTCTTGTTGGTTTATGAAAATGTACATTGATAAGAAAATTGATAACAAATGGCTCGAATATTTTAAAAATATTTCATTTTATCCGATTACCTTCATTCGTACATACATCGACTAGCATGTGAGATTAAACATTATGATTTTGGAGGAGTTAGTAAAAGTGGGCTAATGTAATGTCGCAATTCGTCTATAGGTTGCTCCCACCTTTCTTCGTAAAATATATTTAGGAAAGGTTTAGAATTGAAGCCGACTTCCAATGCCCACCTGTAATAAAAATAAGTAAAATTACCCAATAAATTAATCAGTATAAAGTGCATAAAAACGATTGAATCAAGCTTACTTTAAATGTGTGTTTGAATATTTTGTACGCTGCTTGGGATAAAGTCTTGTCGCACCAAATAATCCTCCAGTAAGGCACATCGGAAGGCCAGTTTGAATCCCTTCAATCCATTTCACTAACACTTCGCCTATAAATTGGTACGCACATATAATCAAATAATTATCAGTCACATGCAGATACATTATTACTGTATGTTATGCATGCTACGTACCCAACATGTTTGTGGGTTGACCAGATACTGTATGTACGAGGTCATGTATTTCTCGATACCGTTGCATCACAAAAGCCAATTCTGGGTCTTTGATGAATCTTACGGGAAGTCTGCTGTCGGGAGTTACCTTATTCTTATCTAAAAACCTGTAGTATGTTCCACCCAGTGTATTTTCGGGAAGGGTGGAGAGCCATTTCATGTCTATCGTTTTGGAATTTATTCTTGGCTTTTGGATGAAGATTCGGGACGCTTCTGAATCATTCATCATTTTAGTGTAGAGGGATGATAGGACAGGAGTAGCAGAAATCTCTCCGAAAGTTGCAATATTTTCTAAGAAAAATAAGATTAGACATTATCACTACTTGATCAGTCTTGAGTGCATACCAAAACCGAGTGAAGTGCCAAATATATTGATTCAATTATGAATTAAATTTACCTGCTTTTGTGGGATCGAGAAACGATGCAATTCCGGACCCAGCATAAATGATTGCTTTCTGTAATGGTGTCAAAGGGATGAAATGCTTCGTTCTAAATTCTTCCTCCCAAGATAAGTCGTGATGTGATTGTGATTGTGACCCAGTCTGTTTGTTTTCATGTTGACCATGTGCAGAAAAATATCTTTGTTGACTAGCAAGGTGTTTACGGCAACAAATCACTTCCTGTCCTGTCGTGTAGACAAGTGAATTTAACTTCATTTCTATGCTAGGTTTAAAAATAGGGGAGATAAATATTGCAAATTTTTGCAATGATTTTATTCTTTAAATTTAACGAAATTATTTGCAAAAATTATTTGAGACAAAAACTTGGTCTTTCTTGTGCAAAAATTATGCGTTTGCCCCAGCGAAAGATTTGAAGATTGCGCCTGCACTTTTGGAGCTGTGAGTGAGCCGGGTTTGATTTTGTGCTTGTGTGAAATTGTCGTCGGCCAATTTCCAGTCGATGCGGCAGTAAATTTCTTTTTCAGAGTTATTGGTTTGTTTCTGATAAAAATTGTTCAAGGGAGTTGGAGACAACCATAATTCAAGGATTTCTATTTTTGGTCTAAGGGGTCAATCCCTGTTTAACTTATTCCTATTTTTTCCTGTGAAATCGTTAAAAGTTTAAAAACTTTCAAAATGGTAAGTATTTACATACTTTCAACTTTTAGTTATTATTTATTTATTTATGAGTGATGAGAGAGAGGGGCCCCATTATTGTCATTAGCGAAATTATAAGAAATTATGACTTTGATAAGGTCGAAGGATAAGACACTAATTAATGTTATTTTTTGTATTTGTCCGCAGACGATCAGCAAAAACAACAAGATGATGCAGCACATCAATTACAGGATTCGGGTGAACCTGCAAGATTCTCGGACCTTCATTGGGACATTTAAAGGTATGCAAATAATGAAATAATTATGATTAATTAGGAAACAATAGTTTACCAATGTTTTGTTCAATATTTTTGACATGTTTTGATGTTCTGTGTATTTGCAGCATTTGATAAGCATATGAACTTAATTCTTGGAGACTGTGAAGAATTTAGAAAAATTAGAGCCAAAAAAGGAGTCACTGGCGAGCGAGAAGAAAAGCGAACACTTGGGTTTGTTCTTCTTCGTGGAGAAGGCATAGTCTCGATTACTGTTGAAGGTACATTATTACGCTAATCATGTAATATAATATTATTGGCTAAACTATGTTATATATTAATAATTCTAAATCATGGTCAGGTCCTCCCCCACCTGATGAGGGTTTGCCAAGAGTTCCAATTCCCGGAGCTGTTCCGGGACCCGGATTGGGTCGTGCAGCTGGTCGAGGTATGCCTGTCCCCGCCGGAGCGGTCCCACCAGGTCTCCAGGGTCCAGTTCGTGGCGTTGGTGGACCATCTCAACAAATGATGGCTCCGACCAGAGGAGCTGCTCCTTCTGTAACGGCTCCCCCGCAAATGCGGCCTGGTATGCTTAACATTCTTGTCAAATAGCATCTTGTTGTCGTATCGGTGAGGTCAAAAAGAATATGTTGTCTTAAATTGCAGGAGGTCCCCCTGGAATGCCTCCACGACCTGGTATGCCACCTGGCATGCCCCCTGGAATGCCTCCAGTTCCTCCTGGTTAGTAATATATTGGTCCTAATTAAATTGAAAATAAATTTGACCATTCAAAACTGGTATTGTATTACAGGTATGATGGGTCGCGGAGTTCCACCACCAGGAATGCCGCCAAACATGCGGGGCCCCCCACCCGGCTTGATGCGTGGAGGTAACTAGACCATTTGTGCTAATTATTCGTCATAGTTGTAATAATTCCTACTCAATGTATTCATTATTCTTTAGTTCCACCCCCACCCGGAAGACCTCCATTCTAAGAAAAGCGTATATATTGCTGGATTTTGTATCATCTTCAATTTACATTCACCACGTACATCCTCCAAACAAATGTATTATTGAATAAATGAATTGAACTGTTTCTTATCTTTCTTTATGTGTACGAAGAGTTTTGTTATAAAGAGAAATAAAATTTTGTTTTACTCCAATGCCGCGTAATAATACTAATGAAATGAAATACTCCAACGAATTGAACCAATCACTACAAAATGCAAAAATGTTTCACAATGCTTAATGAGTATTTCAAATGCAATAAAATTTGCCGAGTAATGATAAAACTTTAAAAAGTTTATAAGCACTTGTTAGTACAGAGTTGTTTTGTTAATTTTGCGAATTTAAATTTGGTTTTTTGTGTTGCGATAAGAGCCTCAGAGATCCTTGGCAAGGGGTCGTTTCCTCACCAAGGCGGCGACTAATTCATAGAATTCATACGCCGTGTTACATCATCGACTCTTTCGAGGTCAATGATAGACCCTACCGAAAGGCAATGAGATTACGTATGGAAAACAGGTAGTTGGAGGCTACCCCATTAGAGTAAAGCATTCCAATTTTACACTAAATATTAGTAGCCGCATGACCGTTCTCTGTTTGTATAGAACTTTTTATAGGTAAAGGCATATGTCACAATATGGTTTGTGCAATAAAATAGTATCATCCTAGATTTCTGCGTCCAAAATTTCGAATTTTACGAGTTTATGAAATTTTCAATGCTAAAAGTGTTTAATCTGGAGGAATGTTGAGTTTATGTCTCGGCAGAGAGCACTAACTGTCCAATTCATAAGGTGTGGTGAGACTGATCTTTTGAGGTTCTACTTTGTTGAGAACAATTCTCACGTGCATTAACTTCATGTTTGTGAATACCAGAAAATTTAATTTACTGTTGCACTAAGAAAGTTATGTTGAAAATGACAATCACTGGAATGACTTTAAAATTTATCTTAATTTAATAAGCATCTACCAAAGGGAGGGCGGCCTGGTGGATACGAATTTGACCTTGAATAACCCCGGAACGGTTTGTCGTAGCGGGTCAAAATTTTGAACAGGCGAGCATGTTATCCTCAGATAGTTGTGTGCAAAATTTCAGCCCTCTACTTTGAAAAATGCCTGCCCCACAGCCCCCAGAAGCTGAGACACTCATTTCAACTTGTTCCAGAAAAAATCTCGCCCGTGTTTACAAAAAAATTTATTTGAATTTTCTGTTGAGGAATATGAGTGAGCTATTGGTGACAATTGACGAAGAACTATTTTCCCTACAAGTTACTAATTGGGTTCGAAGAGCTTGCTACACGACAAATGCCGAAAAAAAATTCAAGAAATTTGGTGCTTTTCAGTGAGGAGAACTTTTGTAAACAGTTGATGGTCGTGGGTGCAATGTCCTGTCGTGGTGTCCTCCCACTTATCAAAGTCCCCCAAAAAGTGAAGGAATCTTCGAAGTATTATGTGGACCTTGTACTGAAACCACTTTTAGAATACAATTTTCCTAATTTGCACGGTAAAATAATAATTAAGGTGATTTTTCATCATGACGGAGCGTCCTCCCAGACGGCAAAGTTGACCCAAGATTATGCAAATGACCTTGAACCTAGATTGGGGATAAAAATCATTTCGAATAGTGAAATACCTATACAATCCCCTGATATAAGTCAAATCGACTTGTTTGAGTTCGGATAGATGAAAAGAAAATCTTTCTGTGTGGACCGAATTTTTTAGACGGAGTTTGGAAAAAGTTGAAATGACTGTCTCAGCTTCTGGGGGCTGTGGGGCAGGCATTTTTCAAAGTAGAGGGCTGAAATTTTGCACACAACTATCTGAGGATAACATGCTCTTCTGTTCAAAATTTTGACCCGCTACGACAAACCGTTCCGGGGTTATTCAAGGCCAAATTCGTATCCACCAGGCTGCCCTCCCTTTGGTAAACAGCAGTAAGTTTAAAACTTAACTAATTAATATAAGTCCTACTTTCTGTATAATTATTTTATTTGTATAATCTGTGGCACATCCTTGAAGTAAAATTGGACGTCCCAAATTTTCTTCCTTTTGTTCCAACGTGACATAAATCATCATAAAATAGCCTAATTTGTTGTGTATATGAGTCATAACAATAAATTATCAGCCATGCACATATACACAATTAAGGAAGAGACAACACATAAAATGGTGCGTGCTGTTTGATGTTGGATATAGAATACGCACTACATACTTAATTTGCATAAAAATTGTTAAACGATGTAAAATGTTGTGCGTAGATGCCTTTAATTTTGAATGGCCTTTGACTTGGTCACTTATTTGTGCAACATTTCATAGATTTCGCAAAGACTCGTATATTAACCGATTATAAACTAGTATTTTGCATGGAGGCAATTAGTGTCATTATAAATTCTCGCCAAGACCAAAAATTTATCAAAAAGACGTTACATATTGCTCAGTTTGGTTGGATTGAGCAGGTAGTAAGACTCTCAGCTTCATAGAGATTGACCAAATTATAGGCAAAACTGTTATAATTTATTCCAAATTTCATTCACAAGTTAGGAAGGTCTTTGTTCAAAATTTTGACCACATTTGACTTTGACACGTGTCGCCGTTTGCTTGTTCAAATGTATAGCAAACTCTTAGTAAAACAAACAAGAATGCATAATAATGGAAATAACAATGAAATTTAAATACGCACAAATTACTTTTGGTCAGGGATTTGTAGATGTAATAATAACGACTTGTAAACAATCGAGCTTCCTAATCAATAGAAGATCCCTCCAGAAATTGTTGCCAAAACTTAATTGAGGGCCAGTCCTTAGCAAATGAGTCAGTAGGGAGTGATCCCGTTAAGATCTTGACTTGATGCAAGTTCATTAGCGAATGTTTTCAAAGAATCGATATAGAGCAAATTACGCACGTTATTAACGACACAATATGCAAATACTGATATGCACACTTAGATCAAACATGATATTAAATATTATCCTTTTGTGTACCATTTTACGCATCTTACGTGTGTTTTCCGCAACTTGCGTGCGTAGTAGTCAAAATTATTGTCTCGTAAATCTCAATTAGTCAAAAATCGTTCCATATTGTTTTAGGCATGGATCAATTGATCTGGCAAATGTGGATCAGGCTTTGGTACACGCATTATTTGATTTCCTGAGCATATCGCTCAATCAGCAATTTTTAAAATAACTCAAGTTTGAGTAAGGTGAAATTGCTGCGTCTTTGGTAGAAAATGTGGTCCTAATATTTTATGTACAAAAGTAGTTAGTATGCGTAGAGCATAATTTAGTTGATCACGCACAATCAAATTTTCGCAATTTATACACAATCTGTCGGTATACGAGTGACGAATAACGTCATTGCAAGGATTGAGGATCAACTCATTAAACTCCAATCAATTTTATCGTTTCTCACATCTGCGGTAATTCAATGAAAAATGAAAGGGGTTGGTTATTAGAGGCAGCACGTTGCAATTCATTTATCATCTCTATAATTCTACCTACGCATAATTTTGCACGCACAATGTATGTAAATGTGTGGTAGAGGAAGAAATGAAATGATGCTGTCCGTCGTATCCAAGTAAACCTGTAATGCCAAACTAATTTCATATTCCGCCTTAATTATTGGGACGAGACCAAGATTCCTAAACTTTTTAGCTCGTTTCCGTGGAGTGAATGTATTAGGATTATGTAATGAGGTTGTCCAAGGATGAGCCATCTTTTAAAAATTATTAAAAATTTTCGAGTTGGGGACAGGCACGCATTTTTTGGCGTTGTCACCCGTTGTTGGGTGAGTGAGAAATTATTTTAAAAATTATTTTTGCTACATTTTCTGGGGACTGCTTTTAATTTTTAACTCGATTGCATATTACATATGTGATATTGATGACCATTTTTGTCCCCGATACTTTTATATATTTGTACACGTATTTATATGCATATTTTTATAAAGAGCACAACCAGGTAGATAATTCGAGTTCCGGAGAAAAAATTTTCATTTGTCTAAAACTTGACAAAATTTTCATTATTAAATTATCACTCCCACGATAACGGTGGACCTGGAGGACGAAGAGGAGGATAATTTAGTTCTGGAAGATTTTGTAATTGATGAGGTAGCAGCTGCTGGTGCAGATTCAGAACCACTCCTGCTGATACCGAAGATGAGTTGTTAACGGTATAAGTTTTTAAAATCATGAGGATGTCAATTTTTGTCAAGTTTTTTTAAAGATAAATAAACATTTCTTTATCTGGAACTCGAATTATCCTCCTGGTTGTGGTCGCTATCTTCATAAAAATATGTATACAAATAAGTGTAGAAATATACAAAATTATCGGGGGCAGAAGTGGTCATCAATATCACATAATATGCATTCGAGTTAGAAATGAAAAAGTCCACCGAAAAATAATTTCTCACTCACCCAACAACGGGTGACAACGCCAAAAAATGCGTGCCTGTCCCCAACTCGAAATTTTTTAATAATTTTTAAAAGATGGCCCATCCTTGGACAACCTCATTACATAATCCTAATACATTCACTCCACGGAAACGAGCTAAAAAGTTTAGGAATCTTGGGACGAGACATATCAATCGCATCATAACAAAGCGGCTCTATTCCATACCCTTTACTTAGCCACATACATATTCAATCCATTGATCAAAGTCAAAAGTCAGATCACGAAGCAGCAATTTGTCTCCCCAGAATTACAACAATCGGTGCCCAGTCAATTGATAGGTGTAACTTATCATCGCTAATTATGTCATTGGAAGTGTTTGGTGGGATTTGTTTTGTTTTCATTGTCAAACTCTTGGCTTGCTTTTGGACTAAACTTCCTTGGATTTATTTGCATTATAAATTAGCACGATTAATCTCAATTTTATGAAGGCAATTACTTAAATACTGTAGTTCATAAGTTATGAAAGGGTATTATTCATGGATATGAGTGACATTTTTTTACGTAAATATTGCTCTGCATCAATATGTCAAGCACGACCTAATTTTTATGCATATTTTAAATTTCATCATTTTAAATGTATATCCGTTTCTAGTAATTATGTATTTACGTAATTTATATAAAGAAACGTGTGCAATTTGGTTTATTTATTTATTGGCAGCGAAATTTGAAAAAAATACTAATCAATCAATTCCAAACTACGGAGCATTTCAAGC